TTTCAATCATATTACTTGCAAGCAGTTGATTTTAGCACGAAATGATGTGAGTTGTCGAGGATGTTTGGTAAAGAAACTGCCTAAATGCGAATAAAAAAAGCGGCTTGCTCGAGGCTAAGCAATTCCACCCGGGAGCCATGTCAGCCACGAAGAATCCCATAGCGGCTGCGGTATTTTCCATATCCTATTATCTTCAAATCTCTAATCGCCAACAAGACAACACGCCCTCCCAGTTGCAACTTTATTAGCAATAGAAAAAGAAGTTGTCCAATTAGAATGATGGTCCTTCATAAGCAAGATACGGACTTCGACGAGATGTTAAGCCTTGGATGTACAAATATTCGATATGGCCTGCACGTAGAAGAGTTTTGTCTAGACTTCCGCAGAGCCCAACTTTGGGCCCAAGATCCTGGCCCAAGCCCAACCCCCTGGCCCACGATGGGCCCCAATGGGGCCCCCACGAAAGCCCACAAATGCATAAATAACTAGTCTTGGCATTCATAAAGCTACTAAATAATCAAAAAATAATACTGTTTTTTACATCTGTTCTGGTTCACCTATGAATTTCTCTATAATCCCCCCTTAAGCTATATGAAGTTTCAGGAAATATCCTCTGAAATAAATTAAGTCGGACCAGTTTTGATTTAATTACGATGAAATAGATAGGTTTTGATCATTTTGGCTAGTTTTAGGTGGGAGACGGAAGCAAAATCTGAACCGAACCTACGAAAATATATATTTGATATAGACGATCTCGAGTGCATATACTAGGGGACAGAAAGAATAGAATAACAACTCACTTTTTCTATATGAATTCACTTTTTATCTATATTTAATAAAAGCTAGTTTTATCTGTTTTAATTTCCTCGTCTTTAAGAGGATGGAAAAAGAGGGAGTTTATACAAATCAAGTTGATTATTCTAGACTTGTATCCCATAGGCCATTCTCCGACTAGGCGAAAAATTTTTGAGTATTCTAAGGGTTGAGTGGGCTAGGAATGGGCTATCTATGGGCTATTCATGGGCCTTCGTGGGCTTTTATGGGCTTTGCTAGCCCTAACCCACTTAGCGTATAAGATTTATCCAACTAGTATCTAGCTCTCCTTTATCTTGATTTATAGACTTATTTGCGTAGCTCCTAGTTTATACTCGCTAAGTTTAGTTTCTGATGAAGCTGAGTGGGTGCTTGAGGTGTCAGCGCCCACCGCCGTTGTAGATAGACCTTCCCTTCTGGGAATCTAGGAATATCATCATCATCTCTCTCCGCTTCTTCTTCTGCTCTTCCTAGTGATCCCCGATTCCAGGTCTTTGCCATGCCGGTCCCTGACTCCCCCTGAGCCACGACCGTCATCAGTTTCTCTTTCCCCTACTATTCATAGGCTCCTTACTTACTTCGCTATGTCCTAGAGTCAGTAGTCTGACTTTCTATCGTCTCTATATGATAGAGATATTAGAGACGCAGATAATTTAACTTATCTTACACCCTCGAATCACCTAGCTACGCTATCTAGTAGCTAGCATACTCTTAATAATTTTGATCCTTCCTTCCTCCGACCGGCTATTCCTCTTATAATTCCTTCTACATTTGAGCGAGTCGGGCCTAATAGAAGAAAGGCATACGTACTCTATACCAAAATAAGCCACACAGAATAGGTGGATTAGTGGCTACAGACTAATTATGGGTGAAGGAGCAAGATCGCTTAGGATTCGAACTATCTTTCAGATATCTAGAAGTACTATGATTAGGTTGCTCGTAGTATAGACAGTGCGCTAAAGGTTATATGCAAACGGTGTAGCTAAGTCCTTAAGCACCCTTATTTTAAGAGGAATGATAGAAAAGAAGGACGCCATAGGACAAGAACTATAATAAGGCACCTTAAGACTACTGCCTATCTTAGGTTTGAAAACCGACAGAAAAATGAACTCATAAGGTTTCTCTAAAAAAAGATATGTTATAGCTTAATTCTACTATTTGAGGAATTAATGGCTCTTATTCTATAAGGATGGTGACCCTTCTCGTGTCAATACTTCATTCTCGTAAGAAGACTAGGAAGCAGATATCTTACAATTCATCACTATTAACCGGCTTCTATTTCATCTTATTGAGCACCCGACATTTCAACGCTTAATCGACAACGCTCGCTCTACCCTAATACCTCTAGCTATCCCCTCCGCTAATACTATCCGTCTTCGACTAGCAAAGCTAGTCAAAGATAGACAAGATTAGGTTCTTTAGTCGCTGCCGACTAGCTCTAAGATTTCAATTGCGCTTGACTACTAGACTTCCCCATTTTCATAAACATTTATAGCTATAACTAGCTATTTTGTCGATACTGATTGGGTTTATAGTGAAGTTCTTCTTAGTTTTAAGCCACTTTATGGCTCATATACTAGCTCAAACCTAAGCAGTGTTCTTTTAAAAACGCTTATCGACCATCAGATCGAGGACCAAGTCTTTAGATTGACTACTAACAATGCATCAAAAAATAAGACATTAGTTGATTCTCTTCTACTGGCTTTATCTAATGGTGTTCATCTTATCCGAACCCCTACCCTTGCTCATATCATCTAACTCAGTCTTAACTAGCTTCTTAATCGTCTTAAAGCCCTTCCGCTTAATGACACTATAGAGATAAAGTAGACCGACCGGTAGTCATCATTAGCAAAGGCAAATGCACGACACTAGAGACGCGAGATTTCCTATACCTTGACTAAGGTACGCTTCCTTACAATTTATATACATAGAAGCCCTTAGCTCCAGGAGGCATTTTAGAATCTCTAAACAGAAGGCCTAAAACTTGTGCCAATCCAAGATATAAGGACTCGATGGAATTCTACCTTCTTGGTGCTTCGTCGCGCAAAGCGACTCCGTTCTTGCTTTAGGCCTTTTCGCGTGGAGTATGACTATGAAGAGTTGCTATTAAGTGATGAGGAGTGGCGCCCCAAATCGACTATCTTCTCTATCACCGAGCCATTCTTTCTTTATACAGCTAAGTTTGCAAAGACCCGAGAAGTAGCAACACATTTAGTGTTCAAAGATTTGCAATGCACTCTTCGAGCATCTTGAAATCTCTATGATACAGCTCCGGCGGAAGCGAGTTCTATAGAAAAGCAGATGCTTAAGTCTCTTAAAGCTAGCCGATTAAAGCTCGATGAGTACTATTCGTAGATAGATAATGTTCGAGGACATATCTTTACAATTAGTACTATGCTAGCCCCTAATAATAAGTTTCAATTTTTCCTTTCGAATGACTAGGATAAAGAGTGGCGCGATAAATACCGGAAATCCTTCTACAACGCCCTACCTCCTTACTAGGAACGTCTTGCTAGTATCTAAGGCTCTTTAAACTCCTAATCTATAGGAAGGCCAACCTCGAGGTTAAGCAAATTGTTAAATAGGAATAAGCGCTAGCCAAAGGCGGTCGGTGATGAAGCAACACAATATCTTGATAATAATGGTTGGTCCACATTGGATTTGCCCCCTGTGGTCAACTGGATGGTTATCTTTGTTGGAAGAAGACTGAGATCGCACGGAACTCTTCGAATAATATAGGAGTTTGATCGCCCCTGGGGTCCTTTCGGGAAAATAACCGCAGATATGACCCTATGGCAGCTTTTGAACATCTCTCAATTTGAATAGACGGCTTTCATTGTCGATAGATATACGAACCCGGACCGCGAGGGTTCCTCCAGCAGGGGTCGCTAATGATCAATCGCCACAGCGATTTGGTGGGTGCTGTCCAAGAACACGCCTTTCAAGTCCCGACGGAAGTTGAGATTTGATCGGCGAGGGTTTCGAGTAGGGCTCATCAAAGACACCAGTTTCGGCATCCCATCAGCCTGCACTGCTCGAGTGTCATGTTCCGACAGATAAAGAAAGTGTCACCAAATATGAAAGTCTGCAGCAGAAAGAAATTCATGGAGTGAACTTTCTGGGCTTGTTCTATCAATCGGGCTATTTCTACGGGGCTGTGAGGCGGACAAGTCGGCTTACTGTCCTCCTGGAACACGCCTTACGGTGTATTGTTCTGGTCTCTGATCGCCAACCTCGACAGAGCCCAGCAGCTTAGAACCAGAGCTTTGCCTTTGCGCAAGATACGGCGAGAGTGAGCGCTGAAACGAAATGGCAGAGCCAAGTAGTTACAGGTACTGTAGAGATCAAAATGCGAAACATACAAAAACGACACTACCTACAAGTTCCCATGGGTGTTTATGACCCTTCTAAGCCCAATCCATTATTCAATGCATTTCATGTTGCAACTCATATCCCAATTGGCAGAAGACATCCTTCAGTTGGGGGCACACTCGATAGCATTTTGCCGTATTTTCCTCCTCCAAAGTTTTGGGTCAAAGTCAATAATAACTGGCACAGGGACACAAGCCAACTAACAATAAAAAATCAAGATAGGTTTAGAAAAAAAACCTAATTAGGAAGAAAAGGAATCGAAACGATGATTGATTCGGTGTTCATATCTCGAAGCTGAGGTCCACGGTTCCGTTTTTGTTCGTCAAAAAGTGCGTGCCGAATACCGAGGTGTCCACTACTTCTCCGGTGACGAGCCATCAAGACGTCAGCCATCGAGGCCACCGGATAGTCCAACTTAATGCCGGACTGCGCGAAGAAAGAAAATTCGGATTGAACTCAATCAGTTAGCGACCTTCCTGTTTTGGCCGTGCAATATCCTGGCCGTCCCACGTGTAGAGGGGGATGACGGAACCCTAAATCCCACGTGATCGGCCACGTTGGACCCAAATGTTGTACTTGGTGAAATTAACATGAAGCTATCGAGGAAACATGCTCAAATGGAGCCCTCTGAGTGGACATCACAACAATTTTGAGTTGCCATCAACCATATTAAATCTGGTCTTGCAGCTGTGGCGTTTTCTCGATCAACAAAATACGACTATATGATCTGAAGGATCTTCCATCTGGAATACCCCAATGGTACAAGCCGGTTCCTTTCAGTCTCTCATTCAACGGCCATTTCCTTCGCTGCAACAATGCGGTGGTTCCAGTCGCTGCTCTGGCTGTCTGCCGCTTCGGCGGTGGTTGCTCGGTCCACCCAGGGCATCTACGACCTCGTTCAGCGTCGACTGCCCAACCACGCCGGTAGCTTCCAGTTCTCCCTGGTGAATGCCACGCAGACCAACACCACCTACGACCAATATACGGTGAGCACCGCCAATGGCAAGGTTTTTGTGCAGGGTAACACCCTGAGCGCGTTGTCTTCGGGGTAAGCACCGTCCTCCCCAAGATAACCCCTGTCCATGCTGATTGATCAACAGTCTCCATCGCTATCTCACCGATGTCGCCAATGTCGACATCTACTGGTACATTGGTAACCAGCTGGACTCGGCGCCCGCCCAGCTGCCCGCCCTTACTGCTCCCATGACCGGATCCAGCACCGTGCCTTGGCGTTATCACTTCAACACTGGTGAGACTGACCACAGATAACCTGGTTATCCCCACGCTGATATCATCTAGTGACCTTCTCCTACACCGCTGCTTTCTGGTCCTGGGAAGACTGGGAGCTCCAACTGGACTGGCTCGCCCTCCGCGGTGTAAACCTGCCCCTTGCCTGGGTCGGCGCCGAGAAGATCATGGTCGAAGTGTTCCGCGAAATCGGCCTCACTGACGCTGAGATCGCGACTTTCATGAGTGGGCCTGCTTTCCAGGCATGGAACCGGTTCGGCAACATCCAGGGTTCCTGGGGCGGCGACTTGCCCATGCAATGGATCGATGACCAGTTCGCCCTGCAGAAGCAGATCGTGCAGCGTATGGTCGAGCTGGGTATGACCCCCGTACTACCTGCTTTCACCGGCTTTGTTCCCGACAACATCACGCGTGTCATGCCCAACGCTAGCGTGGTGCGAGGCTCACAGTGGTCTGGATTCCCCGTCCAGTACACCAACGACTCGTTCCTCGAGCCCTTCGACAGCCACTATGCTGAGCTCCAGAAGAGCTTCATTCAGAAGCAGCAAGAGGCCTATGGCAATGTGACGCACATATATACGCTGGACCAGTACAACGAGAACTCTCCTTACTCCGGCGACCTCACCTACCTGAGCAACGTCACCTACGGCACCTGGCAGAGCATGAAAGCAGCTGACCCCCAGGCCATCTGGATGATGCAGGGCTGGCTGTTCTACTCCGACTCAACCTTCTGGACCGATGCGCGCGTGGAAGCCTACCTCTCTGGCGTTCAGAACAACGAGGACATGCTGATCATTGACCTGTACTCCGAGTCCACCCCGGAATGGCAGCGCACAAACTCGTACTACGGCAAGCCCTGGATCTGGTGCCAGCTGCACGACTTCGGCGGCAACATGGGCCTCTACGGTCAGATCGAGAACATCACCGTAGACGCCACGAACGCGCGTCTCCAGTCGCCATCGATGGTGGGCTACGGTCTGAGCATGGAGGGCCAGGAGGGCAACGAGATCGTCTACGACCTCATGCTGGACCAGGCATGGTCGCAGACAGCTATCGACACAGACCAGTACTTCCACGACTGGGTCAGCAGCCGGTACAGCGGCGCGGCCTCGATCCCGAGCGAGCTCTACCAAGCCTGGGACATCATGCGCACAACCGTGTACAACAACACAGACCTGGCCTCCGCCATCGCCGTGAGCAAGTCCATCTTCGTACTGAAGCCCAATCTCTCAGGCCTCCTCGGCCTCACAGGCCACCACCCCACCACCCTCAATTACGATCCATCCGTCCTCGTCCACGCCTGGCAACTGATGCACCAAGCCGCCAACGCCGAGTCCACTCTCTGGACTAACCCCTCCTTCGAGTACGACATGACCGATGTCACGCGCCAGGTGATGGCCAACGCCTTCATCCCCCTGTACTCTGAACTGGTCTCAACCTACGAGAACAACTCCTCCCCCTCGGCCATCACCGCCGCCGGCGACAAGCTCGTCCACCTCCTGGAAGACCTGGACAAAGTTCTCCTGACCAACCCATCCTTCCGCCTCTCAGGCTGGATCGACGCAGCCCGGTCCTGGGCTCACGGCGACGCCGCCTACTCCGCTTACCTGGAATACAACGCGCGCAACCAGATCACGCTGTGGGGACCGCAGGGCCAGATCAGCGACTACGCGTCCAAGTCGTGGGCGGGCCTGGTATCCACTTACTACGCGCCGCGGTGGGAGATGTTCACGCAGTACCTGAAATCGACGCCGTCTGCTCAGTACAATGTCACTGCGTTTGATGCGCAGTTGCTTGATTTCGGGCTGAAGTGGTGTGAGCAGACGTGGAATGCGCCTGCGCCGACGCGTGCGCAGACCAACTTGAAAAGGGTGCTGGCTCACGTGCGGCGCCAGTGGCCGAGTGTCTTTTCTTGAGTTTCGTCGTCTGAGTTAGATGGATGCTGATAGTTGGGATGTATATACTTTCTCTTTTCCTGTATGTCGTAATCTTGAACTGAAGAAGTTGTATGTCGGACATCGCAGTACGAACTAGATATCGCCTATCCTCACCAAGCAATAGGCCAGCAACCTCACGGGGCATCAGAGCTAGAGCTCGACTTCGGGTACGTTTCCGAGCCCCCCGAATTCTTGGAAAATAGGACGCTTGACTCGTTATGAAAGGTCGAGGAGGTTTCTGCTCAAGCACCGTGTAGCACATTACCGACAAATTTGACCCGGCGGCCTCTCAGCTCAGGCTCGGGCTCACATCCACGGATGCATCTACTAGGGGTCTTGTTTACTCCTGCCCGACAGATGGCCTTTGCTCCTATGGCAGATTGTGAATTCAAAAAAGGAGGTCGCGCATGCACGGCGGTTGGCCTTGAGGAGCTCGACACTTGCTACAAGTTATGTGTTGCTTCGAATACGGAAATCGATAAAATCGCTGCATTCCTCGAACTCGCCCTTACGGCTTTGCGGACCATAGCCAACTCGGCTGGGACAAATTATACTCGCCAAAATCGGAATTTGTACAGCTATGCATTGGATTTGCCGCTGAATGCATCAAAGAGGAAAATAAATGTCTTCGCAGATGCGCAAAAGACTGTCTTGCCAAGCTAAACGGACAGAATACAGTATCCAGTGTGTCCAACCTCTTCACCTATCAGTATAATTCCTCTAATAGTTTATTAATTAATCTAAAGGTTCGGAGTTAATTACTACAATAACGATGACACGGTGAATGGGAGGCCAGAAACGGCCGCGTTTGACGCCTTTTTTGGCCGCTCGCTCACCGTGGCCGGTCTTGGCGTCACGTGTGCCAAAGCCCACGGCCGGCCTGTTTACTGCCACTCACTCTTCACGTTGGCAGTGCCTGGTGCCTGGACCCATTCAATGGATCGACCGATGTCCATTCGTGCCGCAGCGACCCATCCTCGCTCACCCTCAGTCACCCTCCTGGCGGAGGGGAGCCAAAAATGGCTCCTCTGTTGACCGTTCTGCTTCCCTCCCTGAGTTCCATAAATATCGACCACCATTCCCCCCACCGGGGACAGATAGTCCTCCCTGGCTCTCCAGCAATCCCTCCAGCCCCAAGCCTGGATTTCCAACGGGTGTCTTGCCCCAGGTGAAATCGTATCAGTCTCGATCATTCTTTCGTGCTTCGACTCGTTCTCGCTGCTCCTGCCTTCTCTTCGATCCCACAGTGCGCTCACTGCCATGCCTGCTTCTCCGCATCCTGTTCTGCCCGACGATGAGAGCGACGCTAGCTCAGGCCTGCCAGAGATCTTCTCGAACAATGCTTCCGACTCTGATTCCTCCACCACGTCTAGCGACTTCGACGCTAGCAGCGAATCCGAGTCCGAGTCCGACGATGAGTCCGAAGACGAACTGGTACTTGAAGATGAGGAGGAGCAACTTTCACCAGAATACTACCTCCGGGAGGCCGAGTCTCTTGATGTCTCGCAGCTCCGACAGAAACGCTACAGCCCGAAAACGCAAGAGAGGTTAGATGAGGCGCAAGACTTCTGGGATAGGTGGGACATCACTGCAGCTTACCGCTTATAGTACTTGGTTTGCTGATTGTTCTAGATTCTGCAAAGGCGCCAAACGTGATCCGATGGAATGTTTGTCCTGGATCTCTGATACCGAGGAGACGGTCCGCTTCCTCAAGGCTCTTTTTCCCTGGCGGTGTGATCAGCGACGGGGAAAGGATGGACGTCGCACCCCGGGGGTGAAGACCAAAAGCTCGCTCGACGCATTCTGGAAGTGGTGGCATCTGATCTACAAAGCCGAGGTTGGACATGGCCTCGGTAAAGGTATCCAAGTTAAGATCCGTGATGTGAGATCCCGATTTAGTAGCGATGTCGGTATGGATTGTACACGACTGACGTTCCATAGGTGCTCGCGATAGTTGCGACAGAAAAGAAACTTTCCCTCAAAAAACGCCTGAAAGCGACCATGTTTGTCGAGGATGTGGCTGAGTTTGCCCGAGTGATCCTATCTACGACAGAGATGACTTTTCCTTGTGGCTGGTACCGGATACAACTCCTCCTTTTCTGCCAGCTGGCCGCTATCACCGGTAGCCGTCCAGGGGCGCTACTGAAACTTCGCTTCCGGGATCTCAAGTTGACATTAATTCGGGATCCAAACGGAGGGCGTCCTAGACTTTTCATCTACTTGAGACCGGAATTCACAAAGTCATTTCTTAGTGAAAAAGAGTCGTAAGACCATCCCCTCACTAAGCCATTCTTTCTGCTTGCCTTTCCTCCATGAGTCACATGCCTCTAAGCGCCCTTTTGCTTATCATTTTCAATCAGAAACACGTTCCCGATTCCGGAAATTATCTTTGATCCCAGGTTGGTCCTCAGTCCTCATGTTTTCCTGCTGGGGATGCTGTTTAGAATCGGCGCATTTAAAAGTGTGTCCAAAGACGGCCCTGTGATGGACTGTCCCGAGAAATTGTATAGCCTTTGGGTCCTAAATGGCCTTGGCGAGCAGGAACTGAAGCTGAAAGACGAGATTCTCGATCAGTCTGTTTTTTTGCCAAGCATTGCGAGAGCCTAACGGGGTTCGAATCGCACTAGAGAAGGGACTCACCAAGGGTTGGGTGAGTTACCGAATGAAACGAGGCGGTGAGATCACGGGCTTTGCAGAAGTCGCGAAGCCGTATTGCCTCCGTTATGGTGCAGCAAAGGCATTCAACGATAGTCGTGAGTAATACCATGTATCACTGTATCTGTTGGCTAATACAATCCTTTCAACCAGCGGATGTATCGAATGAATTGCAGAACGTCATGCTGCAGCATGCAAGCATTAATACTTTTGTTCGGCACTACAGCGTGGGCATTCATGTGGACGCTCAGGCAATTGTACGAGGCCTGCCTGCTCAGAAGCAGCTCATGCGGTTTGCCTGCTCGATGAGTCGGTCCATTGACCCTCGCAGACCTTACCGGCTAGAGGATACGAGCTGTATCAATGATATTCCCCGTGTGCGCGCTCTGGAAGAGAAGAAACAGGCGCGAAAGCGCACTCGAGATGCGAAGAAGCGGACCTACGAAAATGCGCAGGCTGCATTTCAACAGTATTTCGGTGATGCTCCCCAAAGAAGAGTTCTGTCAATATCCGAACGTTTCATAAACAGCGGGAGACTCAAAAGAAACATATGGAGAAGTTATGTCAGAAATACGATCGTGCAGAAGATCGGTTTGATCACACAGTGAAAGATTTAAGAAATGAGAAGAGACGGCAAAAGCACCGCTTAATTTGTGAAAATTTGGCGCGGTATAAAAACGAGCAGCCAGTGATTGACAGCGAACGGCAACTTGCCGGAAAAGTTGTTGACGAAGAAGTCATAGGTGCGTTGCAGCGTACCGGCTATATGGCAACCCAGCATATGACGCTGATCGACGCTGTCTTGACAATGCCCGGCACAACGGTTGAGAAAGAATATAAGCGTCGAATTGCTGCAATAAATGCCGTCGTTGCCGTCTGTTACGCAGAAGAGGGTGCACCCTCGCGGCCCCGTGTGACACCAAAGCGCTCCGCCGATACTGTCGATATGCCGCCAGGTGCTCCCGTGCCCAAAAAGCAGAAGACAGTTGCTTCAGATGCAGAAGATGATGCTTTTTCTCGCGCCATCGCTTCAGTTTGCGTCAAATCTCCGAAAGAGAGACCGACAATTTGCTTTATCTGCCTTGGAAATCCAATGTTGCCAGAAAGTGGACGACTGCGGAAGTTCAAGAACTCTGGCTCTCTCAGCCGACACTTTGTGAACAAACATATCAACCCACATTCGAACGATATGCAATGTGAGTGCACTATTTGTGGAAAAAAATTAGAGTCTAAATCAGCACTACTGAACCATGCGCAAAGCGTGCATGGAACTGTTTCTTGCTTACCTCTACCAGTTCTTGGTCTGCCCTTGCCATGAATACCAAGCTTATATTGCTTTTCAATCATTACTAGCTTGGGCTTAAAGGCTATGTCCGCGATATAATTCTTCTGTGTTGAGAGTTGATAGCTTTTATCTTACATTTATCTACTCGCTTGATACTCCCATCTATAATTTCCAAAGAAACAATTCCCCTTGGTAGAGCAGCTCTTCAAGGAAGTTGCTGCCGCTTGATTCTCAGACGGTATCAAAATTGAGACCGAGGATTGTTTAAACTCTGCAAGCTATCTTCTGTCTGCCTGATTTTGCCCGGCTGAAGTTGATGTCGCAAATGGGTAGTAGGTCCTATTTAATACACCTATTAACCTCTTGGCATCCTACGGTAGTACCTCTATTTACGCTGATTTTTCGAATCTATGATCATTTTCTGTCTACGAGTGAAGTGATAGGGAACCTCAAATTCTTTTATACACCCTGCCTATAATCACTTTCTTTTTAATTACAGCATTTTGGTTCAATCCATCGTATATACCTGTGAAGAGCTGAGACTACTTTGATTCAAAATAGTGAGGCCAATTGCAATTCGATAGAGGAAACTAGCTAAGGGGTGAGAAGGGGATGGGTCACGTGTTGAACGTGATTATAAGACAGCCCTGGCCCGTTAAACCCTCCTGAAGATACCTCGACGGAGAGTCTGGAAGTGCACACTGAGCGAAGACTGGCGTCGCCTCGGGATGATAACCTACACATATTGCGGCAGCGCCGGTGCCACATATTGCCTGTCCGTTTGAACATGTGCAGGTACCCGACACGCACGTCTGCTCATCCGTACACTACGTGGCAATGTTCAAATTAGCAAAGGTAGACAATGGTAGACAGATCGCGGTCGATAGGAGTATTAGGCTTACTTGATTTCCACATTACAAACAACTGTTGTTTGAGCCGCTTATACATCTGCAGGTGCTCGACACGCAAGTCAGGAGACCCGTACACTACGTGGCAATGTGCAAATTAGTAAGGGTAGACGGTGGTAGACAGATCGCGGTCGATAGGAGTATTAGGCTTACTTGATTTCCACATTGCCCACAGTTGTCAGAATTTGTAGAAGTATCTACGCATATGGCGGCAGCGTCGGTGCCACATAGTGACTGGCCGCTTGGACATGTGCAGGTGCCCGACACGCAAGTCTGTACATCCGTACACTACGTGGCAATGTGCAAATTAGCAAAGGTAGACAATGGTAGACAGATCGCGGTCGATAGGGGTATTAGGCTCACTTTACTTCCACATTTCCCACAGTTGTCTGGATCTGTAGAAGAATCCACGCATTTACCATTGCAAAGCTGTTCCGAGGCGACCGTCTTCAAAGGGCCGCATTGATAACAGGGGCCTCCTTTAAGGACGGCACTGATCTCACAATTTAAGGGAAGTTTATTTTCGAGGCACCATTCCGTACACTTCAAGATACTAGAGTCCTCGGTCGGCAGGTTGGCAGAAACGGCGGTGATGATACCTAACATCGACCAAGTAAGTATAGGTTGTAGAGAGCTATTAGTAGTAGTGTTTATGTACCGCAGAGAAGGATCATAAAAGTGGAAAACTTAGACATGTTTGTTGGTTGCTAATGATCTACTTATTTAGGGTAGAACACTTGTAGGTCAGGTAAGGTACGAGAGCTTGATATGGACGATTGGGCCGTAAGTAGATCAGAATGATACACGAACTGATTCTTGAAAAATCAAGTATTGTCTGGCTTTCTTGTACCCGAAACCCGTAGTGTACGTGCTATCCTTTTAGCCCCAGCATTTTTGTTGCACCAGGGTCGGGTGGCCTAGCTGCAAGGATTCGGTATGTGGCCTAGCTGTAAGGATTCGGTTCAGAGTGGGAATGTCATCCTCTGTAACGTCGTCTGATTGTACCTCTCTGTCTGGTATATTGATTGAAACACGCAGCTTCATGGAGAGACCTTTACCTGGCGGCGTTGGATCTGGTTCAACATGCTCGATGAAGTATCGGATGTGAAGAATGGCTGGGAAGGATTCATTTGATGGCATTATGGAATCTCGTGCTCCCCTGATTTAAACTTTTCGGACGAGTTTTGGTATGCTGAGAGCAGCAGAAAGGTGGTAAACGTAGGTTACCCCAAGCATTCCGAGGGAGTAGAGCGCAAAACAGTGGGCATACTCTAGTTTTGGCTGGAACGCGGGGACGAGGATTTTTAGCCGAGCCATATCATGCTGCATGATTACACATATAGATACGAAAGTAGTTTCAGCGATATTCGAAATCAGATATACCAAGATCCTCATACGGATTAGTTCCCGAACCCTAGCCTGAAACACCCTAATCCAAATATAGTCTAGTCGTAGTTGATGACGGTCGTGGCTCAGGGGGAGTCGGAGACCGGCATGGCAAAGACCTGGAATCGGGGATCACTAGGAAGAGCAGAAGAAGAAGCGGAGAGAGATGATGATGGTATTCCTAGATTCCCAGAAGGGAAAGGTCTATCTACAACGGCGGTGGGCGCTGACACCTCAGGCACCCACTCACCTTCATCACACCCCCCTCAGCGCGCACCGCGCCGGGGTAGGGGTCAAAAAACAGGGTAGAAAAGCAGAGGGCAATTTGGAGTACACAACGGATAGAAACTGGGGCATAAAACGACAGGGAATTGTGGCCAATCAGGTGGCGTCAGTCAGAATACTTTTGAGGCTATTCACAAGCCTAAGTTGGTGATCTCTGAATCGTAGAAATGCGTCTGTGGTCAGGGGCTTCGTCAGTCCATCGGCCGTATTGTTGGCGCTGGGGATGAGGACGAATTTGATGTGTCCCTCTTCCACTGTCTCTTTGACAAAGTGATATTTCGTTGCCATCCACCGTGTAGAGGGCGAATATCCTTTCTTCTGAATCAGGGTGAGGGCGTTATCACTGTCTGTGTAGATGATGATTGGTTGGTCATGATTCCGGAGTCCAAAAAATGCGGTGAGCTTCTTGAGGAATAGAGCTTCTTTGACCGCAGAGTCCATGGCGTAATATTCTGCAACCGTGGATGACGGGGCAACGGTAGGCTGGCGATGTGAGGCCCATGATATGGGTGCTCCGGCTATGAAGAAAACGTATGATTCTGTCGACTTACTGTCCTCTGTGTCAGCGAATGATGCATCGACAAAACCCTGGAGTTCCATAGTAGGTTCAGTTCCAAAGGCAATGCCTAAATCAGGCGTTCCATGGAGGTATTTGATTAGTCGTTTAACAGCATGATAATCGACTTCTCTAGGGGCGGACGTCTGTCTCTGTAGTTTGTTGACGGCGAATGCAATATCTGGGCGCGTCTTGAGGGACAGCCATTGCAATCTTCCAACGTCTGTTGCGTACCCAAGCTTCCCACCACTTGCATATCCATCGTGATCAGGGGGAGGGTTAGGAGCGGGATCGAGAGGATTGGGAGTGGGATCAAGAGTATCAGACGTCGGAGGGGATTTGTAGTTATTGATCATTGGAGTAGGAACGGGGGAGGCATTTGTCATGGCGGTGCTTTCGATGAGGTCAACGATGTAGGGTTTCTGTGTGACGATGATGGCCTTGTTAGTTCTTGTTACCGAGCAGCCCAAGAAACGGTTGAAATCCAGCTCTTTCAGCTTGAAAGATAGGCTGTTGAAGAATTCATGAATGATTTCCTCCGTGTGTGCTGTAGCGAGGGTATCGTCAACGTAGATCAATAGGAGCATGTAGGAACCATCGTCAAGTTGCTTTCGGAAAACGCAGACGTCGTCGTCGCACGTCACGAAACCATGATTTTTCAATTCGTTGGTGAAGGTGGAATGCCAAAGCATTGCGGATTGCCGTAGTCCGTACAGAGCTTGGAGCAGTTGGCAGACTAGGACTTCTCCATTGATTCCAGCCTGTTCAAATCCTTTAGGTTGGACGACGAATACAGCACGATTCCCAATCGCTGCATTTAGGTAGGCGGTTACCACATCTCGTTGGACGATCGGCCAGTTCTTGCTAGCCGCACAGGTGAAGAAAAGATTAACAGCTTGTGCTGTGGCAACGGGAGCATATTTGTCGTCGATTTCGCGACCTGGCTTTTGGAAGTTCCCACAGACTACCCAACGGGCACGAAATTCTGTGATGTAGCTATCCTGATCGACCTTCGTATCATAGACCCATTTGCCGGGTAGAATTTGGGCTTTTGGCGGCTTAGGAACCATTTCCCAGGCCTTAGCAGCTTGCAACTTGGTGACCTGGTTGGTCATAGCCTGCTTCCAAAATTCTGACTGCGGAGAGGCCATGGCTTCAGTGTGGTTTGTGGGAATGCGGATTTCAAAGGATTTCAATCGTTGGTCCATAGAAATCAAAGCGTGGCCTGGCGGTGGTGTGTCTTCAGTTAAGTCGATGGGTTCACCCCCCTGAAGCTCATGGTTGTGTTTGTTCCAATACACAGGCAGTCCGTATCTCTCTGGCATCTTTCCTTTCGTTCTTCTGCTTGATCGTCGTGGTGGAGGTGGATTCGACGGTTGGGAAGGTAGGGAAGGGTGGATGATCGTCGGTGGGATGGTGGGATGCATCACGGGTTCGTTGAGAGGGTCTTCGGACGAGACCTGTCGGGACTGATGATCTAGTAAGGGCTCATGGTCAGGAGTTGGTTCTGTAGTTTGAAAGTGGTCTGAGGCTCCTGTTTCAGTGCTTTCTCCACGTAAGGAATCTTGGAGGTTCTTCTCAAAGAGTGCCTCGCGGTGAGGGGGTCGGATAGACCCAAACGGCTTCAACAATTCAGCCTGAGAACGCGGCTGTTGTAATGGTTTCATTTGTGGAAGAGAGGTGAAATCGAACGTGTGCCTCGTCAGGCGGACTGTGGTCGGGGCAGCCGGTGGAGAGTTGTCCTCTATCGCTGTCGATTCCCTCGTCGGAGTGGCCGTACGTTCAATAGACTGGATAATGGTTGGTTGCTCAGAAAACGTAGGAGAAAGTGACGGGCCAGCTTGATATGTAGGGGAAAGTGAAGGTGCTGCCTGATCTGAAGGAGAACGTGATGTGGTAGCTTGATGTAGCTGTCGCGGTTCAATAGGAGTTCGCTGGCTCTGTAGAGGCGGTCGATGTGGTAAAGACTGGGGACGGGAGGCTTGTCGAATTGTAACCTTCTTTGGACGGGCGATAGACACTTGGGTAGATTTCTCAGCGGTTTGGGGATGCGTGGTAACTGTCGAGGTGTCTGTTCGTTGGTCCACAACAAGCGTCTCCTGAGTCTGAAAATCGGAAGGTTCTTGAGGCAATTGCGGAATGGCAGCGGGTATCGTGATCGGCTGGTTGGATATGTCTGTTGTAGGCAGATCCTCCTCCCAGAATATGACGTCGCGTCGACGGACTACCTTCTTGGTTTTAGGATCATAAATGCGGTAGATGTGGCCGTTTTCACCTTCATATCCGACGAGGTGGCCGATCCATGCCCGTGGTTCCATCTTGCGAGATTTGACGCGCTTCTCATGCGGAATGTGGACGTAGGCCTTTGAAAACCAGGTGCGTAGAAACTGGAGAGATCGTGGACCCTGTGTGCGAAGCCCAAGTCCTTTGCACCACTTTTCGGTAGGGGACTCGTCTTCCCCAGGTTGGCGGATTCGGTTAAGGATGTAGGTGCCGGCATTCACGGCTTCAGGCCATAAGAACTCTGGTGCTTTCGATTCGATCATGAGGGTGCGTCCGATTTGCATCAGGAGAAAACCAGTGTATTCAGAGACACCATTCTGGCTCTGTCCGTACGGAACGCTTGGCTCGCAACGTTGGCCGGTAGTCTGGGCCCAGGTGCGGAAGTTGTTGAATTCAGTGCCGCCGTCTAGGCGCCATTCAGCTGGCCAGTGGCCTGTAGTGGAGGCATTGTGGACCTGGGTTGTCCAGCTGATCAGGGCGTCAGAAGCCTGGTCTTTCGATTTGAGGAAGATCACAAAACGGCAGCGTGTGGCATCGTCTGTGATGACGAGCACATAGCGCATACCCTCAATTCCAATGGGAGAGCATGATTGTAGGTCAATGTGAATGAATTCGAATGGTCTGGTTGCCCTATTTTGTGGCTGGTGAGAGATGATCTGGCGGGACTTCCCAAGTCGGCATGCTTCGCAGTCGAAGTTGTCCGGGCCGTCTATCTCTTCACAGAGAAGATTCTGGTTAACCTTTCGCTTAGGCTGGCCAGCGTGTGCGAGTCGACGGTGGGCTAGCTCAGGGGTGATGGCTGATGCCATGATGGAAGCCTGGAATTCGTTGGGGGTAGAGACAGGGGTGAGATCTGTGGTTTGCATGAATGGCACACGATTCTTCCGTACCGCATACCCACATACTGTATCATTGTTGTGGAGGTCATGAAGAGTGTTTTTCCAATCGAGCCATCCAATACCATGATCTTCCATCGCGGTGGTCGTAGAGAACAGGTTGTAGAAACCATCTGGCATGTAGACGCAGTTGACAATGATTTCGTTAGTCGAACCGTCGGGTAGGGCCATGTTGATGCGGGCTTTGGCATACCCTTCAGCAGTTGCCTTCCGGCCGTCAGATGTAGACCATGTGTAGGGAATTTCATGCGGTTGGTATGGGGTGTAGTCAACGAGAGCCTCCTCATCAATGCAGATGTGGCGGGAAGCTCCGGAATCAATGATCCATTCCTTCTTCGTATGGTTCTCAATCTGTGTGGACGAATACAGACCGTCGTCGGTAGTAGCTGTCACAGCGATGGCTAGGCCAGTGATGTTGTAGTGGTAAGAGTTCTGTTCAATAGCTGAAACCACCGTCGGGTTTTCCTGGGTTTTGGAATTCGAAACAACTGGTTCCGTATTTGTCTTGGGCTGATAGTCATTGACGGACGACGTCAGTGTCGCTGGCTGGGACGTCGCTGGCTTCGGGGAATTTCTGTATGTATTCCAGAAGTTTGGAGGCATGGGGCCAGTTGGGCAGGTCTTGTTCTTCCATGGGCCGTATACCCAGACGCCTGCTGGCGACTTCCAGTTCTCAGGTCTGACTTCTGGCACAAGATGGAAACAAGACTTTGGACCATGATTCTTCCCACCACAGAACGTACAATTGCCAGTTGTGGTAGTCTGGTTAGGGCTGCCAATCCAGGATTTGGCCCATTCGTAGGGTTTGGTACCACGAGACGGAGCGTTCTTGTCGCGGGGTTGGTTCTGGGTCTGGTAGGAAGAGCTGGTCGGGGTGGCACGTACGGTGGCCATCTGAAGGTTCGAGTCGGTGTATGCAAGCGTCCGAAGAATGTCGTTGCAAAGATTGATAAAGTTGTTGATCGTGAAGGTATTGACGTCGGACACGGTGTCGTCCATGTTGGAGAGCTTGGTTTCCACGAACTGTGGGATGTCGTCCTTGATGCCCTTCAGGAGAATGTGGGCCAGGAAAAATGCAGGCATTCCCAGATTTCTCTGGGTGCACTGCGAAGCGCGAGTGCGAAGATCCTTCACGAACTGAACGGCAGATCCATAGTCAGATCGTTTGATGAACAGAGTATTGTCAATCAGCTGGCGTGCGGCACGTACACCCTGGATCTGGAATACGGCCTTCGCGTTGTGGATGAATTCGTCTGCAAATTGGATCTGGAATCCTTGTGCTTTGATGAGCTGGTACATCTCATTCGTCATGTTGATGACAAGCCAAGACTGTACGTCACGAGAGGACTTGACCCATTTCTTCGCGTTATCCTTGTCGGAAGTCTGGGGTCGTGGAACTTTGATGTCCAGAAGGTTATGCATGCCCTTCTGACGAAGGATGGAGGTGCAGGCGTCGAACCAAACGTCGAACTGCTCTGGATCGGAGAGAGGGTTCTCAAGCTTGTGGAGTTGATACGTATCAGGGACGTCTGTGATCTGAGTGATCTGGGACGTCGGCGTAGTAGTAAAGTTGGTGTAGTCGGTGCCTGCAGCGAGCAGAGCCCGAACGGTCTCAGACGGTTGTGGACGTGTAGAGTCCATGATGAAGTTTTGAAAACGACAGGACGGGATAGCCTGTTTTGAAACGATGATGGCAGTGGCCCACGATCAGACGTCGCTGGGTCTTCTCTGCTGAAACGATGGCAGTGGCCCACGATCAGATGCCAATGGGTCTTCTCTGCTTGTCGGTGACGGTGACGGTGGCCCACGCGCTCTGATGTCGCTGGGTCTGAAAAAGTTGTCTGAATGTTGATGGATCGCACAACTAGCGATATCTTGATGAAAAACGCGACCCTAAGGGCTCAAAATTTCAGGAATGATGGACGGTGAGCTTCTGAATGCTCATGAGAAGTTTGAAGCGATTTGATAAAGGTTTTGGTGGGGGAAATGAAGTCAAAGTGATGATGGACTTGCACAGGTCCTGCAGCAAGATCCCGACCCTGTCTGGTATAAAAACCAAAACAGAAGCCGGGCTCATAACCTGATGACGGTCGTGGCTCAGGGGGAGTCGGAGACCGGCATGGCAAAGACCTGGAATCGGGGATCACTAGGAAGAGCAGAAGAAGAAGCGGAGAGAGATGATGATGGTATTCCTAGATTCCCAGAAGGGAAAGGTCTATCTACAACGGCGGTGGGCGCTGACACCTCAGGCACCCACTCACCTTCATCAGTAGTCCTCCGCTTCCCAAAATAGACGTCGTATTTTACATCACCTTGGTGAGAACTTTGTATGGTGTAATTTACACGAAAGTGCTATACGCTGCCGCCTGCGTGCCACCCGCTGCTGCTATCCTCCGCCCAAGCCAACAAGCGTCCTCCCTTCTGACTCTCGAGTGCCATCCAAGCTCGAAACATGCAACATGGCTCCAAGGCTCCCCCTCTCAGAACTGTATCTCATCCGTGATATGATAGAGAGCCAGTCCCTCACCATCTCTCAAATGGCCCGAAGAAGCTGAATGCAGCAAGCTTACAATCATGAATATTTGCAGCAACAAACTTGCGGCATTTTGGAAGCGTCCCTGCACCCCCTACTTGAATAGGCCGAAGACGATCCGGAACACCGCTGATGATTGAAGCGCTCTGCGATCACCTATATGCAAAGCCCGGTCTCTACCTGGATGAGATGGCCGTCTTCCTCTGGGATGAATTCCACATCTTAATAACAACGTCTAGCACCCGAAGGGCCCAAATTGCTGAAGGATGGTCCAAAAAGACCGCTCGTCAACAATTTATGGAGCAAATGCCGGTTTGGCACTCGGTCAGATAATATGAATCGCTATTTTGACGAAAACAAGTATACATATCCATGATGTTTCTCGTACAGTCTTTATGAGTTCCATTGCTAAATGAATCCGTAAGGCCGCTACGATGTCTTGCGTGATTCGGTATCGCCAATTTGTCCTAGTTACGATAGATATATCATCATATTATTAAATCAAAAACTGCTCCGTGTCGTACACGTATCGCTCATGGTCCTCCAACTCTAACTCGTCTTGAAGGTCTGCTTCCACCACATCGTTTGTGCCAATCTCCTGGCCTCGCACATTCCAATACACCTTCCAACGACTGTTCTTCTCCAGTGAGGTTTTGTCTAGGTCGCGACTCGAGAACCATTTGAAGCGTACTTTGCGATACTGCACTGCACAGACCTGCTCGCCGACCGCCACAAATCGTCTCTGAACAGCTTCTTGGTGGAAATTTTGGGCCTCAACAGCTGGGTCGGCCACACTGCCCAATGGCATCCCAACACCGGCTGTAGCGAGCGCTTCTCCCACGGGAAGTTTTAACCAGGCGGATGTATCGGCCGAATTCGCCACACCCTCTATGATCCTTGCATCCCTCATGGTGTGATATCCCACTACGACGTAGATGTCGTCTCCCTGCTCAATAGATTCGTTAAGCCATCCATGAACAGCCTCCGACTTGACCGCTGACTTGAACCACGACCCTGAATTGCTGAGTTGATAAGTTATGACTTGGTCCGTGCTGATCTGAGTATATGCATCGTTGCGCTTTGTGCGGGAGGTCGACACCAGACTTGTCAACATGGCCGTGAAAGACTTGTCTTTAGCATTGTGCTGCACTCCTTCAAAGTGAAGGTGGGGTTTAACGATCACGGAGGTTAGGGGAACATTGCAGTCCGGATCGAGGAAGTCTTGCTGAGGCTCATCTATATTTCGAACGAATCGCCCGAGGCGTATCGACTCGGAAGACAAGAATGTGCCACAAATGAGTGTAGAGTGCATTTAATTTCACGAATTAGAATGTTGGTGCTTGCATTACGATTCAATGGCGGACTACGGGTTTTAATGGACGCGAGCCATGCACTGCCCCTACATTTGCACCCAAGCCCAGCTCGGCTGTGTCCTGATAGATTGCATAGGCGGTAGCCAAAGGCCCCATACCGGGCCATTGTTAGCAGAGGCAACGTTGCGAATTTACACTATCTCCAACCACATGATAGTACATGTACACACATCAATCTTCAGTATTGCTGCATGCCTTGTTTTCGCTTTTATCCTGAATGTATGCCATATGCCGGTTGTGTCCTTGCTCTCCTCTGTGTGTGTTCCCTGCTATGAGCGTCACTCAACTCGTCCATCCTCTGCCTTCGCCTCGGCTGCTCCTCTTTGCGCTCCCGTGTGCACGAGCCCTCGTAATGCAGTTTACCCGTTTTAGGCCCCTAACCTGCGGTTTCCCCGCTGGAACGCATGCGCCAGCCAGAATAGAGTTTCAGGTGGCTTACTTGACAGAGTGTGTCGTCAGTTCATTACTTATCATACCTTCGTAGGCTGAGGGTGAGTTCTCCCCGCTGGCTCCAAAGATCAAACCGGAAGCGACGCCGAAATCGATCACTCTAGTCGCGATTTGGAATGACAATCAGTGAAAAATGCATTGGAGTGTGTGTGGCTTGGAGATCGGCGCGAATGATGTCGACGTGGCAGGCTCGTAGCGCTGGACGCCCCTGCTGCGGGTGGAGCTACTCTGTCATCCACGCGAGAAAAGGACAGGGACCGACTAGCTCATAATCCACCTGACGGTCGCATACCAAATAGATGTCCGGAAACACAGAGACCATTCCTTCCTCATATTGCAAGATCCGGGACAGACAGCGGCCACGCAACATCTTGAAACAAGATGCCGAACTCACGTAGCCCGGTGGGTCTCCAACCATGCGCTACTCGAGCGCAGATAGTGAAGATACCGCCAGTGCCCGCTCCTTCAGCCTCAGACAGTTGGACTGCGCTATATCTGGTCTCGCCTCCGCTTCCAGCCCACGTCTCCGTCGTCCAGTTTGGTATTATCAGCCATGATCAAAGATGGTGCTCCAATCCGCAGGACGGAGTCTGGTCTTGGTTTGAGATGTCCATTCTGGGGTCATGGCTGGAGGATGCGAATTCAAGTTCCCACAGTCTGTCTGATGATGTGTATCTCATGTCGTGCCCAGAAGACTTTGGACAGATATTCCAGGAGCAGGGATTGTATTTTAAAAACATACCTCATGAGAGGAATGGGGATAGAGAGACAGTTCCATCGGTGATAAGCGTGCCAATTGCCAGAAACTCAATTCAACGGGCTTGGCAACATCAAACCGTCATATGGGAGCGGAATGACAACGACAGCACCAATGGTGGCTTTTTGCCCCTTCTTGAGAAGGGCGATCGGCTAGCTATCTGGGCACGTACACAGGTATGACTTCGGCGACTTCACATCCCTTTCGGCTGGCACTAATTTCTAGACAGTTCCCTGGATGGATGAACTTTGTGAAAGAAGTTCGAATCACGATATCGACCGACGTAAGTTCTTCCCATCAGTTCGGTTTTCGCGGCGCTTAAGGGTCCTGAATCTCCGTAGTAACATTGCATCATCCTGCACGGGTTATGAATTCTAACCATAAATAGGCAATACAAGCTTCTGAGCATCTGGATTGTCTTTCTTCTACAACTCTGACCGAAGATAAGCAACTACATGAGGAAAAGATTAATAGCCAAGGTAACCTTAAGCGCGCTGGCGGCGATGCCCAGACCGAGGATATTCCTGTTCTCAACAACTCATATACCAGCCAGAAGTCTCCAAAATCAGGACACCCGAGAACCTGTGAGACCCTCATTTCCACGGGTTTATTTTTGCATAAGTGTTTGGCTAATTTATGTTATAGCGGAATTTGAGAGGACAGGCAGCGTGGGAGACTTGGAAGAATCTATCCGACAAGCACAGCAGACAATCGATATCGCCCCACAAGACCATCCAATGCTAGGAGCACTATTGAACAATCTGGGCTCCGCACTTTACAGTCGGTTTAAGAGGACAGATAGGATGGAAGACTTAGAAGAATCAATCCGGCGAACACAGCAGGCCGCGGATATCATTCCACAAGACCACCCATGGCTAGGATCACTATTGAACAATCTAGGTTCCCAACTTTCGAGTCGGTTTGAGAGGACAGGCAGGATGGAAGACTTGGAAGAATCAATCCGGCGAACATAGCAGGCCGTGGATGTCATTCCCCGGGACGATCCAAACCTAGCAATTTATTTAAGCAACCTAGGAATCCGATTTTGGAGTCGGTTTGAGAGGACAGGCAGGATGGAAGACTTGGAAGAATCCATCCGACGAACAAAGCAGGCCGTGGATATCATTCCACAAGACCATCCAAAGCTAGGATTGCTATTGAACAATTTAGGTTCCCAACTTCACAGTCGGTTTGAGAGGACAGACAGGATGGAAGACTTGCAAGGAGCTATTCAACAAACACAGCAGGCCGTGGATATGACTCCATGGGATCATACGAACCTAGCAACTCATCTACATAGTCTAGGAACCCAACTTTCGAGTCGGTTTGAGAGGACAGGCAGGATGGAAGACTTGGAGGAATCAATCCGACGAACTCAGCAGGCCGTGGATATCACTCCACAGGATCATCCGAACCTAGTAATTTATCTAAATAGTCTGGGAACCCGACTTGCGAGTAGGTTTAAGAGAACCAACAGGATGGAAGACTTGGAAGAATCCATCCGACGAACACAGCAGGCTATGGATATCATTCCACAAGACCATCCAAAGCTAGGATTGCTATTGAGCAATCTAGGTTCCCAACTTCACAGTCGGTTTATGAGGACAGATAGGGTGGAAGACTTGGAAGAATCAATCCGACGAACACAGCAGACCATCGATATCACCCCACAAGACCACCCATGGCTAGGATCACTATTGAACAATCTAGGATCCTTTCTTCATAGTCGGTTTAAGAGGACAGACAGGATGGAAGACTTGGAAGAATCAATCCGGCGAACCCAGCAGGCTGTGGATGTCACCCCACAAGACCATCCAAGCTACGCAATGTATCTTAACAATCTAGGAGTCCAACTTTCGAGTCGGTTTGAGAGGACAGAAAAGATGGCAGACTTGGAGGAATCAATCCGACGAACGCAACAGTCAGTGGATTTCGCACCAAAAGACCATCCTTCGCTGGCAGAATGGTTGTACAATCTGGGAAATCATCTTTCTTGGTCGGCTCGACCACACGATCAGGATCAGGCCTTACGGCGTTTCCAACAATCCTGGAACTGCCACACCGGTTTACCTTTCCGTCGACTTGGTTCAGCCAGCCGAGCGGTTCGATTATTGAGACAGCGAAGTGACTGGTCCGAAGCCTTAAACATTGCAAAGCAAGCAATAAATCTTATTCCCGTAATGAATAATCGCTCCTTGAGCCGTGGTGACCAGCACTTTGTGGCAGCGAAATTCTCTGGTCTCGCTGTAGATGCCTGCTGTCTTTCGCTCCTGTCCAATGGTGACGCTTTTGAAGCTCTCCAGTTGTTGGAACTTGCTCGTGGAGTTATTATGGGCCTGCTTATCGACGATCGCAGCGACATTTCAGCACTGAAACAGTCACACCCGGAGATGGCGGCTACCTATGACCGACTCCGCAACGAAGTGAACACGCCAATGCATGAAGCCGAAGATGTGAGCGTGCGGCGAGACAGGGTCCAAAGACGCCTAGCGGCGGTCAAGGAATTGGACGAATGCATTGCTAGCGTCCGACAGCTGCATGGATGTGAACGGTTTCTGCTCGGGCCGACGTTGGACGAGCTGAAGACACAGGCCGCAGAAGGACCGATTGTCGTAGTTAATGTGTCAGATATCCGCAGTGATGCTATCATTGTCAGCGACTCGGCTGTGAAGTCGATCAGATTGCCTCACTTAACAGCGGAAGATACGGCAAAATGGATGAATCAGAAATTGACAACATACCGTAATCCACAGGAAAAGGGCAAAAAAAATAAACAACATCTGGAATTCTTGCGATGGCTGTGGTCGAGCTGTGTGGAAGTGATTTTGCAGGACATTTACACTGGAAAGAGGCCTAATCCTGGCAATCTTCCCCGTGTTTGGTGGATTGGCGCTGGGATTGCTTCCTATTTGCCTTTCCACGCCGCTGGTATTCACACGCTCGGATCATCAGACAATACTCTTTGCTGGGCCATCTCCTCTTACGCCCCAACAATCAAAGCTCTCACCTATGCGAGGGAAGGGGGAACAACGGCAACAGCCAGGTTAGACCCACCGAAACTCTTGGTAGTGACGATGCCCCGGACCCCGGGTGAAAGAGATCTTCCTGGGGTAGAAAACGAGAAGGCGGCTATTGAGATGGTTGCACAATCTACGTTTTCGACAGAGACACTTAATCAGCCTGACGCCAAAATGGTGCTGGAGAGACTGATACAATGTGACATGCTTCACTTTGCCGGTCATGGAGTGTCCGACTATACTGATCCGTTCAACAGTAGCCTCTTGCTGCAGAAAGACCACGGAGCAGCGGCGACTGTGGATAACCTCAGTGTACGAGAGGTGTTCGACCTCCATCTGCAAGGAGCGAGAATAGCGTACCTGTCAGCCTGTTCGACGGCCGAGACCCGGGCTAGACGGCTGGAAGACGAGGGGTTTCACCTAGCCAGTGGATTTCAGATGGCGGGATTCAGTCACGTAATTGCATCCATGTGGCCGACGGATGATGATGCCTGTGCGGAGATGGCAACGGGATTCTACGGGCAATTGAAGGACAAGATTGAAAGAGGGATCGAGAACAGAGATGTGGCGGTCACAGCACACCAGTCAATAATGGAGATGCGGTCAAAGCGGCTGCGATTCCCTCTCCTGTGGGCGCCGTATATACACCTGGGAGCATGATGCCTGGCCGCAGCAGTTGGGATTGTTGTTTTGTCACGGACACACACGACGGCAGACCTACATAGCTTATCTGGGTCTCCCCTGGACGCGAAAAAGCGCCTTTCTTTGCGTCCTTGTGCTACGTCTTGTACCTAGAGCCGTGTCGACTATAGCTGTTCTTAATATTGACCATTCACCTCGAAGACGCTATCTGCCTCTATGTATGCGTGAGACTCTCACATCTTTCCCTTGGCCAAATAGGAAGGTTTCATCTTCTTTGAGGGTCCGATTAGTTCCTAGAAAGATTGATTGAATTTTAATGTTTCGTAATGCGTTGGCCATTCTTTTGTTATACAATCACCTAAATTCTAATGATTCTCTGGAGCGATACGGTATTATAACAATGACTCATTAATCACTATCAGGCAATACGATACATTTCAGCAGGGATTACTTTTGCGAGTATAGCCTTTCAGTTGTTGATATCCCTCATATCGATAATAGTACAGTCCGTAATGCGGCGAAGGAGCGTCCACTTCATCTGAAGGCATCGTAGCTTCTTCAGGTATACAGCCCCCCTTGTCACCGCACCATGGGTCACCGAGTGATGATAATTAGTATTGGTGACTGCGCTAGGTCTACCGGCCGAATTCGTAGGATAAATACTATCGGAAACCCCGCATTCGCCGTTCAAGAATTCGTCGCATAAAGTACCCTGGCGTGGCTGTATGCAGATGTCAAGAGACCAGTGTTTCAGAGCCAGCGGTCATACCTAATAATCTATCATCATAGCATAGCTAAGCGGCCTACGAGGCACAGGTGCCCCCCCTCCACCTTGGTAGCCCATTATTCAAAGTCTATTCAACCATCTGAGGGGGTCATAAAACAGTTGGTGGAAAGTTACGTCCAGTTTTAACAATGTTTACCCAATACTAGGATCGTATGGTATGATAGCCACTGAGGCTTCGCGTGAGGCTTTCTACTGTTAGTAAGAACATTACATTATTATTGGACCGGTTGTTTATGATTTTCAATGAATGACTCCAGACGAATGTACAGTACTGTAGTTAATGTTTGCACTCAACCTACAGGAAGAAGCGGTTGCAGAGGTAGTAGCCATGGTGGTGATGTTTGATCGCTCCTCTTGTTCTGCTTCTCCTGCAAGGAACCAGGTTACAGTATTCTGGATTTTGACAATATCAATAGACATATGTACAGTGGCGACTGTTAGTGCCTTCCATGCCGGAAACAGAGAAACTGTTTCGAACCCTAATCTCATAGTCCGCTAAACTAAATACTAAATATGATATAGTGTACGTTAAATGACATCTTTTGTACCTCCTAGGTCCTAATACAAGTCTATTTTATAACTCCTGTATGAAAGATACACGAGGGTGGAACTATTGTAGAGGCCCGACTAGAAGGTTCGATGTAAGCCCAGCAAACACGGCGACCGGTCCGTATCTTCACCGCATAGAGTCTGGCGCTTTTCTGTCGAGTGTGTCTAGAATCACGTTCATATGCAAGGCTTCGATGAGATGGTTGTCTCTCTGAGACGATTTATGAGGTTTGGAACCACGTAGAACTTAATAGCACATTCCATAGGACCTAGAGCAATATAAATTCTCTTCTTCTCCCAGGCCCTTCTTCAACAAAGAGATTAGAAAATAGAAGAAAGCACAAAAATCGAAATCATTGACACCTGCTATACACGAAATCCTGTAAGAGAGATTCCCCTGATGTGTGTCCTAGGGCAAGTAAACTGCCATGAATCGCGGCACACCTAGGGCGATAACCATAAGGAAGCCATAGTATCCTGTTAGCTCACTTTCCCACAGGGATAACAACATCCTCTATCTATGGGATTATTGACCAAGGTGATGTGCTAGAGGCGCTGAGGACTAGCAGCGACGGAATGTGACTGGTAGATGATAAATGATGCACTTGGCGCTCGCTACTCCATTTCTCTCGATGAAAATCCTATCCATAGGGCATTTAACAGGAATCCTTCCGAATCGAACCGAAGAAATATCCCCCTCCTTCCCGCGCATAGATGTTCGAGCGCTGGTTGTCAAGCGTTGATAAATCAAACTAGTGAGTACGACCCACAATTAGAATTACCAGTCGTATTAGGGGAGCCACTTCCCGAAATGGCGTACTCCCTACTGTTGTTTGAAGGATCACACATGGTGTTGGCTGGAATATTCAGATAGCAGCCGCCGCCGCCTGAGAGAAAGAGATAACCAGTGCAGGTCCTAGAGTACGTTAAACAATCCACGCAGCAGGTATATGCATTTGCCACAACTACGTAACTGACCAAACTGGCGGGAACGTACGAAAAGCAGCATAGTAGGTTGCTTCGGGAGCTTCCACAGTCGCAGTATCAGTTATAGTCTATAATATTAGGTTAGCAATACATATTAAAGAGCTTTGCGATATTAACTTACCTCTGTGCTTGTCGTGAATGTTGTTAGCGTGGTGGATACTATTGCGCTTGTGTTAAATGTGAATGTTGTCGAAGCAGCGACGGGAGTACTCGTAACAGCTATTGTCTATATCTTAGCATATGTACCCGATTTCTTTTCCTTCAGCGAGGCTGCAAGTTCGTGGAATAGTGGGTGTGACAGGCCTGCCAGCCTAAGGCAGCACCTGTCCCTGCAAGAGGTATGCAAGGAGCCCAACGCAGCAAGCGAAGATCTCCGACACACTTGAGAGCCAAATGTGCTGGCTGCACAGCTCATACCCTACCAATCCCGGATTTTTAGTGACAGTAATGCCCGACTTGAACAATATATACAATTCACGGCATTTTGGATCGTGTCTGTCTCTCGCAGTTGTCTGCCTCCCTCCAAAACTTAAATACAAAACCAAAATCATCTATAACCCAGGACTATACAAATGATACGCTACCACCCAAATGCAGTCGATTCCCAAAATATATGTACAAGGAATGAATCCATCCCGTCTACTCCCGTTCACTGATCTCCGACAGCGGGAAGTAGTGCGGCTCCTCGTCCTCTCCAGTCCACCGGCGCCAGTGCCACCAGGGCATGTTGCCCGTCCGCAGTGGGGAGGGTTTCCGCTCGGCCATGCCATTCAAGGGCTCGGCAGCCTCGTCATGTAGATTTATGGAATGCTGCTGGCGCTTCCGGCAGTAGCGGATGCCATATACGGCGCCTGCCGTGACAGCTATCAGCACCAGAATCAAGGCGCCGCCGGCAAGCAGACCTGCATTAAAGGTCGGACCTAGATCAAACGTCAGTTTATGAATTCGACCAGAGAAGAAGAAAAATAACGTACGGTCTACAGACCAGTTCTCGTAATGAGTGTCCGCGGTCTGTTTCGGCAGGTTCGACGGTCGCGACCAGATCTCTGGGCTATCGGGATCGACCCAGGGCACGGTGTTGACATTCGCCGGCGGAATAGTAGAAGTAGCACCGTCATCGCCAGGGAAGCCGAAGGATTTCGCGTCCAGACAGGTCTTATCGCGACAGGACTCGCGTAGCTCCGGCGAGGGAACAAAAGTGTACTTGCGATGTGAGGTACGCAGAACGTCACCATTCCGGTCTACCGCTTCCACCTTGGTCCAGGTATAGAAGCTAGAATTGGTGTACTCAGTCTCAAACCCGGTCTTGTTCACCTCGTCTAGGAACGTGTAGGGACCTGTCATGTTTGCCGCGCCGTAGAATCGCCAGGTCTTGACGCGCGTGGCGCCGTTCCAGCTGACATAGAAGCTCGTTGGAGAGGAGGGCTCGGGGGATCGGGCATAAGACCATAGGGCGGGAGAGTCAGACGGGTCAGAATCCCACTCAAACTTTTGGGCCCGATAGTTCATGATCGTATTGCTGAATGTATACCTGGCCCACATCACCAGTTCGCCATCTTCGGTGTGTTCCGATATGAAGGGATTGTTGCCCCATCCCATCACAACATTCTCGTTCGGTAGGCGTTGTAAATTTCCCTGACTAGAGCTATGCATTTGCTTACCAGGAGGCCCGTAGTCACGGATCTGCGTGGCGGTGTTGTCGATATGATCGATAAGAATAATCATACCACTAGAAAAAGCGTGCGTCTGATTAAAGCCGTTGTCACCGTTGTTGTAGAGCGAAAGCACAGAGTGCGTCGCGTTCTCATATAGCCATCGCGCATCGTGCTGCTGCGAAAAGCTGAAGTTGATATTCTTAAAGGATGGGTCAGCACCATGAAGCCGCCAAATTACGCTGCCGTCCTTGCCGGAAATCTTGTAGATAGCGCAGGTGTGGCGCGAGGAAATCAAGTAGTCCCCGTCGGCGTTCTTGTCAATGGAGTTGATATGGAAATAATCCCACGGCTCGGTGACCTTCAACCCAGTACCAGAAGTATCGGTATGCGCTGGGAACGTATAGCTCATCGAAGGGTCGACGTGGTCGAGCGAGTGCCATTCAAACACTACTTCGCTAGTCTCCACGTCGACTTCCTGGAACACGCTCTCCATCACCCAACCCACGCCGGTCTTGATGTTCCAGGGGGTCATGTCGAACTGGCGCTGCTGGTAGACAGTCATCAAGGCCGTCTTACCGTCGTTGACGGGCCGGAACTCGTGCATATCACTCGATGCCATTCCGCCACCGGGTTGCACTGACCGCACGATGCGGTAGCGGTTGTCTAGAATGACACCATGACCGCGAGCGTAGCCCTTTTGCTGATTGCCCTGGAAGAAACACAAGTGATCTGCGCCCTTGTACTTGCAGACATGCATGCCATGGGCAACACCTCCCCCTGAATTGCCCCAGCCGCACCATATGAGATGCTGCTTTTCGTCAGTTTTCTTTTCTTTTCCTTTTTGGTCCTGTGCATCGCGGGCGTATGTGAAGCAGACGTACCCCTTCATTATCAAAAATATACGGACCCGGGCTCCTCGCCTCCCAGTAGGGTGTGATGAAATAGTATCCGGGGCTCAGCTTTTTGGCATTGCTGCGTTCGATTTTCAAGTTGAGAGGGTAGAGATCGGGTCTCTGTGCGAGGAGTGGTGAGGGTCAAAAAAAAAATGAAGCCATACAATCGCGATAGACTATGTACTCACCGACTTGTAAAAGGCGGTCTCCTCAGCATGGGCGCCGGAGATCGCGCAGAGCCAGAGCAGCACACCCAGCAGGACGAGTCCGGGGGTGGACTGCCTCGTGGAGGAAAAGACTGACGCGATCATGGATCCTCCTTTACACGTCTCACACGTTGTCGCGGAGAGAATGTGATGATATGTGCGGGACGGGGGGTTGAAGGGGAGCCGCGAGTACGGGACGCGAGTACGAAAGTGTTGAAGGACACCCCTCGATTATTCCTGGCCAATAACAATCACTGGGCAAGGCTTTCGACGATCTCCTCGGCGTGGCCGGCCCAGATATATTATTATCGTTATGTAGTAGCAGGTACGAGTAGGATCTTCGCTACATACGGTAATCTGCTGGGGCCAAGAGGACAGAGGACAGATTGCACCATACAAGGTTGACTACGATGATAATATGATCATAGCTATCTAGGACATATTTGATCATGATGGTTATATTTAGTGCGCGACACGTTCAAGATGCAAGGCTCCCAAGGCTAGCCCCCATGGCGCTAACCACTTTTCCCGGGTTGATTACATATTATGGCTTTCCTCTTTCGATAGTTTACTTACTACCCACTAAGTTACTGCTAGTCTTTCACCTTCCAGTTGTTAGTTAGATAGCACCATCAATTCTTTCTCTCAACGTGAGATTTTCTCGTCACTTCCACAGGCGATCCCGCCGGTTCTTCGTCATTTAAGCTTTCCTTTGTGCGCAGCCACGCAGCGTCGTCACGAAGGCAAAAAAAGAGGAGCTAGACCTCATCTGAATACGAGGCGGGGGGATGTTTTACGAGTAATGCGAGCCCTGTCTACTACCCGCTTCTGCAAGGCTGAATTGTAGCCCGAAATTACTAGTTTTCCAGCCTCGAAATGTAATTAGGCCTCCCGTAAATCACGCTGGGTTACGGACTGAGTCAGTAGTCAAGATGTGACCTGGACCCAGTTTCAAACTTTCCCGATCATGACGTGAGTGGCCACATTCACAGCGGATTGGACTAAGCACTGTAACTCTGGGGTTTATTTATTATTAGACCTGAGTGCGAGGGTGTATTGGATGTCTCGCGGGATCTGAGACCCATCGGGGTGGGGTTCATCGACAATAAACCCTAACTACTACTTCAGCGATGATTTAAAGTCATCCTCCCTAGGAATAATATTCCAGACGGTCAGAATTAACCTCATCATACACATTGTCATGCTCCAACCCAGGTTTCCATTGATCTCATCCCGGTCATCCAGGCACTCCGGAAAGACATGGGTTTCCATCTTGATCACATTAACTCTCCTGATTCTCTTCGTGCGGCTTGACTTTTCTTATGCACCAGGGCAAAGAGTGGTGGCACAACCTTCTAAGCAAATCCCTATCTATGTTCCTCCGTTTAAGCGGAAAGATGATGTCGGTCTCGTCGTTTCCAAAGCGGGCGACGAAGACATCAATTGGGTTCTAGATTTTTGTGAAAGATTGTAGGTATGATCAAAGACTAATCAAACATGCAGTCGCTGACTTTAATATCACCTATTAGCAAATGCACCCCGTACATTTACTCACTAGCTGATGTGCCCGAAGACGGCTACCTTGCTCCATATACGAACATGGGCCACGAAGCCAGCGCTTATCTCAGCTATCTTGTCGACCATTATGACAGTCTTCACCCATACACCATCTTCATCCATGGCAAGGAGGAACACTGGCACAATGACGTTGCTGGGCCAAAAACCATGAATCAGATCCCAAATCTACGCTTCGAAGCGATCGACGCCAAAGGATTTGTGAATTTGCGTTGCTTGTCCATTCCGGGATGTCCGAACAGCCTGTATCCCTCCATTATTCAACAAACCGACATTGACTACCAATACCTCACCGACAATTTCCCAGAAATTTATTCCGAGCTTTTCGGAGTTGACCCAGATACAGCTCCCTCTCAACTTGGGCATAAATGCTGTGGCCAATTCGCGGTGACCAGAGAGAGAATTCAAGAGAGGCCATGGAAAGATTACAATCGAATCCTGCAATGGGTTGTCAAGGCTGAGTGGTCTGATAGTTATGGGATTGGATGGTTAATGGAGAAACTGTGGCATGTTATTTTTGGCATGCCTCCAATCGAGTACGCCCATTCCCTCTTCCAAAGTGAAGCTTGTTAAGCTAATGCTTTGACCACTTTTGTAGCTGTGCTCCAGTTAATCAATGTCGCTGCGATCTTTACGGTTGGTGTGGCCCAAGCCCAGAAACCAATGGTGAGGTCTTCAAACCAATAGGTATTTGACCAAATCGGACAAATACCCAAGCACTTTGAAATATGTATTGCCGCCTTTTGCAACTGCCGCTGAGGGATCTAATAATAGATTGGGTATATCAGGATTTTGTGCTGAGATGTCCTTTTGTCGATACAATTCTTTGTGCGTCTGTACCATCTGCAATGGGCTGTAGCGGGCGTCGGACGGTTTTATACATCTGTTAGCGATATTTCAATAGAGGAGTTATCAATTGAATCCTGTCAGGGGTTTTCCTGATCAAGCGCTCTTTATGCCTCCGTCAGGATTGTGGTTCGACAGTGTGTGAGTCAACTACATATCTTAGCGAAGGACATGGCCTCGTCATCATGAACCTTTTTCTCCAAAGAAAGAACCATATGAGCTAGACATGACCATAATATCGTATCGCTACCCTATCATCTGCACTATACAGATAGTCTATCCCAACTAGAATCTTTTACCCAGACCTTTCTTGATTGGGCGGGTAAATGCCTTGCCCACCCCCAGATAGTCCTTCTACTGCGGGAGATCATTTAGACATCTAGTACACCCTTCTGCTCATTTAATGTCTCCGTGGTATCCTTCCATTTTGGGTTGTCGCCGTTTTCGACGTTCCCTCAGCCCTGCTCGGCCGATCAGCTACTCTAGTGGTGCGTCGCGGTTGGTTGTTGCGCCGCTTCTAAACGTTCACCTTGGACCATGCGACGATGCCAAGAAGCCTATTTCCACCAAACAATTAACCAAGTGATAGAATAACCAGGAGATTCGCCCCATCTGTTTCGACAACAATTCTCGCTCTTGAGGAATGCCACCGCCCCCAATTCAAGTTACAGATTAGCAAAGCCCCTGGCGACTGAGAAGCGAGAAAACGAATCGACCCCCATATCTCCTCTGCTTCTACTCGTTGGACCAGCGACCAGCTTGCTGGAAAAGCCCTACCGTAACAACCTCACTACAGTAGACACCACACCGTTCGTGCATAAAGTGGTGGGTCTGTTGGCCCGTGCTGTTTCGGGACAACCCGAATCCTAACTCGGCGTACCCCGAGTGTGGATCTCGGTATTTGAAGGACTCGTCGGAGAGAATCATGAACCATACTTCCTCGTTGAAAAGCTGTTATTATTATCATTTGCTCGATCTATGATCCTATAAGGTCTCGTGTCTATCTGAACTAGAAATGAGTGTGTCCCACGACCGACATAGGCGGGGTGCCACTCATGCCACGGTCCCGAACGAGAAGAATAAGCATATCCTAGTGAGTTGACAGGAGTTGTTGGTATGCTAGTGATCGAAGCTAACTCTAACTCCACGCAGATTGGAATGCGAGATGGCGTTACAGGAGAATTCAAGCTGGTCCCCAAAGCTGAGGCTGTTGTCTCTGTCTTTGACTCGAATTTCTTGATAGGCGATGGTATCTGGGTAAGAAAGAGGACTAAGCTCGGAGTGACATGATGGTGTGCTAACAAAGAGATCAAAGGAGGGAATCCGCGCGAAGAACGGCCGGGTTCAATTTGCAAAAGACCATATTGATCGGCTTTTTCAGTCTGCCAAAGCGATGCTCATGGACCTTGGTCTGTCGAAAGGGCAGCTCCTAGGGTTGATCCACCAGACTCTAGACGCGAACGACATGTCCAACGAGCCGCACGTTCATATCCGCCTCGTGGTCAGCCGGGGACTGAAATCAACCCCATACCAGAATCCATCCGTTAATATTGGCCTTCCGCTCATTGTGCTCATCCCTGAGATCAAGCCTACCGATCCGGCTGTCAAAGAACGAGGACTGAGGTTGATTACCTCGCATATCCGACGTGGTCCTCCAGACGTGAAGGACGAGATGTGGAACCACATCTCTAAAGCGACGGATGTCCAGGCATGCATTGGGGCTAATGTCACCGGAGCGGACGAATCGTTGATGCTGGACCTTAACGGCTTTGTCAAGACGTGCAACTCAACGAATTTTTTCATCGTCCGTAACGGCGAGGTGTGGGCTCCCACTAAGAATAACCAGATGCAAGGAATTACGCGCCAGAAATCGATCGATGTCTGTCGTGCGCACGGGATCCCGGTGCGAGAACTGGACTTTACTTTGACGGAGGTTTACGGTGCCGACGAGGCGTTCTGCACCGGGACATTTCCCTCCCAGATCCATGTTACCGAAGTTGATGGGCGACAAATCGGCGATGGCGTTCGGGGCGCCATAACGGAACGAATCCAGCAGTTATATGTGGATCTGGCACGCCGTGACACCGAGCGTACTCGGGCAGAGATCTTAGATGAAGTGACAGGGCCTCGAAAGTCCAAGCTATAGATACAAAATAGGGAATGAGAATGGTGGTCCCGTAATACTACTCTGGAGTCATAATCACTAGTCGTAGTTATTTACTCGGATCATGTCAGCTTCCACGTGATGCTGGCTGCAACGTACGTATTCCTCTTCCCCAGTATTTAGTCCCTCCCTCCCTCACTCACGCGTCCTTTGCTCGTTCTCTTCTCTCTTTCCCCCGACTGGTCGCCCATTCTCAAGCCATGAAGCTACCCGCCGTTGCCTTTCTTCTCTCCTCTCTCGCCACATCTACACTCGCCGCCTCCGACTCCTCCCGTCTAAACGAGAACACCCCGTGTGTGGCTCGCTCGCCCTCCAGCGGCTTATACTTCGACCTGAGAGCAATTAGTCTATTTCCACCGGAGCTGAAGAATGGTGAAAGGATTGACCAGGATGCGCGCAACGAGAGCTGGTATTGCAAGGGCCACGACTATGCGGCCAATTTCTCGATCAACGTCTGCGAGCCGGTCATTGAGGAGCTGACGGAAGTGGTCGGGGTGGATCCGTCACGGTGGAAGAATATCAGCGCATATTATGAGCAAGATGGCGAAATATATTCATTGGGGTATGGTGGTGTCCCTACCTGATGGTCGGTAAAGGATGATGCTGACGGTGATGACAGAGAATCAGCCTCGGACCCCTTTTTCCGTGGCCGCAAGCTTGTCTTGAACTATACGAATGGCTCTCCATGTCCCAGTGACTACGACGCGACTGCCTCCAATTCTTCATTGCGAAGAAAATCGGCCATCATGTCTTTCCTCTGCGACCGCGATGCGGTGCCCAACCAGGCTACTCCGTCCTTCGTCGGCACAATGGACTCATGCTCCTACTTTTTCGAGATTCGGAGCTCTGCGGCGTGTGGTGGAATTGCCTTGAATCCTAGCACAGGGGGGCTGGGCCCCGCTGGCGTCTTTGGCGTGATGTGAGCACTCCTTCCATCGGAACACTGACAACGGTGACTAATTTATTGTACTCTCTAGCATATTGATCGCGGTGGCGGCATACTTGATTGGAGGCTGCGCATACCAGCGAACCGTTATGCACCAGCGCGGCTGGCGCCAATGTCCGAATTTTAGCCTATGGGCGGGCATTCTCGATTTCGTAAAGGTATGTCCCCTAGCGCTGGTGCCGTTTCGATCATCGCGCCCAAGACCCAGATACGGGAATATTTCATCGCATAAGTATCGGGATTCGAATCTGCCGAGCCTCCCGACTTCGAGGATTGATTAAGTGTACTCCAGCTGGCCTGGGGCACCATCACATCCACGTTTCCCCTTATTATATTTGTTATTCCCTGCACTTTTGCATGATCGCCCGCGTTGACCGCGGCATGTACATTTGCCATGACTCCGGAGCAAGGTGCAATACTAAACGGGCTGTCTACGTGTCTATGTGTCAATGGAACTCGCCCAGCTACTCTGCCTGGGGTCTCTGAAACATTGGACAGTTTACGTAGATAGTCAAGTCACTGCTCCCGCTAGTCTATGCAACCCTGTGCTCAATCATCTTTTATCTCTTTTTTTTCTGGGCATTCTGGGCATGTCACCAAGAGAATATTCGGCTAATAGCCTATCCCTACAGGACATCGTCGTCATCATCTTCTCCTCTCTTGCCAACCTGCTCCACATCAGTCGCTCTCCATCAAGAAGTGGCTATGTCCGCGCCGACACGGGCACCCGGGGCGGCTTCATCGGGGCCATCGGGGGCCGTGGAGGACCTGGCCATCGCTCTGAAGTAGATGCTGAGAATCGGCTAATAGACCAGCTGGACGAAGAATGGGATGATTAGCAATTTTATAATGGCCGGTTTCTGTTTGTTGCACTGTGGGCTAGTCTTTGGTATCTCGATCTGTCGCTTGCTTCCACTCAACGAATGGGTCATACCTACTACTGTATATTAAAAACCCCCTATGTGTGCTTTTAACAGAGTAAGAGCCGTATATAATTCATTTAGATGCATAATATGAACTAGCCTGGCAAGTGCATAACAACAGATATAAAGCCACGTAATCGTACCTTAAAAACTAGACACCCTTGATCAACATTTCAAGTTGATGATACCAGCGGTGGGGACCTGTCATCAAAGTAGAAGCGGGAAGAATTAATATTATTATTATAAGGTGCATATTTATATTATGACAATTATGGGATTCCAACAACCGTAGGCCTTTGCTGTCCCTCAGTAGGTAGAATATTCGACTAGCTCGAAAGGTTGTCAACTTGCCTACCGCATCCCTCGTGGTTTCTTTTCAAATTTTTATTTTTATTTTTTTTTTCCATTTCTACATTGCTCAAGCCATAGCACTATGCCTCTAGTTTGATGCCGAATAATAGTGGTACTCCAGGAAAACAAAAGGTACATCCAGATTACATGCTAACGCACAGCCAGGGTCAACCATCAGTCCCAACACTTTTGCGAAAGCCCTGGATGTGACTTGGTGGTTATAAGCGATTTCGTGGATGTGTTAGACCCGAATGCCAAGGTCTAAATGACGGCAGTGATAATGAGGCTTTATCCGAGGATCAAATGGACGAGTTGAACCAAACACTGAGCAACCTCACTCCTATCTTTGAAGAAGGTAGAGAAAACTGAGGACGGAGAATGACGAGGGCTAGAAGCGAAGAAACTATCAAATGGAAGAGAGATAGTTGACGATGCTATCTTACTGGAGGGAAACGAACTAACTAAACGGGACAATCTATGACAGGCCAATGAATAGACCTAGACATAATCCAAGACCGGCAACAATACCGCCCATTTCGGACGTCCGTCTACACTCCAGCTACAGTCATTCATCATCTATCCGAGACAGGGTGGTGAGTGCTGGAACCTGCAGACACCCATCACTGACAATCGACCAAGAAGGCGCGGAGACCTCCCCAATGTACCATACCAGATGGCCAATACCGGCTTTCAGAGTCCGCGCATCATCCAGACTGCCTGAACAATATAATGTAAAGGCCTTTACGGAACACCTCCCAAACCTAAGGCCAAGTTAGTAGCTGATTGTTTATCTCGTTTCTCATGGGGAGATCACCTACCGGCTGCATACGCCAGGTACCAAGTACGCGACGCACCACCATCGAGCCAGCTATAGGAGAAGTTCGATTGGGCGAAGAACTCCCAAGATGCCGTAGGGTTGATTATCGCAAGGTTGGCGTATAATATACCCTTCCATCCCCCATCCACGTTTTCGGCAGGGGATGCTGCTCCAGACGCAAACATTGCATTCCATTCCTCGGTAACGAATTGGTTCTGGCGCGTGTAGGCGGAACTAGGAATGAGAGGCAGCATGTGAATCCTGCAGAGCGCGTTAGTGAATCATCTATGGTAGGTATGGGGAAACAGTCGTACCCTTGAATATATGCCAACTCAGAGCCGAAGTAGGTGGTATGATCAACCTTGTTCTCGAACAAAATACCGGTCACTTTGTTCGCAATAAAGTTCGAGGGCTGGTTGACGTTGTCATTCTCCATGAGGAAGTAGTTGTGCAGTGATCGTTGCATAATGCCCAGCATCATGTTACCGCGCGCTTCCATGCTAGCATCTCCGGTAGTTTGTCCCCACATCTTCACAGCGTAAGCGAACAGAGCGTCTTCCGAGGTGGATTCCTCATCCTTGCCATCAAAGGATTCAAAAAGACCCTTAGCCCATGAGTGCCCGTTGAACCAGTCAAACGAGCGCGAGAAGGGGAAGTAGGGGTCATCCGTAGCAGGGTTTCCTGCATCGCGGACCAGCATGTTGACCCAATCTTTATTCTCAGCTAGCCATACCGGATCAAGAGATCCAATAATAGCTGCCGCTTGAATAAAGTAACCGTAGTGGAAATGATGATCGTTGTAGGCGGTGTTTCCGAAATCAGCGTTCAAGTCGCCATTGTACCCTGCCGATGACACAGTGCCTTTCCACACAGCGTCATAAACAAGCGGATACTGTTGTGTATTATTCAAAAATCGCTCAAAGGATGACTTTAGTCTTCCAAACGCTGACGCAGCGAGTTCGATGTCGTTGCCCAATGTATTGACGGTGTAGACCAACGTCGCAAACTTACTCAAGGCCTTTCCACTGTAGTACATGCTGTTAAGATTCGTTTGGCTCTCAATGTCTTGATTCAGTTCCTCAGGAGCCACACTAAGAATAGTCTTGAGGGCGGTTGTGGAAATATTCAAAACGTTGCCAATCGTCGGTGTCCAGGGAGCAAAACCAATATCGACCGGCAGACTAGGCTCGGTCATGCTCCAAGCCCCTCCAACGACTGCCGTCGCATTACCCTTCGTAGTAGTGCGCAAGGTCATGTCGGTCACGCCCGCCTTGGTGCTAGCATCAAAAGACTCGACATGATGAGGTAGAGCGAACATAAGCAAGGGAGTGTCTTGTACATCCTTGCCTGACTTAGTCCAGCCGAGGCTGTAGGTGCCTACCTTGCCGTTCACTGACCCAGAAACGTGTCCTGCAACTGGATACACACCGCACGAAGTGTCGTAAAATTTCTCCCCAGAAGCACCCGAAGGGTTCTTGGCCACCTGAATCGTACCGGAGAATCCACTTGGCCCACGGAGGTTTGCTTTGGAGTCCAACTTGAAGTCTGGATCGGTACCGTCCGTAGGAGTGGCATAAATGAGCCAGGAAGAATTGTCATTGAGTTCAACGCGATACTTGAAGATACCGCTCCTGGGAGAGCCTGCGCTGACGACTTTGCTGAAGAACGTTCCACTCTGGATTATAGGCTGTAGATTGCTGTAAATGGCCGTCACGTATCCCATGCCTTGGACAACTGGAAAGACAATTCGCTGGGATGGCGAGCTGGGACGCGATAGAACAGCCTGGGCCGAGAATGCCATGGGCTGCTCGACTTGGAGCTGGGTGGAGTTTGCGAATTCATTTGCCGACAGAACAATGGGTTGTAGCCCAGTTGGGTTAATGTAGTACTCCACAGGTTCCCCAGGCAGATTAGACTCCTTGGGACCATAGGCGAGCGAGGTTTGCTCATCATGGCAGGCGGCCATGCCCCAGCTCTTGAGGGTTCCGCCTCCACCTAACCATGTGAGAGTGTAGGGCTGCGTGAAGCTGGCACTGGTTTGAGATCCTAAGAAGAATCCGGCATAGAACTTGTTGGTCTCAACTGGCCCTGTAGCATTGACCTGATTATTGCCGTCAGCAAAATAGTCGGAGATCAATTGAGAGAAGCAGATAAGCTTACATGCTTCTTCGAAACTGGGTAGTCTTGTCGAGTGCTAATGACATCCGGTACTGGGCCTGTACCCACAGGCTGAAAGATATCCTGGTCGCCCAGGTCGCCCAGGCCATGCGTCTTTCCAGAAGAACCAGGCCGATGAGGAGAAGAATGAGGACGAGGGCGAGGGCGGAGTTTAGCTGGGCGATGAGGAACAGAGCCGTCGGCAGACTGCTGATCTGGCGAGGACTCTACGGAGACCGTCGGAAACGGGAGCCGCGACTCTTGACCGTCACGTTCCAACGCAGAATGATAGATCTAATCCAGTCAACAAATGAACATGTATATGCAACTATATATTGCATATGGAAGACTCACTGGCTTTTGCCTAGGAATCGAAATCCTTTCGTGCGGAGGTGGATATTGAGTCTTGAAGGGTCTATCCGGCTGGGTCTGTGTTCGTGCCAGGATACTCTCTGCCAGAGAGCCCATGGGCTGAGGAAGCGCATAGGATGACTCTGCAGCAAGAAGCCCAATCAGCACGGCTGCCTTCCATTTTAATATAGAGTCCATGGCGCCAGGCCAGACTAATGTCTCAATGTAGGGCAAGAAATGTACAATAGAACGAACAGTGAGGAACAAGATCGAGGAAGATCTGACTTACAATTATATGCATAAACCCCTGTAAAATCCGTGAATAGTGAAACATTGGTTTATTGTGCTAGAGTTCCTGTCCGTTGATCCTTCTGGACATAATACTACCCTATCTGGCGGGGTCGACCCGAGGCCGCCCCCGAGGTCGTAGTTTCGGACCCGCGATCCTCAAATTTGAAGGTAAGAGTCGGAAGTAAAGGCCACTCGCGGGTCGTGCCATGGCCATGTAACACAAATTGACCGGGATTGCACACTTTAGCGCTCCCGAATGATAATCACTCGCTCACGAAATGCAACGGGAGTCGGAAGGACTCAAGCATATGTCGATGCTGCGAGATTGTATGCAACGGTGATGGGGGTTGAGACAAGGCATAATTTCGCCAAGAGAGATCAGGCAGGAAGAGGAGGAAAGATCATGCATGTCATGAAGAAGAAATAAAACAACTAGCGACTCGGAAATAAATTGCGGTACTATTAATAGGGGTAATATAGATCCTATCAAAGGCGGTGAAAAAGCGACACCTTGGGCATAATAATGCCTAATCCATTAGGCATCAAGTCATCTGACCCCATCGACGTAATCCTTCACAAACAAGGCAAACAACCACAACCTCCCCATCACTCGCTTTGTCGCTTCATACTGATCTATCATTATTGCTTAATGTGTTTCTGAGCATATCGGCTTTCTTTGGTTCGTTCGTCCTTACCACTGCCAGCAACTTGAGGTGCGCTGGCCTGGTCTGCGACCGTCTCCACTCAGGCGCGCCTCTCTCGATCACCGTGAATGATCGGGAAGATACCCATTACGTAGCTGTTTGGCCTTTCTTCCAATACCATGCGACAGTTTGGGTTGATAGCGGCCACTATCAGCCTGGGTTCTCTCTGCCTCCAAGCTCCCTTTGCCGCCGCGCAAGGCGAAACGAGCCTACACGAAAAGGGCCGCTGTGCCATCCGCGGCCACTGTGGGAAGCAGTCGATTTTCGGTGGCGAGCTGCCATGTCCCGATAATGACCTGGCGCATCAACCAGAGGAGGCTGCGAGGAAGAAGCTTGTTGGTCTGTGTGGTAGCAAATGGGAGCACGGGCCGGTCTGCTGTCGCGAGGAGCAGGTGAGTGTTCTAACTTCCTCCTGACCTGCAATGCTGATGTTGTTTCATGGGTAGATCGACGCGCTCTCCAGTAACCTGAAGTTGGCCGAGGGTATTATCGCATCCTGTCCTGCCTGCCGAGACAACTTCTTCAACATCTTCTGTACCTTCACTTGCTCCCCGGACCAGTCGCTCTTTGTAAACGTTACGCAAACCGATGAAGGCAGCTCCGGAAAGACACTGGTGACGGAGTTGGATAATATCTGGACTGAAGAGTACCAGAGCGGCTTTTTTGACAGCTGCAAGAACGTCAAAAATGGCGCGTCTGGCGGCAAAGCAATCGACTTTATCGGTGGCGGTGCGAAAACGTACTCTCAGTTCATGAAATTTTTGGGGGACAAAAAGCTACTCGGAAGCCCATTTCAGATCAACTACCGCACCCAACCTAGCGGACAGGGCATGAAGGCTCTGGCCATTAAACCAAAAGCCTGCAACGGCCCTGACAAATCGTTCCGCTGCTCTTGTGTCGATTGTCCCGATGTATGCCCTGAACTGCCGGCAGTGTCGACGCACGAAGCTTGTCAAGTCGGGCTTCTGCCATGTCTGTCGTTCGCAGTGATTCTCATCTATTCGGTGTTCCTACTTTTCGTCATGGCGCTCGCTAGCTACGTCACGTTCAAAGAACGTCGGTTTCGCAAACCCGAACGAGTCCGCCTGCTTCAAGACCCGGCACCAAGCGATGATGACGACGAGGGAGAAGTCGTACGCCGCGGGGGCTATATAGAGCAACCGCAAGGGATCTATAAACCCAATTCTTGGCTGTCGGCGTTGTTCTATCGCATCGGTGGTGCTTGCGCCCGGTTCCCAGGGATCACAATCATCTCCAGCGTGATTGTGGTGGCTCTGCTGAGTTTGGGCTGGCTACGATTCACCGTCGAGACAGATCCGGTTCGTCTCTGGGTGAGCCCTTCGTCTGCGGCAGCCCAAGAGAAGGCTTTCTTTGATGAGAGCTTTGGCCCATTCTTCCGGGCCGAGCAAGCTTTCTTGGTGAACGATACCTCGGGGCCCGGTCCGTCTCCTGTCTTGGATTATGAGACTCTCAGCTGGTGGTTTGACGTGGAATCCCGGGTGCGCCGCATGATATCGTTAGACCAGGGGTTGAACCTGGGTGACGTTTGCTATAAGCCAACGGGTGATGCGTGTGTGGTGCAGTCTTTAACCGCATACTTTGGTGGTTCGGTGTCCAATCTCGATCCTGATACATGGAAGGACCGGTTGAGGCACTGTGCAGATTCCCCTGGAGACCAAAGCTGCCTCCCTGACTTCCAGCAGCCTCTGAAGCCCGAAATGGTTTTGGGTGGCTATGAGCGCACAGGGGATATTCTGGATGCCCAAGCCCTTGTTGTGACTTGGGTGGTGCGCAATTACGCCCAGGGAACCGAAGGAGAGGCCAGAGCCATGGACTGGGAGAACAGCTTTCGCCGGATCTTTGATGTTGTTCAGGAAGAGGCTGCCGAGCGTGGTCTGCGTGTATCCTTCAACGCCGAGGTCAGCCTGGAGCAAGAACTGAACAAGTCGACCAACACAGATGCGAAAATCGTGGTGATCAGCTATGTCATAATGTTTCTCTATGCCTCCTTAGCCTTGGGGTCAGTCACAGTAACCTGGAAGTCTTTTTTGACCAATCCAGCCAATGCTCTGGTCCAGTCCAAATTCACCCTGGGCATCGTTGGAATTGTGATCGTCTTGATGTCCGTTTCCGCCTCGGTGGGCTTGTTCTCTGCAGCTGGCGTTAGGGTGACTCTGATCATCGCTGAGGTCATTCCGTTCTTGGTTCTTGCTGTCGGAGTGGATAACATCTTCTTGATTGTCCATGAATTCGAACGTGTCAACCTCAGCCACCCTGATGAAGAAATCGACGAAAGAGTGGCTCTCGCCATCGGGCGAATTGGGCCCAGTATTTTCCTCTCCGCATTGACCGAAACCGTGGCATTCGCTTTGGGCACCTTTGTAGGCATGCCTGCGGTTAAGAACTTCGCTGCTTATGCGGCAGGGGCTGTTTTGATCAATGCCGTTCTGCAAGTCACCATGTTTATCTCCGTGCTCGCTCTCAATCAGAAACGTGTGCAAAGCCTTCGCGCAGACTGTTTCCCGTGCCTGACCGTCCGAAAGGCAAACTCATTTGGCTTCCCGGACGAGCAAGTCTACGAGGATCAGGAGGCGGAGAGTGCCTTGCAGAATTTCATCCAACGCGTCTATGCGCCATTCTTGTTGGATCCCCGGGTGAAGGCCACCGTTGTGATTGCGTTCCTCGGTCTTCTAACCGCCGGTCTGGCATTGATCCCTGGAGTCGCCTTGGGACTAGATCAACGAATCGCCTTGCCAAGCGATTCTTACTTAATCTCCTATTTTGACGACCTGGATGCTTACTTTGATTCTGGGCCACCCGTCTATTTCGTTACCCGGAATGTGAACGTGACCGAACGGCGTCATCAGCAACAACTTTGTGGACGTTTCACCACCTGTGAAGAGTACTCCTTGCCGTTCGTTCTGGAGCAGGAATCCAAGCGTCCGAATGTGTCATATCTCGCCGGGTCGGCTGCTAGCTGGATTGATGACTTTTTCTATTGGCTGAATCCTCAACAAGATTGCTGTAAAGAGAATGGCAAGTTGTGCTTTGAGGACCGGCCTTCCCCATGGAATATCTCCCTTCACGGGATGCCGGAAGGGTCCGAATTCATCCATTACGCGGAGAAATGGATTGATGCCCCTACGGACGCATCTTGCCCTCTTGGTGGCAAGGCTCCATACAGTAACGCTGTTGTCATTGACGAACAACACAGCATGATCAATGCCAGTCATTTCCGGACCAGCCACACCCCATTGCATTCCCAGGATGACTTCATTCAGGCATATCTTGCCGCTCGCCGGATCGCAGACGGGATCTCCACTGAACATGGCATCGATGTCTTCCCGTATTCCAAATTCTACATCTTCTTTGATCAATATGTCTCCATCGTTCGACTGACGGGTACGCTTCTGGGGTGCGCGGTTGCCATCATCTTCGTCCTGACATCCGCCCTTCTGGGATCGGTTGCTACCGGTGCGGTCATTACCGCTACTGTCGTGATGATTGTGGTTGATATTATTGGCACCATGGCCATTGCCGGCGTCTCGCTCAATGCCGTGTCCTTGGTCAATCTGGTGATCTGCGTGGGTATCGGCGTGGAATTCTGTGCGCACATCGCCCGAGCCTTCATGTTCCCCTCGCGGGCGATCATGGAAAATGCGCCCACCAAGTTCCGTGGCAAGGACGCTCGTGCGTGGACGGCGATGGTCAATGTTGGCGGGAGTGTGTTCAGCGGCATTACGGTGACAAAGCTGCTGGGCGTCTGTGTACTGGCCTTTACCCGCAGCAAGATTTTCGAGATCTACTACTTCCGGGTTTGGCTGGCGCTGGTCGTGTTTGCTGCCACCCATGCTCTGATCTTCTTACCAGTGGCTCTCAGCTATTTCGGGGGCGGAGGTACGTCTTTGTTTTCTATGTTTTCTTCTGTCCGTTGCTTCCTCACTAACGTGCCTAGGCTACTCTGATCCTGCATCCGATGGTGGTTTGGAGGCCAATCTCGCTGCGCGTGGGTACCGATCCTTGCTGGTCGATGATGATTACGATTCGGATGACTTTTAGGCATTTCTGCCATTTGCGCTGCCTGTTTCGGAGACTGGCTGAGCTTATCTTTCAACCTCCGGCGCGAACACGACTGGATTGGAGTTATCGGGGTTATCAGCCACCTAGGGTCTTGCCTTGTACCAACTACATATGATTTTGATGCTCTCTTTTAGTTCTCATCTGTATCTGTAATTCCGTTTTGTTTCCGCGATCCGATGTTCTTCCGACCGTGGGCTTTCCCCAACAGGTATAGCGTGGGGGCATCCCGGGGTCTCGGTCTGGTAATGGTGTATTGACATCATCCACAATAAGCATCAAGTTGTGCCTAGGACACCCCCACTCGGCTATTGACTCCCCCACGACTGCGCTTTTCCATCGGTGTTTGATGGTTATTATTATTATTGTACAAATTCGTTCGCTGTTCTCGCGCAACTCCTCGTCCCTACTTCGCCCTGCTCGCCTTCCGATTGACTCCCAGACAGACAGAGCCATCAAACGACGGGGGTTTCTGTGTATCACCACCGCGTCATACGTCCATCCCACGCTCTTTCTTCCCCGGTACCCTGTAAAAGAGACCGCTCCTTCTCGATTTCCCAAAGCCCACCCCTTCCTCCTCCAGCATGCTCGTGAGCGACCGGCCTCAGCACCCGGTTACGACTGCCATTGTAGATCCGCCAAGCACGCACGTCATGCCCGATCTCAACGCCGGGTCATCCACGGCCCCGTCGGCAACGGATTGCGCAGAGAAATCGACCAAGCCGGCGCGTGTGCAGCACATCTGGATCGTGACAGGGCCCGCCGGGTGTGGGAAGAGCACCGTGGGAGAAGGATTACGGCAGGAATTGGGGGTTCCCTTCCTCGAGGGCGACGATGTATCATCTCCCCCTTCCCCGTCCCGTGGACATTTGACCGAAAGACAAGAGCTAACGGGACTGACTGACAGTATCATCCGCAACTCAACAAAGAAAAAATGGGGCGGGGCACTCCCCTCACCGACGAAGACCGCTGGGACTGGCTCGTCGCCCTGCGCAAAGCCGCCATCGACGTCCTCGCCCCGTCCTCCGAACGGAACAGCCCCGCGGGAGTGGTCGTGGCCTGCTCCGCGCTCAAGCAGAAATACCGCGACGTCATGCGCGTCGCCGCGTACGGTTCGCCTTCGGTCCACATTCATTTCATCTATCTCCAGCTCGACGAGGACGTGCTGATGGAGCGGGTGCGCGCGCGCCAGCAGCACTATATGAAGAGTGGCATGGTTCGCTCACAGCTCGCGACTCTCGAGGAGCCTAAGGATGAATGGGATGTGATTACGATCAATGTGCAGGGATCCCCGGCGGAGGTGCAGCAGCGTGTTCATGACGCGGTGACCGCGAAGCTGGCGGAATATGTGTGACCTTTTTGGGTGGGGGTTGTGGGTGTCGTTGGATATGCATCTGGAGCCTGGTGTTCTTCTTTTTGTCGCATGTTGTATACTTGTGAGGGACGGTTTTCGGAAAAGGACGGTTTCTGGAGATTTCTCATGTCTAGTCTATTTTCTCAACCAGGTGTTTTCGTTACTTACCCTGTCTTTCTGGTGTGTGTGGCGAGCAGATCGCGATACCCCAATACTTCGGGGCGAAATGGCAGATCATTTTCCTTTTCTACACATGGGGATGTGAGATGTAGGGCCCGCAACAGCGAGGTCATGGATTGCGTCTATCTATACGACCGCCTTTTCTATGCTATCTACCGCAGATTCAGCAGCATGAGTTCGGGCACCTCAATCAGTTCACGCACTCGGTTGCCCATCCTGGCCATTGTCGCACCATCCACAACCCGGTGATCTGCGCTCCAGCTGAAATTCACTTGCTCACTGGCAACGACCTGGCCCGTCGCATCAAACACTGGAACAGTACGCGCGCGGCCCACGCCCAGAATAGCCACCTCCGTCGGCACGATGACGGGGGCCACGTACGTGCCGCCGATGTTACCAATATTTGAGACGGTGATGGTGCCACCACTCAGATCAGCGGGTGTCAGTTTCCCACTCTTGCCGAGTGCGCTGAGTCGCGAGACCTCGGCGGCAATGTCGGCGATGGATCGACTCGCGACATCTTTGATGTTCGGGACAATCAGGCCTTGTGGTGTATCCATTGCAATCCCGATATTGTGCTTCGCGCGCATGACGAGCTTGGGTTTCTCAGGGACGCTCGGGTCTACCCGGGCGTTAAGAAGGGGGTACTCGTTCAGAGCCAAGGATACGGCTTTCACGACAAAGGACAGGAAAGTGATCTTCTTGGGGTCACGGGTGTCGCTCGCGAGCCTTTTACGGATGGCAGAAATCTCATCAATGCGCAGCTCGTCCGCGTACAGAAAGTGTGGCGTGTTCACGGATCGGGTCATGGTCTTGAACATCTGGGATTGGATCGGGGTCAAATTGACCACGGACTCCGTTTGCCGCGTGTCTGGCGCTGGGACCGGCTGAGCCGCCGTTGGTGGTGGTGCTGCGGGAGAATCCTTTGCTGCCACAAAGTTCAGGATGTCCTCTTTCAGTACGCGGCCGTCTTTGCCGGTGCCGGATATATCGAGGATGTTGATGTCGTGGCTCTTTAAGAGCCCGCGGACGGCTGGAGTTGCGAGAGACGCGTGCTTCGACCTAGACGGTTCCTTTTCTTTTGTAGAAATTTCGCGTTCTGGAGTCTCAGGCAGCGAAGACTCTGCGGCTTGTATCGCGGCCGCTACACCTGATGAGGGTGTCGGCTCCGCCGTGTCTGCTCTGGACTCGTGCGGCGGATTATCGTCGGTGTACTTGGCATCGTCGACTTCGATGTCACAAAGTGCCTTGCCACACTGTCAGCATGGGGTCTACCGATCATGGTGACATGTCAATCTATACCTTTCCAGTGGGGACAGTGTCATCGGCCTCGAAATGAAGTTTCTTAATCACGCCTTCGTACCTCGATGTAATCTGCGCCCCATTAGCAAACGGTATAAGGATCCCTCACAAGATACTCACATCGTCCACGGCCTTGTCTGATTGATACTGGCATAGAGGTTTCCATTCCTCGATGTGCGCCCCTTCCTCGACATACCACTGGATGATCTGGACCTCGGTGATACCTGGGAGGACACTCATTAGCATCGGCAAACCAATTGAGACAGAATCAACCCACCTTCCCCAACATCTTTCAAGATCTGAGACTTGATCCCCCACAGCGGGGCGCCGGCGTGGAAGTGCCGGCACGAGAGGATGGGCGAGCGCCGAGAGATCAGGGGCCTCCTGAAAGGCAGGACATGGGCAATGGCACCGCGGCTGCACAAGAGGCTCATGGTCAAACAGCGAAGGACATTGGCAACAGAGAAACAGCAGGGCAGCGGGCATTTATTCCAGGGAGGACGACAACCGTTTCTAGCCGAGGGTCGGTTGACCGCGGAGAAATCTGATGCCTGAATTTGGGGGCAACAAGATCGTGTATATTGAGTTACACTAGGGAAATATTCTGTAGGTATACATGTACTCCTAACATCCTGAAGGCTACCTCGGTCTCGACCAAGCAATCCAATTTTACTTAAACGCTTTCTGCTTCTGCCGCGAATTCCAATTCAGCGTTTTAGAGATGCTATGCACCCAATCATCGCCCCGTCGACCGGGAGGTAATACGTTGGCGAAGGGATAGCGGGAGGCCGACACGGTCACGTAGTCGCCGGGGTTTAATTCAACCCTGAAAGCCCAAAGTTAACCTCAATCTTGATCCCGAACTACTCCAAGGACGTGGGGAGATACTCACCTCTCACGACCATCGAAGCTAGCCCATGAACTAGTCCGAGCATCGTAGGGCACACCCATGCGCAGGACGATGGTGTCTGGTAAGATAATCGGCCGGAAGGACAGAGTATGCGCGCAGATGGCCGTGACGAGGATGACCGGGTTCTCTGGGTGAGAGAGCGACCCGCCGGCAGCAAGATTGTAAGCGGTTGACCCCGTCGGTGTAGCAATGCAGATTCCATCTGCGAGGAGAGTCGTGAAGTGTTCGTCGTCGCCGAACAATTCAATATGCGACATGGCTTTAGCAGAAGAGTGGTTAGTGGTCGTCCGAGAAGACTCGGAGGAGAGACATACTGGGGTTAGGTCCACGGTCCAGTACCACATCATTCAAAATCTCATAGACCCGATCGGGGGTATGCGTCAAGGTATCCTCGCCTTCTTCTCCAATCAATTCCTCCACGAGATCTCGCCTGGTCAATTCCCTCGAGTGCGGGTCTTTGGACCGCGCTTTGCTTCTCATGATGGTGCATTCGAAGCGTAAACGCAGACTGACCACTACCCCATCTCGGAAGGCAGTTTCAAGTGTTTGCTTATGTTCTGCAAAGTCAAAATTCGTGAGGAACCCCAATGATCCCAACGCAAAGGAAAGCACGGGCGGCACGATTCGCTGGAATAGCCAGCTGGTATAGAGAACCGTGCCATCCCCTCCGAGGGTGATGACAAAATCAAAAAGATGCGGTTGCTCCTGGGCGAGTAGGGGGTCCCAGTACTTGAGCCGGCCCATGGCCGACGGCTCCTCCTGCAAAAGCTGTAGCTCCCCAAAATCCGGATGTGTTTGTAGCCGTTGCTCGACATAGACGACGTACGGCGTGTCGCGCTCTTGAGACAATAGCCACCGAGTCAGTTTCCTTGTCAGACTGACCAGTGACTCGTCATGCGCCTTGCACACGACAAAGACGTTCTTGACGGTGAGCTTGAGTTTGATGCTGCCTAGCTTCTTCGATAGCTTGCGTACGTTCCAGGCCATGTCCGACAGCTGCCGTTTCGTCAGATGTCGCGATTGGACGATGCTCGGAGCCGGCTTCAGGGTCATAGGGTCGCCGACGTCGGTCACCGAGACCCGCGCGCCCTCTTCGAAGGGCGGCTTGACCAGGGCGACGGGCTCGTCCTCATTCCGCGCCTCATGGACGACATTCTCGCTGCCCTTGAGGTTATGCGGCGGCGCGGCCCATTCGCCGGCGATAAGAGAATGAACGTAGCAAGCGGTCGTCTTATCATTCTCGTCGACGTGGGGTCGCATCCTGGGCCTGTCCATCGTAACGAGGGATGACTTGCGGCGATGGTTGGAGTCGGGGTAGAAGACGACCTAGGATGGCATGGAAGCGTCAGTTGGATTCTGCGATTGAGCAGGGATCGGTACCTCCAGGTGGTTCTGGGCCTCGGAGTCGCTCAATCCTCCGTAGCTCTAGGATGCAATGATCAGCTAGTTCCCGGTGACGCGCGATAGGCTTCACCACATACATCATCCGCTGCAGGCAGGGAGGATCTTTGCTCCTGACTTTCCATCGCGATCGGTATTCGGGTATTATGCCGGACGGGTTCCGGTCATGGTGGGTTTGGGGGAGGTGAGGGAGTTGCAAACGGCAAAGGAAGAAGTGTGGGTGGGTAATGACGTCGTGATTGACCGATAGGTTCAACAACGCTATTATTATTATTATTACCGACGGGGAAGAAATAATAGGTATTATCTACAGTTCGGTCGGTCGGTCTAAGCAGCGAGGAGGGTGTTGGTCCAATAATTCAATTATAAGCTAGTGTCCAATTGCGATCGCTACAGTCTGTGAATGGGCACCATCGTCTACATCGAGTTCTTCATCTCCCGCAGAGCAGTCATCACGTCCACTGGCTGCGTCTTCCCCGTCGCTTTCTGGATCTCCGGGTCCTGTACAATCATGAGCATCGGGGGTAGACCGTCAGGATGAATCAGGGACTTACGTGGACACGCATAAACACATTGTGAAGCTACGCTTCGGTCAGCCCGAACGATACCCCAACAGGGCCGCACTCACCTTCTCATCTCCGATCGTAAATTTCCCCTGGGTCTGTTGGTTTTTCTCTGCAAAAGCCTGGAGCTTCTGGATCGGCTCCGTTTGGGAGACGGTCATGCAGAACTTCACGTTCTGCTTGGTATACTCGTGGCCGGGCTAGAAGGCGTGAGCATGGATGGTCGATCAGACGCGGCGGACAACTTACATAGACCCGAGTATCGTCCGGCAGGGAAGCCAGAGTCTCATTCAATGCCTTGTGCATCTCTGCCGCATTGCCTTCGAAGAACCGACCGCACCCTAGACCATCTTAGATGAGTGTCCCAGTGGGCACAAAGCAGACATACCCGCAATGAACAAAGTGTCTCCCGTGAAGACTGCTCGTTGGGACCCGTCTTGCATATAATAGCAGATACTGTCCTGCGTATGGCAGGGGGTGTGGAGCGCCTTGACTGAGATGCGCTCTCCGATCTTGAACTCCTCGCCGTGTTGGGGAGTCTTGGTGACTGACTGGCACTCCTTGCCCCCGATGACAGGGATTTTGCCGAATTGTTTGAGCTAATCCACCGGTCAGTCCATTTCGTGCGACACCCGAGGGGGAAAGACCGACCATGTCATTGTTGCCCCCCGCATGGTCCCAGTGGCTTGCTCACGATGTGTTAGTGACTGGCCCAGCCGACATTCCGGTTCCGACATACTGGTGGGTATTCACAATCGACGTCAACTGGATCTCGCCTTTATCGATCATGGACTTCAGCACCGGAGCAACCCTGCATTGTGAGCAGGTTAGTATTGTCGGCGGAGGCACGGAACCGAAGACGGGTCACTGACTCGGGCGGATTGGCCGGATCGATGATCACGGATTGCTTCGTGGGCTCATCTACGACCAGGTAGGCATAGTTATTGCCCTTCCCGGTCCCTATACAAATAGTCAACCACTGATGCCCGCGTGAATTGCCCGAGGCCCAACCTACACATGGGGATCGAGTGAACATGCATGGCTCTGACTTGTGGTTTGAATGAACGAGATACTAATGACGAGCGGACCACGCGTGCAACACTCATCACTCAATAATGCGGGGAGAGGTGCTGGAAACAACGGCGGGCTGATTTGCAATCCAGCGCAACGTCATTCGGCGGAAGGTTATTCCAGATCCACAGTCACTCTTCCCGATGCTCGAGATTGGCGAAAGCTTGACTGACTGGTCTTGACATCCTTCATTGGTGGGACTACTGATTATCCGTTCATTAATACAATTACTACTACGTTGTACATGACTGTTAACGGTATGTGCATCTGTGTGGAAGAGAGAGAGAGAGAGAGGGACATATATATCTTGGAGAGCTGGGGTTGATATACATCCTAAAGTGAGAACGCACAGATGCCTGGAAATTGGTCAAATGGCTGGTTCCAATGTGTTCCTCGCCTTGAGTGAATGACATGGCGTGTCCGATCTATAACGAGTGGTGAAGTTCAAGCAGTAGGAAGACAGACCCACAGCCCAAAACCCCCCCCAAGAACGGAACTCGGAAACGCGGAATTCCTCCGACGACACGCCCTTCCGTTGACATTGGATTATTTGCCGGTTGGGCTTTGAGACACCTTCATATACTTACTCTGCTTCCCTCGAGTTGCCGGAGGCTTCTATCCCGACAATCCGTCCATTCGCTCTCGGATTAGCCCCCCGGACTCCCATCCATTCCACCGCACGGGAATAATGGACGGCCAACAATTTCGGGATGCAGCCCACTCTGCAATCGACGATAGTGTGTTAATTCCTTGGAGCAGCCATTGGCATCCCTAATAATCTGACCCCAACTCAGTCGTCAATTACTTCGACTCCGTCCCTGAGCGGCGGGTCGTGCCTGCCGTGGAACCGGGCTATCTTCGCCCTCTGATCCCCGAAAACCCTCCCACAGAGCCGGAAGAATGGGCACAGATCCAGAAAGATGTCGATGAAAAAATCAAACCCGGATTAACACATTGGCAGTCCCCGAACTTCATGGCGTACTACCCGGCCAACGTGACCTACCCCAGTATTTTGGGCGAGATGTACTCGGCCACATTTACGGCGCCGGCATTTAACTGGTTGTGCTCGCCGGCCTGTACGGAGATGGAGACCATTGTCATGGACTGGGTTGCCAAGGCTCTTGGGTTGCCCGGGTGTTTCCTCAGCACATCCGAGAACAATGGAGGTGGAGTGATTCAGAACAGTGCGAGCGATGCGATTGCCACGATCATGGTCGCTGCGCGGGAGAGGCGCGTGCGGGAGATGGTTTTGGCGGAAGGTTTCAAGGAAGGCACTGCAGAGTACGAGGAACGCAAGATGGATCTTCAGCCCCGACTCGTTGCAATTGCCAGCGATCAAACCCATAGCAGTGCAGCAAAGGGCGCGCTGATCGCTGGAACGCGGTTCCGGAGTGTAACTGCGCGGTTGGAAGATGATATGGGGATGACGGGTTCGCGTCTACGGGAGGTTCTTGAGAAGTGCGACAAGGACGGCTTGACGCCTTATCACTTGACAATGACCTTTGGCACCACCAATACGTGCGCTTTGGATCGCTTCGCTGAGATCAAGGCTGTTCTCCAAGAGAAGCCGGCGTGGCAGCGAATCTGGGTACACGTCGACGCTGCCTATGCGGGAGCCTCGCTTGTGGCCGATGAGTGGCAGTACATTGCGAAGGAGTTTGCGGAGGGCGTGGACAGTTTCAATTTTAACATGCACAAATGGTTGCTCGTCAGCTTTGATGCAAGGTACGTAGATCGACATCTTCTTATTGGCCGTCAGCTTATATTGTCTAGTGTTCTCTTTGTCCGGAATCGGCTGGACCTGACTAATGCTCTCGACATTACTCCGACCTACCTTCGCAACCCCTACTCGGACATGGGGACTGTGATCGACTACCGGAACTGGTCGATCTCCCTCGGACGACGATTCCGCGCGCTGAAGATCTGGTTTGTCATTCGCAGTTACGGCCTGAATGGCATGAAGGCCCATATCCGTAAGACCATCGGTTTAGGAAATACGTTTGCGGGCCTGGTTCGCAGCCGGTCCGATCTGTTTGAGATTGTCACCAAACCCGGCTTCGGCTTGACTGTTTTTCGTGTCAAGAACCCCCATGAATCCGCAAATGGGGCGAACGAATCGACGGACGGTGTTGCCGCATGCAAGGCAGATACGGTCGCTGACGGGCTCTCGAAGAAGGTATACGAGCTGATCAACTCGCGGGGAGAGATCTTCATCACCTCGACGGTCATTGCTGGAATATATGTCATCCGGGTCGTGAGCGCGAATCCGATGGCCGAGGAGTCCTACGTTCGGAACGCATTTGATATTCTCGTTCGCACCACTGAGGAGGTGTTGCAGCAGAAATGAAGGTTGGCGTAGGCCATGCTTGGATGTAGTAGTTAGCTAACTAATTCCGACCAGGCCGATAGTCCTAAGCTTGTCCGTCACCGATCCTAACTCAGTGTAGCCGCTGTTCTCACGTCCCATTATAATCATTATTAGAGCAATTAGTACATAGTCAACTATATGATCATCTAGTCCTCTTGAATATCAAACGGGTCTTGTGGTGGATCTTTCACGGTCGGGACCCGCAGAGCACCACCACTTTGCCTCGGCCCGCCTAGGGCGGCGATAGGCGGCTTGTTGCGGCGACGTCAGACACTGAGACTCTCTCCTTGTTCTTCCTCTACCCACTCCCTCATTTTTCCTTATCATCCCTGCTTCCTCCCTTCTTTCGTTCTTTCTTTCTTTCTTCCCCCTGCATCATCTCCCATCCCACCATGATGCTCGCTCCGTCCACACGTCTTTCTGCCCGCCTCTCCAGACGGGCCGTCCCCACACTTCAGCGCCAGTTTAGCTCTGCACGCCCGACTCTGAAGGAAATCCAGGATGCCTACATTCTGAGCGCATCGCGAACACCGACTGCCAAGGTATGCAGGCCTACAAGGCTCAACCTGACTTTTACTGACCGCCCGGCTAGTTCAACGGTTCGTTCGCCTCCGTCTCGGCACCTGAACTGGGGGCCGTCGCCATCAGATCAGCCCTCGATAAATCAAAGGTTCCGATCGACAAGATCACCGATGTGTATATGGGAAATGTCTTGCAAGGCTCTGTGGGCCAGGCGCCGGCTCGTCAAGCCTCCATGTTCGCGGGTTTGCCTCCGACCGTTGAGTCCATGACCGTCAACAAGGTCTGCGCCTCGGGTTTGAAGGCGGTGGTGTTGGCTGCACAAAACATCCAGCTGGGATTGGCAGAGGCCCAGGTGGCGGGTGGTATGGAGAACATGACTCGCGTGCCCTACTATATGCCCCGCTCTAGCCAGCTGCCTCCGTTTGGGGAGATTAAGCTGGAAGACGGGTTGATTAAGGATGGTCTCTGGGATGTTTACAACAAGTTCCACATGGGTATCTGCGCCGAACAGACGGCCAAGAAGTACGAGATCTCGCGCGAGGACCAAGACCAGTACGCTATCCAGTCGTACCAGCGAGCCCAGCAGGCCTGGAAGGAGAACAAGTTCGCGGACGAGATCGCGCCGGTCACGGTCAAGAGCAAGAAGGGAGATCTTGTCATCGAGCAAGACGAGGGCTACGAGAACCTCCGCCTCGATAAGATGTCAACCTTAAAGCCCGCATTCCTGCGCGATGGCACGGGTACCGTGACCGCTGGTAACGCGTCTACCATGAACGACGGCGCGTCCGCCCTGATCCTGGGTAACAAGGAATTGGCTCGTGAGTTCGGCCAGGGTAGCCGCGCGCTGGCCCGCATCGTGTCCTCAGCAGACGCTGCCATCGACCCCGTTGACTTCCCCGTGGCTCCTGCGAAGGCAGTCCCTATTGCACTGGAACGTGCTGGTATCACCAAGGACCAGGTTGCCGTGTGGGAGTTCAATGAAGCATTTGCTGCGGTGATCAAGGCAAATGAGAAGGTCAGTTGAGTATCAAGCCGATTATAGGTTCATTGCTAACAACATCACGCAGATTCTCGGTCTTGAAAATGCCAAGGTTAACATGCTGGGAGGCGCAATTTCTCTTGGCCACGCTCTCGGGAGCTCCGGGTCTCGTATCCTCGTCACTCTACTTCACCAGTTGCAACCCGGCGAGTACGGTGTCGCCGCCATCTGCAATGGCGGAGGTGCTGCCACTGCCATGGTGGTGCAGAAGTTGGATCAAGTCAACTAAGTATACAGCTCGATACCCTTGTATAAACAATGTGAACCATGCATCCAATCATTTTATCGTACGCGCAAGTACAATGTAGACAATAGTAGACGGCTAGAGGATCAGCCTCCTATTCAAGAGACTCCTAGCACCCGTACAAACGATGCCTAAGTTGGGCCACGCCTAATTTAGTGAACTTGTTACAGAATATTAATGCCTGATGCGCAAGGCCTCAAATCAGCACGTGATGAGAACCAATAATCTTGAAAGAATCCCTTCTGGTTCAGCCGATCTTCAACTCAATTCAACCCGGTGTGTCCGCTCTAAAACGGCTGGAGAGGCAGTCTAACGCCCCTGGAGCCAAAACAACGGGGAATTAACAGCTACAACTGACCTCAACGCATGCTGGCTTGCCGAGATGCCTCCGTTCGCAGAAGAAGGCGACTCGGGACATAATGTGCCCGTCAACAAGATAACAAGCTTCCACGGCAGGCTGAATCAATACCTCCATGAGAGCAACACCTCCAGCGACTTGACAAACAATGTGCCCGGTTGCTCGACACCGGACCTGAAGCGAAGCCTCACCGCCGTCGAGGCCCAACCCGTAATTCAAAGCGCAACAGCCAGCCTGAGCGCGAGTCCGAAGCGCCGACGAGCCGTCGCAAAGACGCCGACTCCTTCCCCGAGCAGAACCAGCATCTCATCGTCACGCCTGACCCGCTCACGTTCCAGCTCATCAATTCCAATCTCTCCCCCATCCACAACAACCTTTCGGACGCAGACACCAAGCAAACGCAAACGAGCCCCTCGAAAAGAAACCCCTCCCATACCTTCAAGTCCACCTTCCCTCCTCCGTGACTCGATTCCCCCGAACCTAATACTCCTTCTTGTAGGCGTGAACCCAGGCATCCTAACTGGGATAACAGGGCACGCCTACGCCCACCCATCCAATCTATTCTGGAAACTCCTGCATTCATCAGGAATAACCAGTATCCGCCACCCACCATCAGACACATACAAACTACCCGAGCTATACAGCGTGGGCAACACGAATATCGTGGAACGGCCCACGCGGGACGCAAGCATGCTCAGCCGGGCGGAGATGGATGCTGGCGTCCCCGTGCTAGAAGCCAAGGTTGCTATGCAAAGACCTGAGGCTGTGTGTCTTGTTGGAAAAGGTATTTGGGAGGCAGTGTGGAGGGTTCGCCATGGGAGACCTATCCGTAAGGAGGAGTTTCGATATGGATGGCAAGACGTTTCTGAGAATATGGGATGCGTTTCTGGTTCGGATTGGAGTGGTGCGCCCGTTTTTGTGGCAACGACGACTAGTGGACTGGCGGCGGGGATGAGACCTGCTGAGAAAGAAGCTATTTGGGCCGAGCTGGGGAGCTGGGTTGCGAGGCGCAGAGTAGAGAGGACGTTGTCTTCTGCTGCTGTTGCGGCTGTGGTTTAGCTCTTCAAGAAACTGCCCATCAAACAGGTCAAGGCAAAGAGGATATCAACGGATAGAAATATTCAAGTTCTTGCTCTTAGTGAATCTGCAACAACAATACACACAGTCAATACTAAGCTAATTCACATTCAATTAAAAGCTCTCAACACCTTTTCGCGGTGTTTATACATTGACGATTTTCAAGCCAACGGACAACCAAGGTGTTCCAACTCCTTTCAGCGCACTCCTTTGAGCCAACTGCCATCATGACGAAATCGAGACTAGTGGTTTCATAATTGGCACCGATCTTAGGGATCACGTTCTTGTTGTGTACACGCAGCGTACGTCCATGTACGTACTTACTACTAACTAGTGCCGCGTACAGCACAATAATCAGAACCGGGCCGATGATACACAATTCTGAAAGTATTATGGGCATGCGTTGGAAAAAAGTGGCCTACTTGAGGCAACTAGCAGTAAACTGCAATAATAACGAAGTGGGCTCGCTTTCCTGCAAGCCACCTTCGTCAAACAGAACGTCTTGGGCGGCACAGGCAGAGGCACGTGGAGCACCTGGCCCCCACGGCGGAACAGTACGCTGCTATCAAATTGAGGGTAAATAATGATAAAAAGAAGCAAGCCGGCCTTAATAATACTTAATAATCGGCGGTGGGCATTCACTCCAAGCAGTCGGAAAGACTCCCATTTTGCTTGCCACGGCCAGACAAGAACATGGACGAAAAGTAAAAAAAAATAATGACAGCAGCATTGAGACGCTACGGATATGCACCTTGGCAGCAGCGTTGAGGTTACTAATACGTAAATTCTGAGATTCATGAGGAAAGCGCACTTAACCCAGTTTTGTTTAATGACATGGTGAATCTTGGACCGACATCATAGTGGGCCTAGGGCAAAATCGCGCGATGAGACCTCGGGAATCCGGGAATCTATAGCGTATGATTATCATTGCCTAGCTTTGCTCCGCAAATTACTTCCTGAGAAAGAGCCCTATCAAAGGACCAAGCTAATTTGGGGGCCAGTGGCTGGGCACTGCCTATCCTCAATCAAAGTTTGTGCTTGGACACCCGAAATATCCCACAGTTTATCCTATGAAGGAATGGATCTGTAGTTAGTCGCTGCCACTGGATTTAGTCTACCAGTTCAAAACAACGCTAAGCTCCCGATACGAGATGAAGGCCAAAGCTTTATTTCTGAAGAACTCTATAGGCTGTACATAATCTTCGGTCTGCGCCCATGAACGCCACGTTTCTCACTGGCCAGCACTTCAAAGTCTGGTCAACTTTAGACACTTAACGTCTCATATGTTGTGATACGTTCAATGCCAACATTGTGTTGTGATCATCTTCCTCTCGTGCTCTCATATTCCTCGCTATTATGTCCCCGGAATATGCACAACAGAACAAAGGTCCTCGAATCCTAGCCGTGTTCTGGTCGCTAACCGCTCTGACCTTGGTGGTGGTCATAATTCGACTTTTCATTCGAATAAGGATATTGCGCAACACAGGTTTAGATGACTGGCTGATTTTGGCTTCGGTGGTATGTTGCAACATGTGCTCTTAAAAGGGTTGGTCATATCCTTTGTGCAAATACTCATGCTCTCGGTCTCGTAGCTTTCCACTACTGCATTTACGGCTGTGACTACCGTCAACGTCTCCCTTGGATATGGTCAACATGCGGACGTGATTGGTTCCGACAAAATCGATCGCATTCTTCTTCTAAACAATGTCGACTTTATGTTCGGTATCATGTCATTTTGCCTCCCCAAGCTCGCTATTGTGGCATTATTGGATCGACTCTTTCAGATGAAAAGAACCCATCAAATCATGCTGTGGGGGTTAACAGGTACGGTGTTCGTGGTGTCTTGCGTTACAGTCGTCATTATTTGGACCATGTGTGACCCTCCAGAGGCACAATGGAAACCGGAACTCCAACAGCAGGGTGCCAAATGCCGCAATCCATGGATTCTTGTCAACTATTCCATATTCAATGGATGTAAGTACCACGCCCTAGTCACCCTCTTTATGATTCGAAATTTAAACTCTAAATGCCCCTACGCAGCTCTCTCTGCGTTTTCTGATGTTGTGCTTGGGGTGTATCCCGCAATTGTTGTGCTCAAACTGAAGATGTCTCTGCGAAAGAGGCTGGCTCTATGCGCAGCACTAGGGATGGCAACACTGTAAGTCTGGCAATATGAGCTTTTCCTTACGTACGATTATTGGCCGCGTTATGAATTCTAATAGGAGACAATAACATCCAGATCTGCGGCAATGGCTGTTATCAAATGCTGTCAGCTCCCTGGCCTTGCCGATCCTCAAGATGCTACCTGTGAGTTGGCTTGTACCAATGAAGAGGCGTAAGACAAGCAGTATTAACCATGGTGTATTATAGACCGTACTGCAGACCTTGTTATTTGGACCAGGTAAGCATCGTTCTAGCTGTTCTTACGTATTCGAGTATTGGTTGCTCAGTCTCTCTTCAGTGTCGAGGCGAACGTGAACATCCTGGCGTCCTGCATTCCGACACTGCAGCCTATTTTCGAAATGATGTTTGGAAAGAGCGCTTTGAGAAGTTCCGGAGATCGCTACAAGGACAGCGCCCAAAACACCAATTGGAGTACCGGAAAGAGGTCTGTGGGACATCGCAGAGATAAGTCGCGATTCACAGCTATTGGTAGCCAGGATAGCATATTGGGGGGAGCGGAAGAGGCTGGAAACCATGCATTGGGACAAATACGACGTCCTGAAAATGTGGCGACAGGGGGGTATCACAATCCTCATTGGTAGGCTTCATTTCCTTTGGTAATGATGATTTATTTGAATGATGTAGAATGCAAGGCATGTTTACATGAAAAGGGAGCACTCGAGTGGTTTGCTACAGGGTTTAACGACCTATAAATATAAATATTGTATCCGCCATTTTGATATCATCCAACTTGCCCTCCGCCGTGGCACTAGATTTTATAGTATCCATGATCTCGCTCCTTGAAGTACTTTGTTCTTTCATAATCTCAATCATAATCATACCGCATCATCGATCATCCATGACCCAGCCCATTCATCCAGATCTAGTCCATCTGCGCAAACACCTCCAGCGCCTCATCTAACTTTCCAAATACACCGCTATGCCACCCTTTCAATGCTTCCCACTCGTCCGCCGGCAACATGCGCCGACTCATGCGCAACCACCCCCCCACAATAAAATCCCCATAACTTGCCTTACTCCCCATCAGAAACGGCCCACTCGCATCCCTTTCATACAACCTGGCAAGGCCACCTAGGGTCTCCTCGAAGGACCTCAACAATTCCTCCCTCTTTTCCCCACTAACCAACATAGCCTCCCACGGCACTCCTCCTGCCCTCCGTGAGAACTCCGCCTTGCTCTCCTCCGCAGTAGCAGGATCAAAAGGAAACCCTTGCACCATCAGCTGCGTATGGGCAGTAAACGCAGCATCGACATTCGTATTAAACTTCACATAGGCCGCAATATGCTCCTCCGCCACCTCCGCCTCCGCAATCGGCGCAGGAAGCTCCAAGTCCCGCCCAAAGACGTACCCTAGCTCCTGCGCGGGGAACAAGTCCCCCGCCCCCGAGGACGGATATTGTTTTTGTAGGTATACCGCAATTTCAAAGGAGTCCCCCACGATGCGCCCGGTAGCTGGGTCGGAGATCACGGGGAGGGTGTGGTAGGGGGTTCCGTCGGCGAATTTGCGCGAGGCGGGGATGTTGAGAGCGCCGCGGACGGAGCTGATATCGGGTAGAGGCACCCATGTTGTTTTGTACGGAGTCTTTTTGAAGTTCAAGGCGTACCGGGTTTTCCAGGGGTTTGGGGAGCAGGCGTTCTTTGGGGCGGGGGGTGCGAGGGCGATGTCGTAGAAGGTTATTAGCGCCGTAGTGGATGATGTCGTTGCGGTCGAGGTTGTGAGTGCCATAGTGATGGAGTCCAAGGAGTTGTTGGGATGTCAAGTACTCTGTGGATCGAATTGGGGGTTGGTTTGAGCTGTTTATAGCTCCGTAGAAGAGCCGCTCTCTATAGTCTCTATACCAGTCGGGTGATGGTTCGAGTCAGGATGAGTCATGCGCGATGTGGGGAATGGCGGTAGTTATGTAATGAGGTATAACTCTTATGCATAGTGACTCGGACGTTGATGTAGCTAAATGAGGGAAAGAGGGAAAAGGCCAGAAGCCATGCCTTGAAATGCTCTTTTAGATTGTTTCTCTTTTTTTTGGTGCTGAGATAATGTGGCCCTAAGGGACATCGCGTTTAGGGTCCCTCGTCCAGGGTCTTTTCAAGCTTGGCCAGCTCTTCTGGTGAGATAGGATAGGTGTGTTCTTGCGACGGGAAAGCCCGGCTCTTGACCTCCTCCCGGTACTGGGCAATCCCCCGCGATGCCTCGCCCCAAACATCGGCAAACTGCTTTACAAACTTAGGCACGAAGCGGCCTGGTTGGAAGTAGCCGGTCATGTCGACCTGCACCAAAACCTGGCCCGAGCAGCCATTGCCAGCCCCAATGCCAATGGTGGGGATCCGGAGTCTCTGGGTAATGATCGTGGCCACCTCAGGCGGCATCGCCTCCAGGACAAGCATAAACGCCCCGGCCTCTTGCATGGCGATGGCATCATGAAGCAGCTTCAACGCACTCTTAGCGGTCTTTCCTTGGACGCGGAAACCACCAAGCGAGTTCTGTCGTTGGGGGGTAAGGCCCACATGACCGACGACGGGCAGACCGGCCTGGGTCATGCGTTTGATGGTCGGGGCAATCTCCTCGCCTCCTTCGATCTTGACGCCCTGTACGCGGCCTTCCTTGACAAGGCGGATGGCAGACTCCATAGCCTGCTCGGGGGAAATCTCGTACGAACCCATGGGCAGATCCGCAATCTACAAGGAAAAAACACGCCGTGAGACAGGAAATTCTTCAACGGGTCCAAGGCAAACTCACAGTAAAGGCGCTCTTCGTTGCCCGAGCTACACTCCGACAATGCAACAGCATCTCCTCCATAATTACCTCGCTTGTGTTATCCAGGCCCATCGCCACCATCCCCAAGCTATCTCCGACCAGAATCACATCCATGCCCGAGACATCGGCAACATGGCCACTAGGGAAGTCGTGCGCCGTGATCATAGTGATTGGCTCCCCTTTCTTATAAAGGGTTTGTAATGTCTGGATGGTGACCTTCTTGCGCACATTCGTCGGGGTGGGAGCAGACCAGGAGCTGTGTCTGGCCTGGCTGTAGGGTAAACAGGACAACGGTGACGGCGAGGTGGAGGCAAGGGATGGTAATGAGGGATCGAAGCGATTGTGTTGTTGACCAGCTAGGAGAGGTAAGGTAGCTCGGAGCCGTGACGGCGCAGATAGAACTGTCCGCGAGAGCGGCCGCAATGCCGAGCTCGGTGTAGCCATCGCTATACCCTATACCGTAAATAGCGATGACAGTTGCGCAGGGTCGGTAACGAACGGTGGCCAGAGGGTCCTGCCAGACTGAACCAGACAAGCCGGTCGGCAGAGCTGATTCGCTTGGTTGTTTGCAGTATGTCAGGCACAAATGCAATGACCTCACTACCTGACGAACAGCAGGGTATTTATGCTCGTTTCCAGAATGAAGGATACCTCCCCTTTGTCGGATCTGCGGTATTCCGTGCCTTCAAACCTCCATCTGTCCGGGGGTGAGACTGGTGAACGTGCTGGGTTGTCCAGCGTAGACGGCAGTCTTTCTTGAGGTGGAGTGAGTCTTTCTTTCTCGCCTGAATTCTGCCGTTTCTGTTCCTGGCACGGGTCCAACGTACCGTGTGGGGTGTTTTCCCGGCCAAGGTGAAGCTTCCAGAGGATCGGATGATCACTTTCTCTGCCAATATCAAAGCGAGCCAAGCACTGGTCCATCGCGATGCCTGCGATGTCTGTCGTCGGCTGTCCACCGAAGTCTTACACCGCCTTACTCACCGCCCTATCTTTGAGCCGAGGCTGGGTTATCCTCCACCCCTCTAGTCGCACAACAGCCGAGCTAACCGATCGAACAATAACATCTTGAAGTTGGAATCTCCAGGTACCTTGCAATGTCCCTCGCGGCTTGAAAGCTTCTTGACGGGCCAGTCTGTCCTGGCAGAACCCAAATGATTCGTCGGGAAGACGGTAAGGTCTGTACCAGGACCGCAAAATGCGATTTCTCCCTACACTATGGCTATTGATCAGACTCAACTGTGACCGATATACTGGATGATTTTCTTCTATGACTTTAACTAACGAATATCACTTTTTCATTTCTGTACATCAGAATACATCAAGAAATGGATTGATGTATCCTGTTGTTGGCATGACAAGGGACGATTGATGAAAACGTATAGGTGACGCGACGCTTCGAGACCATTGCCGGTGTCCCAGGAAAATAAATATATGAGTTGCATGAATTATATCCGGATGCCAAAGTGATCGATGTGATCCGTGATTTTCCGGTAGCGTCGTTCAGCACACCAACTCCTGGTGGCTGCGCTATTTCCTAGCGCCAAAGCTGGGTGGCGCCGGATCCTAACAAATTTTGGCTGCATAGATGAGAGATAAGCAACAGCTGGTGGTCGAATACGCCTGGTTTTATTGTCGTTGACTTGGGGTGCTGATCAGCGGCCGTTCGAGCTCATGGACGAGATGTGGAGACACATGCTGCCTATCTCCCGAACGATAAATATACTGTACTTATGGTCAAACTAGTAATCCGCTGATGTGCCCATTGACTCTGACAAGCTTCTGGAACCTCACCCCCCATATGCTAGGGGCGTTATCTGCCAAGATAAGGCGTCCATTATCGAATTGACGAATGGATAGGGACCGCTTGCAAGATCTTGGATATTGGTGTGTAAAATTGCCGCCTCTGGGCGATCGGCTCCGGGATTACAGGGTGAGCCGCTTCCTAGGCAATCTGAGGAGGCGGCCTTGAGCCGGCCATAAGCGGGACCTGAGTCGCCCCGCGAGAGCAATCTAATAGTAACCCCGGTTGATTACCAGCCCCTTTAGTTCTGATCGTGCTTCCAGCCCTTCTCCTGCTCCGGTGCTAACCGTCTTACTATCTCTTAGAGTTTCTAGGAAGCCAAGAGAAGGCGAGGTCGTATTCCAATAACCTCGTTAATGCTTATTCTCGCCTCCGCCCCGAACTTCCGAGCGAGCGATTCAATTTCCTTTGGCCGGCCTCGGAAAATGAAAAGCCCCTTATCTTTGCGTTCTATCTCTTGTCCTATAAGAACAGAAATCGAATGCTATCTCCTTTCCAGCAACATTTTGTAAAACAATTAACGAATATTCTCCCTTGCCACCCTCGGCTATGTTCAACGCACTGTACCATCTTCGGTCCTAGGGTCAATATTTAACTCTACGCTATTGAGCAAATACCTGAGTGCGTTCCATCTCGGGTCTCGGGCGTATCGTGTATGCGGGTGGCAGGCCAAGATGGCGGCGTTAGCGGCCCGAAATAGTAAATTCTTTTTTGTCACGTCAGCTGTTCGCCACACTACATGTGAAGGAACTAAGCGAGAATTCTTATGAGCTCTTCAAACTTTGGACACACTACGAGAATGAAGATCCCTGCGATTGGCCATAAGCTAATAATGGCGGAACGACACCGTTAACTACGATATCGTGCCAGGTTTGTTTTATCAGACTCAGATACCGATCCCCCAAGATCGCAACTCATGATCGCTCACGGTCGCTCTGCGGAGGATTAGATGGCTCGCGTGCGTAGTGGAGTCTGCGTGAGGTCAAAGCAGACGGCCAGCGTCCAATAATGGCAGTCACATGGACCGTGACTTCTATCGGTTAAATTGGTGGCGTCGCAATATCATGCTTCTTTCAGCACCAGCAGGGTCGTCTCCTGCAACCCCGTCAATATAATAATATATCGCGTGCTTACTATTATACGGGAGATAGCGGGATTGACTTTTCTAAGACATGGCCACCCGACTCCAATCCAGCATGTTCTAGTTATCAGTAGTCGCCACGTGGTTCTATCGCTTAGTCTAGCCCCTTTTTTGAGGTCTAGTATCTATGTTCCTTCTTTAACAGGAACTAACTCTCTTATCTTGGTGGTGCCACAATTTCTTGGGACCGCGGGGTAGGACCCTGACCAACAGAGCACCTTCCCGTTCTGGGTTAGATCTCCGAGGCGGGTGGTGCTAATTAACTCTGAATAGCTTAGGCCCCTCTTCTAGACGTAGAGCGCTCACCAATCATAAAACGCAGGAGACTTCTATACTATCCCCTTTTTGAAATAGGGTTACACTTGTTTGAGATGCACTGACAGGCATAGATCCAACAACCGTACCCAGCCCCTGGTTTGCTGGACTTGGCCAGGATGGTTTCATCTCGACCTGGAACTAGCTATCACACACCCCGGACTCCGGTGATACCCTGACTACAACCACTTGACTGGCTTTGAGGGAATTTCTCCACCTAAAGCATTGGTTATATATACGGTCACCCCCGATCATCCTTCCCCTGACATCCTTCCATCTTTCCTAGGTCGATTGAGCAATTGAGCCCCTCCAACCAAATCCTTCACAGTTGGTCCTGCCATCATGGCTAACTCAGCGGGAGCCATGGCCATTGAGCCGATAGCCGATCCTCGTGCAAACCCAGAAACCAACGATGAAGTCGTCGAGGGTAAAATCATGGAGCGCAACTGGGGTCTCGAGGCTCGTGTCGACTCCACTGTCACGTTCGAGGAATATGCCTACTGGGCTGAGATCGAGCGTGCCGATGAAATGGAGAGGAATCGCCTGTACGTCGAGAAGCGTGGTCCAATGTCGGCGGCCAAGATGCTCAAGGATCGCTTCTCACATGGCATCCATCATGAAGAGCAAAAAGAGCGCGAGAAGGCTGCGCAGGGGTCCAGTGATGGCGACCAGAAGGATCCCGCCGTCATCCAGCAGAACGACCTCACCGTGACGGAGGAGGAATGGAAGACTGCGGCCAGGGCCTTGAAGACGGCCAGCTGGGGAACCATCTTCTTCTTGATTACTACCGATATTCTCGGTTGGGGAAGCTGCCCGTATGTCTTAACCCTATCTGATAGTGTAGCCTATGCTGACTCGGATCCAGATACGCGTTTTCCACTGTTGGTTATGGCCCTGGCGTTGCTCTCTACGTCATCTTCTCTATTGCCGCTGGAGTCAGTGGTTATATCCTGTGGCGCGTCTACATGACTCTTGACTCGTCCCGGTATCCTATCCTGAGTTATGGCGACACTTTCTTCCGCGTGTTTGGCCGGAAGTCGCGCCACTTCATCAACGTGACCCAAGCCTTCCAACAATTCTTGACCGTGGCTGTCTTAGTTCTCGGAAGCGGCCAGATCATCGCGCAGCTTTCAAGCGGAACTATCTGTTACATTGTCTGCTTCCTCATCTTCACGATCTTTGGTATTTTTGCCGGATTGATGCGTGGTTTGCAGCATGTCGGATGGCTCGCCAATGCGTCGGTCTGGTTGAATGTTGTCAGCTTCATTATTGTGTGAGTATTGTGTAATATCTCCCATTCTACGCACTAATACTAACAGTGCATTATAGCATGGTCGCAGCGGCCCATTTCACAGTCGACTATGATCCTACCGTGAAAAACACGCGCGTCAAGGAGATTGGACCCATTCAGACCTTTGCAGGACCGCCGCCTGACCAGTTCCAGCCCGCGGCAGTTGGATTCGCCGGACAGTTGAATGGTATCAACCAGATGGTTTGTACGTATCTTCCGTCTCATGTCATTGTTTGCGCCTATGGCTAACCCCAATAATAGATAGCTGGGGCGGTGCTCTGCTCTTCGTGGCCTTCTTGGCTGAGATGCGTCACCCGATGGACTTCTGGAAGGGACTGATGTGCGCCCAGATCTTCATCTGCGTCGTCTACATTTTCTTCGGTGCCTTCGTAAGCCGTTTCGCTTTCGTCCCAGTGTTCAGCTAGCTAACTATAAGTCTCTCTATGAAGGTCTACTCCTACTATGGACAGTACTCGGCCCAAGTGATTACTACCGCCATTCAACCATTCTCCCTGCAAACCGTTGCAAACGTATTCGCTCTACTAACAGGTGCCATCGCATGCAGTAAGTGCCTACTAAAGCTTTTCTTACTCGTCTAACACGCTGCTCCCTAGTCATGTACTTCAACATCGGCATGAAGACTGTGTACATCGAGGTCTTCCAAGAAGTATTCCACTTCCCTCCTATCGTCACTCGGAAAGGCCGTTTGATGTGGTATGCCTTGGGACCCGTCTACTGGATCATCGCCTTTATCGTTGCCGCCTCCGTTCCCAACCTAAACGGTATCTCAGGCCTAGTCGGCGCCCTCCTGATCCTCAACTTCACCTACACCTTCCCTGCCCTCTTGTACGTGGGCTACAACTGCCAAATGGGCGCGCGGCTTCCAGGAGAAGGGTTTAACGCGGCCACACGTGTGACTGTCAGACACGACGGTGGCTACAAGAGATGGGTTCGTGGATACATGAAGAAGTGGCACATCAATATTGCCAGCACGCTCTACTTCCTGGGTGGCCTTGCTCTCTCCGGAATGGGCTCGTGGGCGGCTATCGAGGCTCTGATTGCCTGGGGCGAGGGAACCTCTTCAATTGCCACGTCGTGGGGATGCGAGGTTCCGGTATAGGCATATGGGCATTTGGGGAAGGAGTGGACTAGTGGAGCAATTGACATGTAGTTTGCTAGGATATGGTGAGGAACTTTGTCAAAGATTCGGTAATGACTATCAACTCCTATTAATTGTTTTCACGCCGCACCGGGGCAGGAGCGGATATCCCTGTGGATTCTGCTGCAGCGACGGCGTGATGGTCAAAAGTAAAGGCTATAGACCAAGAATCTGACGAAGTGTTTCTCTGCATGTAACATGAGTCCGCCGATCAATACAGTAGTGCTTGGTGATGTCTCAGTTGGTCAAATAAATCCAGTTCGCCTTCCCTTGGTCTATTTTCATTGGCAGACAGGACCATTTACCTTCTCAACGGAGACATGAGCGGCTACCAATGGACATAAATTAGCCGCGCCGAACGGGTCTGCGGAATTAATTTCTTCGTAGTACATATTGGAAATACATACAAGCTGAAGAGAAGAACCGAAGGAACCGTAAGTTATCAATCCTGGCTTAGCCTGGGGCATTGTTAGTACGGAGTAAGGGGAAAGAATTTTCCATTTTCCCCGCATTTGTTCTGCATACACTAGAGCGGAGACATCATTTGGACAGAAGAGCCGCGGTTATAATTTACTCCTTTTACCCAATGGCTTAAGCGAGCGGGAAACCGTTCAATGATAACAGGAGCTAAGAGGGAGGGTCAGGGGAGAAGGTGCGTCTACAGCTTAACTCGGAAAGCAATCTCCGCACTGTGGGATTCGATAAGGCTATTAAATTAGGGTGAGGGGAAAAACCACAGCAAACCCCGTTTACCCGCGTCTGATAGTTTTCTCGGCTGTAACTCTTTTCCCATCCGCTCTCTAATTATTATTCGGAATCCCTCACGAGCCCGTTTCTGTACGATTAAATAGCTCTTTGGCCCATTGCAACTCACCTTCTTCTCGTCGTTACACCCAGAAGCAGTCATTTCAAGCACAGAAACCCACAGAGTTCTTCCCGTCATTCTCACTCAACCGGTGCCTGTCACCCAGCATGGATACAATCTTCAATTAATCAACAACACAGGAATCCGAATTCACCGTGTGCTCCAATCTATTATTCAAATCACATATACGGACAGCGTGACCGAATTTATACTCCTTCCCCCCATTATTCTGAGTACCCAAGCGACCTTGACAGCCTCCGAATACTCTTTTTTTTTCATCCACGGCTCGTGGGATTCTTACAAAAAAGCTCGTTTGGTCAGCCATACTGTCGACGACTCATCAGCGCGACTCAAAGCTTAGAATTGAAGATAACGATAGTGTTCTGAGAACCATATTACAGACAGGCATGGGTGAAAAAAACTTTTTTGCGGCGGGAACCGACGGTGCCAGCGGAGATGCCACCGATGATATCGGTTATGAAGGACATGGCGATTCTCATCCCTCGAGTCGCCAGCCGCGTCTCCAGCGGAGATTGAAAAGCAGACATCTACAGATGATTGCAATTGGTGAGTTTGTCCCCTCAACATGCGGGTAGATTTGTTGACATGTCTCTCAGGTGGCACAATTGGTACAGGCCTGTTTATCGGAAGTGGCGAGGCTATATCTCACGCTGGGCCAGTAGGGGCACTCATCGCTTATATGTTCATTGGTTCCATTGTGTTTTCGGTCATGACATCTCTTGGAGAGATTGCAACGTACATTCCCATCCCAGGGGCATTTACAGCATATGCCTCGCGGCTTGTTGACCCTAGCCTTGGGTTTGCCATGGGCTGGATCTACTGGTTCTCATGGGCCATCACTTTCGCGCTTGAGCTGACGGCTACTGGCCTGATTATCAAGTATTGGGACCATTCCATTCCCATCGAAATCTTTATTGCGGTTTTCTGGGTGATCATCTTTGCCTTTAACATGCTTCCGGTCAACTTCTATGGTGAACTGGAGTTTTGGCTTTCCAGCATCAAAGTTCTCACGGTCGTTGGGTTCATCATCTTTGGCATCTGCATCGATGCCGGCGCTGGCCAACAAGGATACCTTGGGTTCCACAACTGGGTGCATCCGGGACCCTTTGCTGACTATCTCGTGACTCCCGGCCCAACGGCCAAATTTCTTGGCTTCTGGGCGGTCCTCATCCAGGCCGGTTTCTCATGTCAAGGGACCGAGCTCGTCGGACTGGCTGCCGGTGAAAGTGAGAATCCTCGAAAGACGGTCCCATCGGCCATTCGCAAAACTTTTTTCGGATTCTCTTGTTCTTTGTTCTGACAGTGTTTTTCATCGGCCTGCTGGTACCCTCGACCAATAAGCGACTGCTTTCCTCGGCCTCGAACGCATCAGCATCGCCGTTTGTGATCGCGGCAGACTTGGCTGGCGTTCCCGTTCTGCCGAATCTACTCAACGCAGTCCTTTTGACGGTGGTATTGTCGGCTGCTAATTCCAACGTTTATACTGGCAGTCGTCTGTTGGTTGGATTGGCGCAAGAAGGCTTTGCACCTCATTGGTTTTCCAATACTACGAAAGGTGGTGTGCCATACAATGGAGTGGTGGCTACCGTCGCAATTGGCTTGCTCGGGTTCATGAATGTTTCCAACAAGGCAACAACAGTTTTCAACTGGCTCCTGAATATGTCGGCCGTGGCGGGGTTCATCCTCTGGGGCACCCTGAATCTCTGCCACATTGCGTTCATGCGGGCGCTTAAAGCCCGCAATATGTCTCGGGACATGTTGCCCTACAAGGCTCCATGGCAGCCTTTCCTGGCGTATTACGGATTGTTTTTCAATGTTCTCATCGCTTTGACCCAGGGCTTTACCGCATGGATCCCGGCATTTGATGTGAGTAGCTTTTTTGCGGCCTATATTAGCTTGATCCTGTTCGCCGTTTTCTACATTGTCCACAAGCTCGTGTTTCGAGACCCTCTGGTTCACCCACTCCAAGCCGATTTGGATACTGGCCGTCTGGAGATCGAAAATCAGCACTGGGAGGTTAGCACCCCTACCACCTGGTATGGCAAGGTCTGGCGGATCCTGGTGGATTAAGTAAGCCCTTTCAAGGGTTACTAGAGACGAGAATTGGTCTCGGGCAAGTTGACGTTGTTTCTGCGTTATCGGCGCTTGTAAATATTTCTTTCGAAATCATGCTGTCTTGTCATGGCGAGCGAATATAGAAATCAACGAAGGTCGTCACACGGTTTCGGTGCTGTGGAGGGTTCGGGTATGGCTACCTGGTGTTACCCTCGGTGTCTAGTAGTTCCATGGAATTTCGCAGCCTGATCCCTTTCAACGTAGTGAATGAAGTGAATAACATGAGCAAAGAACCAACCGCGGGTGACGATCCTCCTGGGGGCATGTGAAGTGGAAACTGCTCGACCCACATCGTCATCATCCATCGCACTGGTTTCCCCTTTAGAGCCGCCATGTGAGCCGAGGTCGCTTCGGTCACCAACAATTCTTCGGGGTATTAATTCTGGGGTAGTACATTATTGTTCGTTCATCCTTTCTTTCTTTCAGTTCACTCCTTCCACACTCTTCCCTCATCATGAACGCCCTGCAGCAATATTCGCAAACCGCGCTGGCGCGGCTGCCCGAGCCCGCCCAGCAGCTGTTGCGCACCCCGCTGGCCCAGAAAGCGCTCGGAGTCGTCATCGCCCTCACCCTGCTCCGCTCCACCAACAACTTCTTGTCGCGCTGGACCATGAACAACTGGCGGCGCAATGAGCCCTGGCGCTCTGAGCGGGAGCTCATCCTCATCACCGGCGGCAGCAGCGGCATTGGCAAGCAGGTTGTAGAAGATCTCGCTAAGACTGGCGTACGCATTGTGATACTGGACATCAATGAGCCTACCGAGGCGTTGCCCGCAAATGTGTCATTCTATCGCGCCGATATCACCTCGTCTGCGAGCATCGCCGACGTGGCGGCGACCATTCGGAGCAACCATGGTGAGCCGACTGTCCTGGTCAACAACGCTGGTGTAGGCCATGAGGGCACGATCCTCGAGGAGCCCGAGGCGAAGATCCGCCAGACCTTTGAGGTTAATACGATTGCGCATTTCCTGATGGTCAAGGAATTCCTGCCAGCCATGGTTCGGGCCAACCACGGCCATGTCGTGACCATTGCCAGCATGGCCAGCTTTGTCGCACTGGGCGAGATGGCCGACTACTGCTGCACCAAGGCGAGTGCCTTGGCCTTCCACGAGGCCTTGCGTCAGGAGCTTCGCTACTGGTATAAGGCGCCGAATGTGCGCACCAGCGTTGTCCACCCGCTGTGGGTGCGCACGCCCATGATCAAGGTCCTGACCGACAACGAAGTCCACTTCCGCCAGCCCATCATGACGCCCCAGGTTGTTTCCGACGCCATTTGCAAACAGATCTTGACGCAGAGCAGCGGCCAGGTGATCCTGCCCGCCAGTCAGTCCATCGCCAAGATTGTGCGCGCTATGCCCAACTGGATGCAGGAGGGCGTGCGGTCACTTGTCTCTGGCAATATGCACCACATGCGCCAATGCCAGCAGCGCGACCAGCAGCAGGGCAAATAGTGGCCGGGGATGGGAAAATATATGTATTTATTTATGATGTGTCTACGATAGTCAACCCAACAATGTACTGTGTGTGTCAAAAGAGCCAGTAGGACCGAAATTAGGCGCACCTCAAGGCAGCAAAGGAAGGAATCAATGTTATTAAATAGTTATAATAGTATCTATCCCCCTGGTTGAAAAGAGAAGAAGAATTCTTCTGACCGACGATGATGTTTGTCTTGTTTACAGTACATGGTGTTGCCTGAGGCGCCGCCCACCGTTCCCTCCAACCGTCTTTCTTTCTTGCTCATTCAGGCCAACCACCTCCAATAAATCATCTTCCACACTCTTCCTCTGTCTCTCTTTCGATGGGCTCCAAACGCGCCCGGGATGGTAAGCTCCTCCATCATCCAGCACCCCCCTCTCCGGCCACAGCCATGAATTCCACACGATCGACGGCGCTGCCCATCTTCGAGACGTTCCGCGACGAGCTTGATGAGCACCATGACCGCCGTGAGCGCATTATCAAGACTAGCCGCGATATCACCGCTCTCAGCAAAAAGATGTATGCCCTCCCGCTTGTCTCTAATTGTCCGGCACTAACGAAAGCTGCTCCCAGTATCTTCGCCCTGCAACGGTAATCCCACCCTCATTGTCTCTCTCCCAACGAAAGAACCCCGTGTTGATTGCTGGCAGTATCCGTACCGTCAAACAACCCCTGCCACCCAAGATCGACCAGGAAAATGAGTCTCGTTACGAACAGATCCGGGCGCTCTTTGCGTCGGTGGTCCTCGATCTTGCCGGAATCAAGGCGTGGCGGTACCAAAGGCAGATCAGCTCGGGCCTCCAAGAGTTTGTGGAGGCCATTGCCTTTGAACACTACCTCCGAACCCAGACACTACTCACGCATGATGAGGCGGCCGCGCAGATCCCCACCGGGATCTCCCTGTCGGAGGAGGACTACTTGATGGGCCTGTTCGACATGACGGGTGAGGTGATGCGGTTTGCCGTTTTGGCATTGAGCTCGGGCAATGCGTCCCAGGTGACGGAGTTGACGGGCGCCGACGGAGACTCCAACCGGGCCGCAACCAAAACCCCTAGACTGGCGCAATCTCATGCGGACCTCGTCATAGATTTGCGCGCCATGCGAGCCCAGTTCGAGTCCCTCAGTATGCCCCACCGCCACAACATGCTACGCGATTTTGTCAAAAAGGTCGAGGTGATGCAGACCAGCGTGGAGAAAGTTGAGCGGGCAGCGTATGGGGTTCTAGTCCGGGGCAGCGAGCGCCCCAGCGGGTGGACACCGGACTTGTCGGGGCCCGTCGAGGTGGAGATTCACTGATCGGCGAGGTGTCGTTCTCTAGCAACTACTGCCTTGCTAGCCTACCGTGTACAACAATAAATGATTATTGAGATCGTGAACAACAAAAACACACTGTTGCTACGGGAAGCGCGTCATGGTGACATCACCACGGCTGAGGGTGTCAGAAGAGTAAGAATAGGGCACAAAGGGATTCGGGAAGTGAGTGAGAAGAGAGCCCGAAACCCCCCAACAGAAATCAAATAACGCCGCGGAAACCCAGTATTCCCGATCGCCCATCTCTGTTCTTCGGCTCACGCGCTCGTAGCGTTGTTGCCGAGTCAAGCCGAGCGCGGATCTTCTTCCTCCGATAGGATCCCTTGGGAAATCAAGTCCTCGGGCTGTGGGCGGTTCTGAATCTTGTGCTCGAGACTATCGGCGAGCATATTCTTCTCGAGCTCGCGGGCGTGGGCCTGCAGGCTAGGCGCGGCGGTAGACGCGGGAAGGATGTTTCCTGTATTCGTGGGGAATCAGCTCAGTCATGTACTCATAGAGAGAATAATGTGGAAGATGAACATACGCTCGATCAGCTCCTCGCGCTCTGGTCGCTTCTCGAGATTCCGCTTCAGGTTGTCCGTGGCGCGCTGGCGATCCAGGTCCTGGCGTGCGGCTTGGAGGGATCTATGTGGAGCGGGAAGGATTAGTACCTATCCATTCAAGCCAAGCGTAAGACGACACCCGTACGGAGCGACGTTGGTGTCGAGCAGGATGTGGCGGTCCTTGAGGTCCTGCATATCCGGACGGGTCTGTAGGTGCTTCTCGAGCGAGTTCCGGCGCTCCGAGGAGGCGGCGGTGAGGGGGGTGTTGTCGATGTTGGACATGGTGAGTGGATGACGATGAAGGTTATGGGGTAAGTGAGTTCAGTGATGGCGAGGAAGGGAAAGAAGCAGAAGAAGAGAAGGGAAAAGAAGAAGAGGAAGAAGAAAGAGAAAGAGCGTCCGGTCCAGTCGAGTCAGTCCAGTCAAGTGACGTGGTGTTCTGCGGGGAACCCTTGTCATTCATTGATGAACCCTAACTCAGTCTTATTCTATATATAGTAGAGGTAGATAGACACCACTAGAACACCGTCCCCTTCACCTGCGCCACTCTCTTCAAGTCGATGTTGCGGATCAGCAGCATCCATACAAACGCCAGCCCAATAATCCCCGTGCCCACCGCCAGCATCCTCGCCTGCGAATATGCATACGCCTTTTGGATCGCGATCCGCGTCGGGCTTCCCATCGGATATTTCACCTGCGCTGGCACCTTCTCATAGATTACCGCTAGGTGTGGCAGCGCAGACGCAGGGAGATATCGCTTCAGCGCCTTTTCGAAGGTGTTGCTCCAAATGGCACCGCAGATCGTCGCACCCGCCGAATCGCCAATGGTGCCCACTACATTCAGCAACGCCAGCACGCCCGCCACATGCTGATGGTCGACGGCGGCCAAGATGGCAATTTGTTGCACGATGAGGAAGATACTGCCGCCGATTGAAATGAAGATTTGGCACATCACAATATACCCGATGGACTGGTCCGGGCGCCGGAAGTAGATCATCAAGCCCTGCGCCAGGACGTAGAGCGGCACGGCGATGTACAACGTCCACTTGAATCGCCCTGTGAACCGGATCGCCGCACCGACGCCCAGCAGCAGAACACCAGAAACCACGTCAAACGTGTTGTTGACATACCCGGCCTCAGCGATCGAGAGGTTGTTGACGACGCGCAGGAAGGAGGTGAAGTAGTTGTTCCAACAGTAGTATGAGAGCTGGTAGGTCGCATCGAGGAGACAGGCGCCAATGACGGTCCGGTTGCTCAATAAGGTGAGGTTGAACATCGGCACTGGCGCCAGGAACGTCTCGTAGGCTGCAAAGACCCAGAGCATCACGAATCCAACCACCAGCATCGCAATGATATAACCCGTCGCCCAGCCGTCAGGGGCCGCGGAAGCGATATCAAACGGGAGGAAAAACACAGTGAGGCCGACAGAGAATAGGATGACGCCCGGTACTGCGTGCAATCAGTATTTCGCTCGCCATAAGGACCATAGTACTCACAGTCAAACTGCATGGAGTAGTACCAGATGCTCTGGAGGATGGTCCGGCCGCTCTTTTCCCTGACCAACACACCCTCCTTTCGAGCTTTGCGAACGTTGAACTTGAGCACAAAGAACAGAGGGGCTGCGACGATCGGAAAGATGATTGCAAAGCATCCAAACGCCCATCGCCAGCTGATCTGGTAGTAGAACTTTTCGGATGCCTTGGCTCCCGCGAATGCCGTGATGATATAGGGCGAAGAGGTGAACGCGTAGGCCAAGCCTCGATTCTTCAGTCGGGACACATCTGCCGTGATCACATCCACACAATATGTCATACCGGAAAACCCCAGAGTCCAGAAGACCTAGTATCTCATCCGTTAGCATTTGCAGTGATGATTTGTGCATGACTAGCCTGGCAGCCTTACATATGCAGCGCAGAAAGTCGCCAGATTATTGCAGACCGCCATGAGAACCAATCCCAAGGTTGCAACAACTGCCATGAACAGAAAGCCTTCCGCTCGGCCCCAGACATCCATGATCTTCGCTAGCGGTATGTAACAGGCCGCGCTAACGGAATCTGCAACGATATAAATAACATTTAGCAGCGAGTGAGACTCGAATGCACTCGTGACATAAGGGGTCAAGTTGTAACAGATCGAGCTTTGGAATGCATTGACAAAGTAAAGGAGCCAGATGCTGTTCAGGACGAACAGTGTCAGCCACAGCATCACACAGGGAAGAGGGCCGGCGAGAAGAATCAAAAGAACATACTTGAGGAAGACCATAAGCAGCATCGGCTTCGACCATGTTAGGGTCATTGCTTCAACATCCCGAACTCCGCCTTGTAGATCCTCACTCGGAAGATCCGCCTGGAGCTCATCCTTGCCGGTGTTGACTGCGGCGTCATCGGCAACGGGATCCCTCTTGCTTTCTTCAACTGCAGTTACGGTATCCGTATTATCGGTTTTTGTTCGATGGAACGCCCTTCGGAAGATGGGGAGGACTGCCATTGTGGTTGACTAGGATAGAGGAGACCTGAAAACAAAAGTGAATGAGTGGGAGGGAGATCTTTTCCCTTATAGAACGAAATCCCTCCACCAAAATCCCGAAGTCGGCTGTTAAGCATGCCGTAAGTTAACAGTCGTGCAAGCGTCAAAAGTGAATGAGTGGGAGGGAGATCTTTTCCCTTATAGAACGAAATCCCTCCACCAAAATCCCGAAGTCGGCTGTTAAGCATGCCGTAAGTTAACAGTCGTGCAAGCGTGATCTCGCATCTTCATTCGTCCACGGATAGAACGCGCGAAAATTCGTCCCCCTACAACGACCCACCGAGACAGGTAGTAGCTTGGCTCTATCTAATCAGATGATCTTATCTAACATGAACTATACTAGACAGAGTAAGGTTGGTATGCAGATTACGTGGTTCGGTCCTACTAGCCCCGCTCGCTTCCTCTGTGCGAGGGAAATGAATTATGGGACCTGGATCGAAGGTCATTTTGTTGTCTCGGCTCCCGCGCCAATTCCCACAACCGCACAGTCAAGCAAAGCCATCCTGAGCCAGCTTGGTACTCTACCGCAAAGAACTCTTGAGACCGAAAGCCAACGGATCAGCTCGGAATCTCTCGGTCCCGATGACGCTAACTAGTTTCAGTACCATCCCTCGTGGATATTACCACTTTCATAATGTGGCGTGAGGGCCTCATCTGATAAAAATGAATCAACTCCACCAGAGCAATGATTATTGGCATCATTTCCGCCACTAAGCCATAAAAGCCTCAATCTGCAGGAGAATTTGCTGAATCTTTTCCCTTCGGGACAAATCGCCGCGGTCGCCTCTGCAAGCTTCGGATACAAGTCAGTTCAGTGGTCCTTTTTCTTTACAAGTGCCAATTGAGAGCATTGCAACGATCAGATTAGAGCTCATTTACGTAATGTCCGAAACATGAAGGGCGGGGCCAATAAACTCAGAACTGGACGCAGTGGAACACGTTCAGATCAAGTACAGGTGTCAGGAACACTTAAACAGAAACTAGTCAGATCCCTATTACACTGATCTACAGGTAGAGATCTGTCTGTGCAAACCGGAAGAGCAGCCGAACAGTTCCACACTAGTTGTCGCATACGTCCGCACTCGGTTGCGCATCCTTGGTCAACTGGGAATTTGCTTGGCTTTCTCAGAGTGGAGATGAATGAGCGACATCGGCCAGACCGTTTCCGACATGAGCCAAGCAGGGTTCTCCGCTATGGTGCTTGCAACCTGACAAGGAAAAAAAGAGGACCAGTCAGGTAGAGCTGCGGGCCAGCTTCCTTCCAAGCGAAAAAGAATACATATTCATGATCCTAGACGAAACCAGTGTATCGAGATGTTCGGGACCACCCGACACTTTGGGGAGTGTAGATCGTGCACGATTATTATATATTCGCTGCAAACACAGTTTTAATGATTTGGAACATTTTGAACCTTTTTAGTTAAATAATGACAGCTGACTTTTTCTTGCCTTAATCTTTCCTTGTTTTGGGTCCCAGCTGGGATCACCCAGGAATTCGCTAAGAGTACCTTGCCCATTTGGACCAACTCCTCTGTGTACTCCCAGGTGCAGAACTTGGGAGTAGGGACTCGGGCTCGCTCGAGCCCATTTCGAGACGCCGGAGGTTCCTGCTGCAGTGAACCCGTCCGTTGATTATGGATACTCACAAGATACAGCAATACAGAAATTGAAAATAACCTCCCTCTTTAGCGATTTTTGGGCTGTCATCTCTTGCCCATGTTTTATAGCCCAGAATAATGCCGAACTTCCATGATGCTGTACGTCGTAGTGATAAAGATAGGGATTTAGGTGCTTGTAAAGGAAGGTATTTGTTCGAGAAAAGGCGTCTATATGCTCCGCGCGTTCTAGACGCTCTGCGATGCCCTGCAGTAGCTCATTTGGTAAACGAAGTAGCATCTCAAAGGTTTTCGCTTCACGGTAAGTGAGCTGAGGGAAGGAGGGCACGAGCGGTAGCATGTGTATAGCAGTTTCGCATAAAATACAACATTCACAGTCTCGCCAACATCATGTAAAATACAAGCTCTATTCTAGTAAGCGGAGGTTCTACTTTTGGTGAATCCCTGGGTACTCCTAGGTACATGCCCGTTGCAATGACTGGCGGATGTTGGCCTGACAGCCGAGGCAGCATCCCGGGTAAACTCTTCTCATCTCGGCACTGGGTCGGCACTGACAACCAGCTGTAGCTCTTGCTGCCCTTGTATACTCTTGGATGTATGTATGCCCTGCGCAGAATAGCAATCCGTCCTCTATCTTTCCTTCCTAGCACAACCCGCACCATGCGTCTCCCCTACGCCCCGTCCAGCCCTCCCGCCGATGCGCCCGCCGACACCGCGGATATCTACACCCGCATTGCCGCCCGGCGGAATCCCCGCCCACTGATACCCCTCGACTTGTCGCTACTACACAGCCCGCCGGTCGCCGATGGCTGGAACAGCTTCCTAGGTGCGATCCGGTCGCGTACGATTGTTGATGCTGGTCTGCTGGAACTCGCCGTCTGCCGCGTCGCTGTGCTGAATCACGCTGTCTACGAATGGAACGCCCATGCCCCGCTGGCTCTCAAGGGAGGTATCCAACCACAGGAGCTCCAGGCTGTCCGCACACTCCCTTCTGTGGCCGATGATGCGACTCCTCTCGCATCAAGTGCGCTCACTCCGCGCCAACGCGCTGTCCTGCGCTACACCGACCAGATGACCCGCTCCGTCACCGTTCAGGACGAGGTCTTTGTCCAGCTGCAGGTGGTCGGATTTAACGACCGTGAGATAGTCGAGCTCACAACCGGTATTGCGGGTTACAATTGCGTCAGTCGGTTCCTCGTTGCTCTTGACGTGGGCGAGAATAATGCCCGAGAGATGAAAAGCGTCGACGAGCTGGTCGCCGCTTTATAATACTCCGGATGCAGGAATTGCCCTGCATATCTGTGATAGGACATTGAAATGTGGGTATAGCTTGATCCCGGATCTGTATATGTAGTCTCTAAATTGATGTTGAGCCTGTGGTTCACGTTTTAATCTAAAATGATGGTTGATAAAGTCAATGAACGTGTCATTTCAAGACATTGAACTAAACTGAGATATATAAATTACGTATCGACCACCTGGCCACTTTGTTCATCCAGTTTATGGGCAATCGTATCTTGAAGCACAAGGGCTCACTCCACATAACCTTTCCGAAAATAATCCGGGTTGCTGAGTATAACGGGCTCAGCTTGGTTTGGCTGTGCCCTCTCCTAGCCCCGGGACTGTGAAACGAAGCCGCTTCTTCAAGTTGATGAAATGCAATCAGCGCAACCACTTTGCACTGCAATCATTTTGAAATGCCCCTCAATTCATTCCTCAGAACGTCCAGTGCTCGACCTTGGCTCTGCACAGGAGAGATCCGGCAACTCGCGGACGACTTTGTTTTGTACCTCCACCTTGTTACCGGCTGTCTTACCCATGTTGTACAGATGTCGTCTCTCTACGAACCAAATGCCGCGTTGAAGTCATCCCTGTCCTGGGATTGGCTAGAGAACCAGTCCGGATCGCAGGAACCAGCCTGGTTGTTTGTACAGTATGCCCCCGCATACATCTCAACGCCTCTACTGGCATAGTTGATGCTTACAACCCCAGTTGCCAATTAGATGCAATTTGAATCCCTATCACCGGAAGAGGGTGTTTTAGCTACAATCAAGCCATAGAAACTCCCTGGACAGTGACTTAATGCCCTCCTTAGTCAACGATGCCGCTGTCCCAACAGAAGAGGCATGATCACCGAGAGCATTTGAAGATACAAGTCACCAAAAGGGCAAAGGAAGCAACAGTTAGAAATGAGGTAGTTATACCGGGCCCCAGGACTTGGGTGTACAACTATTTTTAATATTTCCTGGACTGCTTATCGAGCCCTTTTATTTTAGTCAAGTTGTCAGCGATTGTTCAGTCATGGCTTAATCTCCCACTTCTCACATTCTGACACTGACATCACCAGATCGCTCTTTCACCGCGCTGATAGACCCTTTACCCAATGTTGTCTATCCTCAGCTGCTGTTTAAAGATGCGACGGAGGACAAAGGAGTGGAAAGAAATTGAAGGTCAGACCTAGTTTTGACGCTCGTTCTCCGTCATATTTTCTAAGGTTGCCAATTAGAAACAGCGTGTCCTCCTGAAAAGCCCTTTGCCCGCACCGCTTCCGAGAATATCCTGATGATGCAAGCATTTGAATGGCACGTACCGGACGATCAGCTCCACTGGCAGCGCCTTCGAAAGTTATTACCGAGCCTCAAGGATATCGGGGTTGACAATCTCTGGATTCCACCAGGTTGCAAGGGAATGGACCCATCTGCGACGGGTTACGACATCTACGACATGTACGACTTGGGGGAGTTCTATCAGAAGGGATCCCGCGCGACAAGATGGGGACCGAAAGAGGAATTACAAGCGCTTGCTTATGCTGCCCAAGCTATCGGAATTGGGATATATTGGGATACTGTGTTGAATCATAAAGCCGGTGCGGACTTCACCGAACGATTCAAAGCAGTGAAAGTCGACCCACGCCGTACGTGCTTTTAAAGCATGACTGATTAACCAGGCTAACAGGCGCCAGAGAGAAATATTGAGATTGCGCCACCAGGAGACATTGAAGGTTGGGTTGGCTTCGACTTTCCCGGTCGCAGAGGAAAGTACAGCTCCATGAAGTATCGCTGGCAGCACTTTACAGGGGTCGACTGGGATGACATGGGCAGTGAGCATGCAATTTACAAGACTTGTGGATACAAGAAAGGCTGGGCCATGGACGTTAGTGACGAAAGCGGCAATTATGATTATTTGATGTTTGCCAACTTGGACCATTCTCACCCAGAGGTTCAAGACGATATCTTCAAATGGGCAGAGTGGATCGGAACCGAGATTCCCATCAGTGGCATGCGAATCGATGCAGCAAAACACTACTCTGCTGCCTTCCAGAAAAAGTTTATTGATCATTTGCGGGCCAACGTTGGAGCCGATTATGATCTGGTGGGAGAATACTGGAGGGGAGAGGTAGGCCTACTTCTTGAACATCTTACATTGATGGATCATCAGATTTCCTTGTTTGATGTACCTCTGGTTGGTCGGTTTTCGGTTATCTCGAACGCAAAGAGCGCAGACCTACGGCAAATTTTCAAGGGCACCCTGGTGGAACAGAGACCAAGGCACGCAGTGGTAAGTTTGGCCGTTGCGAACAAAGGAACAGGACTGAATTAGTTGGATCTAGACATTTGTTGGAAATCATGATACGGTAAGTTACTGGAGATAAATGTGCATGAACCTAGCTGATATCGAACAGCAGCCAGGGCAATCATTAGAAGTGAGAATTATCGATTTTTCAATGTGGAAGGAAGCTCACGAGCCTCACAGACCCCGATTGCACCATTCTTCAAACCTCTTGCATATGCTTTGATCCTCCTCCGATGGCAGGGACGGCCGTGTATCTTTTACGGTGACCTCTATGGAATTCGAGGAGGACCCAAACCAAGGCTCGGGCCTTCGTGTGGTGGGAAACTTCCAATTCTCACCCGCGCCCGTAAACTCTATGCGTATGGCGACCAGCGAGATTATTTTGATAAGCGGCACTGCATTGGTACGTATAAAGCACGCTTCATGCTTAACCCATCATGTTAACAATTCCCGATCAGGGTTCGTACGCTACGGGGACCTGCATCATCCCTTTGGGCTTGCGTGCATTCTCAGCGATGCGGCAGCTTCCCAAAAGCGCATGTACATTGGCCGCGGCCATGCTGGGGAGGAATGGACAGATATTCTTCAGTCACGAACTGGAACGGTCGTGATTGATGATCGTGGTTATGGCATTTTTTCGGTAGCTTCGAAGAGTGTCAGTGTTTGGGTGAACTCTCGAGCGGAGGGAAGACAAAATATTGCTCGACATTTGTAAGTGTAATTCCCTCTCGCTGGATCAGTCTCTGGAATATGGCAAATTTCTTTGAATATCCTAAAAGTGAGTTATTGCTAACCGAATGCTCAACCGTAGCAACACGGATATCTATAAACTCTAAGATGTTATTTGAGGTTCGCGAATAGACCGGCATCAAGGTTTATTAGAATGTTTTAGTTCCGCTATGATTGCCTACCTACGCGGCGGAGATGAGCTTCAATATCCTGTTAAATATCTGAGATGTCGTGGCTCGAAGGAAAAGTTAGCCAGTACATTTAAGAGAGTAGCACGATGGGCACAAGTTGAAAGATGTCTATTGTTCAAAATGAATACGGCATATACAGCAATCTATAACACACGGCCGAGCAGATCAGTTCCAAAAGGCTTTCTGCAGGGCGTCACACATCAAGGTAATGCACCTCTTGCCCTCGGACAGCACTCCATCCATCGCCAGGAACGGATGTGGCATCCCCTTCATCACCTGCAGATCCACCTCAACGCCAGCCTTCTGGAGCTTCTCGGCATATTGCTCGCCTTCGGTGCGCAGGACATCCACCTCACCCACCATGACCAGCGCAGGGGGTAGCTTTGACCAGTCACCCTGGTAGAAAAGCGGACTCGCTTCTGGGTTGGTACAGTCCACTACATTGGGGAGGTAGTGGTTACGGTACCAGAGCATCTTGAGTGCTGGCAAAGCCGCGGTATGCTCATATCGGCGGTACGACTCGTTGTTGTCCACAGTCGCCGTGTTGTCTGTCACCGGGACGGAGAGCAACTGGGCACGGAAATGCACCGGTGGTGATAGCTTCAAGGCCTTGTGCGTTACAACTGCCGCAAGGTTGCCGCCCGCAGAGGAGCCACCGGTTGCAATCTTGGAGGGATCGATCGATAATGTGGCGGCACCGTCCGAGATGAGCCAGAGAAGTGTCTCCCAGCAGTCATGTACTGCAGCTGGGAAAGGGTTCTCCGGTGCAAGACTGGTCAAGTGAAACCATTGATCAGCTTCCCCGCATCGCCCTCATCGTATGCAGCACAGACTTACCGGTAGTCGACCGTCACCACTACACAGTTGCCGCGGACGCACAAATTCGAGCAAACCACATTTTCAGTATCGATGTTACCAAGCACCCAGCCACCACCGTGGAAGTACAGCATGACGGGCCATCCGCCGGCGGGCTGGTCGCCCTTGGGCGTGAAACAGCGGATCGGGACCGGAGGACCCTCGGAGACCCGACGTTGGAGAGTCATGTCCTGTGTCTTGCCGACTTCGAGCATGGGACCGGCACCAGGAATCAAGACACCGCTGGTGCGCGAAGCCTCGACGGGCTGGTAGTGGACTTGTTGGTTGTTGATGACATACTTGTTGTAGAAGTCGACATACTCCGGGTCCAGCAGGTCCTTGACGGACTCGTGGATGGGATAGGGGGGTTGCGGAGCAGACATCGTGTGTACGTTTGAGGGACTGAGTGAGACAGGGAGAAGAAGACAGAAAAGAAGAAGAAGAAGAAGAGGAAGAAGACGAAGGAGACCCCCACGCGCTGGGTGGGATGACGCGGGGGATAACCGATAAGGATTTCCTATCGTGGCAACAGATCGGCTGCCCACTCGAGATGCGGATTAATAAAGTAATGAGGTATGAAAAGCCGCTGCTTCGCCTTCCCGCGCAAGGAGTAAAGATCCTTCACATCATCCTCACCATGTCTTCCAAAACTGCCGTGCTCACCGACAAGGCCCCCAAGCCCCTGCCGGGCATCTACTCCCAGGCCATCATCGCCAATGGCGTCGTATACTGTTCCGGCGCAGTGGCGATGGATCCTACGACCGGCAAATTGGTCGACGGCGATGTCAAGGCCCACACCGTACGTATAGTCCGCCCACTGGAAAACAGAGATCTGACAACTCGCCAGCACCAATGCATCAAGAACTTGACCCATATCCTCGAGGAGGCCGGTACCGACATCACCAAGGTGGTCAAGGTCAACGTGTTTCTGTCCAACATGGACGACTTTAGCGAGATGAACTCGGTGTACATGCAATACTGGGGTGATGTGAAGCCCTGCCGGACGTAAGTTTGTTTCCCTCTGGCGGTGTGCCGTCGAATGCTGATAAGTGGTCCCTTGCAGATGTGTTGCTGTCAAGACGCTGCCATTGAACACGGATGTGGAGATTGAATGCATTGCGGTGCTGTAGATAAAGCAAATGACAAATGAAGCTACATTGCAATTGAACAGCGTGTTCTATATATAGATTGAATCGGAGGTAGCGGGAACCATCACGTGTGAGGTCTGGAGGACCTATATTCTCTCCCCTGAGCGCCTCACGCCAGTCATGTGGGCCAGATTTATTCAATTAGAAATCTTGAACCCATTTCCTTTGGTCAGACACACGAAGCCTCTAGATTTGGAAGCCGGTCTGTCGTTTCCAGCCATTGACAGTTGCACAGATCGTGCGATTGTGTCAGAATGGGCAAGTCAAACACAAACATGTCAGACAATGTCAGTCCGGAAAATATCCTGCTGACACTTGCTGCATGATCTCGGACTTATGGCCGACCGGAGGTCGCGTTTTGCTGAAAAATCAAAATAAAGTATAGAGTTGAAAAGAATTAGCCGGGCTTGCCTGGACCGCGCCCGAATAGGTAGTGGGGCCCGCGGCTAAATTGGTTGTTCGGGCCCGCCATAACTAACGAAGTAGTAACGTCCACCTCATCCACTCCAACCCTTCTTTTCTCCTCCCCCCTTCCCCTCTCTCTCCCGCGATACTCTTCTCCATGTGGTCTCCTTCGAAAATGTCATCTGCTGCGCCCCGGCCGTTGGAAGGCAAGATTGGCATCGTGACCGGTGGTTCACGCGGTAAATCGACCCCTCATCATCACTCGCGGGACAACGCTGCTAACGAATAATGCGCAGGTATCGGCGAAGCAATTGCACGAAACTTGGCCGCCAAAGGCTGCTCTCTGCTTCTCAACTTTACCTCCGAGTCCTCCCGTGCCCCGACCGAGGAGCTATGCGCCTCGCTGGCTGCGACGCATGCGATCCGGTGTGAGAGCGTGCAAGCCGATCTGAGCCAGCCCGAGACCGCCGTGTCGGCCATCGTGACCGCCGCGAAGAAGCATTTCAGCTCGGGCACCAAGCTCCAGATTGATATTCTCGTCAATAATGCGGGCGTGTCGCAGGACCGCAACCTAAACGACGCTGCCAAGGGCCCCATCAACGCCGAACATTTCAACTGGCACTACACCATCAACGTCCTCGCCCCACTCCTTCTCACACAAGCCATAGCCCCTTTTCTCCCTACCGACCGCAGCGGTCGCATCGTGAACATCTCGAGCGTCTCGTCCTCCATGGGTTTCGTGGGACAGTCCATGTATGGTGGCACCAAGGCGGCCCTCGAGGCCATGACCCGGACCTGGGCCCGTGAGCTGGCAGACCGCGCCACCGTTAATGCCGTCAACCCCGGCCCGGTGATTGGTGATATGTACTTCAAAGCGGGAGAGGACTTCTGGAAGGATATTCAGGGATTCCAAGATAATACGCCCATGAGCAAGCTCGACGAGTCCGACGCGGAGACGATGGGGCGCTTGACGAGAGAGCAGGCTCGTCTGATCAAGGAGAAGATGGGTGGCCGGCGTCCAGCCTTCACGAGTGAGATTGCTGGGGTGGTGGGTATGCTCTGCACTGTAGACGGAGTGTGGTGCACTGGTAGTGTAATCTGCGCCAATGGTGGAATGCGGATGGGCCTGTAGCGGATTGGTGGGCCAAGAATAGATATTGCATGGTAGTTATATAAATTGATCGATGATCAAAACCTGCCTAGAATGATGGACAATTCCAAACCAGATGGTGGAAACACCGCCAGGAGACTCGAATCAGCCTTTGCTAATTTGTAGACCTGAGAGTGCAATAGGACATTTCCGACATGCTGGTGTGGTTGTTGACGGCTGCTAATTACGTGGCAGGTCCTTGTTGCTATAGTAATCCTAGATCCCCATTCGAAATAGATCTTTTTCATACAGGTCTTATGGTAATGGCAAAGCTTTTCTCGAGCCTAGATTGAATTTTGCATTGCAAAAAATATAATACCCCCATATGTTAAGAATTCCCGCTATCCTAATAGTGCCCGCCTCCAAAATCGTTGCCATAGAGTCTGTAACTAGTCGAATCCACCTGCCAGTGGCCGCCCTATTGTTACTGGATTGAAAGGAGGGCGATCATTAGGTTGTGGTCGAGTTGATGGGTGAGGTTGTTGCCTAGCTGTTACATAGTTGTGATCTACAGAGAAGAGGTGGAATGCAAAGGGATCATAGTATTTCTCGAGCCGACAATTGGTCAAGCCGCGCGACTAGGTTAAATCACCTCGCCCTGGCCGGCCCCAGTCGCCGCGGATCCACTAACAGGAAAGGGAAACGAAAAAGAAGTGTATGTATATGGCCACAAAAGTTAAATTTAAAGTTCGTGATGGCCGAGCGGCTCGTCGTCCTCTAGGGCAGAATCGCAGGGCTTGCTGATGATCGGGTAGGCAACACTAGGGAGCTGCTCCTTATGCTCCTCGAAGTTCTCAGCCTCGAAGTTCTCAGCCTCGAAGTCCTCAGTAGAAGCAATAGCATGCTTGTCGTCCTCATCGATCTGGCCACCCAGGCCCTTCTCGTCGTTGACCTGGTTCTTCAGGCTAAATTTGTATTTCTCTAGTCTGTTGCGGGCCTCGATCTTAGCCTTTATCGACTTATCTTCCTCAGCGAACTCCTCGGCTTCCATTACTATGCGCTCGATCTCCTCCTGGGTCAGACGACCTTTGTCTTTAGCGATTCTTATCGACTCCTCCTTGCCAGTAGCCTTGTCGCTAGCGCTGACCTTGAGAATACCGTTGGCGTCGAGGTCGAACGACACCTCGATCTGAGGGACACCACGCGGCGCCGGGGGGATACCGGTCAGCTCGAACTTGCCAAGCAAGTTGTTATCCTTAGTCATCGACCGTTCGCCCTCAAACACCTGGATCAGGACCGTAGGCTGGTAGTCGGCCGCAGTTGAGAAAATCTGCGACTCGCGATTAGGAATGACACTATTACGGCGGATGAGCTTAGTCATTAGACCTCCAGTGGTCTCAATACCCAGTGTCAGAGGGTTGACTTCCATAAGATATTGAGGTAGATGACCATCATCATTAGCGAGCCGATCACTCTGAATAGCGGCACCAAAAGCGACAGCCTCATCGGGATTAACACCCTTGCTCGCCTTCTTGCCACCGAAGAACCCCTCCACAAGAGACTGAACCTTGGGAATACGAGTAGAACCACCAGCAAGAATAATGTCATCAACCTCGGATTTCTTGACCTTAGCATCCTTGAGCACCTGCTCCACAGGCTTCAGGGTCTTCTTGAACAGATCTATGTTCAGTTCCTCAAACTCGGCCCGAGTAAGAGTCTCAGAGAAATCTCTCCCATTGTAGAAGGCCTCAATTTCAATGCGAGTGGACATCTGCGAGGAAAGCGTTCGCTTAGCCTTTTCAACCTTACGGTTCAGCTTGTCTATGGCCTTAAGGTCCTTAGTGGCATCGACGTTGTTCCTATTGTTGTACTGCTTGATGAAGTGGTCCATCACGCGGTGATTGAAATCCTCACCACCAAGGTGGCTATCTCCAGCGGTAGCTAGGACCTCAAAGACGCCGTCCTCGACAGACAGGAGAGAAACATCGAAGGTCCCACCACCCAGGTCGTAGACAATGACTAAGCGCTCACGCTCGCCCTCGCCCATCTTGTCCAGACCATAGGCGATAGCGGCGGCGGTAGGTTCATGGACCACCCGGAGGATTTTGAGGCCGGCAATAGTACCGGCATCCTTAGTAGCCTGTCTCTGCGCGTCATTGAAGTAGGCGGGGACCGTGACAACAGCGTGAGTGACTGTCTCGCCTAGGTAGCGCTCAGCGATATCCTTCATCTTGCCTAGGACCATGGCGCATACTTCCTCTGGGGTCAGGGTCTTAGGGGAGTTGTTGATGTCGAGCTTGACGTGGGGCTTGCCATCCTTATTGATGACCTGAAATGGGAAGGCCTTGATATCTTTCTGGACATCCTTGTCATCAAACTTACGACCAATCAGACGCCTAAAACTCCTATTAACAGATTAAAGAAAATTGTGAATCTAGACCACACTTACCTGATGTCAAAGATGGTCCGGTGTGGGTTGGCAGCGTATTGGTTCTTCGCGGCGTCACCAATCAGACGCTCCTTCTCCGTAAAAGCGACGTACGATGGGGTAAGTCGATTTCCTTGGTCATTGACTAGGATCTCGACCGTGCCATTCTGCATCACACCGACAGAACTGCATGCGAGTTAGCCCGTCTCAGATTATCGAGACAGGATCATACGAATAGGTGGTTCCCAAGTCAATACCAATAATAGATCCCCAGTTTTCCTCCTCTACCACCTCAGCGTTGGTGGGGGTGCCAAAGAAAGCTAGAGGCACAATAAGTACAAGGAAGTAAAAGACGGTGGTCCAAGTGAAAGACAAAAACGCGCCGTCGCGTGGCAGTAGGCGCGGCATTATGGATGTGAGATTTTTTTTGTCTAGGGCCCCAAAGAGGAAATAAAACAAGCTATCGAGAGCTTCAATTGCGCGCCGCCTAGCGATTAAAGGAGCGCAAACAGCAAACACTGGATAAATCCCGACCCAGGACTAGACTATGAAGAGGGAGGGCAAGGGAGATAAGGGGGATGGACGGGAATAGGGAGAGGGATTGGAGAGACAGGAATAAGTTGGAGGAGTCAAATTAACTGTGCTCGCGAGAAGTACACCGTGTACTTTGCTAAAGTTAGGCTGTACCAATAATCACGTGAGGTGCTTATGTCCGTGGAGGAGTACGGCAGGGTATAACGTTAGCGGCCACCCTGCCAAATTAGTAATCCTATATTCCCCCATATCACCCCATGGGTATCCTGGGACAAGGTGGTTATCGGTCAGTGCGCCAAAGTTGCTAAACCACAGCATTCCTGACGAGAATCTCTCTCGTATGGGTCCGGAGGCCAGATATTCTATTGCACTCAGATCGGTATCATATGCCACGTTAGTGGCGGTTTCGTTCGCCTTGGTCGAAGGCCTATACAACTCTAGCGTCTCACGAATTGCGGCTGTCGCTTTGAACACGTCTTGACTGAAAAAAGAGAACCAACTATGGAAATTATCGTCCAAAACAGTTCACTGACTGCAGTGTGGGACACTAGATTCGGCGCGGGCTCGCGGAAAATTCGTAATGTCATTGCATGCCGCAGTGCTCCTTGAATGCGATTAATATTAAGGTTACATCTCTCAGCAATGTCAGCATAAGATATAGTGTCATCCAGAGGGACGACGTTCCAGATATCGAAGTAGTCGAGAACTTGCAGACAGGACATATCATGCTGGGCCTGAGAATGCGCCATAACCACATCAGCACTAGGCCACCTATTATATTCAGGAAAGAGAGGGAAGATACCACAAGCGGCTGAATAGTCCCCATCCAACTCGGCCCTACCATCAGATTATGCAGACACTTTGCTTCTCTCATAATACTTTCACGTGCATCTTGTATATACTCAAATTCAGGGCCGCCAGGCAGCTCTTGATCTCTGCCAGCTTCAAAGGTCAAATTTTCTCGCCCAGATTCCTAGAGATACCTCTCCACAATAGCGACATTGGATGAAATAGACGAACAAAGGTCCCTCAGAGATGGAGGAACGGGGGACGCCATAAATTCCAGTTTATGTGAAGTCTGCTGGTAGAAAGAGACTCGAAAAAACGTTAGCTCCAGGGAGTTTCAAAAATAGAAGCAGCCAGGTTTATATGAGACATGTCACCTGCGAGACACAGTCCTGGCAGAGGCTATGTTCGTGGTTAATGGTGATCCTCTCCAAGTGCTGGCAAAGGAAGTAAACTCAGTCACTTTCTTCCAAAAAATTTTGTTCCCTGTATGTCTCAATAACCGGATCAACACTTTCTGGTTATGGATCGCCAGGACTCTAGTAACTAGCACAGTAATAAGCCGTGCTACCAACCAATGAACTCATAGTGGCGTTTCCCTCGCTAGCGCAATGGCTAGGATTAGCCGAAGACCTCACTCTCCGCTTAGTTTCAGCCTTGCCGATCTTATGTATCTCCTAGATAGACATGCTAATTTAGCCCAAACTTTCTTCCTAGAATTTTGGTTCGCTATATATCTTAATGGCCCGATCGACACCTTGAGGTTACAGGATCGCCAGCACTCTAGTAATTAGCACAGTAATAAGCCGTGCTACCCACCAATGAACTCATAGTGGTGTTTCCCTCTAGCGCAACGGGTAGGATTAGCCGAAGACCTCACTCTCCGCTTGGTTTCAGCCTTGCCGATCTTATGCACCTCCTAGGTAGACGTGCTAGAGGACTTTCTTTTACAAGGGAGTCTATGCGGTGGTGATACTTGTGTTTGTTAGGTCCATTACACCCGGTAGCGTTTTGCCATTTGTATTATGTCCGGTGGGATCATCAATTTTACAATCCTCTTTTTCGTGTCGTCAGCCGGTCAGCCAGCACTGACGATGCTGCGGAACACCTATGTGCCTGCCATGACTCCTACGAAAAGTGAAGGATGGCTGATTGTCTAAAAGAGGTTGAGGGTTCAATGTTCCAGAGAAATGTATAAAAAGATACTAAGCATCCGCCCACTCTTGATAATTCCACTTTCAACTTTTTCACAACTAAAGATGAGTTCCGGGAAATCGACCCAATTTTACGCCTGTCTCGCTGCACTGACGCTTCTGTAGACTCCAGTCCAAGCGGGGTTGAACTATCCCACGCCGCTAGTCTCCAGGATGGAGCGTCTGCTAGGAGGCACAGATGGGGCGTTCCGCACCGGCTTCAAGGACGCCATTACGCCTTGCTCTAACTACGTCAATGGCCCGCAGACGCTAGGCCGACAGACTTCAGCGTAGTAATTGCGTGTAGCGTATCTGATGAAGGTGAGTTGGTGCCTGAGGTGTCAGCGCCCACCGCCGTTGTAGATAGACCTTCCCTTCTGGGAATCTAGGAATACCATCATCATCTCTCTCCGCTTCTTCTTCTGCTCTTCCTAGTGATCCCCGATTCCAGGTCTTTGCCATGCCGGTCCCTGACTCCCCCTGAGCCACGACCGTCATCAAAACATTATAACCGAATCATGTGAACCACGCACTGTTACATATTTCATGCTGGGCTCCGAGACTTAGAAAGCTAGCGATCAGTCTTGAACACTGCTGCACCCCACGCCCCGACTTCCTGTGGTTGAACTATCGTCTAGATCCACCCTACCTCTAGGGTCACCCCGCGGGGATCCTGGCAATTCTCTAACTGCTAGCCGGCGATCATGCCTTCTAAGCCGGCAAAATTCTGTGGGGAACCCCGTGAAGAATCCCCATTTCCCAACCCACACACTTTTACCCAACTGCCAGCCAACTACAGTCCTTTTAGGCAACTGTAGACCTTTAGCCAGCTGCAGTCCTTTTAGCCAACTGCAGTCTTTTTAGCCAACTGCAGTTCTGAGACCAGTAGCTGCATCGGAAACCTAGGAGTATAGAGCTGTCCCTGGAAACAGGCTCAAAACAGGCTCAAAACAAGCTCCAATCGTTCAACCACTAAATGTCACGCGGCAAAATGCACATATCCGAACCGCTTCATAGTGCAGGGAAAAAGGATAAATGGTCATTTTCGCAGAATATAAGAGACGGGCTCGCGGCTTCTCTTCTAGCTACACACATCCATTCATCAGCATTCAATTCTCTTCAATTCTCTTCAATTCTCTTCAATCATCATGAAGGTCACTATAGTTTTCTCAGGCCTCTTGGCCACGGCACTCGCGGCCCCTGCCACCGAACCTGTTCTAGTGCCGCGAAGTGGTAGTATTGACTACGTCCAGAACTACAACAGCGACCTTGGTACCTTCACCTACGACGAGAGTGCCGGAACATATTCCATGTACTGGGAGGATGGAGTCAGCTCCGATTTCGTCGTTGGTTTGGGTTGGAGCACTGGTTCCTCTAGGTGGGTGACTATATCCTTTAACGTAAGTCTAGGATCTAACGTTTATTAGCTCTATAACCTATTCTGCCGACTATAGTGCCTCTGGCTCTGACTCCTACCTCGCTGTGTACGGCTGGGTCAACTCACCTCAGGCTGAATACTACATCGTCGAGGACTACGGCGAGTACAACCCTTGCAGCTCGGCCACAAGCCTTGGTACCGTGTCCTCTGATGGAAGCACCTACCAAGTCTGCACCGACACTCGGACCAACGAGCCATCAATCACGGGAACAAGCACGTTCACGCAGTACTTCTCCGTCCGAGAGAGCACGCGTACATCTGGAACGGTGACTGTCGCGAACCATTTCGACTTCTGGGCGCAGAATGGGTTCGGCAACAGCGACTTCAATTATCAGGTCGTGGCGGTGGAGGCATGGAGCGGTGCTGGCAGTGCCAGTGTCACGATCTCTTCTTAAGAGATAAGGGCCTTAGTAGTCGAAAGACTTGAAATCCGAGCTCTCGTTCAGGTGGTGTGATGATCGGACTGGGGGTTTGGCGGTTCAAATGTCGATACCTGATGAGGCTGATGCCCTGGCTCCTCAGGTGTCCCAGAGTGCTCTTCTCCCCGAGATCTAGTCTAGTTGATACAACAACACATTCGTTTATTGATCTCTAGTCCTGTCCTTCCGTAGCTTCCAGCCACACTTCTGGCCCTTCCCCTGCGCCATCAAACTGTCCGGAGCAGGATGAGGAAGCAGTTCTGGGAGGAGTAGCTTAATTCTGAATGTGAGGGGCGGGGCACCTGTATTTATAGTTGTACACTGCATGCCTGCCTATTGGGCGGCTGGGACAGACTTTGAATCAATCAATCAATCAAGCAAGCAAGCAACCATGGTGGCGTTCCTAGAGGGTTGGGACGGGCTCCCAGGAGCAACTAGACCAGCTCATAGGAGCTGTACGGTTCTAGGGATCCACCTCGGCGTTCCTAGAGTCTCTGCATGGGCTCCCAGAAACCATTATGGCTCCTCTAGGAACGGCCACGCGGTTTTATTATTATTATTATTATTAAATCAAGTTTATTGTCTATACCGAGCCCTAAAGTGTGAGGTAGCTATACCATACCGTTATGCTACGATAGTATGCCTAATCCTTAAGGCTATTGCTGCCTCACTACCGCGCACTGATCGCACGCATGATGTCGTGGAAGAGCGGGGTAAATGCCTGTATATAAAAGGCCTCGCTGGCATCTGAGTTTTAGGGGCCAGCGATTAGTCTTAGAATCATACTATGTCGCATCTAAGGGCTATAGTGGCATGTCAACTAATTCTATTCTTATTATGTGCCTATCGCTATTGGCTGATATTGCATCTCGGAAAGCATAACAAACATGAGGCAAATCAACGCAGAATGTGGCCTTCTCCGTTGAAGTCGCCCACTGCAACTCCATACGGACCGCACCCAGACCCTGTGTCGAATGTGGCCTGCGCCTGGAAGGTTCCTAATCCAGTCCCAAGCAAGACGCTCACGGAATTGTCATTGGTATTCGCCAGTTTCATCTAGTCTGACTCGTCGGCAATAGGCTATCTTCCGTCGTAGAATACTCACGGGCGTCCTCCTTGATCTATTCGTAATAAAAAAATAGTGCGTCTTGGCGATCGTTTTCGAGAAATAATGAAGAGCCTTACTACTGCCTGGTCTACCTGGGACGACGTAGGCTCCGTGAGGATTGGGAGACATGACGTTTGGCAGCCTCATAGGACCTGCCTTCCCTGATTACAGACCCAGCCAAAGATCAAGCTCGGATCCTCATTATTACCACGGGAGTGTTCAACCCCCAAGACTTCCAAACACCACGCACAAAACATGCTCCTGACGCCGGGAAAAAACAAACGCTGCCCAGCCAATCGTAAACAAGATAATAGCAGGAGAAGAAGAAACGGTGACATCAAGAGGCATTTAGATTGCCTGGTAGACTTTGAAGCTTTTAAACTCCCAATACGCATTCTCAAAGCTAGCCGGGTTATTGGCCACGAAGTCGGAGCAGGTGCCTGGGCAGCTATACATCTGTTCATAGAGCCGGGGTTGACCCGCCAGCTCCCCACAGAGATCAATGTTGGCAATAATACTCTGATTGCGGAAGTGCGATGCGATATTGCATTCCGTGCTGGGAAAGTCGGCCAGGGCGGTACCCCAGGTGGATGGGTCAGGCACTCCGGTCGAGGTGGTGATATCGGCTGGAATGGAGTCTCGCGGAAAGAACCACGCACGGATGCCAGCATCACGAAGCTCGAGCGCATAAACCTATACACAGGCTGGTTAATATCATCATCCAAGAGATCCGAGCCAGGGAATCCTTACTCCGCCGCCCTGGTCATTCAGTGCTTGGCCATATGTAGATGGATCGCCTTGCACACCACAGCCAGAGTTGCTATTGGTACTATTGTCGCACGTTTTATACCGGGCTGAACCGGTTTCCTTGCGCTTGACATTCATAGAACATCCTGCTGTCGTGTGCAGGGTGACCTCGTTGCCTTCCGTGCCCACGTTGGTGGATTCAACCACATCGATCTCCCCATTCTCAGGCCAGTTGGAACCGTCGGTTAGCCACAGGGCGGGCCATGTGCCACAACCATATGGGGAATGGAGAATATCAAAAATAAAAAGCCCCGTATCGTAAGTGGATTTGGACTCGATCCGCACCGAGTTGCGGCCAGCCGGCGCATTCGGGGTCGAGGAGTCAACTCGGAGTACTGCGGATGTATCCGTAGCGAATGTAAGGTTGAGATTCTGGGCGGCCTCTTCATTGACATATCTAGTTGGGTCAGCAGCCAGGAGCGACATGCAAAGATTCATCACTTACACCACAAACCCATTGGTCGGGTCTTGGTCTGAGAAATATTCAAAGTTGTCAAAGAATGATGTCCCTTGGTACGTGTCCACCAACTTGTAGTTCAAGGGAGTGTAGTCGGGATATCGATTTGCCCGCACGCCCTCCACGGCACCCACGATTGTAACGATGATGACCACGACGACGAGCGCACCAACCACTAATTTCTTGCGAAGTGACCAGCCCCGAGGGTCATACCATGGTGTCGTTGTGAGCAGGTCCTTCTGTGGTCCCCCTGCGGGGGACGCAGGGGCGGGTGCAATGGGTGCAATGGGTGTTTTGGGGACATCGGTGGGTGCGAGCTCCGGGATGCGAGAAGTGGCACCGCTGTAGCGACCCAAATACTCGGGCGGGAGGTCTCGGTCGTCCATAGTGAGAGAAAAGCGAGTGATTGAAGATGGGAGAAGTCCAATTGAGCGACGGTCCTTAAGGGCGGTTGATGGGGACTGTGGTCCCAGCTGGAATGTGCGGTCCCTGGAATGCCCAAGGGGGGAAGACCCAGTGATTCTTGTTACGACCAAACAATAACACCTGCAGTAGATGCACGTCATAGTCGACCCCTGTCCCGCGTCCGGAAAAGGAAGGAATAACTGACGCCATGTTGTGAATGCAGATTCACCATCTTGGCCCAATGAGCTGTCAAGCTCTTCACTTCGTGTGTCCAACATCAAGCTCCTAGGGTCGGGCACGTGCTGGCTACTGCTCGCTGATTCCCCTTGCTGCCTGTCTGTTGCCTCCCTTCGCCCTTCCTAGAGAAATGCGCCCTCCGCGACGTCGACCTCCAGCTCTGCGGCCAACTCGTTGATCACTGACTCAGTCGGTGGAGCACTTCCGTTCGCACTTCCGTTCGCATTCACATATTCTCCACCTCTGTATCCAACTGGTGGGATTCTGCATTCAAAAATCGATCATATCGGGCATCTACGTGTGGGAGACAGTCATGATGACCAAATACCAACAAACCATAAGAAAAACCACTGCTCAATCACCCAACTAGCCCCTGTTATCACTGGTCCTGATTAGGAAATGTAGAATCAGCCCCTGCTTGAAGCACCAAAACGCTACCCTTAATCTGGCTGTCGGGTTGCACCATGGTGGTGGCGACCTGTCCCAACGCCCGACGAGTGTCATGGCCGATACCACCATCAACCAAAGAAGACTCCCCGATCGTCTCGACTGCATTACAATGCCGTCCAACTACGACAATGTTATTGGCCTTGCGGGAAGCCTGACCTAGCTCCGTTCGGACCGCTGCAAGAGCCACTGCAGCCGTATCACTAATTGTGCCCGACGTAGTCGAGCGCTGGAACACGACGCGTTCGTTCATTTCTTCTGGAAGAGAGTCACGCAGGGTCTCGACAAGGACGAGGTCGGTTTTATGGTCTGCAGTGGATCCTAATGCTGCACTCGACGCCGGGAATTGAATGATGGTTGCTGTCACCTGATCGTGCTGGCTCAATTGTAGGACAAAGCGGAGGGCGAATCGATCGTCCCGGCCACCGAAGAATGGAAGAACGATGTGGTGGAACTGGTTATCGAGGGCAGGTCGAGACCAGGCGGACTTCTGAATGCTCATTGCGCTCGTCGAGCGTTTGGCGGTTCCTGCGCGGGCCTCGGGACTCCGCTCAATAAGGATGCCAACATGGTTGGGCACCCGCTCCAAAACGTCAGAGACAAAGCGTGTGTAAGGGCCATTCGCAAAACGGCCCGCCGCGTCAACTTCCAGGCCGTTCTGGGGATCTGCCAATGTGCCCGTCTCGCTCCAAGGCAGAAGAAGAAAATCCCCGATATTTTGATTTGCCATGCCAATGAACGTCTCCGCGTATGAATGCTCTGGGACAACTGATACACCAGCTCTGAGTGACAAGTCATGCCACTCGCCAAAAGCGCGGAAGGTATTGATGACGGGGTCCCACAGGGCATGCTCGCCGGCCGCAGCCACTTTCATGACACTGGAGTCACGATCTGTTAGTTCCATCAGTCGCACGCCTTGCACGCGAAGAGTTCCCTCTTCGTTCTCTTCGGATGGGGTATTGGCATCCTCGACCGCCTGGTCAGTCACTTGCAGCGCTTTCGTCGGATGCACTCGTGGTGATGACCGTGCAGCTCCAGTATTGGGACTGAGGAGAGCTGCTAGAGTGCAGATGCCTGAGAGGCCATCCAACCGAAGGTACACCAATAACTTCCGAACGGGAACTGATCTCAGCTGGTCTTTGGCAACAGAAACACTATCTGAGCGGCTACCATTTGGAATAGTGTTGCCATCCCAGTCGATCTCCCCACGTCTCCATCGCTCGGCCTTGACTTGATACCATGTCGGGTAGAGCACGGTGGTCAGGGGAGTGGTTATGAAGGTTGTGATCAGGGCCATCACCACAAATATGGTAAAGGTGCGTGTGCTGAGGATCTTTGCTTGCAGACCAATATTCTATAGAGTTGGTATTAGCTTGAACATTAGGGGAAAAATCAAGAATGGTTGCGTACCAAGACAATCAGCTCCACCAGACCTTTGCAGCTCATCAACACACCGACCGAGAAGCTCTCCCGCCAGAGTAGCCCACTATACCGGGATGCCAGCGTGCCACCAACGACCTTGGCCGTGAAAGCAATGGCGATCACCCCAATAACGTAGCCCCAGACGGTCCCGGAATCGAGTAACCCCAGATTGGTGCTGAGACCTGACAGGGTGAAATACAGGGGAAGGAACAAGGCGGCCACCAGATCTTCGATCTTTTCTGTCAGTTTGATGGCAAAGCCTCCTTTATGTGGGCACATGAGGCCGATGACGAAGCCGCCGAAAATCGCATGGATGCCAATGGCCTGAGTGAAAAAGGCCGACACAAGTGTGATTAAGAGGGTTAGGGTCACGACGGACTGGCTGGGTCCTTTCTGCAAACTGCCCGTCCGTTCGAGGAAGCGATAAAACAGAGGCTGGAAACCGAAGATCAAGAGGAGCATGTAGCCAACGGCGACAAGCAGCACATACAGCGCGGTGATGCCGCTACCGGCATTGACCAGAGCGACGCACAAGGCAAGCAGGATCCAGCCCACCACGTCATTGCCCACTCCGGCGGACAAGACAATCACTCCGACGCGGGTGTCGAGCAGCTTCAGCTCCGTCAAGATACGACACAGCACAGGGAAAGCGGTGATGGCCATGGCAATACCGATGAACAGTAGATAGGTGCCAAACTGGATGGGCACGGTGCCGGGTTCATTCCGGAATGCATTGTAGAGTCCGTAGGAGATGGCGCATCCGAGCCCGAACGGCAGGACCATGCCCGCTGCGGAGACCCCGAAAGCCACGCGCCAGTTGCTCATTAGAAAACGCAAGTCGGTCTCCAGACCGACTTGGAACAAGAACAGCACGAGGCCCAGGTTCGCCACCACGCTCAGGGCTGGGGTGCTTTCGGAAGGGAAAATGGTGTCCGTGAAGCCGGGGATGCGACCCATCACGGACGGCCCCAGGACGATTCCAGCGATGACCTCGGCAATGACTCGCGGCTGGCGAATCTTCGACAGCGGCCAGTGGATCAAGCGACAGAGAATGATGATGATGCCCATCTGGATGATGAACACCAGGAGGGGGTTTTTCGGGTCATAGTGAGCCGGGTTGCCGCCATCCAGCACGCCCTGCGGGTTGGCGCGCGCGGTGGCTGTGACCCCGGCCGCTGAGGAGGTGGTGGTGGATGCCAGGATGATAGACCCAGGGGTGAGAGGGAGAGGAAGAAGAACAACAAGAAAACGAGACGAAGACAAAGAACGAGGTGTCAGAGGAAAGAAGGTCTGGATGGAGCGCCGCCTCGGGGGCAGAAAGAGAGCGGATGATTGATTAGATTAGTTCCGTGATTGGTAGGAATTAAATAATGCCTCTCTATTGAAGGGAAAGGTGAGAACGAACGAATGGAATTACTGATCACTATTACATCCATATACATACCTCTTGCCAGATCTATACCTACCTACAACATGTATTTTTAATTAAATGATCGAGCATTCTTCTCCACTCTCCCCACATTCCAATCGGTTGGGGAACATGGTGGATGTAGAGGTAATTAGTATATATATTCCTCAACAGACACTTCAGTTTCGAGGACTAACTAGTCACAAGGAATATTCCTCGCTGAGAATTGAATTGCTGTACTAAAAAAAAACAGTTGCTCCAACAAGGGCAAGGTGAAAAGAGCAGAAATCCAACCATGCAAAACTATATACAAGAAGGGGGAATCATAAGATGCAGAATAGATCAGTAGTTCGCCGGTAGCTCGTGACGTTCGAAGCGGGGATGACTGCTGGCGGTGGATGGCGCGAAGCCAGGACGGCTACTGGCGTTGGATGGTATCGGCGGCAGACTGCCAGGTCCCTTTTCGCTCGAGTACAAGTTGCCTTGTCCACCAGATGGCGTCGCAGGTAGCTCAGTATTGTTCGAAAACGGCGTGGGAAGCTCCCGCACTTGCGATGGCAGTTCTTTCTGGGGCCGTTTGGAACGCCGTCGGGCGAGAAAGAAGATGAGGGCGACCATCAGAGCGATACCGAGCACTCCCCCGACCACACCCCCTGCGATGGCCCCGGTTGGGGTATGCGACGAATTATCTGAAGCGACACTCCCGGTGACCGCGGCTTTGGCATGGGACGGCTGGTCAGTGGCGACGGATGCCGATGTCGTTGTCGATGACGTTGTTGATATTGCAGTGGTTGTCGATGTTGTAGTGGTCGTTGATGTTCCTAAAAAGAACTCCCATCAGCACCTTGTTTAGGGCTTCTTATCTGTGTTTGGTATGACACTCACCACTCTGGACAATGCTTAACAACTGATCGTCAGTGCCGGCATAACTTTGACTGGCGCAGCCGACCCAGACGGTATTCTCGACGTAAAATCCGTAGTTCTCCTGCTCGCAACAAAACAAGCCGTCATAACTATAGAGATCCCAAATAGGTTGGGCACAGGATGGATTGCTCTGCAGAACACTGGTGCAGTTGAGACCACTGGGGCAGCAGATCATGTTGGCGATGCCGGTGTTGGAATCAAAGCAGAAGGAACCGTCTGGGCAGCAGGAGTGCATGCTGCCCCATGTGTTGGCGCAGGATTGCTCACCGGCGCCGCAAGTGTTATTGCGGCGCACGGCGTAACCGGGGATGCTGGACGACATGCTGCCTGAGGAGAGGCAGAATTGTGGAGGAAGATGAGAAAGACAGGGCAAGAAACCAACACAGTGGGAGGTCGCAGCACGGACGGGCGTGTGGGGGCCAAATCCTCGGCAGGTACCGTCAGTCGTTACCTAGAGATCTATTCTTAGTATTAAGATAATGCTGATGATTATGATTGTTATTGTTATTTTGCGGTGGTGAGTATGATTATTTCCTTCTGTGTTGGTAGTGATTGATGAGAAGGCCAGGAGAGAATCATACTGAAGGCAAAGCCAACATCCACTGTACAAGGATAATGATCCTCAGGCCGTGCGACGCGTCCCTGAACGCTTCAGGACAGTTCCTCGGTGACCAGTGATCATGGATTTTGATATTTGTCTCCCACATAGCAACTGTCGCGAGAATGATCCATACTATGTTGACCACCCCGATGAGTCCTGTAGGGAAAAGTCTGCTTGTGGGGCCCCATTCGTTATGGAGGTAAGCTAGGCTATATTAGGAAAAGCAGCACGTTCAGCTTCAAGTTAAGGAATACAAAATATTGAAGGCGAGTAGTCAACTAGCGCAGTGGGATTAGTAAACCATCGCCGTCTCTTGAGAAGAGAAAAAGAGACTCTCGTCAACCCTTTAGAAAACAAATCCTGCAACAGCGCGCAGATCAGTCGACGAGCCCCTAAATCGAATCCGCGAGCCGCTAATCCCTGTACTGACACTATGCTCCCCCGGAATCTGAAGGCAGGATGAGTACAAAACTAACACTGTTGAGGAGTTTGACACAAGGCTGCAACATGCTTTCCAAACCATGTGTTGGTTACAGTTATTAAGCCTTATTATATATGACACAGTATCTTTTGCAAAAAATATTTGGTCATTGTGATTCCCCACGGCTGGCATCATCATTCTGAAGACAATCTTTTCAAGACTTCCTGACCTTTCTCATCCAAAACCGGATATGTTCTCAAACTTAACAGTTCCTTCCAAAAATCCTTTGCATCTTCATGTTGATCCACGGGTTGTTGTAGTAGCTTCTTCCACCCCATATCCTCCATAGTCCATGCTCAAGATGCTGCGATGTATGCATACCATATTAGGTAATAGGCAGCACATTCCCAATTTAGGATATCAGCAAGTTTTCCGTCTTTGACCATGATATTGCCTATATTGAGATCTGCATGTATGAGGACATAAGGCTCAGTTTAGGCATGCGCTTCTTTAAACCCTCTAGGACTTGTTGAGACAATGGAATCTCTTGAAGGGTGAGAAACAGATCGTCCCACATTTCGGCGTAGGATTGAAACGGCCCATGTGGTTTGCCGTCAAAAAATAGTAATCTTGGGTAACATGAACCTTGGCCGATAGTCTGGATGGATGTTGACGTGACGGAACATAGTTGCTTCCGAACTTCAGAGACTTGACCGGCAATATCCTTCTTTTGTGATTATAACAATGATGGCCAGGCTTTCTCGAGTGATTGACCGTCAATCCGTTCTTCAAGGACGAAGTATCGCCCGTCATGATCAACCCAGTCATGTACGACCTTTGGAGCTGGTATATTGGTATAGCTTGTAAGGTAGTTCAGGGTCTTCACCTCGATTTTAGGATCCTCATGAGCGCAATCTTTTGAGAACCAGATCAGAGCCGATCGACCATACGCCCCGGTTGTCTGAATTATGGAAGAGTCTGAGAAGGCTGGAATGATGCCAACTGTTTTGCAAGTCAAGTGTCCATCCGTATTCTTGTCAGATTCATCCGCTGTCACTTTCTGGAGAAAGAAATCTACAGAACGGGGTTGAAGAGAGACGCTTATAGAGGGGGCCAGAGGGGTTTGACATCGAAGCACCCACCTTATACCCTATTAGGCTACACACCGCTACTTTCTATGTCCAGAATAGTTAGACAACATACCATCGAGCCGATCATTGTCACATTTTGACAATTCACTCGTGATACGCCTTGTTCACTTACTTGGACTAGCCTGTTTTCGGAACACGTAAGCATCCATGTACTTTCAGGAGTCCCCAAGATCCGTGTTCATCGTCCTCTATTGATCTAACGCAGCATCCCCTGTCCTTTGAAGGCCTCTCCATCAGAAAGAAGTGAATCCTTTACCCTACTGGTGCCATGGTATTCTTTCTTACGCCAACACCGGCGTTCCTCGGCACGGCCATGCTAGGCCTTGGAGCAGTCCGACTCTTCGCGCCACAGAGTGCATACGAGCTTTTCGGTCTGCCACTCTCCTCGTCTAGTTCTCCGTCACCATTTCTCTATGCCAACGCTGGTCGTGATCTGGCGCTAGGCTTGACCTATGTCCTTCTGGGCTTGCAACGGAATCAACAAGGATTAAAGGCGTTAATTATTGGGACAGCTGTAGGGGTACCCCTCTTGACGCATCCCATGAAAATAGTGTTCTGACGATTCTCTCCCTTGAATATCTGTTCAGGTCGCAGCACACGTGGACGCATTTACTGTCTGGAGATATGGAGGAGCCGACTATGGTGGATGGCGTGGCAAATGGATAGGTCATTTCCTGGGCGGCGTCGCTCTTGTATTCGTTGCTTGGAACGACTGGGGACTTTGAAAGTCTTCTGTAGTTATAGTCGGGACTTTGCTCCCTGCGATAGCCCAGTCCTACTATTCGTCCCTCGATTGAGTTCCATCGATCGGATCTTATCTGGTCGTCGATCCACCCTGACGTCAAGCACTGTCCACCCCTTCGATCGATGACATTCCCGTTCCTCTTCATGTAACCAGGCCCTGCCTGGCAGGATGCCAGTCCATGTCGTTGCTTCGGCCACTGGCTCAATTGTCCCATTCTTCCATCAGACGGTTCACCATGCCACCCAAACGCAAGACCCCCGACGCGTCCAGCGCGTCGGCCAGCAAGCGAAGCAAACCGGACCTGCACCAACCACACCCGAACGCAAAAGAGACCGAAGCCTTTGGGATTGTCCTGCGCGACTTCTATCCCCACGAAATGAGCAACGAGCGCTGCGAGGCGTATAATCATGGAGACCTTGAACGGCCCATCGAGACCCTAAACAAGGCCTGTCGGGAGACGGCCGACCATCGTCGCGCCATCGCCCCCGGCAAGGCCGTGGTTCACTGGTTCAAGAGCGACCTGCGTCTTCATGACAATCGAGCCCTGCACGCGGCTTCCCAGAAAGCCCAAGATCATCACATCCCGCTGATCGGCCTCTACGTTCTCTCACCAGAGGACCTGACGGCCCATCTGGCGAGTCCCGCACGCGTCGACCTGACCCTGCGGACCTTGAAACGGCTCCAGCACGACCTGGGCGAGTTGGACATTCCCCTACACATGGAAACAGTCGAGAAACGCAGGGAGGTTCCGGGTCGTATTGTTAAACTCTGTCAGAAATGGGGCTCCCAACATCTCTTTGGCAATATCGAGTACGAAGTGGATGAACTCCGACGGGATGCTCGGTTAGTACGGCAATGTGCCCAGAACGGGATTGATTTTGAGCCAAAACACGATACCTGTGTGGTCACTCCGGGCTTGCTGAGCAGCCAACAGGGCAGACAGTATGCCGTCTACACCCCGTGGTTTCGCTCCTGGCTGGCCTTTTTGAAAGAGAACCCCGACTACCTCGAAGTGTCGGAGGAGCCCGGGTCCAACCCTCGGGATACGCGCCCGCAACTGGCAGACCTGTTCGATTGCAAGGTGCCCGCGGCCCCGAGCAACAAGCAGCTGTCCGACGCGGAGAAGAAACGATTTGAGAAGATGTATCCCGCCGGGGAGCACGAGGCCCTCCAACGGCTGGAAGCATTCTTGGAAGAAAAGGCCCACGACTACGAGGCAATGCGGAGCATGTTGCCCGGTCAGCATACGTCCATCCTCAGCCCGTACTTTGCCTCGGGAGCGTTGAGTGCCCGCACGGCTGTAACGATGGCCAAGCGAAACAACAAAAACCGGCTGGATCAGTACGACTCGGGCTATGTCAGTTGGATCAGTGAGGTGGCTTGGCGGGATTTCTACAAGCATGTGCTTGTACACTGGCCATTTATCTGGTAAGATCTTCTTTCCTCTCGTGTCTAAACGTCCTTGACCATCGACTGCAGCATGAACAAGTGCTTCAAGCCGGAACACACCAACATTGACTGGGAGTACGATGAGGACCAGTTCCAAGCCTGGGCAGACGGCAAGACCGGCTACCCTATCGTAGATGCTGCCATGCGGCAGCTGCGGCACTCGGCGTGGATGCACAACCGCACTCGGATGGTCGTCTCGTCCTTCCTGTCCAAAGACCTGCTTATCGACTGGCGCCGGGGCGAGCGGTACTTCATGGAGCACCTGATCGACGGGGATTTTGCATCTAACCACGGCGGGTGGGGGTTTGGCAGCAGCACAGGAGTAGATCCCCAGCCCTACTTTCGCATCTTCAACCCGCTACGGCAGAGCGAGCGATTTGATCCGGAAGGCGAGTACATCCGCTACTGGGTTCCCGAGCTGCATGATGTCCAGGGCACTGCCATCCATGCTCCCTATGACCGAGGAGCAGGGGCAGTTGCGGAGAAGAATGGATACCCCCGACCAATGGTTGAGCATGCGACCAGTCGGGAGAAGGCTTTGGAACGGTACAAGCGTGCGTTGCATGGATGAGAGTGTATAAGAGACTTGGTCAATATGCTCTCCAATATAGATCGCGTGCTCCAGAGGGAATCTGAAACACCCCGGACGACAATGGTGTAGCTAGTATCAACCCTTTTAGATCCAATTTATTTGCGCTAGCAATACGTTCTTGAGACTCTTCTCCGCAAAAGGCCGAAATGCATGTCTTAGCCCCATTACATAACCTGCCCCCGCATTTTCTTTTCCTTCCATCTGTGCTTAGTGCCGTCCTATGCTTTGCGCTCAGAACTCTCTCTTTACCACCTTCCCCGATGAGCTGAACTGAACATGGACACCCAGTTGGGTGACATTCCCCCCTCGCCTGCCGGCCCGGACGAACTCGCTAACGGCAAGCGACGATGGCGCCGCAATCGGATCGCCTGCGACTCATGCCACGCCCGTCGCGTCCGTTGTGACCGGGCTTTCCCCTGCTCCCGATGCCTACGAAGTGAAATTCACTGCCAATTCACCCGCGAGCGCCGGAAAAGAGGGCGTATTGCACGATCCAAGTTGCCAGCCACGGACACGGCGGAGAATACGAGAGACCGAGCCCCCGAGAAAGAGACAAATGGAGAGGATGGCCTGCAGGTGGCTTTGTCACCGCTGCAGCAGAGCTCTCCTACCTCCACATTCCATCACCGGTCGCCGGCCACTAACGAGGCCAGCGTCCTCTCCGCGCCGAGCGCCGATGGCCGCCGCCACTCTGCAGCGGATGGGTCGCGGCACCGAGCAGGCCCAGGGGCGAACAATGCCACTGAAGAATGGTTGTCTGCAGCGCACCTGTCGCCCGAGTCCTATGAAGCCCTTGGGGGTACGGGCGGAGGCGATGGACCTCTCCCCCGGTTGCTAGATATTTGGAACCCAGTCGACCTGGCCGGTCACCGTCCCCAAACGGTGCCGGCGCCGATGCCTTCCGTGGCAAGGCCGAGTCTTTCCAATCGAGGACAGATTCCAGGTCCAGCAAGATCTTCATTGAAATACCCAGTGCTGGAGCCCGTGATGCCGTTCATAGAATCGAATCTCCCTCGTCGACTGGTGTGCGACCTGTTGGAGCTATATTTTACCAGTGCCTTTTCGACCCACATGCACCCGGTGTGCCATCACATTCATTGCTACCTCCTGCGAAAAGGTTCTTTTCTCAGTCCGGACCGGCCACGTCCCAGCAGCCCAGCGCTCTTGGCGAGTATGTTGTGGGTGGCGGCTGTAGACGACAGAGCCTTTTCCTTGTCCATCTCGCCGCTACAGCGCCGCAAAATTTGCCAATTTCTCTGTGCTCTGACGATTCGCTTGCTACGACCCTTGATTCATGTCTCGTTCAAAGATCAGGAACCACCCACGGCGGGTGAGAACGGCCATGCAACCGCCGCTCAGGAAGCTTCGGCACATCACCCATTTGAAGGAGTGGGCGATGACAAAGGTCTGGTCGGACCCGCTGGCTCGCTGGACGATGTAGTCACATACATCCATGTCGCATCCATTATTTCCTCCAGTGAACAAAAGGCCGCCAGTATGCGATGGTTCGTTGATCTTTCATCTTTTGACTTTCGCTACCATACTGACTTCGGTTTAGGTGGCATGCTGCATTTACACTAGCCCGAGAGCTCAAACTCAACCAGGAAATGGAAGTGATGCCCAGTGTTGATAGCCAGAGTGATGGCTCAAGTCCATCCTTCGGTTACGCTCTGGCCGGCTGGCCTGGTTCCCCCGGTGGTCCCGGCTTCGACTACTCCAATCACAGTCGTCCAAGCTTGAACTGTGTGTGTGAACAAGGCGGTAGCTCGCTCAATCCCGTCGTAGTTACCGAAGAGCATCGTGAAGAGAGACGTCGAACCTGGTGGCTGTTGTACATCATGGATCGGCACCTTGCGCTCTGCTACAATCGACCATTGGCCCTTCTCGATGCGGAAAGCGAGGATCTTCTTCTTCCATTGGACGAGAGCTCCTGGCAGGCGGGCAATATCCATAGCAACAGCCCCCGACAAGATGGACCCCAGTGCCCGCGCTCAGGAGATCAGAACAAACGCCGCGTGTTTCCCAACTTCATATGCCATGATCACTCCATCCTTGGCTTCTTCTTGCCGCTCATGACAATCACCGGGGAGTTGATTGATCTAAACCAAGCCCGTAACCATCCTACGCTCGGTCTCCGGCTCCAGGGGAAGGAGGCTTGGGAGATTCATGTGGCAGAGGTCTTGCGGCAGCTTGAAATCTACAGAGCTAGTCTTACCACCTTTGCCGCGGCCACTACCGCTGACCCGGAAGCGTCGCTATCGACTGCATATGCGCCCAAATCCGATCAACCGGCCGACCCCCAGATATCTCAGGCCTTTTCCTGGCATACCCAGACGGTTATTGCCTATTCGTCCTACTTGGTCCATGTTCTCCATATTCTGCTGGTGGGTAAATGGGATCCAGTCTCCCTGATCGAAGACAAGGATTTTTGGACTTCGTCGCCGGCCTTTGCGTCCACCATCTCCCATGCACTGGAAGCTGCAGACTCCGTGCAGCAAATCTTACGATTTGACCCGGACATCAGCTTTATGCCATACTTTTTTGGTATCCAGCTCTTGCAAGGCAGTTTCCTGTTGCTTCTCATCGTGGAGCGCCTTCAAAAGGAAGCGGGCGAAGGTATCCTGAACGCCTGCGAAACGATGATTCGCGCCACCGAGTCTTGCGTCGTCACTCTGAATACAGAGTACCAGCGCAGCTTCCGGCAAGTCATGCGAAGCGCCGTTGCACAAGCCCGCGGACGGCCTGTGAATCCGAGCGAGATACGACATCGCCGCAAAGCAGTTCTGGCCCTCTATCGATGGACACGCAAAGGCACTGGTCTCGCGCTGTGACCATGGTGAAACCGCGGGCTTGGGCCCCGTTTCTGAATGATCGCTGTGCCTGTCGATCTCTCCTAACGTTTCCGAGCGCTGCAGGCCCCTGACTATCATGACGATTACAGCGAGATGGATGAGCAACGAAGTCTCGCTCTGTTTGGTTGTTGTATATAGATGCTGCATTAGCGGGTTACGATGTCTTGGTTTCTTCGGTTCGGCGTTGGGAGCTCGGCTAGATTAAGTTTTGTTGTGGTTCCTGTAGCATACTGGTACTGTACATGGATACTGTTTTCGGACACTCTTCCTCCCCGCATCGTCTTCGGACATAAATTGAAGATTCGCTTCGAGCGATCCCTGCACGGCCAGCATAAACTGTCGGGATTCGCCTCTCCCCACTTACCGGTTCTGAATTAACCGAGGCGCGGACACGAGCACAAATGGACCGATTGGCGGTCGACTCCCGGAATCTGGGGAACTTCGGTTAAATTTGAGGTCCCGTGGCCTGCGCCTTGCCCACTCCTCTGCGTGATGGGCCAGTTGAATTTTACCGATCATGCAGCGCGCCCCATGAGCTCTGGCTGGGGTTCTCCGCAATGAATTTTTTTTTATTGTTTGGTTTAAAAATCAGGCACGATGCCCCGGTTTTGCGGGGAACGTCCTTGATTTTGTTCAGCACGATTTAAAGGGACTCGATCTTCTCTTTCTAGTTCATGTCGTCTGGTTCAACTATGCGTTCATGATCATTTTCTGATCCTCCATCTACTGAATAGCGATGAGCCAAGGAAGTTCCTCATACATCTCTGGCTGGCATACCACGAAGGCCGTGCATCCTCAAGTGATGGAACTACCTTACGGTGTTGCAGACTATGATCAGTACGGGCCGGACCCGTTGATTGCAGATGACTTTCCTCTTCCTTTACCAGAGGGTGTAAATTCCGCATGGACGGCGGCACAATTAAATTGTGCCAGCGAGCTTACAGGAGATCCGACGGGCAAATTCCAACCGTATCCGCAGTTATATTACGAGGCTGGCCTTGTGGGCGATTATCAGGAAGGCAAGAAGACTGGGCAGTCGAGGTAATAGACTCACAATATTTTGTGTTTCTGACTCGAGGATGCTAACGTCCATAGCACGATGCTTGTACATCCTCATTCTGCCGGCCCATTCAAACATGCAGACCCCACGAGAGGCCATTTCCAACCACTCTGCCAGCTAGCGACGGAGCGCGCGCTCTTCATGAACCACCCCTGCAACCAACCACGGTTCGCCGCATATGCTGCATCGCCTACCTCTGATCCGTGTAGTTCGCCAGGAACAAGTCATGATTCCTCTAGTGGGTGGGAAGTGGATGCAGAGAGAGAGGCCCTGGATCTTCGCTCTGCAGACAGCTCTCCGCCGAAGCTACACCCTCGCGCACCTCGCGAGCCGATCCATCACTATCAACATGTGGCCGACGAAGACGACAGCCTGATTCCGTTGGAAATGCCGGACGGAAGCACCCGCTTCACGGGGAATTGGTTGCCAGTGGATCCGGGTGTTGGATTCACCATTGGGTCATGTGTCCGCCATGAACCCAGAGATGATGGGAATAATCTGGATATGCAAGTCTTCCGCTATGATACCATTGCCTTCATTCCGCCGAACTCGGCTGCGTGGCCAGCCAAGGGGTGAGGTGCCCATATGTGGACGGAGAAAGTACGCACAGCACACACAATGATGATAAGACACTTGGGCAGGGCCAAAAGAGAACTATCGACTTGACATGGCGATTACGACATATAATCCTCGCAACATTCTGTCAACCATGGACAAAGTTTCGCCTTCTGAAATTTGTAACGACCGATATTCGACATCCCTCCAAAACCCGCGACCGTCAATGTTGGCGACTGGGAACCCATCAATCAGGCATCAACAAATCCATCACTGGCTGAGAGGAATGGCCATGGATGAGTGTGGGGCCATTGGACTGGTAGTAGGGGAGGGAACAATGTAAAGCCTGAAACTGCGAGCGAATCCCCAGACGGGGATCAATGGCCGAGCCTGAAAGACTGATGCCTCAAGATGAACGGGCAATTGATATTTACAGAAAATGTCCCATGTTACCGATAACAATAAATACAACTCAGCATAGCTGCAAAGCCTTTTGAAGAAGAACAAAAAGCCGTTGGTAGCCGAAGAGAAGAAGAATTTCAACAAGGCACAACAGATTGCTCAATCCGAAATAAAGGATAAACGGCATATAATTACAGAGCGATAATATATCAATTCCATCAGTCCGCCGACTCCCAATCAGGCCACACAATAACATCCTTCAGAGCTTCCCTATTCGCCATGTAGTACTTTTGGCCAAGCATGTGCAGCTTGCGACGATCTGTCTTCTTCGACTTGGTGCGTGGCACACGGTCGACGAGTAAGTAGAGGCTGGGGATGTAGTACATCGGTAGACTCTGGCGGATGGCCACGCTCAGCGATTCCCTGAGTGCATGCACGGCATGGCGATCTGTGACGGCACGGAACTGCATATCCTCTACAGGTCCGTGTTTGAGATTCATTGGGTTGTGTCCTAAATAGATGTAGGCTGCTAGGATGGGATCGCTGACGCCGTCCACAGCCCCGAGCACGTCCACAATAGCGGCGTCGCCATCGGAAAGGTTTTGTCGAATAACGTATTCGACCTGACCAGCCTCGACCCTCGCCCCGTCCAGCTTCAACATTGAGTCCTTCCGGCCAATCAGCTCGATCGTCCCGTCGTGGTTGTATCTACCGAGATCGCCTGAACGATAGAATTTATGTTGCGGGCGTTCCGGGTGCAACTGGGTCATCCATGCCGGCGGAGTGGGGAGAAAGTTTTCGGATTTTCCAGAGACATGATCCAGATATCCACGAGAGATGTGTGGGCCTTCCACTAGGACTTCACCCACGGCACCGATAGGCATAAGGTGGTCCGGAAGATCAGGGTTGACGATCCAGATCGCTCCACTACCAGGGCGCCCAACCACGGCCCCACGACCCATCTGGAGATTACCGTTATAGCAGCAGAGCGATGCGACCTCACCCATGCCGTATTGGTTAAATACTTTGACATGGTGCAGCCACTTGGCCAGTACTGCGTCAGAGACCGGCTCTCCGCCAATACACATCACCTGCAAAGTGGGCACCAGGGCGGGATCCATATCGATAGCCACAGAGGGTGTGACAAACAACATGTTCGCCTGAAGATTATCCAAATCGCCCATCAAGGCATCCATCGAAAGCGATGTTGTGGGTACACAGCAGCAGCCACCAGCAATGAGGGTGGACAGGAAGTCGTTGTTGCTGATGTCGAAAGCGTAGGCGTCGAACTGAAACATGCGGGTATGAGGCCCCATGCCAAACACGCGAATGTAGTCTGTCAACGCGGACGCATAGCTCCGATGTTCCTGTATAATACCTTTGGGCTTGCCCGTGCTTCCCGAGGTGAACAGAACGGTGCAGGCATCAGTGGGACGGACAGTAACACAGGGAGCTCCTGGGAGAGAAGGTAGAGCCTGCAGAGACTCCTTGCTCACTTCAAACTGCGTTCCTACCAACTCGGTAAAATTCTCCGCATAGCCAACTGAGGTCAAAATGATCTTGATATTTGTGCGCTCCAAAGCCGACTGCAGATATGAAGGTGGGTCTTTTGCATCAACGCAGATGTATGCGCCTCCTGCCATCAGGATGGCCAGTCGAGCTACGATAGTCCATGTGGACTTGTAAAAGGCGCACGCCACAAAGACTCCAGGCTTCACCCCATGGCTAGCAAGCCAATGGGCTAGGCGGGATGCCAAATCGTTGAGTTCTCGGTAAGTGAGATCGCCATCCCATGAGCGAATTGCCGGTGCATCAGGAGCTGTTGCCGCATGCTGAAGACATAAATCGTGTAACAGTGAGTTCTGTGCCGGTGCAACTGCGCGGGTAAACTGGGCAATCCGGTCTCGATCATACGATGCACATAACTCCACGCCTCCAATAGACTGCACGGGGGAACCATCGATGGAGGAAAGGGCCTGGTTAAAGCTGTGTAGCAAGCTCAGTGCCAATTCCATTCCTATGGAAGTCCTGCTCACGTCCAGCCGAGCATGTAACCGGTCGTCAGGTGTGTAACATATTTCTAAATGAAGCCCATTAGGCTCATATTTCGTGGGCTTGAGCTCAGGCTCTACTGGTACAGCCATGCCTTGAGAGCAACAGACCTGACAGCGACCGACACAAAGCTTCAGATCCGAGGACATACGCTTCGCCGGCATTCTCTGATATGAGACAGTCGCATTGTAGTCCGCGTCATTGCCATAATGAGCAGGATCGCCATTGGCAGTCAGCGATGACCCAGACACCTGCCCCAAGCTGCCGACTTTCTGTGCGAATAGATCACGCACTGTTTCCTGAGGGTCGACATGAATCTGCACAGCTAATCCGGCATGAACCGGACTAGTCTCGCCGACGAAAGAGCGGCCTTGCTGGTACTGCTCGCTAATGTAGAAGGTTGTCGACGAGGCAAAGGCACGGATAGTGATGATCCAGGCCAACTGAATCATGCGCTGGATTTGAGTATCGGGATGTTCATCCTTGACCACCGAGGGAGCGTTGAGGGCTTCAACAAGGCGCAGCAGCTGCAGGGGCCGTGCCTGGAGAGCGAGGTCAACCGCCGTCCTACTCGAATTGTTTGGAGGTACCTTGGCCGGGGCGACAATGGGGTGCGAATTGGGGGACTCGGCTTCTAACAAGATGGGAGCCATGATGGGCAATAAATAGTAAATTCAGCTGCGAGGAAAAAAGGCAGGGAGACGAAGTACCCTTTCCGCAGAAGGAGCGCACCTGGTTTAAATTCAAAGGACGTTTTTCACGGTCATTGTCGACGTGCACTGACCGGGCGCCGTTCTTTGTTCACAGACAAAGCAAGCAATCAATAGCGCCCCACTCATTCCTCTCGACCATGCATCGATTATTGAGGAATATTTGCAGCAACTCGTTGCAGCGCTCATTTCACCTCGCACAGAACGAGGGCAGCGGGTGCTATCATTCGCTGGCGGTGTTTGCCAGCTGCATCGCGAAGTGGACTGGCTTAATGACCGTGTCTAGAGTAACCATGAGCACAGCGGGGCAATTATTGGAAACTGACAGATAGTCAGGTAGGAGGATTATTATGATTGACTTGAGTTATTCATGCTGAAGAAGAGAAAGAGAGGTCGAGAAGAGAGGCTTCGGGATCCTCAAAGAATGCCAACATCACCAAGTTAACTAACTTCCAATCATGGAATCAGCTAATCCATCCTACAACTGAAAATGGCCACAATAGCAGGTTATCAGAATCTGGAAGCAACATCAAGAGCCCCATCTCTTTCAGCATGTAAAGCAGGATTTGGGTCATCAAAGCAGAGAATTCATTTCTTGAGTATTGATATTAGCCACGCAGCCACTAAGCTTGACGAAGCCGAAGTAATGAAGCATGTAAGAGCCATTCTCATCCTCGGATCGTTCTCAATCACCAAGGTCGCGTACTACCCCGGTGTTCTGCCTGTCAACATGCTGACCTCGTGGTAGCTAGTTCAGCTCATCCTCTTCCCGATCCAGTTTGTGGTTGGTCAGTTAGTATCTAGCGTTGCACGGCATCATTGCTCGTTAAGTTCCAGCCCGAATTTCCATTGCGTCAAAGCGACAAAGCCATCCGATGGGTTGAATGGACCATCGAATTCTCGTCTGTCCCGCTGCGCGAGAGCCGTAGTCGTGTCGTTTCTCGACCTCTTTAGGGGTTCACTTCGTTTGTTGCCTGTGGCTTGTTTCTTTGGACCTGTTCTTCAATTGCCGAGTCTGGATCTTGCGTCTGGTGATATAGAGTCTTGTGAATCTGTGCTTGTTTATCTTTCATTCCACCGAGGCCCGTAAAGCGTCACGAGCGCCCATGTAAAGGTCGCCCTCGGGAGGAAACCATGGTGGAGTAAGTTCATCATCGCCTGCGAAGTAGAGATCTCGCAATCTCCCCAACTTTTCCGTGTCGCACGGTCGTAAGCACTGCGTCTTCCGCAGCTGGGTGACTTGGTGGGAGGGTATGAGGGTGTGATTTCACCCGTGACGATCATGTTCTGCAAGCCGACGAAACTGGGGGTGGGTCTTGAAGCTTTCACAGATGCAGCATGCCGGAGGCTGTTGAATTTCCACTCTGCACTTGTTAGCTTCGAGTGCAAAGGCACGGGGTTGATGGACTTGGCATCATCAGCGGCGGATATCTGGACGTTGTGCCCAAAGGCATAGTTACCAGGATGACTTACATAAAACCGAGTCTGCTATCAATGGGTGCCTTTTCTGATTTTCTTGGGATATGCGGTCATGTTGGATTTAGAGGGAGCATGCGAACCTGGAGTCCAAAGAAGGGCATCCCTAGATGTGTATGTGATGCCGATTGTTAATTAATTATCTCTCCAAAGTTGACTAGTTAGTACAAAGGTAATCAAAAAATAGCCCCGGACGCCGCCCTGGACGAACACAATCACTCCACGTTTTGCATAATCCCGGGCTGGATCCCTTCGAGGACATCTGACACCTCTTTCCATAGTTTCTGCCGTGCCTGGCGGCCCTCATCGCTGCGAACAAATGGCGAAAGCGCGGTGTTCTCAACGTGTCCATCAGTCATATAAGTCCCATGGCTGTCCAGTCCTGCCGCTGCGCCGGCCACTAAAGTCCGGCTGCCGACTTCGGTTGACCGCGCCATCACGGCTTTCAACAGCCACAATCCCCAACCAGCATCGCGTCCCAACTGTGAGTGGCAGAGACCAGGATTAACCTGGTTGATGATCACGTCCGTCCCGCGACTTCGGCCAGCCAGTTCCTGCACCAGTAAGACCTCGAGCAGTTTTGATAACATGTAGCGCTCCTTCATCTTAGCATGGGCGGGATCACTTATGGTGGCGAGGATACGATCCTCTTTCCATTCGGGAAATTTGACAAAGCCATGCACTTCGCTGACCACAAAACTGAGCTTGGGTTCGGAAGAAGGCACTTCGCGCCGGGTAGCCTTCAGCTTTTTGAGGAGGAGCAGCCCAAGCAGGAGCGTGCTGACAACGTTGACAGTAATGGAACGCTCGAGGCCCTCGGCAGTTTGAAAGTTCGACGTGGCTACGGCGGCGTTGAGGATAGCAGTATCCAGACGCGGCAGCTTCGCTGCCCGTTCGCCAAAAGCGAGCACAGACTGGTATGAAGCTAGGTCAACCTCCCACACTTCACAGACTCCCGGTCTCCCGGTGGACGATTCGATCGACTTTTTGGCATCCTCGCCAGCGGCCACATTGCGGACCCCTAGAATGATCTTCGCCGCCCCAAGCCGGGCCAGGTGTCGCGCCGCTTCCAGTCCCAGGCCCACGTTGGAACCAGTGACGATGACCGTCTGGTCGGCGAAAGATTGCTTGGGATAGGGCGGGGTGACCAAAAATTGCGAATACAGAAATCCCATGATGGCAAAGTGGTTAAGATTGTGTGTTCGTCGAGCTAGGACGCGCTCAGGCGAGCTTAAATAGGCGAAGAATATGGTGATGCCATCATGCTGGCTCGGCCTTAAGGCGGTCATAATAGTGGGGCCGGTCAATCTCCGAGTCCAGTAGCGTTGTTTCTTCCAAACCCCGGAAATTCCGTGGGTGAGATGCCAAGACATTAGAGCAGGAATATTGGATCTTCATGGTCAGTAGACGAATCCTACTTCTGTTATTGAAAGAGCTAGCCTTGGTATGCGTTCGGTTGCAACTGCCAGCTGCCAGCGGAAGTATAAAATTTACTGAAATCAAACAATTTCACAGGCAAAAGGCCCATTGATCTCCTGACAAATGGCGAAAAGCAAGTGTACGCGAGGCAATGATGTACGGTAACGAGATGCTGAGAAATGCCCACGCCAAACTAATAGCCTAGAAGGTAGGACAGAATATACTCCATCCTAGTGCGGTAACCGCAATGGACCACCGGGCGGCGCAGTCACCTACGTATAACCAAAGTGTGGGGTGACTACGTTGAGCATCTCCGAGCTGATCAGACAAGTCTTGCAAGTGCTCCTTCGAGGCAATGAGACCGGCAATAATTAAAGGCCATTAGGATAGCGGCTGTCTCAGGTCGTGTGAAAGTGACGAGCCACCGAATGCGACCGTCATTCATCCAATTTCCTGAAGTCGGACCGGCCGGATACAAACATCCAAGGAGCATTGTGGGCGGTCATTAAAACCTTTGACCACACTTGGAATTATTTCCGTCCCACCAAATCCTTAGGCAACCGCTCTTTCTATGAAGACAGCAAATAACCATGCCAGCCAGTATTTTTTTTATTCTATCTCAACGTGTCTGTGCTAGTGCATCGTTGGTAGTTAGTCGCCTGTCGAACGATGCATGCAGAGAAACTCACTTTAGCGTCAACATCAGACAGCTCCACCCCTTCTTGTCCTGGCTTTTCATCGCCAATGCCGTGTTTCTCCAGAGTAGCAATAAGCTGTCCTGTCCCGTGGGTTTGGTACTGCTTGAACTGCCAAGCAGCCAGCTTCGCCTCAAAAAGCTCGTCGACTTCTTCAAGCGATCGGCCCTATCTTGCATTACTACCAGCGAACATAAATCTGGCGAGAGTGCAGTAATGCTTACCTTGAGCTCTGGAAAGAATAAAAGCCCCCAGATAATAGAAAAGGCCGCCACAGAGCCAAATATCCAGCCAATTCCACTTCCCATGCTAGGTAAAATATAAGGGGTGACGAAGGTGACGAGGAAGGCTGCGGCCACATCACATGCGGTTCCAAATGCCTATATTGCAGATCAGTCCAAGTCCATCGAGGCGAAGGAGCAAGACGCACCATGATCTTTTTTCTCATTCTCACTCCGCCAATTTCCGCCCCTGTCAGAAAAGCGTTGTTCGAGGCAGCAGTCCGAGTGAAGGCCGGCAGAAGGATGAAGCAAGCGAGGGTCGTGTTGACCTCATTCTGATTCATAGAGGGCACAGTACCCAGCCCCGATGCAAGATAGAGCAAGAAAGTGCAAACCGCACTCCCATAAATCAAGAGAGGTCTTCGGCCGCTGATATCCAGAAGCACCAGCCCGATTGCGCATCCAACCACTCCAACCACCTGGCCGGCCATTGTATATGTAAAAGACATAGATCCCATGCCCTGCTGCACGTAGAAGGTGGCGGCATATGACTGTACAAACTGATTGCCATTCATCTGCTCAAGAACGAACAAGGTGGCCGAAATCTATATCTGCGTCAGTAGGGTATACACGTCCCGATGGATGGTGATAGTTACCCAGGTCCGTCGCAGATAGTTGCCCCGGAAAAGATCAAGCCATGACCCTTGGTCAGAAGCTTGAGATTCTTCCACCAGCTTTTCAATAGCGTCTGCTTCTGCCATCGTGGCTCCCGTCTGTACATCGTCTCCAGGGCGAATCCGGTCGAGAGCGATCTGGGCTTCTGGTTTTCGTCCTTTGAGAATAAGCCATCGAGGCGACTCGGGGGTCCAAGGAACCAGGCCAAGCAGGCCAATGGCGGGAATGAACTGCATAGCAGTGGGGACCATCCAGCCTTTTTCTGTGGTCTCAGACGCGTAGGCCTGTGACATTCCAGCACCCCAGAGATTGCCTAATGACGAAACCATCATAATTGAGCCTGACAAGATCCCTCGCGTTGCCGCTGGAGATGTCTCAGCATTGTAGGAGGGTACCGCATTCTCGACTAGCCCGACAGCGAAGTAGGCGATGATACGACCGACAGTAAATTGTGCCCAGTGGTGGGCTGTTAGCTCGACTAAGTATATATTGTTAGCCATCGCTGATGTAAGGCAAATGCTAAAACACGCATACTGATTAGGGCCACAATCTGAATGCCAGCCGCGGCATACATGGTCTTCTTGTAACCAGTATTCTCAATAAACATCTCCGACCCAAGGCAACCCGTGAGTTTTCCAATCCATGGCAGCGAATTCATCAATGCCTTTCTCGTCACCGGCAGCTGGAATTCCCCATGTCCATCTGCAACGCCGAATCGGCTGAGAAAAGACGGCAAGGCCTGCAGTGAGCCAAAGGAGCCAGTGTCACTGGGGTATCGTCAGTCTTGGTCATTCTATACCAAACCAGAGGGAGCCTTACAGCCCGAATAGAAGGGCTCCCTGCAAGAAAACCACTGAATTGAACAGCAGAGACAGGGTGAGGTGACGCCACATATTAAGTTTGACGATGAGGTTCACGGCAGACAAGACATGAAGAGCAGCTGGGATAAGTCGGTTCCCATGGGGTTATATATATACCTATCCAGTTCAGGGATGGCCGTGTCCAGAACTCCTTCATCTCCAGATCTGAGCACCCCAGAACCCCATGGTGTCGTGATCAATCCAGTGCATGTCGACACTTTCTCCATTTGTGGGGGAACGAAGTCGGCTCGGTCGGGTCGCGGGTGTCGGTGTGCCGAAGACCCACCAGCATTACTGGATATACTCAGGAGACAGGGGTAGGTACTATACCAATTGAGCAAAATAATAGTAGTATATTCCGGCTCGGATGGCTCAGCAATCCGTCACCCCATCCGACCCTTGAATGGTTAGCCAGTCCGATGATTTCACTGGACCATGCACAATACACCGATAACCGAGCGCTTCCAGGACGGAAACGGCCGCAGAAACAGAGTGAGGATTATCAATATAAAGCTCAAAGGCCAGTGCTTTTGCTAGCTTCCTGCCACTCCCGCAATCATGGCGACCGAGCACAGAAATGTTATCCAGCTTGTGGCAGATGACCTCGGCCTATTCCTCGGATGTTACGGTGCCAAAAGTATCTATACTCCAAATATAGATAAACTTGCAGCATCCGGAACCAAGTTTACAAACGCCTTTGCCAGCACCGCATCATGTTCCGGAAGCCGTTCAACCCTTTACACCGGCCTGCATACCCATGAGAATGGTCAGTATGGGCTTGCACACGGGTGGAATCATTTCCAAACCCATGATCATATTGAGACGCTACCTCAAATCTTCAATGCCTTGGGATACCAAACCGGGATCATTAGCAAGGTGCATGTTGGCCCCCGAACAGCTTATCCATGGGAAGTCACCGAGGAGAGCGATTCTCGTGATGTCAGTGCAAATGCAGCCCGTGTTGAGGCTTTCTTCGACGAAGCCAAAGCAACCAGCAGACCCTTTCATTTGACGGTGGGATTTCGAGACCCTCACCGGGACCACACGAGACAGGGCTTTGGCAACGACGAGGCAGATGTGGCACACATCCCAGTGCCTGATTATTGTGTGTCAGACGTGGAGATCCCTTCCTATCTCAGTGATGTGCCTGAGGTGCGCCTTGAACTGGTCGAATACTACAAAGCAATCAGTAGGATGGATGCTGGAGTTGGCCTGATCATGGATGCATTGGAAAAGCACAATTTGGCTGAGAACACACTGGTCATCTTCGTCAGCGACAATGGAGCCCCATTCCTTAATTCAAAGACAACCTTATATGATGCCGGAGTCAAGCTGCCCTTGATTGTGAGATGCCCAGGGTCTACGCGCGGAGTGGTAAACCCCAACATGGTTTCGTTCCTGGACATTTTGCCTACTTGTCTGGATTGGGTCGGCGCTAGCAAGGCAAATGTCAAGACAAACAACACGGGAAAGTCCCCAAAGCGACTGGGGAATTCATTCCTCTCCATTTTGGAATCACCAGAAATGCTTCCCGACCAGGAATGGGCGCAGCATGTTTTCGGCTCTCACACGTTCCATGAGATACAAAACTACTGGCCGACGAGATTCCTTCGCACTCCCCGCTTCAAATATCATCGAAACATTGCCTGGAGGCTGGATTTTCCTTTTGGTACAGACCTATATGGTAGTTTATCGTGGGAGGGCATTCGTAATGCCGGAGGTTCGGTTATGATCGGGAAACGACCGCTGGAGAAGTACCTTTTCCGAGGACCTGAGGAGCTTTTCGACCTTGAGAATGACCCAGAGGAGGTTCACAACCTGGCTTCTAATAAAGAATATGAAGCTTTGCTCCTTGAATGTCGTTCCAAGGTTGAAACGTGGCAATATAAGACAGGAGATGTATGGCTGTTCAAGGACGGTGTCTCAGTCATCACCAGCGAGGAGTATCAGCGACAGGGCATGAAGTTGCGAGACCGATTTGAAGTTGACCCTCTTAGTCCTGGCAATGAAGATGGGCCACACTGGGTGCCACCATCAGTCCAAGCAACTGCCGCCAACGATCACATTTTTTCGGGATGAGGTATCGATGGGGCTGCCAAAGGTGTATCCGGATTTCTACTGGGCAATAGAAAATAAACATGGATGTGCAATTGTATATTGTTAGCTTTTTAATTTAAATATGTTCAATCATAATACAGAACTGACTCATAATACTGGACTCAGACTCCGCTGTAGGGTAGATCGGATGGTGCATTGAAAAGCTCCAGCGGCGGCCACATTTCTTGGTATTGCGACATTGGGTGAAAGACAGCCACATCCCAAGCCCCCTCAAAAGCATTAGTCTGATTCCACCATGCTCCCTCCTGTGAGTTAGGATCACCAAACACAGTATTCATCGGCATAAGAGCATCATGTGGCTCTTGTGGCATGGGTATGAAACCCGATCGCCTTGGCGGAGTCTGCGATCGAAGGGTGGGCGAGGTGAGCGATCCATCGACAACCGAATTATGTGTCGATATTTGTGCGGCCCTTCCTTGTTTACCGCCCACAAAAGGCATATCCTCTAACGCACTGTCGTCCGTCAACTGAGAGCGGTTCAACATGCTGTGCTTAGAGATGATTTGACTGCGGTTAGCCATCGACCCGATGGCAGGTCGAGCATGTGCGCAATGTTCCGGTAACTCTTCGTCGGAGGAGATCGAAAGTGAGTTACCGCGTTGCAACAGAGTGCTCAAATCGTTGGCCTATTGTCCTGTTAGCCCTTCTGGAAAAAGGAAAACATAAGGCTGGGTTGCGTACAATCGTCGAAACTGTGGGAAATACGGCTGCTAGACCCTTGATAAACAGTATACAACTGTTGAGTTGCTGCGTCACCAAGCTAAATGGCGCAACTAATGCCTGTGCATGTGTTTGCGTCGCATGAATTAAGATCCTGCCTGCCTGGTACGCACACTCGGCTGTCTCCATATCTAGCACGACATCGCTTGGATCAGTTCCTGTGACCAAGGAACAGATATCAGCAATTGCACGCGCATGTTGTAATCCCTTGGCTTGGCAATCTAGAACAAACGGCTGAGGAAGTTGATCTATAGTTCTTTGTGGAAGCGATTCCCGAAGATTTGCAAGAAAACACCGGTAGAGATCACAATGGCATTGGTGCCACCAGATGTGAATCATGATGTATCGCGGAAAAGACTTGGAAAAGGCTCTTAGATGGAAATTCTTTTCTGAAAATGAGATGGAATCAGGTAGGTGCAGGGCGAATTCCTGCAGGCTAGAATCCAGTTCTCCTATACGGTTCAGAATTGTTGCAGTGTCTTGTGTGGACGAAGCAGCTTGTTTTGTATATCTACATTGGAGTCTGTGTTAGCAGTTGAGAACGGCAGCATTCCATACATCTTACGTACCGAAGGATGCTGTCGCGAAGAGACATAACGCGGATGTAGTAAGCCAGGAGGCCAAGGTCAGTTGACTTGTCGGTTGCGCCATTTATCAGTGCATTCGGACCCGGAATATCGAGTTCAAAGTTTGATTCCGGGGAAGGCAGATAGACATGCATGACATTGGATGGGCAAAGGGTAAATTCAGGCAGGCCGCCTGCGAGCATGGTGTCGAGGATATAGATGCCCCACATGAGACGACGGCGTGACTCTTGCGCAAGAGAGCAAATGTTTGGATTCTCGTAGTTCAGGCGTAGAGCAAAAGCAAACCGGGTAAGTGTCCCCATTAGCATCAGTGCCTCCGTAAAGATGCCAGTCCACATATGGTACCGGATCATAAGTAACAATGCCTGCGCCTTGAGAATAGTCGGTCGCCCCAGGTCGCTAACAATAAGGCGCTGTGCAAATTGCGCACACTGCGTCCCGTAATTGATTTCACGGCGATCGATACCTGGGAGACAGGAAGTGATGGCCACAATGGATAGCAGGAGGCTGGTGTCTGCTTGCCCAGTATTGTACCATTTCAGTAAGGAAGCTTGATGCAAGAATGAACAAGCAGGTAAGATATGAATATGATCGAAATAGACATCCAAGGCGCGTTTTACGCGCTCGGGTGTCAGAAGATGTGATCTGCAGCATGCTTGTAAGCCTCACGAGCGCAGCTTTTGGAGCTCATACAAAACATACAGATTGTTATCCGCCGTTGCTGCCTGGCGGAGCCGGTCTGGAGGCCGCATTCCCTGATCGGATACGCCATCCAGGTTCTCTGGTATATGGGATGGTAACCTTTCGTCGCGATCTTCCACGGCCTGAGTGCTCGACGTGGGAGCCGGATTAGATCTGCGACGAGGAAAAAGGGTCGGATATACACAGTCAATCCCTTTCTCGCGGCAGCGATGGCAAGCCGGCGTGTTTCCCGAGCACCGAACTTTGAGCTCATGACACGCGATGCAAGCTTGTCGAACACGACATCGACGAAGTCGTCGTAAGACTGTAGGACTATCCCGAGTGTCACCGTCGCGGAAGGAGCAGTCGAATCCCAGTCGCTGGCAATTTCCGCATACTCGGCGTTGCCCGTCGCATCGCACTTTTCGCATTCGGCATTCATGGCAGGTCCTCCTCACCTGTTTTTCCATATTAGATTGCATGGTGCGAACAGTCCCAACATAGAGGGACCTGGTGGACTTTGCGGGGTGTAATCTCAACTCTGGGGTTGTGAAGGTACGGAGACTTGTGAAGCATTCCGGCTCGGCCGGGGTCGGTTCGGACTGTCCGTGTGGGGTGACCGACAGCCGAGTAGCCAATCATGTCGTATTATTCCGACATGTCCATAACATCTAGAAGCTTTTGAGACGCCCAGCACGCTCGGGGATCGAAAGGTGGGGTTGCTTTGGTTTAACTTGTACGGTCATGCGATTGAGCGTTCTTTTCTGTCAGCACTATGGTCTGTCATGCGCAATATTACTACCTAGTAAGTGGTCTTTTGGGTTGGTGGTATTACGGGCCTGGGTGTCTACTAACATTTTCACTCGATTACAAATGACTATTTACCAAATCGTAGGTGACTTTCCCCGAATATTAAATCGCGTGTTTACCTTATTAGGTAGTGGTAGCGCGTTTCGCTAGGGATCCCACGCAAATGATCCATCTAAGCCCAAGAGAAACGGATCGCTTTGAAATAAATTGAATTCGGCCAGCGTGGATAACTGATCAGTCGCATCAGACATTTCAGGATGGGACTCCGACGTAGGTTGCGGTTCGGCTTCGGAGGTGAGCATTAACTTGCTTGACTGACCCTATGGAAATACCGTTAGAAAATATAACTGGGCAGACACCAGATTTGATGAACTAACCTCATGCCTGGTATGCAACGAGTCCAAGCCAAGCGATTGCTCACCAAAATCTGGAAGTAGGTGTTGTCGGCACCTTAACAGGGCATTTTTGGCTCCTTCGTACATCCCGCGCTCTTTTGCGGGGGCTGGTCCGCGAGCTCGCACGGATTGTAAGACAACGGCAAGAAGAAAAACATCCTTGAAGCTGTTCCCTGTGTCTCCAATCTTCCGAGTCAATCCGTCGAGGGCATTTTCAACGGTGCGGGTCAGGCTGGCTTTCGTATACACTATGCCTCCTGCACTAGGGACAACTGAACGATTTTGCTCAGGCGCATGTGCCGATTTCAAATATCCACAAACGTTCAAGGCGGCCGATAATATGTCAGATTTGAAGAGAATTTGGAAAATGTCCCAGTACGCGTTCGAGTGGAATACGTCTAGGTCAGCCACATTCGGATCAAAACAGTCCTGGAAGGATAGCGTAACCAATGATGATTCTAGGCACACTCGCTGAATTTCCGAAAAGGCCGGGTTATCACAGTCCCCTTCCCTGGCTAAAGACTGGTAGAGACAAAGAAGTGGTCGCCGGGTATAAACATCCAACAAGACGCGGTTCAGTAGGAAACCGGGCTCGTTGTCCTTTGGAGGGACATAATCCATTTTCAATGGCGATGGGATTTGTTGCAGGCACGCTTCCAGTTGCCGACCATGCTTAAGCAACTCGTCGAAATCAATTTCCGAGCTCCCGTTGCCCACACAAGACATAGCCGTCATCCTGTGAGGCAAAGATGCAAACAGAGTAATCTGGCTCAAAGAATCTGTCCATTCATGCAATGGTCTAGAAGCGGGAATTTCGGTGGTTGATTCGTCAAAGTCACAATCGTCGATATTGGCAAGGGTGATATGACCAAATTTCATTCCAGGGGTCATAACGGGCATGCCCGATTCGGTAGATGTCTGTAGGTCTATTTCCATGATTGTGATCCACAGTCGGCGCCTGATCTCGGCTTGAAAAGCAGATATCTCAAGCGTGGTGGAAGGGTCTACGTGCAGGCCAATCGCCATTGCCGAGCGAACAAGTGTTCCCGATGCCCTCCAAACCTCTTCGGACGATACTTGTTGCAGACGTCTCGCTAATATTAGAAGTGCTTCAACTTGTAATGTGGCAAGCTCGGTCCGTTGCTTGCGACTGAGTTTTCGGTGCCATTCTTGAATAAGATTCACAGCTGACAACTTCAAATATTCCCAAGCGGAAGGATTGCCGAGTTTCATATTATGGTCCTCAAGCGAGACTGCCACGGCGAGGACTGCTGTAAGTTGAGGAATAAATGCCGACGAATGATAGATTTCATGGTCAGGATCATCCCAAAACTCCGTGTATCGGCGTTGAAAGGATGGAACATGCAGAATCCGGAGAGCTTTCTCGAAGTTCTTGGCATATGAGTCCAAAAGATTATCACAAATCGTTTTTGAGGGAAGACTAATCCGGAGTTGCAATATCTCTGGAGAACTCTCCAAATGCGAATTTGATTCTGACGAGACCATTGGCCATTCCGACTTGTTTTGAAGGAACTGCACGTCCTTTGCCAACCGCAGAAGAGTCGGATCCTTTGTGCATTGGCCGATGAAAGCTTTAGCCTCTCCAAACTACACAGCATATCAGCCGGAGATCATATGAAATGCACAAAGATTAAGCAACCTGGTTCAGAGAGATAAGTCGGCTGTTCTGCCCTTGGTATCGGGTTCGCGAACCCTTGACCAGAATAGTTCCGGCTTGAGGTGCCGAATAGGATGATTGAGTGAGGCTGGTCCCGATCTGTTGGCTGCTCCTACTACTACATATCAATGACAGATTACTGTAAATAGGGCCACTGTTCGTACCCATGTTCGAAGGCCGAGCGGGAATTGGCTCCAGGCAGGCAGGCAGGTTGAGTAACAATTGAAAGCTGCTCCTCCAATCGGATCACTCTTTGTTGCAAATCTTCAATGATGCCTATAGCTGCTCCATGCCGGCTTCCGGGTTGTAAATCTCGTTCTCGGTGGATATCGTCATCATGTCGGGTTCGCTTTGCTTGTGAGAGGGAGTGGAAGGGTGCGCCCGGATCGTAAAAGCAGCCTGCAGGGCATCCGGCTTTAATGCAATTTTGGCACGGCGCCACTCGATCGCATTTGAGCTTTTTCTCTCTGCATCGCAGACATGAAACTACCGGTCGCGGCCGTTTGCGCGTTAGGGCGTCGTCCATCAGTTGTAAGGCGACAAATTAAGGAGCTTTGACTCAGGAACGAACCTTTGACGGTGTTTATTGGGGGCGAATTTGGCGCCAAGCTTTTGTTGGAGCTGCGCTTCTCCCATCTTTTGTACCTCATTCTCATAGCACGCAATACCAAGAAAATGGACCTTTTTTTCAGGGCTATGGGTTATCACTATCAGTGTGAGGTACCATTAATACATTTCTAGGGTCACGGGCCGAGAAACAATGCGTGAGTGTCTGGGGTTTTAACACCTGTTTTCGACTTCTACTGTAAGCTAGATCTCCGATGAATTTATATATTCTATCCGCCATTATCGGTCCGTCGTCTTTAAATCAACCTTCAAATTTTCTTGACCAAAATCCGATGCACAAAGGATACCTGACCAAGATACATCAGGAGACCGTCCAATCAATTGGTGATTACCGGCTCCGTGTTGTCCCACTGGTCGGTCTCTGTAGCATCAACAAGCCAACGAGCAACGCTTCTACGGCTGGTCTGGGCCATCAATGGCACTCCTTTGCCATGGTTCGGCCACACCTTCACCTTCTCCGTGTCCGTGTCCACTAACCGGGATGGTCTGACCAAAACGTAGGTAACTCCGGAATTCCGCACCTCCTCCTCAGTCTGGTTGTGATCGAGATATTGATGGCTCATGTTGGACTTGGACATCAGAAGGCGCAGCAAACAATGCATGTTGGGCCAGGAGTCACCAACGCCAAAAGCTTGCAGAACAACGAGTTTTGGAACTCCAAACTCCTTCATTGCCGCAACTATATTTGCATTGCAATTGACCATCAAGCCCGGAGGAGCCATTGGAGCGGCAAAGGGGCTATCCGATTCCCGGGGGGCGTTTAGTGTCACGATTACTGCGGCGGGGATTTCGTATTCAAAAGCCGCTTTCACATCGGCTATATTCGATGGTGTGCCTGTCTCATGTTTAGCCGATAGCAGTGGCACACTCGGTGGAATCATCTTTACCTTTTATAGTATCTAGCCCGGCTGGCATATCTTCCATTGCGGAGAGATTCCTGACTAGGGCAGTCACTTTGTGTCCTATTCAGTGTTAGCGTCCGTCCTAGTGTACTAGTGAGGAAGCCTATACAAACCTCGATGCAGAAGCTCTTTTGTAGTCAACTTGCCAGTCCGCCCACTGCCACCGATGATAAGAATCCGCATTGTCCTGCTCGCGGGTATGGCGGTTGTTGTTGCTAGGCGGGTTATCGTTTCAAGCGTAGCAAGTTAAGACTTTGAAATTGCTCTCGCACAGCTTCAATTCTCGTTTTTATACGTCCGAGTCAAGTCGGATCTCCGAGAAGTGATCGGATCCGGGCCCGGAGGAACCGGATCCGAAGTATCCCAGTCTTCCTTACTGCTACGGAGGTAGCACAAAAATAAAGCTGGGTAAGAGCATCTGGTAGAGCTTTTTGAAGAGTAATTAACAGCCATTTACCCATTTCCAATTGTCCAATAATAATATTAATGAATCTGTTGTAGCCTCACCGCTCCCGGCAATGATCTGCTTCCCCCTGATCGATCGATCACGACGCTGGCCAACGCAGCCTCGACTTTAACTACAATTCTCTCTCCAAACATGGCTTCTTCCCTTCTCCTCGGACTCCCAAAGCTCTATGCAAGCAATGGTAACAAGTGCGTGCCTCCGGTCAATGACTGGATCATCGGGACCTGGCACGTCACCCACTCCAGCCTTCCGCTCTGGAAGGGCAAGCGCAACGTTAATATCACCTACGAAACACTGCCCGCCGACTCGTCCGGAGTGACCAAAATTGATGACCTAGTGAGCTACCAAGCGACCGGGTCAGACAAGATCAAGTCGGTCCATGGGGTAGATACGCCGAGCCCTGGTAATCCCGGTGCCTGGGATTGGCGCGGCAAAGGGTGGCTGGTGATCGCGAGCTCCCACTGGGAGTGCCTGGGCTTCGGTCATGCCGACGAGAATAACAAGTGGATGGTCACATACTTTGCCAAAACCCTCTTCACCCCGGCCGGCATTGACATCTACTCGCGAAACAAGCAGGGACTTCCCCAAGCGACGATCGATGAAATACTCCAAACTATCCGAGAGTTTGGCGTCACAGAACTCACGGAGCTTGCCAACAGGATCTTCCAGATCCCGCAAAACTAGAGCATTTAATACAACACGGGAAATGACCTCACAGCCGGCTTTCCATTCCGACACCTTATGGTGATCTCATCGCCACAGCCCCGGTCCCCAGATACCCCCGTCGACACGTAGCAACACATCCGGACGTGGGTGATTATCTACTGTCGATTCAGCCTCACGGGCTCGACCGTTCAATTGAGGCCTCCGGTTTCCGAAGCACGCAGTTCCTGCCTCACGCGGCCATGCGAGCGATTGGACTGGAGCGTGACAGTAGCGACACGGTAGTCGGTATCATGAAGGCCACGCGCAAGGGCGGCATTGTGGCGCTGATCGGCAACTTCTTCTTCACGACGCACGACTTCCCCATAGGGCCCATGATGCAGAAGGCGCTGACGGTCCGAGGCGGCCAGGCGGCTCCGCGACGGTATCAACCTTTCCTGCTCGACCTGGTCGTAGAGGGCCGTCTGGATCCGTCGTGGCTGTTCACGTACGAGGACGAGTTCGAGAACATAGCGGAGCACTACCACCGGTTTGCGCGCCACGAGATGCCCGGCAGGCTCAAGGTGTGCTTGGTGACAGCATTTGGACGCAGCGAGCGAGTGCAAGCCAACCGCGACTTGGTGATTGACCGGGATGGAAAGTCTTGATTTATTTAATGAATTATCTATCTATCCATGTGTTTTTGGTGAGACCGTCCGGAATGAATCAAATGAATCACTAAGCGGAAGATATAAATAATGTTCTGCCCCGCCATCCTTTTCTCCCTTCTTTTCCTTCCCCACATAATAATCATCATCGTCATGTTTCCCCCACCGCCCCTCGACCTCGACTGGAACGACATCGGTTTCAAAGTGCGCGATGGTGCGTAGTTGGCAGAGACAAGCCAATTGGTGATGACTCCATAACTGACGGATATTCCTTAGTGCACGGCCATGTCGAATCCCACTTCTCGCATTCCGAGGCACCCGCGTGGTCCGCGCCGCAGTTCATCGCCTCGCCTTTCCTGAATGTGCACGGCATGGCTCCCGGCCTGAACTACGGACAGCAGGCCTACGAAGGCCTCAAGGCATTCCGCCATGCCAATGGCAAGATCACCATCTTCCGGCCCGACCGCAATGCAAAGCGCATGCAGACCTCCGCCGAGGTAGTGTCCATCCCCCCCGTTTCGGAGGATTTGTTCATCGAGAGCGTCCGTCTTGCCGTTGCCGCCAATGCCGAGTTCGTGCCCCCGCATGAGTCCGGTGCGGCGATGTATATCCGGCCTTTGATTTTTGGGTCGTCAGCGCAACTGGGTCTAAGCCCACCGGATGGATACACGCTGGCTGTGTTCGTGATGCCTACGGGCGTTTATCACGGTGCTCATGCAGTTGATGCTCTCATTCTGGAAGATTTTGACCGGTGTGCACCGCACGGGACGGGCGCTGCCAAAGTGGGAGGCAATTATGCCCCGGTGCTGCGGCATAGTGATCGCGCTCGCCGGGAAGGTTTCGGCATTACACTGCACTTGGACAGCGCGACTCGGTCCGAGATTGACGAATTTTCCACTTCGGCATTCCTGGGCGTTGTCCGCGATGGCGATTCTGTCACGATTGTCCAACCCAATTCCCGGAATGTCATTGACTCCGTGACGGCGGCGTCGGTGCTTGAGATCGCACAGGGCTTGGGATACCGCGTGGAGAAGCGCCGGGTCGCCTACGAAGAGCTGAGTCGCTTCGACGAGGTCATTGCTGGAGGCACGGCAGCCGCCCTAGTGCCGGTGAAGAGCATCACCCGGCGGTCTACCGGTGACAAATTCGAGTATCGCTGTGGTGATGACAACCAAGGCGGTCCGGTCGCGGCGACTCTGCTGAAGACACTACGCGGAATTCAGTCTGGGACGATCGAGGACACTCGGGGGTGGAACTATGAGGTGCACGCCCCGCCGGCTGGATGGATGGAGGGCGCGAGTGGACACGAAATAAAGGAGCGCAGCGGCACCAATGTTCCGTAGACGATAAATACCGTGGTAAACAAAATTTGGAACCCACTGATTGCTTTCTATCCTACAAATAGTAAAGTAGTACGAGGCATGACCCCGAAACAAGAAGAAAACGAGTAAGAAAGATAGTTTTCGTAGCGCTTGAGCCAGTTCTCGAGTTATCTGGGGTCGCTTCTTAGCTAGCCCGCTCTGGCATCCTAATTCTGGACGGGTTGGTAAGGGCAGTTGACTACATAATGATTTCGCGGTACAGATGATAAAGAGACCGCGCTGAAGTAACCGTAGTAGCTTTTCTTCCTAGCATACGATTGATTGATTGATTGAACCATTGACTCATACGTAGATACATAGAAAGAAGTATCGAACGCCAACAGCATGAAGCCATCTCACTGCTTCAAATATGGCCGGCGCAGCGTCATCAATCGTCCATCCGGCATGATGTCACCGAGTTCTATTATGGAAGAGAGAAGCAGTCAGTTGACTTTCTCATACACCACAACTGTCATGGATGATGGACGTAGGATAACGAACCATGTACATGTTACAACAACACCAAAGGAAACCATCGGACTAACCACTATCACTGGCACTGTTGCCGTCGCTGTCCTCATCACTCGACTCCTCATAGATGTTGCGGCGAGGCGGAGGAGCGGCAGCAGTCGGCTTCTGCTGGGTGGCAGCTCGGGCAGCCATTTCCTTGCGCTGTTCCTCAAGCAGCCCCTTCAAGGTGGGGCGATTTGTAGGGGTGGCCTTTCTGCTGGCTGACGGAGGAGCAGGGGAAGAAACCGGGGGAGCAACCGCAGGAGAAGTAGGTGGGATAATGCGACTGGCTTTCTTGCTGGACGATGGAAGAACAACTTCAACTGGAGCAACTGGGGAAGGAGAAGTTGGCGGCATAGCCCGACTGGTTTTCTTGCTCGACGACGGAAGAGCAGGGGAAGAAACCGGGGGAGCAGCCGGGGGAGGAGAAGGGGTCGGGATAGCTCGCCTGGCCTCCTTGCTCGACGGTGGAAGAGCAGCTTCAGCTGGAGCAGCCGGGGGAGGAGAAGGGGTCGGGATAGCCCGACTGGCCTCTTTACTGGACGATGGAAGAGCAGCTTCAGCTGGAGCAACTGGGGAAGGAGAAGTTGGGGGGATAGCCTGACTGGTCTTGCTGCTGGACGATGGGAGAGCTGCTTCGGTTTCTCGGTCAACCGTGAAAGCTTGTAGGTCTTTCCGTAGCTTTGACATTTCCTTGCGCCGGTTCGCGATCCTGTCATGCCTCCTATGAGGGCCGCTTTCCTGGCGTATGAGTTTAGCCCATTCACTGAGTAGGCGTTTGATGATTTTCAGAGCCTTCGGGTCGGTATTTGGATCCTCGGCCATACGGCTCAGGTCTTCTCTCTCCCGCCTTTCTTGTTCAATATCGTCCATACATTTCTGGGCCATCTCGGGAGAAACCCCAGGTGGGAGGAATGAGGCACGGACTTGTGTTGCTTTGGTGGAGTCGGCGGATAGATCTGTCTTCTGGGACGATTGATGACCAGCTGGTTCTCTGGGTGTAGGTGTCGGGGCCGGAAAACTCGAGGATGGCTCACTATCGTCAGTAAAAGATACCGAACCTCGCGTTTGGGACCCATCAGCAGGGGACTCCTTGCGCAAAATGGAGTATAATTTCTTAGCGCTGTCGAGGATAGGCTGATGTGCGGGTGCCAGATTGGGTTCCGAAATGGGCTTGCCGACGTGTCGTTGCACAGGTTTCCTGCCTGGCGGGCTCGTCATGATGCCTACACCTAGGCGACGCTGCGACGCTGACAGTTGGTCTGCAGGAATACGACTGGGGCCAGAGAACGAAGGCACGCGCTGCCGTCTCTGGGGTGGGGTTGAAGTAGGAGAGTTTGACGTCTGGAGTTTCGGCTCCTTCCGCGGTTCCGCCTGCTCTAGGCTCTGTTTGCGTTTGCGGGACCGAGTTTCCCTCACGTTCTGAGGCGGAGGCATGTCGATGTCCTCATGTATCTCAACAGGGGGGCTATCGTGGTAATCAACAGAGGGGTCGTTCTTGTTCGTCTCGACAGAGAGCGATAGACCGCGGTGGCGCTGCGTAGCGGGTAAAGATGGCTCCTCGGCTTCATCTGGCTGGTCGTGCGTGTGTGAGAACTGGCTCGACAACATACTAGCACTAGAAGCGCGACGCGGTGAGCCTGATGCCTCCGTCTTTCCCTCGTCTTCGCAAATGGAAGGTAAATTTTCCTGTTGAGTCTTTCGTTGAAGCTCATATCTGCTCGCGGCAGAATCCCAATCAATGTCAACTGAGGGAAATCGGACTGGGGGAGACTGCGCAGGCTTCTGAATCACGTGTAAAGTGCCTCGTTGATCCAGGCCTTCTCTGCGGGCCTTGCCACTATCCACGAAGACATCCGCCACGGTCATGTCCGGGTCGAGGTCGTCGTCGGGGTTTTCACTATCCAGAAGCTTCTTGATAACCAAGCGCCTGTGTAAAAAAGTCTTAGTGTGAAGCCAATTGTTGCGTCGCAAAAACCGGTACTCACCCAAGGTCAGGATAGAGCTTCTTCCACTTGTCCTGGATCAAGCCAGAAAGCCCTGCGAGGGAGACGTCCTCGGGAGACGGCACCACTAGCAAAAACGACGCGGGTTTCGCAGAACCCGAAAGCGAGGCATTGGGTTCATCATGGTTCGGCAGGAAGCTGAACATCCGGCGAGAGGATGACAGCTGCTCGCGGGGAAAGACCACGACACGAAGCCGGAGAAGGACCATTGTGAGGACCACTGGAGTAGGCCGGCATCGAGAAGAAGAGAGTGTGGGTGGGGAGAGAGTGAGGGAGAGGAAGGAGAGAAAGAAGAGTGCAGAGAGCAAGGTGACGGAGAAGAAAAGAGCACAGGCCGAGAAGGGGAAGGTGCGCGGTCGACCCCGCGGCAACAACCCCAGAAGACAATAATGAGAGGGATAGTTAATACAGTATGTACAATTGTTCTCAACGACCAAAGAGACGACGATTCCGTAGTGAGTGTGGACTTTGACGCGTCGGATTTCTGCCGGCGGACGGGGCGTTCGGTCAGAACTGGCAGAATCCTTGACCGAGGCGAATAATAATGGATTTCTGTGTAGATGCTATGCTAGAGTAAATCCAGGAGTTCTAGCTCTCAACCCTATCGGACACGCGTGGGCCAGGCTCAAAGAAATGATGTATATCATCGATCCAAACCTCGAGTCTTTTGCATGGACAGCGAGTCGTGTTTCTCTCAGATACATTGATTGATTTATGGGACACCTCCCGACGGGCAGCAGGAGGAAATTATTAACAAGCGGATATGTACGACAAGATGGCCAAGAAATATGCAAATAAATACACAAGAGTCTAGTCCGGGGGTGCAAAATACCGCTGGAATCGATCAATATGCGTCAGACCGAGGTCAGTGATTACCCAGTGGCAGCTCATGAGCAGACTGGGGAACCTGACAGTCCAGAAATTCAGATATCCTTCCGGTAAGCCACCGACGTGCGCCTTCAAAGACTCCGGCATATCATTGTAGTGGTTGCGCTTGTTGCGCAGAGCGCGCAACAGATCGAGCATCCGGGAACCCGTGTACTTGCGTTGTTTCCCCAGGTTGTCCTTGAAGTCACGCGGCAATAACCGCAGGAAATCCATCTCGGGACCGATGACTTGCCGTGCCACGGATTCCAGGCACAGCAGCGCCTCGGATGGCGGGTCGCGCGGCTCAAACTCGAAATGATCTGACACGTCACACAGGAAGCTGAGGCGGTCGGACGGGGGCCAGAAGAAGGGATGCATCAGAACCGCACTGGCATCGGGCCTGGAAGCCGGTCAGTATGAGATGGGGGAACGTCTGGACAGGAGCGAAAACATACCGTTGGCGGGGGTCGAGAGACAACATAGAGCGGATGAGATCATCCGCCTCGAAAGCGTAGTCACCCAGCCGATCCAGCTCCTGGAGGTCAAAATTGCCCTTGACGATATTGGCCTCGCGCATAAATTTGCCATTCTTGTCGAACGGGTGGCTGCCACGCGTCAGAACGTAGTAGAACACGCATCCCAGGGAGAAGATGTCGATAGCGCGAGTGGCCCTGCGGTTGGTTTGCGGGTCAACAACGGCAGGCTCGGATGTTTCCGTATTCTGGGATTCAAGGCCAAAGGAATCGTCATCAACCAGTAGTTCCGGCGCGCGCCATCCCGAAGTGCCGGCGGCATGGGCGGTGGTAGCGCGGAACGAGCTCTGGTTGTCTTCCAGTTTCTTGCACAGTCCGAAGTCGGAGATGAGGAGTCGCAAGGATCGCGAGCCCGTGCGACCACGAGGCATGGCCGCTAGAATGTTCTGGGGCTTCAGATCTCGGTGAACAATCTTGAGAGAGTGCAAGTAGCGAACTCCAGAAATGATCTGACGTAGCACGTCGGGCATGTCCAAGCCACCCTGAACCAGGTCCGGGAAGTCAGAAGGGCGTTCAACCACGTCCTGCAGAGACGCCGGGCAAAGCTCGAGACCAATGTACAGAAAGCCGGTAGCCTGCTCACGGCAGAAGTATCGAATCACGTTGTTATGGTCGTCACTCTCTTGCAATAAACCGACTTCGTGAGAAGCAATATCGTAAAATTCCATCAGCATGCGTTTCACGGCGACATTACGTCCATCGAAAGACCCGCGGTAGACCACAGTCCCATGGCTGCCGTGGCCTAGTACAACGTCGGTGAACACTTGAAGGCGACCAATGCGGAGAACGCCATCCATCTCCATAATCTCGTTGGATACCGTGCGACTCAGCTGCACGTCGGGTTCCAGACGTGGCTGCGGAGCCAAGGCGTTGACTTGGTCCACCACTTGATCTGCTGTGTCTTGCGTGCTGTTCTCAGCGCTGGGCTTCTCCTTGCGTCGGTGCCCTTTGCCCCCACGGGTTCCGCGGGAACGCTTCTTTTTCTTGGTGGGCTGTCCCTGTTCAGCGAGCTCAAGTTCATCCACATCTTCGTCGCCGGGGCCTCGAGATGGTTCTCGAATTTGGATACGCGGCGTGGCATCTAGTGGCAGTACATTGCCGTTGCGAGGAGGCCGTGGAGTTTCATCTGCGTCGGCTTCAGCGCCCGTTATTTTCACGTCGACAGGTCCATTGGGAACAGGACGTCTCGGCGTGGATGTCCGATTCAGGTCCGGCGCGGTCTCGACAATCGGTGTCGGAGGAGCGGACAGAGGAGGCTTGTCATTCGCATTGATGATGTTCTTGATGTCAAGCTTCTGTCTCGCCAGGTCCCGCAGATGATGGGAGTTGAAATAGATAAAGGTACCAATGAATAGGAGCACCAACGTCACAATAATGTCCAGTGCATTGTCCCAGCCCTTGCGAATGATAGTGCTATTCCGCAATGCCGGAGGCAAGGCTAGTTCGGAAGGGCTGCGCAAGGCGCCTCGAGGTGTGCCACTGGACAATTCCGTGGCTGAGCCACCAATACTGGCCAGCGGCGGTCGAACGACATGGGGACCATTGAGGGAATGAACACCCGCCAAGGCCTCTCTCTGTTGACGCTGAGTCAAACTCATAAGTGACTGGCCCTTGCGGAAGAAGTCCTTCTCGTAGCACGGGGCCATGCTGGCGCGTCCAGTGACTAACGGATAAGTTTCCTCTGAAAGGGCATACCAACCACCGGCACTGGTGGTCTCAATGAACACACGCAAGTCTCGCTCATCGTGCAGACTTCCGTAATCTGGATCTGGGGGCTGCAACGGCTGCGACAAGAGCACCAGTGGGAGGAGGGTGTCCGGTGCATCCTTGGCGGCGGGGCGCACGACATCGAAGACCCGTACAACAGGCGACGAAAAGTGCTGCCTGAATCGGGCCCGATCCATTCGGGAATGATCGAAGCCTAAGACCACGCCATCGTGCATGCTGTAGATGTGGCTCAGGTCCATAGACTGAAAATATTGGCTCTGAAGATCCATATCTCGATTATTTGGAGCCCACTCGGAGTATTTCAATGTGCAGATGGGATCGCCTGTCTCGGTATTTTGGATGGCGACAGCGTATTCGACGCGACCAAGGACAAGAGTGCCGGATGTGTTTTCGCATTGTTCGGGATCCAACTCCTGCCCATCTACCTTCCGGCACCCTTGGCCGGCGGTGAAAGGCCCGCGAGAACTGAATACTCGTAGGATGCTTCCTGTGCTGGCATCAATGGTGTACAAGGTAGTCTCCTTCCGAGCAGTGTATGTCACGGCAGGCTCAATGCCGGAATAAGGCGTTTCGTCCACCAACTGCTTGACAGTCAAGCCAAGCTTCTGTAGCCCAGCATCCGGGCCAGGGCTGTAAATGTACAGGCTGCCATCCTGGCTGGGTTCGACGATCCACAAAAAGTCGTCCTCAGGCTGGGTATCATCAAAACTCGAGCGGTTGGCTCGATGGTAAATGCTCTCGACCATGGGGCTGCTGGGCACCTCCAGGGCCCAGCGAGCGGCACCGGTCTTGCGGTCTCGGGCGTGAATGGTTCCGTCGACGGTCGCCAGCAGCACAAAGTCCTCAACCTCCCAGTCCTGCAAGGACCGCGCGTGAAGCTGCGGAGCCAGACCAGCAGCGGTGCTGCTGGCCTGGGCAGGAGGGGCTCGAACGGCGCGGCCGGAGCCCGCCAGAGCCAGAGTTGCTAGGGCGCTCGCATCGTAGGATTTCACGAGGGGCGTTTCGGCCAGTGAGGCCGTGTCATGTGTTGAAGAGTCCGAGGCTAACGGCACGGACACACGGGGGGCCGATCCATGATGGGCTGGTTGCTGCTGCGGAGCAACCAGAACCGGCAGAAGGACAAGGGCGACGCTGGCGGGGAGGGTCGAACGGGCACCCGGCAGCCGCCACCGCATTGTGGGAAGGTCAGCACAGTGGGAGAAAGCTCAGCGGCGAGACGGTGTGCGTCTCATGGGTTGTGGTGAGGGAGGGTTGGGAGAGTGGCGGAGGACAGGAGGACAGGAGGAGTCGAAACAAAGGGACACCGAGAATTGTGGAGCGAGCGTCAGTCGAGAATGCGGATAGCGGAGCATCCCCCACCCAGAGAGTTTGGGATGGATCTTGGTATCTTGTGGAGGATAGATGGTTTAAGACGACGAGAGAGGGAGGTGAGAGAGATCGAGAAAATGCAGGAAAGAGGCTGATGGGAAGAAAAGGAGAAAAAGATGGCGCCTGAAGGATCGTGTGTGTGCGTAATACACCGGTATGCTTACAGGAGTGACCAGCCTCTCCCGCCTCCCCACGACGGGCTGCAAGGTACCGGCCCGGGTACGGTCGATACTCGGCGTAGTGCCACTGACTGGGATGCACACTGCTATATGACTTGGATTTATTTGCTTCATCCAATACACTGTCTCAAGGGTTGGTGGGTTACCTCAAGGGTTAAGGGACGAATGGAGCCCTTTTTCCGGCCCCCAGCGTGGGTGGGGGTCAAGGCCCCCTACATTATTGATTATCATGTACAGTTAGGGCCAGATGAAACCAACCACAGGGATAAGCACGAGTCCATCATACCTCTCTAACTATCAGAAGAACGATCAACGACAACAAGACACCCCAACTCCCCCCCAGTTCCGCACAACTCCGATTCACAAGAAACGCCATGGTAGATCCAGACAGACATTCACATACACCGGCAGGCAGAGATATCTTGACCTCCCTCAATCGCCCCGGATCATCCACGTCACAGCCAGCACCCATCCAGCCACAAACATGACAGTCACGATACCCGCGCCAGCCTGGTCGCTCGTGCCTATGGGTCGCAACCGCGGGACATCATCATTGTCCGAGTTATCGGTTCCTGCACCTGGGTTGCTCTTCGAAGTTCCGCCCGTCGTTGCCGTCAGGGGCGCTTGTTGGTCGTCAACCAGGCTTGCGGAGAAGATACCTAGCGCGCTCATCTGCTGCTCTAAACCCTGCGTGCCGTCCCAGGTCGACTGGTACCACCGCCGCCCGCACTGTTGGCCGTTGGTACCGCCTGAACATTGCTTGGCGGCTCCCTGCGCACTCGTCCGGAGCTTGGCCATCACCTGCTCGGCGGTGAAGGGTACGAGGGTGGTCATGAAGGCGAGCCAGGTGGAAAAGAATGCCTTGAAGCAGGACTGATTGCGGTCACAGTTCTCGCCGAGCTCGCAGCTGATCTCGGCCATGGTGTTGCCCTCATCTCCGTCAAACCCTATGGTCGGAAAGAACTGCTGTGAGGTCCCCCACAGCCCGTTGATTCCATCCTTCCACTTCTCCGCACCATCCGTCTAATCCTGGGTTAGCTATGGTTGCATTCCGACTCTCGAGGAACATACGTAGTTGTACATGTAGGCAGCCCCGCTGATGTAGGTGCCGTAATTGTAGCTCCATTGGAAATCGCCGTGATCGGTGCATTGAGAGGCACACGAGGTCGTGTCGGCGATGGTCCAAACGGACTCGCTCAACAATGGGGTTGTGGCGCTCCAGTCCCAGATGCGTTCCGCCCAGTCGGCATAGGTGTGGTTGCTGGTGAACCGGGCCAGACGAGCCGCGAGCTGAAACAGCCCTCCGTTGGAGATGGCGTTCTTGGTGGTGTATCCGTCCTGCCAGGGCCAGATCTGCCAACGCATCCCACCACGGCAGCTACTGGTATCCCAGCGCGGCACCTGGGTGTTGAAGACCCCTTGAGCGAGTGCCAGCCACGACGGCTCGCTATCCTGCTCCGGGAAATTCAGTTCCGCCGCGGTCATGGCGGCCAAACCCCAAAAGACTTGGTCGTCGTTGCCGAGGTACTGGCTGTAGTTGGATGGGAAGTAGTCGTTATTGCCCTTTTGAAAGTACATGCCGTCCTGAACGATGCCGTTGAACTGACCGTCGCCGGTCCAGTACCAGTACTGGATGAGGGTCATGAACATGGCACCACCTTCCCACCAGGTGCCGTCCATTTTACCGGGGATGTTGCTGGATGCGCGGCCGTTGTAGTAGGCGATCATGTCAGTCGCGGCCTGCTTGGCCACATCCTTGAGGGAATCTGCCAGAGTATACAATTAGCCACGGGCAATGGCCCATGGGCTGTAGAGAGTAGTACAAACCGGGATTGTCAATGTTGAGGTCAATGGCAAGAGCGGCCGGGACGGCGAGCAGGCCGGCCAAGAGGGGAGAAAGCCACTGCGACCGAATCATCAGGAGGATTCGGAGGGAGAGAGAAGCATTGAAACGGGAGTGAGTCGTAGAGAGAGGAAGAAAGAGGGAAGCGGCAGTAAAAAAGAGAGTGTGTGAGCGAGTGAATGACGGAGCCATGGGTAAGGTAGCCGCAGTGAACCGGAGGTATAGCACAGGAAGTATACTGTTGAGTTCGGTGGATCCGCGGGTGCTCAGGCCCACACAAGCGCCGACTTTAATTGAGCTTGATTCAATAGAGCACATTCACGAGTAGTACTATTCTGTATTACATATCATCTCGATCGGAATAGGATGACGCGGTGATGGAGTTTCACTGCATTTTCGACATCCGGTACTCCCTATACTACAAACAAGATACCGATGACGGCTACACTTGTCGGACTGGGTGACCCACCAACCAAATAATAATCCCGCCCCTATTGATTTTCTTCGGGTCCAGGAGTATGTACCTGCCGATAGATCATCGGCGCCGTGCATTCATGAGGCTACGGAGTAAACCACGTGGACCGGGGGCCACATTCCACAGGCACAAATCTATGTATTCATTTTTGGATCGAGGCAGTTAAAACATATCTATTACATCCGCTCCCGCCGGCGGGGAGCCGCGCGAATGATGTTGTCCACACGCAGAAGCAGCTAGAGCCGGGTTAGTACATATACAATCCAAATAGCAGAGGGAAGAGTGGACATACCTCAGCGGCCTCCGAAGCCGACGACACCACCGCCTTCTTCAACTTGTAGGCCTCCACCACGCCGAGTTCACGCATGTCCGCAATGCCACCGCCGGGCGTCAGCAGATCCAGCCCGGAGCTGGTCATGCCGTTGTTGATTGCCTGACGCAGGCGGGTCACCAGGTCGCTCGAGTCCAGTCCAGCATTGTCCGCCAGGATGGTTGGCAGCTGCTTTAGCGCCTGGGCAAAGGAATCCACTGCCAGCTGCTTCTTGCCAGTGGTGTTCTGCGCAGCCTGTTCCACGGCCTTGGCCATAACCATCTCGGCGCACCCACCGCCAAGCGTAACACGGGGGTCCTTGATCGTCTGAGACAGCACGGCCAGGGCGTCGTGGAGCGATCGCTCGGCCTCGTCCAGCAGCTGCTCTGTGGCGCCGCGGAGCACGATGGTGCACGCCTGGCCGGCGGCCACACCAGAGAACTTGATCAGGGTGTCCTCGCCAATGATCACCTCCTCGATCAGGTCGCACCCGCCGAGCTTCACCTGATCCGGGTGGTCAAAGGTGGAGGCGATTTCGCCGCCCGTCACCAGCGCCAAGCGCTCAATGCCATCAAAGTCGGCGTGCTCAATGGACATGATCCCGGCTTCGGTGAACAGCTGCTCCGGCCAGTTGTAGATGAGTTGGCGGTTGACGAAGCAGTTGATGCCATGAGCCTTGATCCGCTCCACCTTGGCACGCATCTTCTCGCGCTCTGCCTTCTCCAACTCGGCTAATTTGCCTGTTGACTCGACTTTGACCCGAGCTCCAAAGATCTTGACCTTATCCGTATCCATGGCGGTGTTGGCCACGAGGATCTTGGCATTCTCCAGTCGCTTGGGCTGGTTGACACCGATCTTCTTGTCCAGAATAAAACCCTCGTCGAGGTAGGAGTCGCTCAGCTTTCCACCCGCCTTTTTAATCACTTGGATGTGGCTGAGGTCGGTCGAGCCTTTGAGACGCAAAACGGCCTCACAAGCCAACCGAGCAAAGTGGTCCCGATCTTGGGCCAGCACCTTGGAGCTAAGAGTCGTGCGGGCGATCGAGTGCAAGTCCTTGCGGAAAGACTCTGGGTCCTGGCTGCGGTCGACGGCTACTGACTCGAGAGCGGCGAGGGCAGCCCGGCTGGCGATCCGGTAACCTTCGATGATGGTCTGGGGATGGATCTTGCTGCTGACCAACTTCTCGGCCTCGCGCAGGAGCTCGGCGGCCAGCACGGTGACAGAGGTTGTGCCATCACCCACTTCATCGTCCTGAACCTTGGAAATATTGACCAGGACCTTCGCCGCAGCGTTGTCCAAAGCGATTGACTTGAGAATCGTAGCACCGTCATTTGTCACGAGGATATCGCCGGTCGACCTGTGCCCCTCGCCATGTCAGTGTTTGTTCCTGATTGTCTGGTTTTGCACGTACGCAGATTGTAGGATCTTGTCCATGCCCTTCGGGCCCAGCGTGCTCTTCACGAGGTCTCCGACGGCGATGGCGCCCACAAAGGCGGACAGACGGGCGTTCTCACCCTTCTCCTCGACGACATCGTCGGCAAAGATCTGTGTGGGATTGCCGAAGGACGCCTGGACAAGTCAGTGATTGATAAAGTGTCAGACACAGAGGTCGCATACCATGGTTGCCAGTCAATGTTGGTGTTGATTATTGTTGCAGCGGGGGAAGGGACAGGAGAAATTGGTTTGGTGGCTTTCACCGCCCGCATTTCTTCTTCTTGCTTCCCTTCTCCACATTTATTCTTCTCACACTTGTATCCCCTCACGAACCATGGCAGATGCTGCCAATCCCTCCAGCAAGCGACCGCACTCGGCTGTCGACGCGGACGAGAATGGTGAGTGTTAACCCTCAGCCCAATTCGACATGGAGACTGACCTCTGTCATTCATTAGGCGCCGACGACTCCTCCGACGATGACTTTGGTCCTGCGCTGCCCTCCGAGGTAGCTCCCCAAAAGAAGCGACGGAAGCTGCCCTTTGAGAAAGTCTATGTGAAGGCACTGCCAGCCTCGGCGCGATACTCCAAGTCGCTCATGCACAAGGAGCAATTGTCCTTCGTGACCGTCACGCCATTCACCGACTTTGTGATCACGAGCTCTGTGGACGGGGTGGTCAAGTTTTGGAAGAAGATGGCTGAAGGGATCGAGTTCGTCAAGGAGTTTCGCGCGCATCCGGGCGAGATTCGGAGTGTCAGCGTCAGCGCCGATGGCCGCAGTTTTGCGACCGCTGGGGCTGATAAGACGGTCAAAATTTTCGATGTGATTACTTTCGGTGAGTCCCAGTCTGGCATGGGCCCAATTGACCTTATTGCTGACCGCGGTAGATCTTTTGTCGATGTATACGCTCGAGTTCATGCCACGGTGTGTCTGCTGGGTACACCGGCGCGGAGCTTCTCTGCCGCTGTTGGCAGTGACCGACGAATCGAGCAGTACAGTGCAGGTGTTTGACGGCCGTGGCGAAAACCCCCAACCGCTCCACACCGTGACAGCCATTCATCGCAGCCCCGTGGTGTCCTTGGCCTTTAACAACGCATACGATTGCGTCGTCTCAGCGGACGAGTCCGGAATGGTTGAGTACTGGCGTGCTGGGGACGGATCATTTGAGAAACCAGACAATGTCTTCGAGTTGAAGTCATCAACGAATTTATTTGCGTTCAAGAAGGCCAAGTCTACGCCGACAGCGATCACAATCTCACCGTCCGGTGACCAATTCGCCACGGTTTCATTCCCAGACCGCCAGGTGCGCGTCTTCGACTTTGCGACGGGAAAGCTCTACCGTACCTACGACGAGTCGCTGGCAACAATCACGGATATGCAGCAAGCCGGGACTGCGCCGTACACTCTGGATGCGGTGGAATTCGGGCGGCGGCTCGGAGTCGAACGGGAACTGGAAGGGGAGCCGACACGCAACAAGGTCAATGTCACATTTGACGAGTCCGGCCACTTTCTGATGTACGGGTCTCTTTACGGGATCAAGTGCATCAATACGTATACGAACCGCGTGGTGCGAGTCTACGGACGTGAAGAGCCCTTCCGCGCTTTGAACCTGGCCCTCTATCAGGGCCAGCCGCAACGGAAAGGGGTGGTGACGGTCTCAATGGCTGCCAGCAGCAACCCACTTCTCCAGGAAGCGGAGGAGCGCGATCCAATTCTCGTGTCTACGGGGTTCGCCAAGTTGCGTTTCTACATGTTCACCAACGAAACGGACATTTCACGATCAAGTCGCGACGTCCAGAACGAGAAACCTACACAGGCCGCTGGCGGCACCGGTGCGGCTGCGGCCAAGACGGGCGAAAGTGGCACGGCTGCCATTCTGCACACGACGATGGGCGATATTCATCTGCGCCTGTTCCCTTCGGCCGCCCCACGGACGGTCGAGAACTTTGTGACGCATGCACGGAAGGGCTACTATAACAACACGATCTTCCACCGGGTGATTCGCAAATTCATGATCCAGGGAGGCGACCCTCAAGGTGACGGAACGGGCGGCGAGTCCATCTGGGGAGGCGAGTTTGCGGACGAGTTCTCGAGTCTGAAACACGACAAGCCCTACACACTCTCGATGGCCAACGCGGGGCCGAATACGAATGGTAGCCAGTTCTTCATTACGACGGAGAAGACGCCCTGGCTGGACAACAAGCATACCGTTTTTGGTCGTGCGGTCCAGGGTCTGGACATTGTGCACAAGATCGAGAACGTCAAAACTAAAGACGAGAAGCCCGAGGTCGATATCAAGATCGTCAGCATCTCCATCTCTTGAACTTGTATAAATAAGACAGCATCTACGAGACCAAAGATATTGCAAAGATTTCCATAGCGCAAAGGCTAAAGCCTGCGTACCAATCGCGCAGCTATGTACTCGTCATTCCAACCGGCCATGGGTCGAGAATTATAGGCGTAAGTAAGCATGCACGACATAGTGGATAGAAAGCACAAACAGAACACACAGAAATGAGACAAAAGATCCAGATAACCAGCCAAAATCAAAAACTCAGTAACGACGCGCGCCCGAAGAAAAGAGTCGAGCATGCATCATCCAGCGTAGTAAAAACAACCCGACAACCCAAAACGCCGACCGATGCAAGGAAGCAGAAGGGACGGTCCGCACCCAATCCAGACTTATATTGAGCGACAACCCGCCTCACGAAATCAGCATGGTCACCGCGGAACCTCACGGATCTCCACATCGTCGGACATGGACATCTTGTGCAGACGCGAACGACCACTTGGACCGGTGGCGCCCATGGGTATGTCGGCGCGCGAGCCACCCCGCGACTGTCCGGGGGTCGGAGACGCGCCCCAGATATTACTGCCGCCAGGGCCGATCGAGCCGGGCGCAGGACTGAGCACGCCCGAGTTGCGATCGTAGAGCATGTTGCTGTTGTTGTTGCCGCCGTGGTATAGATTGGGTCGTTTGGCGTCGTAACGACGCTTGAGGAAGACGCCGCCGACGGCTATGGCGCTGAAGCCGATGACGAGGACGATCAACATGATCACCCAGCGATAGTGGGTGCTCCACCTGCGCGAACATTAATAATCGATTTTTCTGGGACTGCGATTAACCAAAAACAATACATACCAGGTTGGTGTGGCCTGGCCCGACGGCGAAGCGGAGGCCGCCGCGGCCGACGTCGCGGTTGCACCTGACGAGGAGGTGGCAGTGGCGACGGCGCCGCTGCTTCCATCATCGACTTGGCCGCCCGAGTTACAGTAGTCGGTGTACCAGGTCGAGAGAAGCTGCTGGTCGGAGCTGCTGCAAGTGTTACAGGCGGCGCCGGAGGATTTGAAGTTCTGCAGCAAGCTCGACGTGCAGAAGCAGGAGACCCAGGTGGACTGCTCGGGATTGCCCTCGCAGCTTTGCTGGGCTGCTGTCAAGACAGCGCAGCTCAGGCCGCACGCCGGGAAGGTGGAGGAAGCGGCGGTTGGGAGAATAGAGGCGGCGATGCTGGGCGCGGTGTAAAGCGCCAGCAGGAGGAGGCCCTTGGTGAGCCACATGGTTACAGGAGAGAGCGGTTTCAAGGCAGACTGGATGGCAAAGAATGGACCCTGGCGGATTTCACGTGGAGACGGACTAGGGCCAGATCAGCAGCAGCCCATGCTGGAACAGGCGTGGATCAAAAGGATACGAAGTCGAAATCAGTCGTGGGTGAGCGAGTGTGTGAGCGAGTGAGTGACGGGGAGAAAGAGAAGCGGGAGAGAAGGGAAAAAGACGAGGAAGAAGCGGGAGCGAGAATTGGGTTGGTTAGTTAGTTGGGGTTGGACCCCCGAACGCAGCCGTGGGGTCGCTTATTTTGATTTCTTCGTGGCAAGGCTGGTGCGACTGTACAAAGTGCTACTTCATCATAGTCCCATTGTCTCCTCAGTGTTTGTCCGTTTGCAGTAGCTGTCACAGCTGTCACTCCCGACTGGAATGCTGGCCAAGCTCGTTGGGTCCGATCCGATCGCCCTGTTGTAGTAAGGATTGGCACCACGTTTTATTTCCGCAAGGGGTTTTCTTTTTCTCTCCGGAGACCATAATAATAAATAGCAAAAAAAGGGGGAGGGTTCCACTCTCGATCTGCCAGGGCCCAAGCCCGCCATTCGACGATGGGCTGCAGCACGATGGCTGGCGCAGCCTGGTCGTCCAATGGTAGCCCCTCCGTTGGCGGGCCTGATTAAACTACGGCGAAGACGGCCGACCGGAGAAAAGTAGAGATAATTGGCCAATCCGCAGCCGGGACGGGTGGGAATAATTGTTACCAGTAGCACTATTCTTCAATCCGACGAATACCTAAAGTGATAGATCATCTAATAATGTATGAACGCGACGCAACTCATTATATGTCACTTCGCGCTCGATTGGCGGCCACACTCTAGAGGAGAGGAAACCGGATCTCCGCCATTCTGATTTCACTACCTAGGCCAGACCAGGTCTACGACGGAACGCGCCCTTTGGGAACCCATGTCTAATGATCGCGGCTCAAAATCCGATTTTTTAAGAGGAAATCGATGATTGGGATGAATCTAGATCGTGATAAGCTTAACATGTTCGGAATATTTAGTCAACATTAATAATGTTCGTTACACTCTAAACTATAATACAAAGGAACTGCTTTCAACGGTCGACCAATATAACCCCCCGCCCTCCATCCTCGCTGCCGCTCGCTACACCTCAAGCGAGCTTCTTGTGCTCATTCACCCGTTTCTTGTGCTCATCGGCGAGGAGCTTAGTGAACGGTTTCTTCTGAGCCAATGAAATTCGATCCTATAATCCAAGCATCAGTCAAGCTCTAATCTACCAAGCACGTAGCATGTCCAGAGAATACTCACAATCGCCCATTGTGGGAAGATCCACAGGGCTGCACGAGCGAGGCTAACACCGCCCCCAATCCAATACTTGCCAGTCGTTCCCTTCTCTACCTGACGTACAACGTCATGTGCGAATGCTTCCGGGCTGATCGCAAACGGGATGTGCTCTGGTTGGCTTTCAATGATATCCTTGATACTCGTGTAGTAGGAGTTCTCTGGCAACGTCAGGGAAGGGAGGTTAGACAGAAATTTGGTCTCGACGCCGCCCGTGAGCAGAGTCATGACGCGCACGCCGAGGGGCGCCATCTCCAGGCGCCAGACCTCACTTGCCTGGGTGAGACCCGCTTTGGTCGCATTGTAGATGCCTAGATGCACCGGCGCGTTAGCCTGAAGCTTCCTTCTGTTTCCTTCTACATCGTCGAGCCTGGAAACAATTTCTCTTCGAATCACGTACTATTGAATGGCAATGGAACAATGCCACCGACAGATGAATTGTTGACGATACAACCCTGGGCATTGACCAGCATAGAGCTGAACGCCTGTATCGTCTCAAGGACACCAAAGAAGTTGGAGTCGAACACCTTTCTAGCATCTGCGATGGAAGTATCCAGGCCGGGCATGTTCATTCCGAGCCCGGCGTTGTTGATCAAAACATCAAGCTTCCCACCAGTCTGATTGCGGACAACTTCGGCGGCCGCAGCGATAGACTCGGATGAGCTAACGTCGAGCGCAAGCACGGTGACATTGGATGCCTCGTGAAGACTCTGTGGCATTTTGGACGGCGAGCGTGCTGTCGCAAAGACGTGGTAGCCTTTCTCCTTGAAGGCATCAGCTAGGGCGGCGCCCGCTCCACCGCCAGAGCAGCCTGTTACCAGGCAGGTTTTGCGAGTCGCAGTCATTTCTCAAGGAGCCTTTCTAACAAAGATTGCGGTGCGAACGTGGCACGGAAGTCAGGCAAGTGGGTGATCTTCACATATGAAATTTTCGGTTGGGCTCATGGAGTCCGCATCCGTCGATTCATGAGTCCTTGCGGACTTGCGGACTTGTACCAAACATGGGTTCCTGCGAACTCCGACAAAGGATCGCCGGCTATTGGCCCACAGCTGCGTCGAAGGATCGCCGTGGGGCCGTCCGCAGTGCGGATCCAAAGCCTATCGAGATGGGTTATCAAGGGATGAGCAACGGGTGATCGTTCCTCCTTCCATTTCGCACCTCGCTCTTTTTTTACAAGCTGTTCAGCAGAGACTTTGCGCCGTTGCTGTTTCATCTGTCCCTGAAATTTGGCCCCGGCATCGCATAGGCCGCAAAACTCCAGCGATGTTCCAATTACAGGGTAAGCAAGATATAGTATTCGCGTTCCTACCGCCTATACCCAATCTGTTATATTTGATACGCCCCTAAATATGCTCCAATTATTACTTTGGTCAACACGTGTTGGACCGTTCGGGCTCAAGTTCCGGGCACAGCCAGCTCATTGCCATCGCCATGATATCATTCCGACACTATAAATTCCTCTCTGATGGATGCACCCTTTTTATTCAAATCAATCGCATCCCCATCATGACCAAAACGGTCGAATTCAACATCTTTCGCGGGTCTGAGGGCGGCGAAATTGTCCCGGACACTACCAGAGCTACACTCGGCCCTGGAGATGTCTTTGTGGAGATCTCCCACGCTGGTCTATGCGGGACTGACCGACTGTTCCGGACCAAAAACATTGCCTTGGGCCATGAGGGAGCCGGCACCGTGCGCGATGCTGGCTCTGCCGTAGAGCAGTTCCGGGTCGGCGACAAGGTCGGCTTTGGCTGGGTTCAGAAAGTGTGCGGGCATTGCGATTATTGCATCACCGGTACGGTGCTCAAGTCCCCCTAAGCCGAGCAAGAGACTGACCGGCACAGACAAGGACCAGTACTGTACACATCGAGAGAACTATGGCACCCACGGGTTTGAAATCGGTTCCTTTGCTACCCACGCCGTCTGGCACGAGAGCATGCTCATCAAACTGCCGGACGAGCTGGAGTGCCAGTACGCCCCGCCGCTGATGTGTGGCGGTGCCACTGTTTGGGAGGCATTGACTTCCGACGGGATCAAGCCAGGGGACAGAGTCGGCATTGCAGGCATTGGAGGGTTAGGCCACATGGCTATCCAGTTTGCATCCACCCTCGGGTGCGATGTCGTTGTCTTCTCGAACGATGCGTCCAAGCGCGACGAGGCCATGGGTCTCGGAGCCAAGGAATTCCACGTCTTGCAGGGTGGAAAGCCCACGACGAGTGTGAAGCAGGTGCGGCACCTGATGTGGTGCGCCAGTGTGCCGCCGGATCTCACTCAGTGAGTTCGTTCGTTTTCAAGCACCTCCTGTGATGCTCATCTGATGACTCGTGCAGAGCTCTACAGCGTGTCGCACCGGATGGAACCATCCATCTCCTGACAATCAGCTATCAGTCCATAGCCACGCCCCTCTTGCTGCTGGTCTCGAACGGCATCCGACTGCGAGGCTCTGCAGTGGCTTCCCGACTAGCCATTCGGAAGATGCTGCGGTTTGTGGCGCTGCATGGTATGCGACCGATCATCATGACCTGGCCGATGACGCGGGATGGAATCCAAGCGGCGTTCACCACGCTCGAGCAGGGGAAGATGCGGTACCGTGGGGTGTTGGTGGGACAGCGGCATCTGATGGGGAAGCCGGCCGTGGAAATCAAAAAGTAGCATGAATTCAAGCAATCAACATGTCTTTCAAAAAAGCAAGTATGGAGTGTGGCGCTTTCCTTCCCCACTGCCTCCGCAGATTGGCTGTACCCCTGTCGGACCTTGTCCTTCTCTTCTACTTCTTATCGGCTCGTCCCGACTGGCTGTACTAGATCGTATGGCCTCCCCGCTCCCTCCCACTCTCCCCTCCTTCCTCTCCTTCTTTACTATTCAGATATTCAGACAGGTAACTAAATAACACATCACCATCAGCATGGGCTCAACCTATTCCACCCCGGAGCCAGTCATGGAGAAGGCCCCTCTGGCCAAGAGAGACAAGGCCAGGACAAGCATCGAGCCGGATTGGAGTACTCGTGACACTCGTCTGTCTGATCCCGACAACCCGTCATCTTCTTCGTTATTGACGGAACCACAGCTCCACCGCCATACCCGGTTCGAGAACGAATCCGGTCCCTGAATCTCCCTCGCCTGAAAGACTGGAGCGAGACTCTGATGAGCGATGCCAAGGTGTGAACCACAGATCCACGGCGTGTTCGATGCTAATCTCAAGTCCCACCGGCCGATCGCGACAGAACCGCCTCGCCATTTCCACTTTTGCCGGCCAGCCCTATGAACAAGCCCTCGCCGATCGCCGGGCTCTCCAATCCGATCTGCACGTCTTCAACCTGACCGTGCCAGTGGAAGGCGCGCCGATTACGAACCAACGCTCTTCTGGACGCTGCTGGCTCTTTGCCGCGACCAATGTCTTCCGTGTGCCGCTGATGAAAGCGTACCAGCTTCGTGAATTCGAACTTAGCCAGGCCTATCTCTTCTACTGGGATAAAATCGAGAAGGCCAATTGGTTCTTCGAGCAGATCATCGCCACTGCCGATGAAGATCTCTCCAGCCGTTTGGTCCAGAAACTCTGTGAAGATCCGGTCACCGACGGCGGTCAGTGGGATATGGTCGCTAATCTAGTGCATAAGTACGGGCTGGTTCCCCATGCGCTTTATCCCGATGCTTTCCATGCCCAGAACAGCTCCAGAATGAATTGGCTGCTCACTGCCAAGCTGCGTGAGCAGGCCTTGATTCTCCGTAAACTGGCCGCGGATAAGAGAGACGGCCAGGCCTCCCATGTACTGGCCGTTCGCAAGGAGCACTTCCTGCAGGAAATTCACTCACTTGTCACTCTCCTGCTGGGCCCTCCGCCGAGCCCAGACAAGCCGTTTGTATGGCAATACTACGACGCCAATGGAGCCGCTCGTGAGGTGCGACAGACCCCGCTGGAGTTTGGTCAACAGGCGATTCGGTCTCAGACACGAGCACTATCACGCAACAGCCCTGCTGTTTCTCCGGGGCGGCTTTTCAGTTTGGTCCACGATCCGCGGAATGAACGAAACCGGTTGCTAACGGTCGACAAACTCGGTAACGTACTGGAAGGACGACCGCTCACGTACGTCAACGTGGAGATGCAGACACTCAAGAAGGCGGTCATTGCGATGCTCAAGGCCGGACATCCAGTCTTCTTTGGCTGTGACGTGGGCAAGTTCTCCGATAAGAACCTTGGAGTCATGGATGCCGACCTCACCGACCTCACGCTCGGCTTCAATGTCTCACTCGGGATGAACAAGGCCGAGCGGCTCGCCAGTGGAGAGTCCTCGATGACCCATGCGATGGTCATCACGGCGGTGCATCTCCTCGACAATGACGAGCCGGTCCGATGGCGGGTGGAAAACTCGTGGGGTGAGGGAGTCGGAGAGAAAGGCTGGTTTGTGATGACCGACCGATGGATGGACGAGTATACCTTTCAAGCTGTGGTCGACTCCAACTTTGTTTCGTCCGACGTACGCTCCATCCTCGAGCAGACACCTAAAGTCTTGCCCCGATGGGATCCCTTGGGGGTGCTCGCCTGAGAGAACAATAACCGCACTCTAACGCCAGGCGACGGTAAATTGACCGCTATATGGGAGAACATAAGTTGTTCTTAAGAACCGGACAACGCGTTCAGGCAGTCGGCTTCATACTCATAGTCTGTAGTTTGATATATTGCATCTTCGGTCAGAAATATCATTCAAGGTGAACAGCTATCAGATCTACTGGTGATAGGTCACTTAAATCCATTATGGAACGATCCTGACCCATTTTGCTTCTCAGTTCGACCACGTGTCAGCTCCCCAGATGTCTTCACCAAATAGATTATTTGTAGCGGAAAATGTCATTTGCAAGGATTACAGGGAGATAGACCAGTGACTATACACTGTTCTAGCAAAAGCTGAATGAATAATTTCTTTATACAGCTCATCTCAATGTTTCGTGAACTATTCCTAATATGAGGCTGTTTCCAAGGCATCTAGAGTTGGCGACTTGCGCATCACATTAATCTTCTTATGTTTATCCTTTTAGATAGTTTTACTCCCACCGCTCTCAAGATTCAGATTGCTCATTTCGTCTTGCGTCTTCCAGATGTAATATCCCCCTATTATAGGCGTGGTGCGAATCCTTTCGAGCCTTCTCGGTATCCGCGTGTCTAGTGGCCAAGTTCAAGGTACTTTGAGGTGGAGTGTTGAGAGGAGCGGCGTTGTGTGTCCCTGTTGGTCCAGCATAGTGACGAATGAGTTGGCGGAGGTACGGAAGCGAGCCACATATAATGATAAAGTTGGCTTCGATGTTGCTGCGGAACCGCCGTTTTCTTATCAGAAATCTATGGTAATAGAAGGAAGGCAAATGAAAGAAAAAGGGCTTTAGCTCTTACATGAATATACCGGCAAGAGCAACTTCGTACGTGGGATCCGACGATGTCACTAAAGGCCATAAAGTTGCGAGTCGCAGAATACTCGTAACTATGGTTCTTGGCAAGAATTAACATCAGTATTCACAGTCCACACTGAAGGATTCAGTACCGGCTATAGAACCCGGCCGTTGCAAGGTGGCCACAACGAGGATTTCTTACAGACACCCCATTCCAAACATAACGGTTACCCCTATTTTCTGAACGAGACGCATGCGGAGTTTCCATATCACCCGAACAGGGATCAAGATCAAAGCTAGGTCGCTGACAGTATTTGTGACGGCCGTTGCAAGATATATGCCTGGTCTGTTGATACAGAAACCCCCGGTGATCGAAGGATCCCAGCTTTTCTGGATTGGCTTGCAAGCAAAGATAAGGGCCAACGCCAGTGCTATGCTGTATCCAGAGATGATGAACGCGACGACGTAGATGGTGTATACCCAGACTCGCACAGTACTGAGCAGCCTGTAGTACAGCATGAGCAAGGCGAGCTTTGCAAATGCGAGGCAAGGAATGTAAATGATAGCTGTAGCTAGGATGCTCTTGACATGAGAGATATAAGTCTTAGCTCCCCAAATCCTGACGCGTGGGGGTAAGGCATATATACCTTTGAAAATATACTTATTGTTGATGGAGACAGATCCTTGAGGTGGCGACCAATACCACCATGAGCATAGGCATCTAATAAAGTAGTCCATCTTAGTGAGATGCTTCAAAGCCAGTTTTTTTTTTTCAAAGATAACAAGTGTGTCTCACTCAAAATTAATGCTTGCGTGGTAACGGAAAATACCTTGTCGTCCAGACGACGAGTTATTCCAATTCATCGCAATGTGACTGTTCGCCTTACCCACGCTATAATAATACATACTAGATCAGGCCCAGATATCAGTATCAGCCCACAAATGTTGAAGTGGTTATGAGGAGGAAAAGCGCACAGTCATCCCACCAGAACTTTCTCATTATCCGCGCCTTAGTGTAGACTCGCATCGCAAGGCAGCTGGTGCTCAGTGGTATTCCGGTTGCAACCAGCACTCGATTTGCTGTCTGCAACCATGGTGTTGAATTGTCAGGGCTCATCACCACTATGCTTCTTAGAAAGAACAACTTGCTAGAGATCTGATCATCTCTGGAGTAGCAAAATGACACTTTGATATCGTCAGGAGTCTGGACATTTGAGCACGGACATTATCTGGACGTTTGAAGTGATTAAGGTTCTAGTGGCGAGAAAATTGCCAAATGTCAAAAGATGAATCATAACATTTTCCCGCACCGAACGCAACATGGTCTTGTGCTGGGAGGTCAGCTGACCGGCAAGAAGCTTTGGCTGAAAACTCGTTGGGGTGAGGGAGTGGGAGAGGAAGGCTGGTTTGTGATGACCGGCCGATGGGCGGACGTGTATACCTTTCAAGCTGTGGTCGACTCCATATGACGAAACTTACCAATCCGGGGTTTCCAGCTCATTTCCTGAGCACATCAAAATCCACCCCATTCCTTCGACTCACTGAGCAATCAGCAATAGGGCCTTGAGATTGGTCATGCTTGCCAAGAAGGGGCGTATTAAGCTTAGACCACTTCGCATCGTGGAAAGCCCAACACTAATTCCTCATCTTCAGGAACAGGATTCGGGGAGATGCACTATGTCGTAGTTAGTGGCAAATTTGGCCGAAGGATTTAATAAATGTAACAAGTCTAAATGTAGGAGACAATACGACGAGGTATAAATAATAGGATTAGCGACCTTCTTGTTTACTACCAAACCTAAGTCTGATCTGTCTCAAACCGTCTCAAACCAAAATGCATTTTCAGACCTCCCTTCTTGCCAGTACCCTCTTTGCTGCCCTAGCTGTCTCGCAGTACTTCGAGGTCATCGCCCCAGACGATTATTGTTACCTCCAAGCAGGCACCTCTGACCCCGACGACACAGTCTATGGCTGCCACGGCACCACTGGGCCTATCGCTAACAATAATGGTGGCGATTGCTCAGGTGAGTCAACAAAAGACTACTCTATACATTAATACTAATAGAATACGATCATCAATAGACCTATTAACTGGTGACCTCGGAACAAATTCGTATAGCCTTTGTGGCACGCTGCCAAACGGAGATCACGCTGCGCAATTTAATATTTGGGATACGTACGTCGAATTTGCGGACAATGGATTTCCGGCTCCCATGTTAGAGTGTGATATGGGAACCTTGGCTTCCGGCGCGAATTGCATCGGTCAAGCTGAAAATATGACATACCGGACCAAGTAGAACCCATCATACTATAGCCACCCTATCCGACGGGGTTGGAGGCGATGAACTTAAGGGGTATCAGGGCGTGGCGGCGGGGGCCAATAGCCGCACGGGGGCGGGTGGCCCCAGTGAGAGCGGGGGAATCGGGCGCGACATTTGGAGACGGGTATATGTTTTCAATATGAACAACTAAAGATTATACTATAGATTTGACTACTACAAACCCAACTAACTAGTTATAACCATGCCAAAGTATACCTCTAGCCCTAAAGTTATTTCAAAAAGCATTAGGATCAGTCCATATCTATGCTGAAGTCGGCTGCCCGTTGCCGACCGGAATAGTGGTGTTGTAGGAGCCGAAACAGGCTTCCTGGTACATCGCCTCCTTGGTAAGCTGGGGCACTTGGCTGAGGAAGTCCTTCACCTGGCAGAATCCGTTAACCGACCCATCGCAAGCAGACAGACCGTCCAGTGGCAGGGGAGCATTGTTCAGCACGAAGCGGATGTATTGCTCGGTGTTGGACTTGGACGATAGATCCGGATTTTTGTACATCTGAGGCTGGAGGTCATGGAACGAGGTGTCCTTAGGACAGGTCCAGACTTCAGAGACCAGATGAGCTCCGAATGGGGTCATCTCATTCAGTTTGAATTGGCGCCTCGGAGCATGCGTAACAATAGAAGGCAGGCCTCGCGGGCTATACTTGAAGTAGTCCAGACCTAGAGCGGCCAGGACGGAGACAATGGTATCGTCGTGCGACATATCCATAAAGAGAGGCTGGTCTAGTGGGAAGTCCTTCTCGTTGTCATCGTATGTAGAGTTAATGCTGCTATCACTGCTCTTGATCAGCTTGTCCTGTAGTCGTGCCGCTAACTCTTGCACATAGCCAATACCCTGGGCACGGCCGCTAGGAGAGCCGAAACCATACATATCATAGAATTGCAGATCCAAGTAGTACTCGAAGTCGCGCCATTCTTGCTCGGTGAATAGCGAGCAAAAGGACGAGCTACCCAGCGTGGCATACTCATAAGGACACAGGTTGAACATGCCTAAAACTTCTTCCGCAAGGATTTTGGCCTCCTTCGAGAAGAAATCATCTGGCAAGAAGGCAGAGAAGCGTTCAGTGGCAGTCTTGATCATTGCGGGAATGAATTCCGCAGCTTTATAATCGCCAGCAACTAAGCCCTTCGCACAGGTTTCCGTCGGCGATAGTGTGTTATTGAAACCTGGCTTCTCAGGGATAATAACGAGGTCGTATTGCGCATACGAGCTGTTGCCGCCCGTGTTGGAGAAGAAGCCACCTAGAGTATAGTAGCATCAGTTGTCCGTCCTCGGTTCAACAGTTCGTAGATCTACTCACTCAGCCACCAGCGTGCACTCTCCAGGATGCGAGGATAAGAGGTTGTGCGGAACGTAGGCTTTGGGCGAGGCATGCCATTTGGGAGCACATTTAGCGCGGCGTTCCAGTTTGCCTCGCCTGCAGGAGCGCCGTACAGGAACCGGCCGTACTGGCTCCAGAATGCCGCGCCAGAGCTCGCTTCGGTGGCGGCACCCGTCGGGAGCAGGTTGTCCAAGCCCAGCCAATAGTCCCAGTTGTTTAAGAAGGCAAGCGGGCCCGTGCCAATCTTAGTATCCGGGTGCCTCTTTGAGGCTTTTTGCAATGCAGAGGCAAATAACTCCATTGATCCCGCATCCACCGAAACATTCGTCGGGTACCGTTGCGCATGACGGTGCAAAACGTGCACCTGCGATAGCTCGCAACCTTGTGGGGAGCCCTTGGGTAGGCCAAAGCCGGGCGCGTCCGCGTATGGGCTGAGGTTGCCCCAGCTCTTCTTCATGTCAAATCCAGAAGGATAGGATGTCCCTGTTGGAGCGACAGCCCCCGAACTCGACGCCACAGTTGTGCTTCCGGTAGACGGTAGTGCAGCACTGCCGCCCACAAGGGCGAGCAATGCGACAGCAGGGATGCTCAGAGTGGCCATTGAGGGACGCTGCCGCTTGTAAAAAGTAAAAGAGGTTGTGGAGCGAAATGACCGTGTGAATTGACTGCAGGTTATATAGGGAATACCACGTTGTTCGGAAAATTAGCTTGACCATCCCGCACGGTCTAGTTTGGGGACTTCAAACTGTTTTGACCTGTTCCTCCACAGTCCTACTAGGTCATCAGCTACGGAGGTTCGATATGTCATGACCACTTGATTCCACATCTCCGGGCTATGCTGGTGGGGGCCAGAAACGTCTAACTTGCCATATTAGAGAAATCCATTGCCTTATTCAATATAAATTAGCAGTTAACAAGCTTGGGTCCGCTTTCACACCCGACCGCTAGTCCTATCCGGGTATCTGAGATGCTTTGCAAATCTATGCATGATCCTTCGAGAAGATCGTAATTAACTTAAGCTGGGGGCCAGGCCTTGGCGATCACTTTTCCTTAATACAGACATCAGTGCGAAATTGCGGGGGTCAACTAAGCCTAATAGTAGAATTTACTTAAAATAGGGGCCAGAAATAACTTGGCGTAATAGGAAAAGTCCTTGCATTCAAGTGTAAATGAGCTATCAGCCGCACAGGGGAAGCACGCTAGGGTCACTGGTTGAATGTGCCTAAAACTTCTTCCGCAAGAATTTTGGCCCCTGAGAAGAAAAAATATTGCTCGCTTCGGCGAGACACTATTCATTAGTGCGCGTGTTTCGACCTAATTATTGGTAAGGGTCTTGAGCTATTGATACTATATCCGAGTTTGTTGGTTCCTGCGAATATCGTATCTTCAGAAAACCTAGTCTCACTTGAGACAACCGTCACCCAATTGCGCAGGCGGATGTGTGAGCAAAAGAACAGGTTCGTTGCAATTCTTGTGAGGGGTATGAAAACACCACTGGCAGATGGCTCGTCTATGCGCGGTTACACGGATAATGTCTGCATGCCAATATTTAATGTCGCCGGGTTAACATCGGATAAGCCACCCACGGCCGAGCACGATAAGCCCAGTAGGATAAGCCCGGCCGAACTCCTCTATGATCGTCTCCCACATACAGCAATATTCGAAATTGGCTTCCATGTTTTACACAGAGAAACTATCTCAAGCCCCACTGCCAAGATGCTGGAGAAATCTTCTAGGCCAGATTCGGCTAGGCTACACACCATCCTTGCTTTGAACAGTCTTGACGTATACGGACGTAATACGGACCCGCAAGTTACTCGTTTATTCGAAAGAAGACTTCTAGAAACTTCCATACAAACCAAGGTGATGGCGGCGAGACTCAGGGGAAGTCGGGGAGCGCCATGGCAAGGACCTGAGCGGGGAGATAAACTAAACAGGGAGAGGAGAAGAAGAGGAGAAGATGATGATATTCCTAAGGGATCTCCCAGAAGGGAAGGTCTATCTACAGGCGGCGGTGGGCGCTGACACCTCACCACCTCATCACAAGGGCTGTTGCCGATGGGCTCTTGCAATCTGATATTTAATGTGTTTATTACATACGAACTACTTCCAATACTACGATACTTGATGGTTTCAGACGCTATGTGTTTTGATGGAATCTTAACTGCTGGATGTTACACCCGTGGACATCTAACGCATTACTGTAAGAGAAACCGAGCTGTTCATCTTTGCGATGACAGAATTTGTTGCTTTCTTTATGTTTCGTTCTCACTAAAATAACCTCCTTTCTATATTAATCCTGCTTTCTGCTGATGAGGCGCGAGAAGATTTTGCGCATACGGTGTCCGTCGGGTTGGGAAACTCGCTTTGAGGTTTCTGTGAAACTGGCTAGGATTGAGTCCTCTTTTGTTTTCGTTGCCATTTTATCAGACTGGGAAGACGGGTGGTCACCCTTCGCACGCCATTTATTCAAAGTATACTTGGAAGACACGGTATGCGGGTGGTCAGGGCCTAGTTTTTGGTCGCGGAGTCGAACGCATTCGGCCATCAACAGCAAAGCGGTCTGGTCTTGACCCAATGACCTAAAGGTATGGGCTAGGTTGTTCATGCCGGTCAGAGTGTCGGGATGCTCTAGCCCTAAGACCCGCTTGCGGGTCTCCATTACTTGCAACTGTAGCTCTTCGGCGTCCTTCCATCGACCCTGATTTTGGTAGGTTAAGGCTAGGTTGTTCATGCCATTCAGAGTGTCGGGATGCTCTGGCCCTAAGACCCGCTTGCAGGTCTCCATTACTTGCAACTCTAGCTCTTCGGCGTCCTTCCATCGACCCAGATTTCGGTAGGTTGAGGCTAGGTTGCTAATGCCATTCAGAGTGTCGGGATGCTCTGGCCCTAAGACCCGCTTGCGGGTCTCCATCACTTGTAGCTGTAGATTTTTGGCGTCGTTCCACTGGCCTCCAAGCTTGTATGCCAACCCAAGCATTTCAAAGCTGTCAAGCGCCTTTTTATTATCCGGGCCGAATAAGTTCAACCTTGCAATTGTTGCTTTCTTTGCCATTATTTGGCTGTCGACGAAATCTCCTCGAGTCCAGGCAAAAGATGCTGCCTCGTGAAGCAGCGAACCCCATTCTCCCAACACGTCCTTTTCATGTGGCTGGTGTGCAACTGCACTTTTCACGTGAGCAAATAGCAACTGGCACCTAGGCCAGTTCTCATACTTTCCTACTGGGAATTTGTGGTGAAGGGTTCGGATGAACCGTCCCTTCCACTTTTCAAGCTGTCCATGCGCCTTTAGCCACTCCTGCATAGCTAGTTGGACCAGGCGATGTAACTCAAAGTTCACTCCATCCGCACTGATGGATATGAACGAGTAGTCTCTTAGCACCAATATATCGTCCTCAAACTTGTCAACCACGCTGACACTTGTGCTTTCGTCTTCATTATTGTCATCCATCATCGGGTCCACGTTAGACGCAGGAACACCGCTCAATTTCTGTCTCATATCTTCGTTTTCTCGAAGTAGACTGTCAGGTATTCCTTGTCTATCGAAAAAGCTCATAAGAGACAATAAATCCGCCGCGGATGGGCTTTCTTGCCGAATACAATCAAATGATATTTGCCAGGTGATGAGGATGGAGTTTTTGGCTTCCCAATCTCTGCGAAGCTGGCCCCCCTCATAATCAAGGAGGCTTTTCTTCTGGCGGTCGCTTCTCCGAAAGTTTTCCAGATACTGTGTAACTGATAGGCGCGGTAACCGTTGCTTGACATAGGCCGCGGCTTGTACAATCGCAAGCGGCATAAACTCAAGTGCCGCAGTCAGCTGAATGACGTCTTCCCTGGCAGCTTGAACTCCGAGCTTCTTGTCAAAGAGTGTTATTGCATGGGTTTCGTCCATCGGTTCAACTAAAATAATATCCATATCTTCCACCATGTGTGATACCGCGCGTCTACGCCGACTTGTGATGATGATTAAGCCGTTCAAGCTCTGCGGGAAGCATGCCCAGATAGATTGTTCTGGCGTGCCACTCTGATTACTCCCTAGGCCGTCCGGTGCGACCGGTGAAATTTTATGGAGTGATTGGTCATCATCTAGGTTATCAAGAATGAGAACCCATTTTCCCTTTGTTTCGTCCTGAAGCCAGTCATGAAGGAGTTTGAATACGTTTTCCTTAGGATCCTGCGACCGGGTATCCGAGCTCGGTCGACAATATCTCGACAACTTTGCTCGAAGCGAGTCGCATTGCTAGCGTGAATCCAGAAAACCCATGTCTCGGGCGATTGATCTCGAACTCGATAACAGTATTCGATAGCAAGTTGCGATTTTCTTCTAATCTATTAGCATGGGTAAATCCGTTGTCCTTTCCGAACGCACCCAACGCCACCTAGGCCAAGAAGTGCTATCCGAGATCCCGGTACAGAGCTTTTTGTGTGTATCTGATCAAGTAGCGTTCCACGGTCGACAAAGTCTGGGTCGCGACGGAACGGGACGGTCGATAGAGGATTCGGTGGGGTTTCCGGTCGCTCTGGGCCAAGAAGTGGCGATTAGTTAACTTGATCACATTCTAGCGCCTTGCGAAACCTACCTGGGGGCAGATAGAACTGCGGGTTGTGGATAGGGGCATTATTAATCCCAATCTGGAGCCCCGAGTTTGCGCTGCCAAAAGAGTCCCATGCCATGATTCAAGCCACTCTTGGGGTGCAATGTGCATCTTCAGGAAAGGGACAAGGAACTGGCCACGTAACCAAGACAAAGGTACCTTAGCCTCATTATCAGGTGACTTAACAGCACTTCGCGCTGCACTCTGCCAAACGCAACTAAATTATTCAGTCTGCGGGCGCGGCTGAATTACGATAATCCCGCATCTGTACTGTAGTACTAGGGGAAAAACGACGACCATCTAACTCTCCAGCTGTCAACCACGACTGGCGAGACGCGATGTTCAGCGCGTATCGGTCTTGTCAGATAATTTACATTTCCATTCTGACGGACAGGGATGATATGCAGGCTACTTGCACCAGTCCTATATAGGCTTAGCCTTGGGCTTGGCGTTAGGGGTTGGCATAGTTTCTGTGCGTAAAACATGGAAGCCAATTTCGAATCCGAGTGTATATTTAAAAGAGCAAGTCTCGATTCAGAGCAACCATCAAATGGTTCTGGGCTTCAGTTGGACATAGAAAGATACCATACTGCCCAGATGGGCCGAGGACCCCCAGTCATCGATTTCGCCCGTAGGTTTCCTGGATATTGGTATTAGCAGCCTGCTGACCAACTTATTAGCCTTATTCGGGAAGGACAAGGCAGCAAAATCAAAGCTCGAAGACGAGATTCGCAATGCTTGTCTAAACTACGGATCCTTCCAATTGCGTAACCATGGCATTCCCGAGAACCTTAGAAAGGAAATACTGCGTCAATCCAAGGTTTTCTTTAGTCTACGGGATGAAGTAAAGGACAAATACAACAAAGGTAAGTATCCTACTACCCCAGTGGAGTTGGAGTGAGCAGGACGGCAATACTAAGTCGCGAAAAGATGTTGGCGAATGCAACCGCGGCTATGAACGGCTACGGTCTCAGAACTTTGAAAAGCTCACCAAGGGCGATCTAAAAGAAGGTTATTTCCTGGCACAAGACCTTCCCCTTGACGATTCCTATGTCCAGGCGAGGAAGTGGGCTCAAAGGCCGAATAAATATCCCTCTGAGGTTAAGGACCCACATTTATGGAAGAAGACTGTCGATGAGTACCACTTGTGGCGTCGAAACTCGTGAAAGACGTACTGAGCGTTCTCTTCGACACTCTTGGAGGAGGGCATGAATTGCTGAATAAATTTTGCGAGCATCCGATAGCTGTGCTTCGTCTGCTTCGTTACCCTCCACAGGACCCTGATGCCTCGGAGCTAGAACGAGGTATGACCGAACCTAGTCTTAGTACAAACTATGAACACCCTGTTCATTTACTTACAACTGGTATAGGAATCGGCGCTCACATCGACTTCGGTGCCGTTACAATTCTCCTTCAGGATTCTACCGGGGGATTACAAGTCCGAGACCGCAAAACAGGGGAGTGGGTTGATGTTGAGCCGATCCCAGATGCTGTTGTTATCAATACTGGCAATCTAATGATGTGTTGGACCAATGACCGCTATGTCTCAAATCTACATCGTGTTGTAAACAAGACCGGGACGGAAAGATATAGTGTGCCATTCTTCTTCGATGGCAACCCAGACTTCTTGGTCAAGTGTCTTGATAGTTGCATCGGGGAAGGTGGGGTGGCGAAACACGCTCCTCTCACAGTGTCAGAGTGGATGGAGGGACGATACGCGGATACGTTTGGAGTGTCTAAGAAGAAGGCCGCTATGGAAATGGTGGAGGTTTAAGTTTTTTTACTACCGATATAGGCAAAGCAGCATCGCTTGAACTATCCATAGATTTGTGGGATATGCCTTCTGGAAAGGGGTTTAGTTATGCATTACAAAATGGGCAAGTTGAATGCAGAATTTGGGAACAATTGCATTCTCTGTGCTTTCATACGCACAATCTTTGAAGTGATCTCTTGTTTCGACTATGTTTTGTTACCTACAATAGAATCACGGATTTACCGTCACCCGGTATTGGAGGTTCCGAATGTCATGGCTCTCGATTCCACATCTCCGGGCCATGTGGTGGGGACCCAGAAACGTCTAACTTGCCGTATTAAGAAAATTCGTCGCCTTATAACCAAGTGTAAATGAGTAGGGAACAAGCGTGTTTCCGCTCTCACTCCTGCGCGCTAGTCCTATCTGGGTATCTGAGATGCTTTGCCAATCAAAGCATGATTCCTTGAAAAGACCGCAATTAACTTAAGCCTGATGGGGCTAGACCTCGGCGATCACTTTTTCCTAATACAGACTTCAGGGCGGACTGGCGGGGGTTAACTAAGCCTAATAATAGAATTTACTTACAATAGGGGGCCAGAAATAACTTGCCGTAGTAGGAAAATTCGTTGCATTCAAATGTAAAGGAGCTGTCGGCCGTACAGCGGAAAACGCTAGGGTCCGCTTTTCCGCCCGACCGCCAGTCTCATCTGGGTATCTGAGGTGCTTTGCCAATCAACGCATGCTTCCTGGAGAAACTCGCAATACTTGTCCATTGGCCCGCCCCCAAAGTGCACGGATCCGACTTGGAGGCTAGTATATAGTCGAAAACTAATAATGGGGATTGGGGCGGCTTATAAAGTCGGAGTGTTCGCAGCGTAGAACTGTTGCTTTCCGGATTACTCTCCTCGTCTCAGTGTGCATTTTCGGGATAGAAGAAGAATAATGAACCTCATTTTGTCGGCTATTCTGCCGGCTTTTGCAACCGCAGCATTAGCTTCGCCTTCTGTCACGATTGATGCTGGTACCCTTCAGGGAGGACAGTGCGAAAATACACAAAATGCAGTCTACTACAAGGCAATTCCCTATGCGGAACCTCCGGTTGGAGACCTACGGTTCGAACCTCCAAAGGCCTACAATAAACACTACCCTAATGGGAAACTTGATGCGACTACGGCACCTGCCTCCTGCATTCAGTTCGGAGCCGAGTTTGACGCTACAGGTGCTCTAAGTGAAGACTGGTAAGTCAAGTCAAGTGAAGCTTCTATCTCACAAATATTTCATCTTTGGCAACGAATAATTTTGTTCAATAATTGATCTTTCTTTTTTCAGTCTTTACCTGGATGTTTGGACTCCATCTGATGCCACCAAAGACTCGAATCTTCCGGTCAAAGTCTGGATCTACGGTGGATCAGACACGTCTGGCGGAATCTCGAAAGGCCTGTTTGATGGCTGCAACACTGCAGCGGATGGTTCAATTTTGGTATCAATCAACTACAGACTTGGACCTCTAGGCTTCATGGCGCTCAACAGTGCCGGAATATATGGTAACCAAGGAATTCAAGATCTTCTTCTCGGATTGGAGTGGGTCCAAGACAACATCGCCGCTTTTGGAGGTGACCCAGTACGTCAAGTCACATCTAGTTGCAAACTAAATCAGTGGGGGCAGCGTTAACAACGAATTTCCAATACAGAATAAGGTACTTCTGTTCGGTCAATCGGCCGGTGCTGAGGACGCATTTATTATTGCCTCTCTTCCCCAAGCACCGTCTTTCTTCAACAGTGTCATCATGGAATCGGGCGCCGGAAAAAGGCTCCTCCACAATTCGACAATTCAAAGTGTTGGTGCATCATATGCTCAAACACTTAAGTGCAGTTCCGATGATGTGAGTGCGGAGATTTCCTATCTTTATCGTAACTGGCCGCTGACTTCTCCTTAGAAAGCCTGTCTACAGTCCAGGACTGTTTCTGACTTGAGAAAGGCGTACAATGGTGATACCTTTTTGCATGAGGGAATTGGAGCAGGTGGAGCACTCGCTATCACCACCTCGGGGACACATGCTTTCTATCCCTATGTGGATGGAAATGTCATCCCTGAAGAGCCCTTGAGTCGCGGGGTACAAGTGCCGGCGGTCTTTGGATCCAGTATGTGCAACACCATTCGTATCCCCCATTCTGAAATAGACCCACTAATCGGAATTTCAAGACAAAAATGAGGGAGTCATTTATGCCGCCGCCACGGTCAAAAGCCTATCGAATGGCAAAAGTTTAACGCCATCTCTATACAAGTCCTTCCTTCGCAATAACTTTGGTAGCGCTGCTGGGATTATTGAGAAATACTACCCTCTCTCTATGTTCGAAGCTCTCGCCGGTGGAAATGCCCACTATGGTGTGCTTTACGCCATAGCACAGGTCATAACCGATGCCGACTACAAGTGTGTGGCATACGAGGGTTTGGTGTCAGCCGCACTCAACAACATTCCCGTTTGGACATATGAGTATACTCACAACAACACATGCCCGTGGTTGGGCACCCTGAAACAGCTCCAGGGCCATCCGGAGGAAATGGCGCTAGTGGGTGCCACTCATACCGCCGAAATTCCGTTCGTCTTCGGTAACATGAACAATCAACCTCTTCCTGGGGGTACTTGCAATGCCACAGAAGACGAGGACAACCTCAGCAAGCAGATGATGAGCTTGTGGACGGCAATGGCAGAAAATGCCGATCCGTCGACCGATGCCATCCATTGGCCACAATTCGTTCTAGAAAAGAATGCGTCGAGTCCCGGATTGATTTTCGCAGATTCAACCCTACCTGGCCAAGTCGATTACAAGGCTTGTAAACTGTGGTCCAAAGTTTACGACCTTATTGAAGCAGATAATAGTACAGCCACGGCTACAGCCACGAGTACAGGCATGGCTACAGGCACGGCTACGCCAATCAGTGGCAGCGGAAAACCAACGGCCTCGCCGCCTGCTACTCCTCCGGCCAACGGTGCAGCAACCTCTATGCCTGCAACTGGTGGATTCCTTGCCTTGAGTCTGCTATTGACGGTTGTAGTTGCATAGATTCTAGCACCAAAGTGCCTATGAAATATTTGCTTATGTATTATTGTCAGAGAGAGAGTGTGTGTGGATAGGTGGATTGCCCCTGGACGGAAGAATTTAGAGATCTAGATACATCTTATTATTTGGGAGGGACAGATGAGGCTTATTATTACCTGCTCTGGCAGTTTTATAATTGAATATGTGAAATGAGCTTTCTGATTTTCAAATAGTGGTGGTCGACGTATTCATATAGGAGCCCTAAAGTCTAATAGGATGCCTTGATAGATACTGCATGTCCTGAGATACAAACGTAGCGAACGGTTGAGGCCGAGGATACAAACCCTAAAGCCTGTGAAACGGGCCCCATTTGACAAATTTTCATTGTTTCAATACATCACGCGGATAGCACAGAAAATCCAGATTTCAAGGTCATTTAATTGCAGTAAATTGGAGATGTACTTTAGTACAATCGAAACCGAATAGCGCATTTGATTTGCATTACGCTTCTTCACGCTGATGCCTGCGTTCCATTCCACAACCAAGGCGGTCCTACCGCCGACCCTAGGATCGCTGATTTCCTTACTGACCCCGACGACCTACTCGGAACCGGCCTGCCGCCATGGACCGGCTACTGGCTTCGAAGGGATAGTTAGTGTCCTTTGCTGTGTTGGCGGCCGCGATGGTAGTCGTCGCCTGGGTGAGGGCGCCCGTCATCTGATTGACGGCGGTTGAAGACTGCTTCATGACGGATACCAGAGTCGATAGCATGGTGGTGGTGGTGGTCACGGACGACGCAGCCACACTCGTGACAGCCACCTGCCTTGATTTTGTGGTTCTCGCCGTGGTGGTCGCCGCGGCACTCTGGATGGTGCAGGCAGTGGCGACGCCGATGCCGTTGGTCGCGATTTGGACGGGCTGCTGAACATTGGGCGAGCAGCCGAGCTGCATCAAGCTCATTAGGTACCGGGCACACATGAATGTGAAGAGATTGTTGCCGAGTGACGGCGCGGGGCTCTTTTGTTTGGCAAAGACCTCTTCGTTGAAGAGCAGAAAGCCCGGTGCAATAGACATCATACCATTGCAATAGAAATCTAGTGCTCCGGAATCGGGTCCCTGGTCCGTCAACAAGGGCTGATTGATACCCAAGCGGTAGGCATTCGTCTTCGCAGGGCTGACAGCGCCGCTCGCGGTCAGCAGGCAATCCGGGTCGTTGAGCGGCACTAATGCAATGGGTGCCTGCTGGTGTTCGCTGGCCTGCAGTTCCTGCAGCGCCAAGGCGGGCACTTTGTCGCCCGGGTTGTCTAGACTAGGCCCTAGAAACGGGGTGCAGCCGATGGCGGGATCGATCATGTTGGCCAGCAGCGCTTCATCAGAAGCATTGTTGATGACTATGGCGTTGGGGAACTTGGCCCGATTGGCAGCCGTGTCCTGGACCGTGGCTCCGTCGGGCAGGAGCAGGTACTGCGTCGGCACGTTGTCGGAGGGACAGGCATCGACGATTTCAAACGACCGTGTGGTCGGACATGTGGCGCCGTTGTGGTCAGTTCCCAGAGGTGGGATTACGAGCTGGCCGTTCTTGACGGCGGCGTTGGCGGCGTCAAAGAACGGTTGCGTGTTGCACCAGCTCACCTGGCCAAAGACGTCGCCCTGCATGCCGGGCAGGCCGTTGACGCAGTCAATCTCCTTCAGGATCGAGGATTGATGCGTGCCCAGGCCATTCGGGTCGAGCAGCTGGAGCACGTTCCCATTGAAACCAAACCAGAGGGCGACCTTGGCGTTGGCCGGCAGCTTGGGGACGACGGGGGCGACGGGAGGAGTCTTGCCCTGATCGATGACCAGCGGGTGATAGATCGACACGGCTCCGGTGGCCGGGTCAATCACTGCAGCCTCGACATAAGCTTGCTGCAGATTGACGCTCTGCGAGCAAGGGGGTTCCAGAACAAACGGAGTAGCCAGGCCGTTGGCCGACAGGGGGTTATTGGGCAGCGTGAGGAAGCAGTTGGAGGCACTGACGTTGAGCGCGGTGCTCGTCGACGTTCTTCCGGCTGCCACGGTGGTCGTAGTCGGCTGTTGTCCAACGTTGTGTGCTGCAAATTGCTGGTGGTGGCCGGGAAACCAGGGCAATGACTGACTCCAGAATGCAGTCACCGTCTGTGCCAGAACGGCGACGGGATGCAGGAGGGGGGACATAATGATGAAATTGAAAAGGAGCGTTGCAAAGAAAAGGAGATATACGGTCCGCGAAAGGCGAAAAGTAAGACTGATCAACAGTGAGGGTGCTGGGACGAGTAAATGACGGGAGCTAAAGGTCCGGCGAAACAAACAGAGAGCAACAGGTGAGAAAGATAGGAGGCCAGTCTCACTGCATCTGAAATGACGGTCCCAAGGGAGATCGAAGAGAGCTACCTCGCTGATGAATAAACGGATAGCACCCCGAAGGCGTTATCCGGGATCTCTTTTATACTGCAAGGCGAAGAAGTCGGCTGACGACCTGATCGAGGAAGAGGGAGGGAGGTGGGGGAGGTTAAGGCACGAAACCGGCGTATATACGCCGCTAACAACCACTGACCAACACACTATTAATAGGGTTGTATCGATTCGACGGGCAAGCAGGACCAGCCCGACGTCGCATCATCTGTTCCAGAATTCATAGGGATATCGCGAGGGGTCTAGGGTATTCTGAAACAGTTGGTAGCAGGATGAGACAGCAAGCGTTCAGGGGATAGTTTTATAGTATTGTATAGTTAAAAAAAAGGTATGTAGCGAGATAATTAAAGAAACCCTACGAAGAGGGCAAGAGGGCGTGTAAGCTTCGCTGCCGTTTATATTGCAAATAGTGCTATGTAGCGAGGCCGGAGGTTAATATACTGCTGCTATAGAGTTGGGATATCTGCGAAGAGCCAGAGAGACCTAGACGAGCTATCGAAAGCTGCTGAAACAAATAATTAGTAGACCTCCGGAATGATTACTTAAGTAGGCCGATTCTACAAATTCTCTCCCTAGAACTGGAACCAAGGCATTATGAGAGAGTAAACCAGGGCAAACCCAGCCCATGGGTTTAGACCTAAACCCAAAATCCCAAACTCACGCTAGTAAGCCCTTGTGTTTGACCTTTGACCCAAAACACACCCAAAAGCTTATTTTAAAACCATTTTCTGCATAAATTTCCCAATTGGGATGTATCAAATACTAAGTCAGCTAGTGTAAATTTTTTCTGTTTTATTTGTATATTAATATCTTTTAAATTTTTAATTTATTTTATATATTTATTATTTAATCACGTTTTATCTATTTATATCGACTTTTTTATATATTAGGCAGGTAATCTAAACTCCGTTGCAAATTAAGAGAACTGCTGCTAAATTTAAAATAAATAAATAATGTCGACATAATGAAAGTGCCGGGGGCTAAGCACAATATTGGAGATCACTCGGCTTTGTACCAAAGAGTAACTATAGTATGACAGCATAGTGCGTTGGGAACCACTTGGGTGGTGTTAGCGGGGGGTGATCTTCGATCGTGAAGTGTTTCAGGGACGTGAAATTAGGTTTACTATTGTCATATGACCATATGGTTGCAGCTGGGCACTACGTCAAAAATTCAATATCTACTATTGTTGAGTGGTGCTTGTCGGTAACGTGCAACAAGCGGGGAGCCCGCCTCGATCTCTCTACCTCTCGCATGTCGCATGTCAATTTGCGGTGGATGGCAATACTGATGCCCGCGCCCGGGTCCTCCTCTAGGCGGACTCGATCTATAGATTGGGGCCTGCGGCCCTGGCGGGCAGGTTCCTTCCTAGCGGGCTAGGCGTCAAGTGCGTAGTGTACGGAGTACCGATGGAATGAACCGTAATTGATATCTCGCGGGAACATGGTCCAGAACCCCGTGCAAAACGCCAAACAATCCCTCCCCTCCCGCTACAGCATACTCAGGGTTTGCCGTTGTATCAGTTACATGATGGGATGATACACAATTCGTGTGAGAAGACAGCCTACCATTGTTCGGCCTAGCCTTGCTTGTCTCTATCTTCGGCTTGTTGGCCTGGGCTTGGACTAGGCGTGTCTCATATCTCCCCAATCCTACCTCTCAGGGGAAAGTGGACTCACACAGGGCGAAAAAAGTAGTTTCTCTAACCCTCTGTGAACAGGTTTTGCTTTTCTCCATTTCTTCGTATAAAGGCCATTATCTTCCTCTCTCTTCGTTTCTTTGTGGTCTTTGTCACCCGTCCTTTCTCAGACAATCTTTATTTTCTATACGCAATGTTGCGCTGCGTTTACTAGAGCTCCTGGTTTCTATGCTAAGCACTCAATTGACGCGGAAAATCGTATCGATTGATGTCTTTGCCTACTCTTTTCGCTCTTTGCATACTACGTTCAACCTAGGCAGGCCCTGGTTTCGACTCTAGCCACGCAGCGCCATATCTTTGGATTGGTTGGAATTTTTTATCGCTGTCGATATCCTTCTTTTTCACATTCTGAAGGAGTGTGGTGTTGTTTTGAATTGCTTTGCATCTGCGACACTCTTCCAACCAAACAATAACAACCCCGGGCTTCGATAACAAACCTTCGCTCCTCTACTTCCTACCTATCTAGCAAGCTGGTCTTGCAAAACCACCCAGAATCTGCCTCATCACATTCGATATTACTATCTCCAGCGGGGTATATCATGCAGCATCTCCTTCTGGCTCTGTCACTTGTGGGGCTGAGCAGTGCCCAAGAGGTCGAGAAGAGTTGTGGATACCAAAAGAGAGCCATACCGGTGTGGATTCAGGCAGTAAATGACGATATGTCACGATACACCATTCTTGTGTTTGGTTGTGCCGCCGCTGCCTTCTATGTCTGGTCACTCGCCTTCCGATTTTCTGGCCACCTGCGACGACTAGCCAGCTTCACTGACGATAAGCAGCAGTACTTTGTGCCTGCACACGACAGGTTTTGCTGGCTTAAAGAACATTTAATCTATGCTCCTCTATTCCGCAAACGTCATAACCAGGAATTTCAGCTCTCTTCAGCCATCAACATGGGCAACCTCCCCAGTCGCTTTCATGGGCTCCTAATCGCCGGTGTAATTGCCATGAACGTTGCCCTGTGTACAGTAACAACTCCCTATGGATCAAACGAGGTGACTCTTTCGGGTATTGTGCGTAGCCGTACCGGCACAATGTCTACTATCAACCTGATCCCGCTGGTCCTAATGGCTGGTCGCAACAACCCTCTTATTGCCATACTCAACGTTCCCTTCGACACTTGGAACTTGCTTCATCGCTGGCTGGGCCGCATTGTGGTGCTCGAGGCTCTTGCACACACATTCGCATGGTGCATCCCCCAAGCTCAGGCAGCCAGCTGGGATGTCGTCGGAATTTCCATTTCTTCGAGTAGCTTCTTAATTGCTGGACTGATTGCTACCTGTGGGTTCACAGCCCTGATGTTGCACTCGCCGTCTCTAATTCGGCATGCTTTCTATGAGACATTCATCCACTTTCACCTTGCCATCACAGCCGTCTCCTTTGGTTTCCTCTGGGTGCATCTTGACGGCTTGGTTGACCAAGCTTACCTGCTTGTCGCTATAATTCTCTGGGCCCTAGAGCGAGCCACTCGTCTCTTCATCATCGTGTACCGCAACTTTGGCCGCGACTCCACCACCGCCACTATTGAGGTAATGCCCGGTGATGCGATGCGCATTACCCTTCGCGTAGCTCGGCCGTGGACTTTCAAGCCCGGACAACACATATATCTATATATCCCAGCTGTTGAGTGCTGGACCTCCCACCCCTTCTCTGTCGGCTGGACCGAAGCTGAGGAGACTTTGTCGAGAGAGAAGTTGCTCCCGAACACAACACAAGACCTCCTCGGCGCCTCTCAAACGACCACTCTTTCCCTACTTGTCCGCCGCCGCACAGGCATGACCAACAAACTATTCCAGCACGCCGCAAGCTGTCTCACCTCCCGTGTGACCCTGCGTGCCTTCGTCGAAGGACCCTACGGCAACATCCACTCCATGGATTCCTATGGCACCGTTATGCTCTTCGCTGGCGGTGTTGGTATCACACACCATGTCCCCTTCGTGCGGCACCTAGTCGCTGGTTTCGCCGAGGGAACAGTGGCGACCCGCCGCCTAACCCTCGTCTGGATCATCCAGTCTCCCGAGCACCTTGAGTGGATCCGCCCCTGGATGACCAGCATCCTGGCTATGAAGCGCCGACGCGAAGTTCTTCGCATCATGCTCTTCATAACCCGCCCACGCAACACCAAGGAGATACAGAGTCCCTCAGCGACGGTGCAAATATTCCCTGGCCGGCCAAATATCGACGTACTCGTCGGTATAGAGGTCGAAAAACAGATCGGCGCTATGGGCGTCTTGGTATGCGGCAACGGTAGCTTGAGCGATGATGTGCGCAAGGTCTGCCGGAAGAGACAGGCTCGGTCGAACATAGACTATATCGAGGAGAGTTTCTCCTGGTAGTTTGCTTATCTTGTTCGTGTCTTTTAGAGCAAGTATTTGCTGTGATGCTGCTTGAAGGAGTGTTGTTCGAGTGAGGGCTCTCATGTTTTAGTCGCTTTTTCCTTCCCTTCTCTCTGGCTTTCTTGGCTTTATTTTTTGGGGAGTAGTTCCAACTGTCAGGCTCTCACCCGCACGGGTACTTTAGGACTTTGATTTTGAGGATTCTCTATCATCTCCGCTCTTTTATCCTTTGAAGCTGGTTTCTTTGTACACTTTCGGTTTTCTTTCTTTTATTATGGCTGATCATGTTCCCCGATGTGTCTAGGGTGCCTTCGGAGAGCTGTACATATCTTTCGTTCATGCTAATGCAATATATAAGGTCCTTTCTTGGAATCAAGTTTCTGTCGAGTTGATAAGGTGGAAGAACATCGTGAACGCAGCCTCATGTACAGCGGCATCTACAGTGGCGAAGTTGTCACCAGAGTATTCAACGCCAGCCAGGATTAATACCAGGGGATTCCGCAGGTCGGAGGGGTTGATAGTTATCCAAAAAGCGGGGATGCCGTACCGGGTAATCAGCCTTCATATTTCAGAGCGCGTTCTTAGTTTCTGGGCGAATGATCCAGGGACATACATTCGGGTGGTCTCGACATTTCACAGCAGTCGCCGAATGATCGGATCCTCAATTCTCTGTCCGGTGTCAGGACCTACATACCGCCTAACATCCTTCTGTTCCTGTTATGGTCATACGATATGGCTCGTGTACACTGTAGATAGTTCCTGTTCTTCTTCCTTTTCTTCTTTCCTTACAACTTGGAGCTCCCAAAAACATGGCTCTCAAAATTGAATACATTCATCGTTTTCCTTCTTGATCTGGCTGCCGGACACAATAGGTAGATGCATGCCAGCCCTTACCATATGGACATTCTGCCCATTTATTGATTTATTATTAATATCTTTTATGGGCAGTCTTAGGAGAGCTGAGCAGGGCTTAATCAAGGAAACACCACGGTCAAGGGATGATATGTACCCTACCATACTTATTTTCATTGCCACTTAATAATATTCCCCGGATTTGTCCAAAAATAACTACCCGAATCACAAGGATTAAAAAGGTGCAGGGGTGTGGGGGCCGTTGGGGGCTGTTGGCTACCGTTGGGGGCCGTCGATTAAGGACGAAATCCACGGCTGCGGCTGAAGTTGTTTACGCCTCAATAAATCCGGAGAACCTCCTAGTCAGCAGAACGCTGAAATTTCATAATCTCTTTCCCCTTTTGACGAACAGATATGTCTCCGCGCAACGAGATTCGCGCAAGAGCCTCCAGAAGTTGTGGGAACTGCCGGGCTGTCAAGCGACGTGTGAGTCTCGTTCTGTCCTCTCGTGTCTACTCGGTCACTGCTAATTTTGCTCGACGTCGCCAAAGTGCGACCGACAGTCTCCCCATTGTGGACAGTGCATTCGACTAGGCGAAGAATGCCCTGGGTACCGAGATGAATGGGATCTCGTCTTCCGCGACCAGACCGACAAGACCATTAAGCGTTCTAAGGCAAAAAGGACGAAGAGCGCGTCTAACGACTCTCCTCCGCCCACCCAACATTTGAGCCCTACCACCCAATGCTTGAGCCCTAGTATAGATGAGATAGGCGTCAACTATTTCTTGTGCAACTTTGTCATTGGCGGCCAGTCCTCTTCACGGGGATGCCTCAACTACATTCCTACTGTTTATCGCGCTGATGGCGACAGTCCGACGCTGGTAGCTAGCATGGCGGCAGTAGGCCTCGTGGCTTTGGCTAATACGACTCAGCAGCCCGAGTTGGCTAGCCACGCGCGTGCCAAATACGCGGAGGCAATCCGCAATGTGAACATTGCGTTAGAATCGCCTATCGAGTCCGTCAAGGACAGCACCTTGATGTCGGTGATCTCGTTAGGGGTCTTTGAGCACGTCTCCGATTATGAGTCATGGGTTCGACATGTCCAGGGCGCTGCAGCACTGGTGGTTGCCCGGGGCAAGAGACAATTCTCTAGCCCCATCACCATCCTCATGTTTAACCAAGTGCGCGCAGACCTAGTGCTTGCCTGCGTCCATGGTGCGAAGCCTTTTCCGGAGGACGTACTTGAGCTCCAGGAAGAGGCAGCAAAGCACGCCGACACTTCTAGTACGTTCTGGTTTATGGGGGTGTTGGGCACTCGGTGCGCAAACCTGCTTATGAGCGTTAGGAAGAATAAGTTTACTGGGGGCATCCCTTGGTCTGAATTGCTGGACGAGGCGAGTGTGATTGAGCGTGACTTTCAATACATCCTTGGGGTCCTGGTCATACAAGAACCGTATACAACCACGCGAGACTCAGATGGGGACCCAAGCATGATTTATAATGGTCGATTTGACCTTTATAGGGACTCCTGGGCGATCAGACTCTGGAACAACTTGCGAAGCCTTCGAATGATTGTCTGCGAGATATCGTACTTCCTCTTGAACAAATTTCTCGCTACGGATCTCGCACCAGCTGTCCGGGAGAATATGAAGCTTGAGCTCCAAAAGACCCTAGAAACCCTGTCCAGAATGGCCGACGATATCTTAGCCACCGTCCCGCAGGCTTCGGAATTCCTGTCCTCGGCCTCTGGATCCCGCCGCTCCGTCGGCTTTTCCTTCCAGCGCAGCGTGCCGGGCGGGTATATGTTGACCTGGGGTCTCTACATGGTAGGGAAATGCCCGGTCACGACAAGTGAAACCCGAAAGTGGGTCATCCGACGCCTCCAGAATATCGGCAAGGACACAGGAATCTCAGTCGCGCTGCAGCTGGTCGAGCATATAGAAAATATAGATCAATTGGCCGGCTGAATATCACTAATACGACGCTTGGGTCCTAATATTGCATCAACCCGTACCTGTACTGTCAAAATTCAACCAGCGCTTTTTTATTTAGAGAGGTCCTTGAGAACTCCAGGGCTTGAGATCAGACGGATTGGGATGCTGGCTTTTGAGCAACCGTACACATTTACAAGAAATCTCGCGATGGACCAGAGCCGACTGTGTGTAGGATACTCAAGGACACCGTCTACTCTTGAATATTCTTGAAAACCAGTTGTTTGTCATTATGGGTCTGAGGATTTGTATACTTTTCAATTCTAGTTAGATTAGACAGTTGGCACCTTGGAATAAGATCTGATCTAAGAGACGTTATTTGGCAGACCAAAATAGAGAGATATCATAATCGCTAGCAAGGTGTACTGTCTTCGGTTGATGAGAGGAAAAAGTACACGTAGTGAAGTATACAATTTCAGACTAGACCCGTTTCGGATTAGCCTCCCGGTCTCCAGGTGACGCTCTTTGAGATTCTTCCACCACAGCACAGCACAACACAAAACCATGGCCTCTCCTTCGACAATGCCTTCCAAACAACTACTATCGACTCTCTTTAGCTCCCTCGGCAACTCACGCTGGACCCTGACCCGCACCCTCCGCAGTGACAACCCGCTCGACCTAAACGGCGAGCTCCGCGGCACTGCCAGCTTCACCCTTCTGCCGCCAACCGCAACCTCGCCAGACCGCGACTGGCTATACTGCGAAGAAGGCGAGATCCCATCCACAGCATCCGGCGCAGGTATCGCCCAGGCAGGTCTGCGATGGACAAAGAAATACATCTGGCGCCTAGGCGCGGAGACGGGCCGGATAAGCGTGTGGTTCGTGAAAGTGGCGCCGGGCCCGGAGGAAGCGGACTATTTGTTTCATGACTTTGATTTCTCGCTGAGCCAGCCGGCTGGCCAGGAGACGGCCGAATTTGTAGCCCCGCCCGCGCCTCCGGCTGTTATCGCAGAATCCGAAAATACTGTCCTTGCGGCGCGCGGGAACCACCTCTGCATTAACGATATGTACCGCACCGCGTATGCGTTTCGTGTTCGGCCTGAGACGGGCGAGGTGCTAAGCTGGGCGAGCCGGCATGTCGTTCGGGGTCCGAAGAAGGACCAAGAGATTGTCAATCGGTACGAGCGGGGTGATTCTCTACGTTGAAGATGACATGCACACGCGCACTTGGCATATTCTATCACATATACACATGATACCCATATTCGCATTCCTCGCCTCGATCCGCCCGCACCAACTCACATGGTATATATAAAGTCCGGCCGCTTATCACCCAACAACTCGATCTGGCTGCGATCCAGACCTTCGACCCAGTGGTCACGCTCACCGTTGCGACGCTTGCGGTTCTCACGCTGCAGCAGGATATACTGCAGCACGGAGCCGCCAAACAGAAACAAGACCAAATAGCTCAACACCGTTCCGTGGCCGGGATAGTAGTTTGGTGCGTCTTTATCGCGGTAAATGTTGGACGACACGATGCCATTCAGGTTACCCCAGCTAAAAATTCCGAATAAGCATCAAGTTCTCTTTACAAATGAAGATTGACTCACCCAATGATGATTCCCAGCGAGACACCGCGTTTGTAGACACCTAGGAGAAAATGAGGTCAACCATGCCCATGGAACCAACCGATCTGCTCCTCTTACCTTCTATGTTGTTCGAAGACCATGATATAGTGTTAGCTATGCACGGGTAGATGCCCATGGCACCCAGGAAGGTTCCTGCATAGCGCACACCCGCAGATTTGGCGCCGAGAAGCATAGCAAATCCCGTTATGCCCAGGAAAGAAACCAGAATGTTGCAGAGTCCACGTTGGCGCGTGCGGTCAGCAATAAAGCCGATAGTTACAGTCAAGATGGCTGCCGCCGCGTAGGGCGGCACACTCAGCAACTGGGCCGTGATAGACTCGTAGCCTGTGAAAGCCATGTTAGTAGATAGTCGGCCTGTGTCAAGAAGCCAAAATACCCTGGAAGAGACTCGTTAGTGCCTGCATCTCGGCCTGGTTTGGCTTTCTTCACTCACTAGTTCTTTGATGATGCTGGGAACGAAGAGCGAGAAGGCATACAGCGAGCCATCCGCGCCCATGTAGATAATAGCGCCTGTATAGGTCTTCCAATCCTTAAGACTAGCCCATAAGTAGGACATCTTGAACTGCTCATGCTCCGCGCTAGACTGCTGATCGAGAGCCAAGCGACGCAGAACACGTGCGCGGTCGGCATCGGACAGGAACGTGGCCTGGTCAGGGAAGTCGTATACCATCCAGAAGGAAATAATTCCAATCAGCACAGTCGCCGCCCCCTCCAAGATGAAGATCCAGGCCCAACCTGCCCTGCCGCCGACACCGTCCATCTTGGAAATGGCTGCGGCCAGGAGACCACCGAAAGAGCCGGCCAGAGCGGCAGCGGAGAAGAAAAGAGCCATGCGCACCCCAAACTCTGAGCGCTTATACCAGCATGACAGGAAGTAGCCGACGCCGGGAAATAGGCCAGCTTCTGCCAGGCCGAGGAACCAGCGCGCGGCCATGAGACCCGAGTAGTTCGTGACGACGCCCATGCAGGCCATGCAAACGCCCTAGAGAATAAGGATTAGATTGATGCTCAGATGTAAGACCGTTTTTGCACATCACATACCCAGCAGATCATGATGCTCGGAATAAAGATACTCGGCCGCAGACGCTTGAGCAACACGTTGGTCAACGGCTCGAAGACCGAGTATGACACAAAGAAGATGGTGAGTGTGGCATTAAATTGATTACCGCTCATGCCTAGGTCCGTAGTTAGATCGACGAGCTTTGCATTGCCGATGTTGGTCCGGTCGAGAAAGGAGGCAAGGTATAGCAGGCTGAGCCAGGGCACGAGGCGGAGATCGAGCTTCCACAGCAGCTTTCGATCCTAAAAACCGAGTCAATAACCCCCAGCAATAACCATCAATAGTGAGTATGCATACAATTTTTGCCCTTTCCTCATCGCTGAGGCCGGCGTCTGGATCCTCCAACCCAGCCAGGAGCTTCTCCGGGCCCTGTGCGGGCAGCGCGGCCTCAGTATCTTTATCCGGGGCATTTTGCCGCGGCACCTCGTCAACAGCAGCCTTCTCGTCAATCGTGCTCATGGTCAAGGGAGCCAGCGTTCAGACAGGTATGTGAAAATTGTGCGTGACACGCTCGACAGGGAATTCTCCGCAAACGCAGGACAAAAGGGGGGAAACCGGGAAGCTTATAAATTGGCCTGCAGAGAAGGAGAGGCATTATTGGCGCATTATTGCATTGTTTGTCCAATCAGTCGTTCCCGGTTCGGGGAACTGAGCGGCCAGGAGCTTGGCCACCGATGATCATCCCCGTGTTTGGTATAGTTGCGGTGCGGAGAAGCTGGATCGGCAGGACGGGAGGGACTATGGAAGTGCCGAACAGTGGCCGTTGTCGTCATAGTTTACAATCCGGGGTAAATAGGGGATCGGGTGGTGATATTTGCATAATCGAGATACATAGTATGATTCGGGATCTATTGGATGACAAGAACCATGCCCACCTCCAAGCCACGAGGAAATAGAAGTCCCCGGTTCCAGTTCTTATTCCCATTCCCTCGCTTCCGTCTGCAGAAGTACTTCTGAGTATCACATCGCGCAAGGATCGGGCGCAAAAAGGATGCCGCAGCCCTCCAGACTCGCGTGTCCCGCCAGGATCTCGCGCGCGCGCATCGCCATCTTGATCGAGTGGAAGTGAACACGGATCTCATTGCAGGCGGACGGATTCTCGCCAAAGTATTCCACGTACAGGTGGCAGGGCGACTTGGACAGGATGCGATGGATATTCTGCACCACGCCGGGGCGCACTCGATTGACAGCCAGGCACCGAGTACGGCCATTCTTAACATAAATGTCCATCTCCGGAGCGAGAGGGTAGGTCGGCGTTAGCACCGGGCACACCCAAGCCTGATGGAAACCGATGTAGAAGTCATCTTGAGCCACTCGCTGCAGAAAGGCGAGAGCACCCTCCTGTCGGACAAAGGTCACCAGTGCAGTCTGGGTTCCAGTTAGGACGTTTGTATCGCACAAGATCGCTGAATAGATCGCTCCTCCACGGATGCCGAGGAGGATTTGGCCCAGGTTCGCGTGTGGAGGGAGATTCTCAACGACAACACTGCGGTAGAGGTCGTTATCATGCCGGCCGGGGATGTAGCGGAGACCGTGCTGGAAGAACGACGTCCGCAGAGCCGGAGTACGACTAAGGACGTTTTTCTCGTTACGAGCGGCTTTCAGCTCCTGCTCAAGATTGTCAAAGACGCTGCTGCCCATGGCCCATCGCGGTTCGTTGCTGAACGAAGCAGGTTCCTCCATTACTTTGGCCTGGCTCTTCATGGGCATGGTCGGAGAGGTGGACATCTCGAGAGGTGATCTCTGTTTTGAAACGAGGAAATGTCAGAACTGGGCTGTTGACCACAGAAACATCAAACCCTTGTACGCACCAGCAGGATCTTGTAGCTCGCATCCCCCGTGTCGTTTATGGCAGTTCTGTTCTGGGCAAGGTGGCTGCAGAGTGTCAGTGACAGTGGTGGAGGCAAACAACACGGGGAGCCTACCTCTCAGGCTGCAACGTAGGAACACCAATCTGGTCCAGAGACAGATCGAGCAGGCTCGGACCCTCAAACTCGACTGGGTACGTTTTGGGGTCATCCATGGTATGTACCTTCGACTCTGGGAGAGCCTGGATATTGACACCACGGGGAGTGTGAGGGAGATGGAGGAGGAACTGGACCAGACGAAGCGAAAACAGCAGGAGCAGCCACGTAAGGGCTGCCACCACACTGCCCAACACGGCAGGAGCGATGCTGTCTGCATGTGCCATAGATCCCATGTTTGAGAGACACGGTGTGAGCCCTAAATAGGGAGATGGTGATGGAGAAGCGAGAGCTGGCTGACGGCTGGAATGGATCGATCGTAAATGTCCAAGTAGGACTCTTGAGGCTGGTCAATGAAACTGTCTGGTATCCAGTTGATAATCCAGTGAGAACTATCCAAAGAGACGAGAACCAAGCTACTGTCTCGTAAAACAGACTAATGATGGTGGGAGGCTTATTACTAAAAAGTGTCATTGATACAGCTGAAAATCTACCTCTATAAAGGGTCAGTCCTGGAGCTGACGCTGAAGTTCAGACAGATATATATACCTATGCGAAAGAAATAGAAAGCCTGTCAAAGCACTTGCAATACTATCCCAGAAACTGGCCCTCCGCCAAGGCAACCCACGGGAGTTTCTCTTTCCAGCACCGCTGCATCAGCTGCCGGGCATCTTGGATCTAATATCAAAGTCAATATCGTCGGAACGGGAAAATAAATACACGAGAGAAAGCTCACCTGCTTCAAGCCGGACTTTTCCAGGACCATGAACCGGTCAAGCAGCTTGGTCCGCTGTGTAAAGTCTTGGGATTCGCAGCCGGCCGTGAAGATGGGTAGCAGCGAGCAGACCTCTGTCGACGCGCCAGGCCGCATCCGTCCCAGTGCAGCGACCAGTTTGCGCAGGGCTTCCTTCACCGCGAAGGAATCAGACGGAGACCCCAGCACCCGCCGATGGAGATGTAGAAGCCCCGCACAACGGAATGCTTCCTGGGTCGCCATCATTTCCAGGGCCTCGACGCCGAGGTGATGGTGAGGGTTGTCGTGGGCGCGCTCACCGAGATCTTCAAAGTCACCGAGCACCGCGTGGGCCTCCATAACGATATCGGCGGACGGGTGCCAGTTCCGACAAAAGTTGCCCATCTCGTCGAAGCGCTGATTGTCGCACTGTTGGACTAGCTGTGCCAGACGAAGCAGGAAAACGCCAGTCCGTGGGGTGAACCCTGTAAAGCAGTCGACCTGGAACTCGTCATATTGATCGGGGGAACAGCATGTCCTTAGAACTGATTGATACAGCATCAGAGGAGGGCCGGCCTGACGGCATGACAGGGCTCCCACTGTGTCGATATAGCCCAGCCAGCGGGCGAAGAAGGCCCCAATCCGATTTCCTGGACGTGCAATCCGCTCGCTCCGGGCCATAAACAGGCCACGAGCGAGTTTTAGATGGCTCTGCCATGTGATAGGGACTTCAAATGTCCCGGGAGACACGATTTTCAGCGACACGAGCATGATGGCAGTGGCTAGGTGGCTGTCTGTTATGTCTTCATTGGATACCTCCAATGCCATACGCAGAGATGGAAAGACATCGCTAACCCAGTGTGCAATACGATTCGCGGGTTCCGGATGACCCAGATACCGGGCTCGGTGGCTGGCCGAGTATGCCAGCAGCAGGTTCAGGAGGTTTGGGTCGCCAATTGCCACTGATAGGTTAGCATCAACAAGACGAACATGAAATGGAGAACTTACTTGATGGCAGCACCGACATGAAGGGATTGTCTTCGCAATCGTGCGGTACCAGCATCCGAGAAGTGTGATTGATGAAGTGGTGAAAGTACATCAAGTTGATGGGATTCTCCAGCAAGGTCGAGGGAAGTGGCGACAGATATCTCGGAATGTTGACAGGCACGGGAGAGACATAATAGCCGGAACAATCAGGATTGTGCGAAAAAGGTTGAGGCGACGATCCAGCGTCCTCACTTCGCCACCGAGAGCTGGTCAAATCCAGGGCGTTGTTGATGTCAATGGCCGCGTGGTCATTGTTAAAAGACAAGTCCCGGTCCGGGCGCCCAGAATCCAGGCCGTAGTTATCTGTTACACTGGTGAGATATGCCTTCCATTTGTTCTGGGCAACCGATGAATTATCCGCCGCTTGCTCATTTCTCGAAGGAGCTCGGGAGTTATGAATGGACCCTCGATGCCGGTCATAAGAGGATGCGAGGATGGTAGGAGTTAACCCGTGGGCGGAAGGCGAGCTAGTACTTGTTTCCGGCATCGAAATGCCATGGGGGCTCGACAGTAAGGAAGCCAGCTCCCCGGCTGCTGGGGAGTTTTGAGACGTGCCACCTCGCTCTGGCATGTGGTAGCCTGTGCCATGTTCAAAGTCCGAGATCTGAACGTCTCCCGCGAATTGATTATTGTCGTTCTGGAACGTGGGTGATCCGGGCGGGTGGCTAGACTCCTCCAAGGAGCCACGAAGGAAGGACACTGGCTGCGATACTGAGGATGGTTGGAGATTGAATACGGAGAATGATCTGAGGTTGGAACCTTGGTCTGCCGGGGCCGTGTAAGATACGCTATCGAACGCATGTTGACCAAAGGGATAGTGTGACAACGGTTCCGAGGAAGTAGACGTTGTCAATGGAGAAGATTGCTCCGGCCAGGTGGTGAACTGGAGCTCCAGTTGTGATGGCGAGGTCACATCAGACCCCGAGGGAGGCTTCGGGGATTCGAAGATACCCACAGAAGCGGTGGTGCCAGGAGAAATTGCCCCGGGAGAGGCAAAGGTCGCCGGCTGGCCAACGTCCGCGGGGATACTGGTCACTGATGTTGGTAATTGAGCCGAACTAGTCGTATTGAAGGTAACAGGCTCGGAGAAGCTGATTACGCTACCCCCATGTCCGCTAGACTGGGAATTGGGGGAGTCGACTGACGACCGCTTCGTCCGGCCACCCCAGTTCAGTCGAACGCTATAATCACAATCTTCCCCTTGCCGCTGACAGTTGAGACAAGACGGTTTTTCCTCGCCACTGCATAAGACAGTTAGCTTATCACACGGGATGGCGTGCAATGGTATCTTACCACTTGACTTTTCGTGCCTTGCACGGCCTATAATCTGATGAGTTTTAAGGACCTCCGACATCGTGGAGGCTAACTTACCAGCATCCTTTGCGGCTGCGGCGTTTCGGCTCCGGCGCACCAGGCCTTCTAGGGCGAGGCATGTCACCTCAACGAATCGGGTGGAGTGCCGAGCTCAGTGGAGAGCACGCGACTTTTGAACAGAAAGAGGGTCCCGGTGCGCTAAGCACCTGCCCGTAGGCCGTCACTCGGGGCAATGGACTCGCTTTCTGCGTCTTGACCCGTGTTGACCCCAGGTAGCGACGAAACGATAATCGATAAGACACCCACACCTAGTATACAAGCACATCGAGGTGTGGGAGGGAGATGTGCCGGGACAGACGGGGAGGCTTGCTGTTGAGGGACAGCAATGGCTCGGAGCTCGATGTCTCTCTTTTTTTTCAGATAGTTCAATGCCAGCCCTAGGCCAAGACAAAATGGATGATGATCTCTGAAAAAGCGGATTAAGGTCACTGGCTAGTGACGCACTAATCAGATCGGTGGTCCACAAACACAGCGGTCGCACAGTCGTACAGGGAGCGTCGACAGAAGTCGGATGCAGTTTCTGGAAGAAGTTGAGAGCATGAAAAAAGTGTGGGGAAATAAGACAAGAGGTTCCAAGCTACGCAGACCGGCCGGCCTTCCGTTGGTATCCCGCGGTGCTGCTTCGGAAGTTGGGGCCAATGACCGTGGATGCCTTTATCGGTGCTGGGAGCATCACCTGATCGGGTGGGGCTTAGGTAACGGGGCTCAGTCACGATAGCTGGATTTGTTATCCGGATGATCGCGGACTCGCTAGGGACGCTTACTAGCGGGGGAGATGAATACAGCGCAGGCCATATGAGGCTGATGCCGTCACATGGGGCATATCTATTGGTTCTACAATTCCAGGCACACCAAAAAACTAGAGGGAAGGCAGTTACATAGTAGAGTGTACTCCTCGTCGTCTTGAAAAGCCCCGACTAGGGTCTGATCAGGAAAAGATTTCTCACGATGTCTCTGTCAAAAAGAGGCTTGGGGAAGGCGAATGATTTGTCCCGTAAATAGTCACGCAAAGAAGGGGTTAGACTTGACACCTCAGGCAGCAACCATTAAATCTTCCTTGTTCCTTGTTGATGTGTGGAGCTGACCTTCTTACTGACGCCATTGCCGCACTTGTCGTTTCTGAAGACCCTGTCCCATTCTTCACACCTGTCTACAATAATGGCCATCGAATCCTCCCAAATGCTTGTGCAACGTCATCCACTTCAGCGTTGGGCCAGTCCATCCCGGGGCTTGTCCGCTCTGGTTCATGTAAGGATTCCCATGGTCCGGCTGTTTACGGATATCGGAACTGATGGCGACTCGAACGACAGCTGGCAGGACTCTCAAGTTTCGTCTGGTCGTTCAACTGGTATGCTCTAATCCTTCTATGCGCGCAAAAGGTGCTGACTTTCCTGGCAGGATGCATGAGAATCCCAATCAGGCGTGAGTGATAGTATATCCTGCCTGCCTGCTTCTCCGTGGTCGACTGACATTCGCAATAGCAACCAAGCATATGGCTGGCACTTTCAGTATCTCACTGTCATCGGTCTGTCCCTGTCCACGGTGACTTTTGCTGTGGCCCTACTGGCGGACATCACGTTGTCTCGTCGCCTGTTCTTGATCAAAAACATCCTGTCTGTGTGTAGTGCTCCGATGGAGATTCTGATCAGTGTGCTGTACTGGGGTCTTCGTTCGGTAGGTTTGCCAGTCACCGATATGTTAAAGTCAAATCTCATAGCAATCTTCAGATTGACGAGCGCTTGGTAATCCCGGAGTGGGCGTTTATCCCCATGAATGCTGGTACGTTGTCTCTCTTTCAGGATGTACATTCTCCTGATTGATGTATACAGATATCAGTTTCCATGCTGTCCCATCAGTGGTGATGCTGATTGACCTTTTGTTCCTTTCTCCACCGTGGACCATCACCGTCTGGCCCGCTCTCGGGCTGTCCGGAGCGATTGCCTTTGGCTACTGGTTCTGGGTCGAGCTGTGCTTTGAGAACAACGGATGGTGCGTCAGGTTCTTCCATTGAATTTGTTTCATTGACTAACTTGCCTAGGTACCCCTATCCCATCTTTGAGCAGCTGCCCACCCCCGGCCGCATTGGCCTTTTCTCCATGAGTGCCATCATGATGGCGCTGAGCACGAGCACGCTCAAGTGGCTGTATGGTCGTGTGAACGGCTTTGGAACGTCTGTCCCGCCGCAGTCTTACTCGGGACATATCAGGAAGGAACGCATTTAGAGGTCCTCCTGTCCTGTGGAAATATTCTGTCGAGGAATTGGCCTCGAGATCGACGCACATCTCTTCTTGGACAAAAGGGTGCGAGATATATGAAAACATATCAGCGTGCTGCATCTTCGCGAGCTTTGCGGGAATATTGCACTTTTATATTTTGTTCAATACACACTCAATTATATATATAGCTGGATAGCAATAGAGAAATCCCTTGTCTCTCAAAATTGTTCACTAAATCGGCGGACGGACCAAACTGCTTACATAACACATTTACATCTTTGCCCCGAACTCAGTCTCGGTCTCGGTCTGCACGCTCTTCTGACTACTCCTTCACCCCAATCCCCCGTCGAGATGCACCTCAGTCCCATCAGCCTTTCTATTCCGTCCAGCATGCTCGGCAGTCGGCTCAACTCCGCCGCGTCGGGCTCGCTCGCCTGCCCTCTCCGGTCGTTGTCCAAGCAGCCCGTACGATCAGCTCACACCATGTCTACACAACTCAGCAGAAAGACAATAATCCGGCCATCTGCATGCTCTGCCCTGCAGCTGGTCTCCCAGCCGTGCCCCCGTACCACTCCATCCCCCGTCGCCCGACACGTTGGCCTTCGTGCGCAATCGACTTCCGCCCCGGCAACCGAACAAGTGAAGCTGGACTGGGACTCGTTCTTCAAGCTCCGGGCATCTCGCCGTCGATACTCGCTGGCTTCATCAATTGCAACCTCCCTCGCCAGCACCGCAATCGGCGTTCAGGTGCTGTCTGCACAAGACCTGGAATCTCTCGGCGCCCAGGTGATGGGCCTGGACCCCTTCGTCGTCCTGGGTCTGGCGACAGCAGCATGCGGTGCTGTGGGGTGGTTGGCTGGTCCATTTGTCGGCAATGCAGCCTGGGGGCTGGTGTACCGACGGTACAAGCCATCTGTTGCGGTGGTGAGTTGACTGGCCTTGACACCCAATACCCGCGTGAGAGAGCGCATCTAACAGCGAATCTTTTCTGCGCACAGAAAGAAAAGGAGTTTTTCGACCGCATCCGCCGGTATCGCGTGGATCCCTCGACCAACTCGATCGCCAACCCCGTGCCCGACTACTACGGCGAGAAGATCGGCAGCGTGCAAGGATACCGGCAGTGGCTCAAGGACCAGCGGGCATACAACCGGAAGCGTCGTAACTTCATTAAGTGATCGGTTTTTGCTTTCTGGTGTATATTGTGATACTGCCGAAGTTTTGTGGGTAGCTAGCAGTCCTAACCAAACTGGTACTTTTTCCTTTCGTTCGGATGGTGTTTTTTTATTTGAGTCATTGTCATTAGCGGTGCAAATTGTCTTGAGGCATTGCAATCTATCGATAATCTAAATCTGTGTTAGGCTGTAGCACGCCACAAAATATGTCTGGCGAGTTGGATAACTGTGGTAGCAAGTAATGCAAAGAATATATATCTAGGCTCTAACTCTCATGGTTTCCAGGAATAACGGCAATTGATTTCATATTTAACTCAAGTACAATTCAAAGTGCCGCAGATTCGAGGTTCGTATATTGAGAGGCTTGTTTGAGGAAGTAACCGCCCATGTCTAAATCTTCGCTTTAGGATTCCGTCCAGTATCAACATCAGTCCACCAAGGAAAGGTGGGTGGCGGGTTGTCGTCCAAGTTCGCGCGGAAGTTGGGCTTGCGTTTCTCAAAAAATGATGCCACGCCTTCCTTCTGGTCACTATGATATAGTCAGTATATGTTTTTTTGATCACCTGGAAAAGGTCACATACGCAGATCCAAATGTGTGGAAGATAACTTTGGATTCCACCAGATGAGCCCCCTCCGCCGACCCAGTGTCGCGCCACAACAGGGCACGATTGAGATACTGTGAAGTCGGGCTAACATTATCGGCAATCTCACTCGCCAGCTCAAGCGCGCGTGGAAGAACCTGCGATGGGTCTGGCAAGATTTCGTTAAAGAGATCCCCGAAGTGTTTGGAGTTTGGCGGGAAGACGCCGCCTGTGCTGACGAGATAGCTGGCGTTGGAATGGCCGATCAGTCGCGGCAGGAAGTATGAAGAGCAGGATTCCATGATGATGCCGCGGCGGCCGAATACGAAGCCGTACTTGCCCTTTTCATATGCGACACTACATTCCGATATAAGTATTTGCCTAAGCAAGGAAAGGAGATCATCAGTGCCCACCGGATGATTGCAGGAAGAGTCATTGTCATGCCGACTCCCACGGCTGAGCCTTGCATGGCAACAATGGTCGGCTTCCGGCATCGGTGAATGGCCAAGGCCACACGACCACCCCTAGTGCAAGAGTTAGACTTGTTTGAGAAAAGATGCAGAAGCAACTTACCCATCACGATGCTCGGTAACATTCGCCTGCCTGCTAAACCCAATATCTAGGTCGGCGCCAGCACAGAACGTCCTCCCGGCGCCGGTCAAGACAATGACCTTGACGCGCTCGTCGACATCGAACATGGGGTAGAGCTTCTCAAAGTCTTGCATCATTTGTCCGGTAAAGGCATTGTTCTTGTCCGGGCGGTTGAGCGTGACGACGACGACAGGTGTCACGCTCGGCGCACCGGCCGGATGGTGCGAGACAGTGACATGGCCTGTAGTAGAGACTTTCTCATACGAGGAAGGGAGCTCAATGGGGCTAGGATCGAAGATCATGGTGAATTGTAGAGTCGGTGCAATGGTTTAGACCCTGGGGGATGCTGACTTTTATCGCATCTCGGTTAGACCATGCTGGACCTTTGAATTGCTGATCATAGATGTCAATCCGAGCCGCAACCTCGGCTGGTCGGTGGAGATGATCGCTAACCCCGCAGTTCTTATTAACTGTTGCTTCTATACAATCTCGAGTTCTAGAATTATTACCAGCGAAAAGGGATTAAATTAAGCAAGATCCCTAATAATAGAGAGCTGATTCACAGAGGTGAAACTTATTTGCAATATAGAAACCAAGAGCCGTTATTAAAGAACGTGAACATAGATCGACGAGGTAGAAATTGTCTGACCAAGTGGATCCTTTGTGAGATCGGGAATCGTCTTACAGAGCTCTTACGGCTCACGTGCGGTCACATGATTGACCCCTTCTGTATTTAATTGTTGCTCCACTAGTCATTTTACAATACAACACTCATTTCGTCTTACAAAGGATCCACTTGGTCAGACACTTATCAAAACAACTCTTTCGCTCTCTTTAACGCCTATAAGGAATCTCTCTCTTCGGATCTCTCTCCTGGTTACTTTTCTGACCCATTGACATACCGTCTATCTCTTCATTTTCTATGGCAATACTTCCTTCTCCGGACGACGGCCCTAGCAAAGTCCGGGCGTATTTGCTTGATCTCCTCATTCAAGAACACGAGGCCCCTCCCGAACTCGCTCAAACCTCTGCCGATAAGTGGGTGTTAGGTCACGGTAGCGACCTACGGCGAACATCTCGTGAGGGATTTAGCCAGCTTTTCGGGCAGTCAGTGGGTCCGTATCTGTACCAAAGCATCAAGAGAGATGTTGAAGCCGAACGGCGGTCGTCCCCTACGTGGAAACGCACCTACTGGACCATGATCACCGTCAGCGTTGCTGCCGTATTCTTCCTGATCCAGGCATATAACTCTCGCTCGCAGGCGCAGACAGTGGATAACTTAGGATACGCGATGGTGGTGTTTGGGCCGACTATGTTCTTCTGTGCGTTTGGATCGCCAAACGAGGATATATTCGGTCTAGCATTTATCGCAGGGCTTTTGGTGTCAGCTGGAGCAGGCTTTTGGTGTGTGTTCAAGCTAATAGGGTGAATGTGTGCTAGGGATGATCTATGGAGAGTAAATACCTTTCTGGAGTTATTTTATACGCAGTTAACTTACTATGCGGTGTACGATCGGTGCGCCCTTATCGACGAACCAGGAATTCATTCCACGGTACCCTGAGCGTAAAGATAAACGCGTTTCGCAGTTTCTGGTAAGATACAACAGCCAAGGCCTCGTCATTGTCATGTGCCCTGAAACGAACGAAGTGAGAGAAAGGGAATTAGTCAACGCGGATGTACGTGCGCGCGAGACGTTGCAAAAGGAGGTGACTTAACTACGTATGGACTGTTTTGCCACGCACATTGCCGATTCGCCCCTTTTGGCCCCGGTACCTGCGTTATTGTTGCTTTCTTCGGACTATATGGTCTTGGCTTTAGGGTTCTAGGGCTATGTCTGCATATTTCCGCAAGTTAACTTGCTGTGATTGCTTCGTGTCCTGCTCCTTGCTCCATCATTTTACTGCGACGCTCCGTTTAATATTACCACTTATGCCCCCATTGGCTTACTTCCTTTAATTGCTTCGTCCGTACACAATCCTCGGTGTAAATGTTCTGCGGTATTAAGTCATTAGTCAAATTATTATGGTCATCGGTAGGGACTCGATAACCACCAGGATAATCTGCTTTGCTTGTTGCTTAGTAAATTCACCCACTTCGCCTGACAGGCGCTATAGCTTGTGCTAGCAGAGTCCAATTCTAACATACTTATCCAAGCTCCACTCTGCCACCGAACGCTCAAAACCTCATTTTGGAAAAACACCAGAATTACATATTATCAAAATTGTAACAGGTAATGCTGAAGAATAGCTCTTGTGTGCATTATAACAAGTTTCAATTAGACTGGAAATATATACATCAGCCATTAAGCATGCAGTAGAATCCTAGATTCTCCTGGCTTTCACAACTTGGATATTCAACCACATACAGCATAATAAGAGATTATTTCTCATTCAAATCACTGTATCTGCTACCTTCATTCGTTATTTGTGTTCGCTTCTCTTGTTGAAAGAGGGCTATGATTAAAGCTCGTTGGAAATAAATCCTTGGTCCGGTGACAGATGGGTAGATCTCTGTTTGTCAATTTCTGCATTGTTCACAACCATGCTTCATGCAATGATGAATGATTGAAATACTTAAGTCGAATTTTTGATTGACCGATTCCAAAAAACGCTTACAGTCGGGGCAAACTGGGCGACATACCATTATCTTGGCTACTTTGAGAGAAATGGATGGTCCTGCATTTCTTAACTTCAAAAGATCAACTTTGTGTTCTCTGTCCAATCGGCGTCGATCACACTCGTCTTTTGGAAGCTCATCAAGATTCAATTCTGCCAAGTCAACATCCTCGCCTATTTCAAAAGGCAAAAAGAGATGTCTGTGGACAAAGAAGGCAAGCAACTGTTTTTCTGCATGGCAAGCATAAAATTGTCCTGGCTGCCCTTAGTCATGTTCATTCGTTGCAAGATCGTAACCAATATACTTACTAAGGCGGCAGACCTCAGGTGTCCATGTTTTCCCGCTGATCTAGATATTCATGTCGGAATCATTCAGGTGTGCCCAGCCGCTCATCGCAGCCACTGGAGGAAGATTATGCCCCCGGTAGAGGACTCCTACTGTCTTTCGTTCATTAGGAATATCAAAGTGAGCGAGCAACGCTAGTTTTTCGGGCCCAGATGATCTCATGAAAGAGAAACCTGCTAAAGAGGCAGGATCACGGCGTGATCTATCTGCATCCCCTGCAAGCAAGCGAAGAATTTCTCGGCGATCCTAGTCTTTTTTATAGATCACTTCCTTATATAAAAAGGCGCGCTGATAGCGATCTTTGGTATTTTCCTTAAGAGGTTTGGCGAAGTCTTCGGGCCGTACGCGCCGTCCGTTCCTCACACATTCCAGCTCCCGGTTAGCTCTGTATTTCAGGAGAACCTTTGTATTCTCTACTCGACCCTATAAAGCCGCTTCCATAAGGGGAACAGACCGTCGCTAGAAGGAAATCGGGATGGGCGTTAAGCTAGAGAGGATCTAAAAATATCGCATTTAGCGTGATATCTAATATAGGGCGACTCGCTTAAGCGTAAAATTATGTTGGTAGATTTTCGAGCGTCAGAGAGATTTACTAGTGAGGGGTATCTCTACTCCGGTGGAGCCAGAATAGTGATGGCATGAATAAAGCGCTTATCTTGCAAATTTAATAGGCCGGGAGTGCCATCATAGGTTGTACGCGAAGTCCTTATGGCGCCAGCCCATTAGTACGTCTCATCGCTTGAATTAGTGGTCTGTTTGATCTTATGATTTAATACCAGTCGACATCCCGACTTGCGGCGAGTATCTTCAATTTAGACGAAGTCAATTTCAAACTATATCAGCAAATCAAGGCATTCGACATTTGCTAGCAAGGTTGATAATCTCTATACCGACTAGGCTTTCAACGTTTACGTACAGTAGCTCCTCTCTAGAGCATGAGAATACACCATATACTAATGATTCAACTGCCTAGTTCCAGACCACTTTTCTACGAGATTATAGACGAAGAACGAGCCGTCCCTTGATTCGGCTATCGAGAGAAAACAGTTTGGCAACTATGACTACCAACTAAAGAAGTACAACTCTGCGTTATCTCAATATCGACAAAGTTTAGCGTAAGCCGAACAACTTCTACATTTTGAATACAACAACCTAACATACGCGCGTGCTAGCTTTTGATTTGTAGTCAAACATACTTCAAACAGTTATAAAGCTAAAAAAATTTGACGGAAACGAACACGATGAGCTTAAAAAAAGGATCATCTCGCATAGAGCTCTTCTCTAGAGACTAGACACGGACGAGATACAGCGCAAGTACATGAAAGCTACATACCGAATTGCTAAGTTCTACTATCATTTACGGGATTAGTATAATGGAATATTGTACGTAGGTTTGGTTTTTGAACACGATCGAGAAAGCAGGAAGGCACAAGAAATACAAGAGGACTACTTGAGAATGGCGGCTAAGATGAAGGACCTAGAATTATTACCAGAGAGTGATATCCTGCTTAGTCGCTGTTACTTCGAGCACACGACCGTATCATACCGGGTAACTTACATACATTGTACACCATACAACAGGTAAGGGTCATGCACCAAATTCAGGGCTTTGAGGCTGACCAATGTAGCCCTCGGCCACGAACCTCCATCCTATTAGATGCGACCACCCTTAGGCCAGAATGCCCGCCGAGAGCCGTGCAACGAACCTCACGTGCTATGCTCCTATGCATAGGGCCCGATGTAATCCGCTGCGGCCTGTCCTTAAGCTTCCATAGGTCCGTTTCGGACGTTATCTCCAACCCAGGACTGACTAGTGTCACTCCGGTTCACCAAGATAGTATAATGCCACCTGACGGTAGAGCAACGCGAATGCGATCACAGCAAGCGTGAACAATATCCACCGCATCGCATCCCTCCAGTCCGATATCAAGTCACGCATGTGCATTGCGCCCAAGATTATCGTGGAGATAGAAGCTGGCCAGAACATGAGGTTCACCCAGAGAGGCGCAGTTTCCCATTTGCGTGTCGTAAGGACGCAGCTCCAGGATCCTATTGCTTGAAGTGCGATGCTGACCCACAAGGCCCGTGTATAATTAGGATAGAGACGTGGAGGGTAGTCGGACGAGTCGGATGAAGTAGATGACGACGACGACATTTTTGGTTATTCGGTTGCCATGTTCTCTTCGAGCTGTGATCAACTGCGATTGCTGTACTATTGTTGCGGAGCAGGCGTAAAGAGGAGTGGTTGTCCGTAGGAAAGGTCGGCAACAGACGAAAATGATTAGATATTGGAATGTCGAAATCGTTGCTTACCAAGCATGTATAGGAACGAAATGGCGCACCAGTTCGACGGCCACGGATCCGAGATTTCCGGGAGGCGCACTGATCCTCCTCGTATGGACATGATATAACGGTCACACTGTCGATCCCCAACAGCTCAAGCATGCATTGGTACGAGGCGCATTTGGTTCTCGTATAGACATAATGTAGCCATTGTCGAATCCCGGCTATTCGGCACCTTATTGGCACACGTTGCAAGTGCGACTATAGTCGCGCATGTCAGCTATCACATGGATGCCGACTGATCCGGTCATCACCAACTCACCACTGCTCCTAATTAGGATAGTAGCAAGACTGGCACGCTCTATTGAGCATTAGGATGAAGGATCGTCACAGCATCCTACGGTTTCCAGTAAGCTCTTAGGGGAGAGCGATGCTCATGAAGCTTGACTAGAAATCCTTCTGTCCTCGTCATGCATCACGGCGACCGACCCGATGGGTGTGGCCCCACTGTGATCGTCCTGGCCGTGTTGACCTACGTGGCGTGTTGGCTTCGTCCCTACTGTTGAACATTGACTATATATACTACACACTGCAGTTGAATCACGCGAGTCTGGCCGCGTTGGCTTCATCCCTGCCGTTAAACATTGACTATGGAGACTACAAGCTGCAGTTGGATCACAAGAGTGTGGCTGGGTTCGCCTGCGCCGTGTTGGCTTCATCCCTGCTGTTGAACATTGACTATGGATACTATACGCTGCAGTTGAATCACACGAGTCTGGCCGCGTTGACCTGCGTGGCGTGTTGGCTTCCTCCCTGCCGTTGAACACGGACTATGGATACTACACACTGCAATTGAATAAGACGACGATCGATGGACAACGACCATCCATGGGCAGTAAGCCCAACACTGTGCCTCGTATGATCCTCCGGTGTGGTTTAGACCGAAGACCGAGGTTTGGCTGTTCCAACTTCGAGCGCGATGGGAGCACACGGTCGGAGGAGTTGATTGATTGAGTGATCGATGGATCGATCGATGTCGATGAATGATTGAATGCTGCTACAAAGGGACAAATCGATGCTGTCTAGATAACACCATGCGGAAAACACAGAAACATATCTCGAGCAGATCTCCGACGACATGAGATTGATCACAATATGATACCCTATGACGATGGTGGACATACGAGATCCACTTCCGCCGACCAGACTGCTTGCTGTCTAAGTCTCCCTGTCCGTCCTTGATCGATCAACTGACTGACGTAGAAGGACAGTAAGCCCTACTGCAGTATGACCTGCCCGATTCGGATGCGGCCGCACGTATGTGATCCTTCGCGCGTGTAGGTAGCATTCGACCCGCACTACACTGTGTCGATCATACTACACTGTGTCGAAAAGAAGATAGCCTTGATAGGCAGGGAAGAAGCGTAGCACTACTACAACCTGAACTCATGCTGTGTGACAAGACATAAATAGACGCTTCCTCTGTCGATCTTTCCAAGTGAATAGCACCACGGCCATCGTTGCATCCTCCACCATGTCTTCTCTCCATCTGCCATCAAGCTTTTTTGATCCCAACCCCAAAAGTCAAGCAATCAGGAACCGGAGGTCCTTCCTGCTCGCCACTTGCTTGATCGGTACAGCTTTGATCTTTACTCTTCTGGTCAATGCTGCTTCCTTTCATCCAGTCGGGTCTGCTATTGCCCTACAGGAGACGACGTCTTTACAAGTGAGGGCTGACTACCCTGTCTCCACATACGTCTATGAACGCGGTTTCTTTTCTTGGTTTATCGGCATTGCCGGATCCGCTGTCGTCGGCGCCGCCATTGCGTTCTCCAGTATTGGACCTACGTGTGTGGCAGGTGGACCGGTTGGCGTTGGTGGTTGTGTGCTCGCCGCCATTGCCTCTGTGCAGCAGTTGCCGCCATTGCGAACTCGCGAGCAGCGACAACTGAGCTGCAAATGAGGAGGCAGATAATGATCTACATGGAGCCCGTTGACAAATCTTCGAAACGAGAGATCGATCCCGTGGAGCAGTTCTTCAGTGAGCTTTATGGTGTTGACAACTATCGCTTCCACGGACGGATCACCGAAGCCGACACATTCAACCGATATCTGGTGGCGCAAAACAATGGCGAACACGTTCCCGTGTTCAACTTCACATCGCCTCAGGGAATCCGTTTCCATCATGCGATGGTTTACAAAGATGACGGCACCATCTTCCATCGCTTTGGCCTTCCTGCTCCCCCAGCTGCGAGGAGCAGAAGAACCACCATCTACGCTAAATACGCCGACAACGAATATTTCACATCCGGAGGCCTCGACGCACTCGACTCGGGTGGTCTCAACAACGGCAACGACCAATACCTCAACACAGGAGACTACAGCAAGATGCAGACCGAGCTTCATTGTGCGGACTCAAGCCTCACGAGCTTGGGCGAGTTCGGTGTCCAGGTCTACGATGCTACCACGCAAGAGACGATCGGATTCGCGACCATTGCCCCTGTCTAAGCCGATGGAGACACTGTCCTTTTCACCGGCGCAAAGTACTCGCCTCCACTTACACGGGGAGACAACTACGCCCATCAAACGTCGTCGGATTAGAATAGACGCTACGAAGACCAGGAAAGGGCCGATGTCAGCCGGTTTGTTTACTCCGTCCACGTGCTCGACGTTGAGCGTCTTTGCACTCACTGGCGTGAACTATCGTGCTTAGTATGCGCTTGATCAGTCGGTTTGGTGCGCGATTAACGCGGCCCCTTTTTGAAGCAAAAGCTCGACCATTTCAGGGAAAGCTTCACAAGCAGTAAGATGCAGGGCTATTCTACCAGTAGTCTGGATATTTTTCTCAATCGCGGAGCCACACTCATCCTCGTCAGACGAGTTAAGGGGTCCTATTTCGAATGTTTGGGAACCGTAGAGGAAGATATTTGATTCTATGGTGGTCTCAAGATACTTTTGCACATTTTGAACCCGCCCATGAACCATATCATCCTCTGCTACCTCAATCCTTTTCTTGAACCTAGGAATTTGAAAGAGTTGTTCATCCCTATGCGTGGTCTCCGTTGCCTCTGACCATTTATGACGGCTCTCTATTTCCAGCATGAAAGAAGTCTCCTCGAGAGAGTCTTCTGGACCGGGGAAGAATTCGCTCGGATCTGCCCCACCAGCTATGAAAAGAGCCCTTTGTTTGTCAATTTCATATCCAACATTATTCATTCCTGAAATGACTAGAAATTTCACTCTGTAATCACGCGCATATCCAGTGTCGCAATGAGAAAGGCGAAACTGTGCGCACGCGTAGGTGCCGCAAAAGCCATGCCGATGGATTTCCTCACAGTACGGACATAGCACGTACATGGAAGATGCATTCCACCAGACAACATTAGCTTCAAGCTCTTCACCGCCACTCATTTTCAAGATATAAGGCTGTGATTTGGAGGATGGGGAGTTCGGGGAATGTGGAATGAGGGGGAGCGAGGTTGCTTATTACATTCGATTACAGTATGTTTCATGGACCTTATTCACGTGATCTCTCAAATCTCGCTCCCTTCCATTGATCATCCATGCGTGTCAAATATACCTAGCAATATTTTTTAACCCCTGCTTTTTATCGTTTCAGGGCCGATGCGCGCGCCGCGCGCGTCTTCTAGTGCCCTGAAACGAACGAAGTGAGAGAAAGGGTTTTAATCAACACGGATGTACGTGTGCGCGAGACGTGTGCAAAAAGAGGTGGCTTAACTACGTATTGGCTGTTTTGCCACGCCCGTTGCTCATTCGCCCTATTTCGCCCTTGTTCCTGCATTATTCTAGCCTTCTTCAGATTAGATGGTCTTGTCTTTAGGGTTCTAGGGCTTCGTCTGCATCTTTCTGCACGTTATTCTCTTATGATTGCTTCGTGTCCTGCTCCTTGCCCATCGTTTTACTGCAACGCTCTGTTTTGTATTGCCACTGATGTCTCCTGCCGCTTATGTCTCTCTAGGCTTTACCCCTCCACACTGCCTCGTGTCACTGTTCCGCGATGTTATCTATTCGGGCTTGTAGTGATTGTGGCCGGCAAGTACGTCTGTCTATAACTGTCCATCCACCGCGGTGCCCCGCTTGTCGACTAGCATGTTTGCCTCCTACGCTCAAAACACGCCCCTGCGTGCGCTGTCATGTTCCAATCACTACTCACTCTTCTAGTATTCGCTATGCGCTTACCTTCACACTCAATTAACCCAACGCTCTCTTCTCCCACTCAAGCCCCTCCCTCACATAACCTCAACTTCACAAAGGTGGTACTATCCACCTTATTTCTCTGCCCCTTTAGACCCTCCAGCTTCAGCCTTAACAATCTCCTCTCGCAAATTCTCCTCCTCGGTCAACTCTCTCACCTCCCAAACACAGCACTGAATCACCTCCCTCGAGAATACGACAACCTCGGATTTCTTGATCGCCTTCGTAAATGCCCTTTTCACCCTCGGGTCGTACGACCCATCTTGCGGTGGGTAGATGTCACCACCCCGTCTATCGGAGCTAGGCTCGTAGGGCGGGACGTAAGCGGACCAGTAGACGCGCGTTTGACCGAAGCGGCCGAAGTAGAGGTCGGGATTTTGTGTTAGGGTCGTGAATAAGTGGCCCATTTTTAGCGTTTCTTCTTGGTTGGTCTTGAGGGTTTTTGGGGGGGCCTGTTTCTGTCAGTTTTGTGTTTCCTTTCTTTCGTTTTTCTCTTTTGATGATGATGAGATGGGTGGGGGGGAGGAGGATAGAGGGACGAACCGTATAACATTTATACGAGTCCCCGCCCATCGCATGGTGCATTTTGAAAATGGTGACGCCTCCGTATACGGGCGGCTGGCGGAGGAGCATCTTTCGCCAGCTGGCTTCTTTTCTCTTGTAGGCAGATTTCTTTTGAGGGGATGAGAGCATTTCGAGGGGTTTGAAGGAGAAGGGGTTCTCCTTCTCTTGCTCTTTCCCTTCATATTCAGTTTCAGTTGCCTTTTCCTCGTTGTCGTGGATAAGGGGGTATTCATAGACTGATGGGAAGAAGGGTCGGAAGGCTTGTACTAAGAGCGGATTGTAGATGGGGCGTGTGTATGAGGATTCGTATTCGTTTATGCTTCCTTGGTCTAGTTTTGTGTCTTTTTTTAAGGGTGATGGAAGGATAGAGTTCCAGATTGATTTTGCGTGCCATTTGCCCTTTTCAGGTTTTGGGGTGAATGGTTGGAAGAACAGCGCTTGTTGGATTACGGGCGATCTCTGGATTAGGACTGTCCAGGTTTGGCATACCCGCTGGGCCGAGACGAGGAGTGTGCGGTTGTCTAGGTGAAGGAGGATGATCTGGAGGAGTTCAGGGGTGGTGAGGACCTTGGTTTGGGGTTGCTCTTGCTCTTGCATTTTGGTCTCTTATATTACTCGTGAGTATTCTTTGGTCTTGTGGTTGTTGGATTGAATAAGTCGATGAGCCTGCGGTGGGTTGATTGAATGGAGTAGCGGGTGGTACTGATAAGGAACACATGAATACACGTGGCCGCAGCCAGTGTGATTTCCCGCGTAATCGCCCCGCCCCGTTACGGTCAGCTTTTACATGTTCTGTCGCCTTACATTGCCTGACACTTCAACAAAATAGATAATGATTCAATATTTAATATAGTTAAAAGGTTTTACGAGCGTGGTTTCACTACCGCTCTTGCCATCCAGATCATTCAGAACAGCCGTTGGACCAGTGGAAATTCAGAATGTGAAGTCATGGGATGGAGGCAACGGCTAGTCGTCTTTGCTAGGAGCCAGGTATTATTACTCATCTCACGATTGGTATCTCGATGAGTGCTACATAATCCGAGCTTGATCTTTATGGATTATTAATTTTAGTCATTTGTCCTACCTTATACATTGGTCGTTTGCGATTTGCATGCAATTTTACCAAGGTTCACCAATCCAATTCTTCTCGATTTCTCGCTTTCTTTCCTCTCCTAATTCAACGTTTCAGGGCCGTTGCGTGCGAAGCGCGCGTCTTCCAGAAACATACAACGTCTATTCTGGGATCTACGACTACACCGTATTTGAGTTAGCGTGTTTCAGGTTAGGGTTCGAGAATTAATCCGTGTGAGAATCTTGGTATATCTGATTTCGAATATCGCTGTACAAGCTGATACACTTTGGGGATGACAAGACACATTCATGTGTTCACTTGTACGGTTGTCCTGACAAGCCCGCAATAGCGTCCATTCTTAAGTGCGGATCTTCTGTGGGTCCGAAGTTAGACCAAATATGAGTCAGCTTATCACGTGCCCCGATGTCCTGTTGGTTGTATGTGTGTTTTCATTCCAGGGAGCCTTGCAGGCAGCCCTGCTGAGACTATAACCTGACGAAGTGCGGTCGTACCCGGTATCACGTGATCTCCGTGAAGAGAGTGCTTCAACATGTCCCCTTCCTGCCGTTCTCACGAGTCAAACTAAATGAGATTAGAACGATGGTACTATACAGCGATAATCGAAATCACATATACCACCACACTCTCTTGCATCGATTCTCAACCCCTAATGAGAAACAAGCTAATCTAAATATGGTTTGGTCGTAGATCCTTTTGTCAGGGTAAAACTCCACCTGGAAATTTACAATGTGATCCAGCTGGCGCTTACTCAGCTAACCGCCACTGTCTAGTATGGAAACTCGGGGCGTTGAATGACCGCGGTGAGCTGACCAAGGTCGGCCGGCAGATGGCAGAGTTCCCGACAGATCCAATGCTGGCCAAGGCGATCCTCGGGGCAGACAAGTACGGCTGCGTGGAAGAGGTCCTGTCGATCGTGTCGATGCTGGGAGAGGCTAGCGCGTTGTTCTTCCGGCCCAAGGACAAGAAGATCCACGCAGACAGTTGGCGCCCGATGTGGAATTTACACGTCCCATTTCCGCTCCGACAATTCCCCGCCTGTCTGCCCTATAAATACGGCCAAGATAGATAGACTGAATAGTATCGATTTCATCAATTGCCCAATGACATTATCTGGTAGAATTACTAGTGGATACGCTCATCAGACTTTCCAACACCTTTGCTTTCGGGGATAGCCTTGTATGTTACATGACAATGGCGAGAGCTTTAATATTTTATTTTACATGAAACTGCGATACGCGGTTACCTCTACGCCCTGGGTGCTATGGAACAAATTCCTGGTTCGTCGTCAAGGCTGCATCGATTGTATACAGTACTACGTATTTACTAGGTAGAAAAGAACTACTATGTATATACTATACTCTATACGTACTCACTGGTACTAAATTCCTGCCTGGCAAAGAACAACATAATCGCCCCAACCGACAGGAAAAACCCTGCTGTACCCGCTAGTATCCCAATCTCATCGTTCGGCGATCCATATGAACAGAAGAGCATGGCCGGCCCAAACACCACCATCGCATACCTCAGGTTATCCATTGTCTGCGCCTGCGATCGAGAGAAATACGCCTTAATCAAGAAGAATACGGTAACAACGCTGGCGGTGACCGTGGTCCAGTAGCTGCGTTTCCAAGCGGAGGACGACCACCGTTCGGCCTCCACATCTCTCTTCACGTCTTGGTGCAGATACGGACCCACTAAGTCCCCGAAGAGCTCTCTGAATTGCATCTGGGATCCCTGCCGCAGGTGGCTCCCGCGGCCTAGCACCCACTTATCGGCAGAGGTTTGGGCGAGTTCGGGGGGTGCCTCGTGTTCTTGAATTAGGAGATCAAGCAAATAAGCCCGGACTTTGCTAGGGCCAGCGTCCGGGGAAGGAAGTACAGCCATGAAAATAAGACGGGGAACAAGATATCTCGATACGTCAGAAGACTAATCAGTAGAGATACCCGAAGAGGGAGATTGTTTATTGATGTTATAGAGAGCGAAAGAGATTTTTATTTACAAGTGAGAGAAGGAGCGGGGATGCACGATAGTGTCATGTGACCTGCATCCCTTGTTAGCATGTATGTGTCCCTTCGAAGGAGCTCTGGTGGCAGCCCGTCTAACTAGTTAGACCATAAGCAGACTAAGCGCGGTCGTACTCGAGGTCACGTGGTATTTGTTAGGATAGTTCTCCAACATCATCTCCGACTCACCTCTACAAGGTTCCATGGATCCTTACCGTTTTATAACAATGACCCATTTCTTACCGTTAGACGATACGATTACAAGTGAGCAGGGAATGTTGAGAAATTAACCAAAATTAGATTAGTGTGTTTCAAGGTAGGGCTTGAGAAACAAACCATGTGAGAATTTTCTGATTTCGAATATTGCTGTATCTATGGATACTGTCAAAATCCAAAATACAGAGCGGTTTGCAATAATTTCCACAACGGAATCTGTTCTAGTTGACCGGTGAGATTAGTTCCGAACTCCGCAGTAGTAGCTGCGCTAGATCTCCTCTACGACTAAGCCAGCGTGCCGGAAGTGTCCCTCTGCGCTTTTCCCCCTTGCGCCAACGACGTCAACACATCACTCGAGGAAGTTATCGAATCCTTGATCCGGATTTTCTTCGTAGGATTGCCAATTCCGCCGGATGAAGGCCTTGAGCTCAGTAAAGAACTCCTCAATAGGATTCAATCTGGAGAATATGGAGGCAAATACACTAGCTTTACGCCGGCTTCTGAGCATATCTATTCTATTCGGTCCGAGTAATGAAACGATGCGTTGTCTATGACTAACACGGACTTCGGCTCAGGCCATCTCCCATAGTGTTGCAAAAGCTACTCAATATAATCCTCAAAGACGGACGCGTTAGTAGAGCCTTAGAACACTCGAGACAAAACAATGCTATCTTAGGCATATGCAGGCAGTATCTAATATCGTCGATCACGGTGAAATTTGGACACTTAGACTAGTGGTATGCCTAGTGGGAACTAACCCGTTCGCCTAAAGCCTATCCTTTTATCACATCTAGATTCATCCATATAGACAAGGTGGTAAGACTAAAAGTCTAAGATAAAGTGACGGTATTCGTCCCAAAGATCTAGGTTGCGCTCTTAGGCCTTGACCCGAGTAGTCTTTTTGACTAGCTTTTGGACTTAAGGGCGCGGCTGATGCTCGATTTTGTTGCTTGAATAGCGAATTCGTCCCATAGAAAGATCGCCATCTCTTCGAGGTACAAGGTGGGTTTTTCTAGAAGGTGATCGCACAAAGCCTCGAGCATGACTAGAGTTATGCTACGGGGTCGTCCACCTTTATTAGGCGGTGCTTTGACGCTGCCAAACATCCGTATATTAGAAGAGATTCTTAGGATGGTACTCTTGTTGCAACCAGCAGCCTGTGCCATTTGTGAGATAGATAGTTCCCCACTGTCGATCATGTCACAGATAAGCTCATGCTTTGAAGGAGCTAGGTTTGGGGCCATCTTGGTTCGACCACTCGTGATTGATTGTTAAGATGCCCCTCCCTCGGGAGGCTGTTTTGGAAGTGGGGTATGGAGGTGCCGGATGTATTGAATTTATAAGCGAATACATACTTGAACGTACTATGCAATCTACTGTAAGTAGCAATACACGTCCTACTGACAGGGGTACTCCGGAAGAACCCCCAATATGGACTAGCGTGTCTTGGCGTTGGAGCCTGGAGAATCAATCGAAGAGTGTAGGTGGTTGCACCAGTTTCGGGACGCACTGTATGTTCAAGGACTCTTCACTACGTTGATGCCTGAGCTGCTGAAACATTGTGTATATAAGATCAAGGATATTATTAAGATCTATGGATCTCTCATAACCCGCTTGACATGCGCCAATGCATCTCTAATCAAGTTCTTCATACGTCCATCAGAGCAAGCGGCCTCTGCTCTTCGTAGATCCCGCACCCACCGATCCCATCTCTCGCGTTCAAAACCCTTACTGCCGTCTCTCCTCGTTTCAATGTAGTGTGGAAACACGCGGCCGCTCACGACATTAGCCCACAACCGATCGGCGCCTTGAATAAACCACTGGCAAGCGGCTTCCATTGCTGCCGTATGAGCCAGTATCTCGGGAGAGTGTTCCAAATCCTCAAGTGCCATTTCGAACACCCAAGTCGCGCGTAGCGAATTGTCCAGTGGATGAAAACAGGGTCTCTCCCCTGGAGACTCATAGCGGACTTCCGCGGCCTGGGTAAGCTTCGCGAGAAACGCATTCAGGTTTACCCATCGCTCACGTTGCTCTGAATCAAAATCGGGATCACAAGGATCTAGAATTTCCCGGTCAGCTGTGAGAACCTAAAGCTAATTTTGATCATACCTTGGTGATCGCCTCCACGCTCATCCCATGCCTCCAGTGAGGTGTACCCAAAAGATGGGAGACCAGTCCAGAGAATATCGTTGTCAGATTTCAGTGGCTCACCCGTAGTAGGGTCTATGGCTCTCTCTTTCTGAAGTTTCGACATGAACTCGACCAGCGTGCCATGCTGACCTGGCTCGAGTCGCTGTGCTAGCTCCACCACCGACAGGGAGAGGTTGTAGTCGACCAATCCGACGCCACCTCGCGCAGTTGGACCATGAACTGCAAGGGCAGCCATTGTCATGTCCTTAATGCGCTGCACAGCATCCTCGACTGTGGCATTGTTCTGGACGACCATGTCAATGACCTTGTACTCTTCATAGCCCTCAATTTGCCTGATAAAGGCACGCCGCCTCTCATGGGCTCCCTCTCTGCGCTTCAGAAAGCCGCGATCTTGCCTGCTCAACTCTTGTATCATTTTTGTACTATTGACGATGTGTGATCACCAACCATAATTGGTTTTAGCCCTGCCCCGCACACACAAATTTAGATCGGCGGCTTACGTTGACTAGGGGGCAGAACTGTTTATTATCCATACTGAGAGCTAGTTACGCACGAGTTACAGTAGCTAGTAGTTCATCATTCTGAGCGGCCTCTCAATAATGTAAAAGGTTGGTGTACTATGCGTAGTAAACAGCCAGAATATACGAGCTATTCCAGATCAAAGCAACATTAATTGCCAAACATCTCGAATTAGGAGCTTCCAAAAAAGCTTCCTTTGCCTGAGGAATCAGTAACGTAGCAGAGAGTACAATAATAACCAACGTAATCGGTAAGCTAGTCGCCCTTGTAAGCGACCGCCCACCTAACTAACCAAACACTACTATATTGAATCGATTTATTAGACCACCAACGTCAATAATTTCAATTTTCTACCTATCAGACCTATTAGAGCAATGTGTTCTTTTATGCCCAACTTGATTACAGTTGCTGCATCGTGGAGGGGCGCGTCTGATTGGCTGCGAAGCTGGTTCCGCGGAAGGGAGATTCGTAGCTTCCATAGCCTCCATACCCTCCTGAGTCGAAAATCCCTCTGATTGAGTAATGTACTCTTCTATCTCATCTGCAGCGCGCAAATCGCGATTTTTCTTCGCAAAAACTTGAATTTCCTTCGCAAGCATTCGACTCTCCTTCGCAAGAATTGCTGCATTATGCATCATAAGTTGGCACCCTTTGACAAGCTGATTTAGGATTCTCTCATTAGGGTCAGATCGTCTTCGTGATTGACGACTAAGCGTATATTTGATCGATGAAGCATGTTGGATCAATTGTTTAGGATTTGTTGGCGTTTGGACGCTGCATGCGCTTGATCGACCAGGTGTAGAGGCAAGTGTCCGAAGTTGACTATCGAGCTTTGAAATGACCCTACTAGGTTCGTGTGGGACTAGACCAGCTTCAGCGAAAGCATCGTGGATCGTCTCTGGTTGAAAGGCATCTGCGCGGGCTTGTAGGAATGCTTCGAGGAAGTCAAGCTTGTCGATGTGGTTGATCCCCAATCCTGCTTTGCGCCGGATCAAGTCTCCATATGCGCGCTTTAGGGGAGCAAAGCAGCCTACATCTAAAAGCTGTAATAGATGTGACGAATGCCGAGGCATGCGAATTGGGATAATGTCGTTTTCGGAGCACAATCGCTCAAAACTGGGGGTCAAATGACTACCATGGCCATCAAGAACTAGTAGTCGAAATTTACCCCTTGTGCGACTAGTAGTCAGAGGGATAAATTGCTTTTCTAGCCAGCGAAGCCCAATCTCGTCCGTAGTGCAGCCATTATCGCTGATTTCGATTCTCCAATCGTCAGGTAGGTCATCGTACCAAGCAGAGTAGTGGTGGGTTTTCTCTTTGAAGATTATCGTTGGTTGGAGCACGAAGCCTGTCGAATTCACGCATTCAATCGATGTGACCCATTCGCAATTTCCTGGCTGCAAAATCGATCTCCGACCGCAGTATTCGGTTCTTGTAATCACTTCGGCTTTAGATGTGAGGCCTAAAGCAAAGCCGGTTTCGTCAAAACTGTAGATATCCTCAGGTTGGATGCCGTTCCGGTCGATTGTGCCTCGTACTAGCTCAAGCCAAGGAGTGCTAACTCGTGGATGTACGCGTAAAGCGCTTAGGGAGTTGTACCGAGGAGAATCCTGGGGTCTGAGCTCCGGATAGCGCTCCTTTAATAGAATATCGGCCATCTCCCTCATCATTGATGGCGTAGGGGTAGATCCACGTGAATCCATAGAAATAATCCATTGTCGGAGCGATTCCTCTTCTTCGGCGGTCAATTTATGACTATCGGCGCGAGTTTCAGGTTGATTTGTCTTGCCATGTAATCGATTGCGCAATGACGTGCATGGTACGCCAAATACACGCGCGGCTTCTCGAACAGAGGAAATTTCGCCATTCTGGTATGCTCCAATTGCGAGCTGGATCCTACCCTCCCGCTGAGTAGAATTTTGGGAGATTTGGCCGCGAATAGGGGGCATGGTGGGTAGTTGAAATGATGAAGTTGACGCGTTGGGTGGGCCACGCGCTTGTGGATTAGGTTAACCCCTGGGTCCCGTTATTCGCTGGCGTCAGTGGAAGACGGTCGCATTACATTGCACCAAGCAAGATGGCACCGAACCTGAAACACTCACCACTCGAGCTTATTCATCATATGATTCAGAGCAACTCACTAACGACGACTCAGATAGCCTCCGCCGCTGATTGTAGCAGGCAGTCAATAGTACACATTTGCTCCAACCTACAAGCGTTCGGAAACGTTAAAGCCCCCCGTAACGGCGTCAGACGCCCACGGAGTATTAAGCCGTCCATGCTGGAAGCTCTCTGCGAACATTTAAAAAGAAAGCCGACTTTATATCAAGACGAGATGGCTCTCTTTATCTGAGACGAGTTTGGAAAGCATGTGACGATTCAGAGTATCAGCAGAGCGCTTGCTTCAGCGGGTTGGTCCGAAAAAGCAGCTCGACAAATTGCGAACGAGCAAAACGCAGATTTGCAGGACTACTATCTTCACAAACTGTCTGCTTTTCGGTCCTACCAGTTGATCTTCGTGGACTAGTCAGGCTGTGATAAAAGGGCTGGGTTTCGACGGACAGGGTGGTCCCCTCTCGGTGTGACCCCGGTCCAAATCTCCAAGTTCCACCGAGACAAACGCTACCAGCTACTATCTGCGTATGCTCAAGATGGAATTGCCTTGCGGCGAATATTTCAAGGCTCTACCGTCGCCAATATTTTCGAGAATTTCATCGAACAGCTTCTTCAATACTGCAACAGATGGCCTGAACCAAAGTCTGTTCTCATCATGAACAACGCATCTTTTCACCGTACCGACAAGATCCAGCAAATGTGCTTAGATCGCGGCGTCAGGTTGATCTATCTTCCGCCTTATTCACCGGATTTGAACCCGATCGAGGAGTTCTTCTCCGAGCTCAAGCAGTACATCAAGCGAAAGTGGAATGAGTATGAAGTAAATCCAAGCCAGGGTTTCGATAGTTTTCTTGAGTGGTGTGTTGACGTGATTTGTTCAAGGGTATCTAGCGCGGAGGGTCATTTCCGAAATGCAGGTCTGATGATCGAAGAACCCTAGTCTTTGTGCCAAATACAGTAATTCCGGAAATTGGTGTCACCACCACTCTTTCACTGTTCTCATGGTGCCAAAATGGTGCTGAGTCATCCCGCGAGCTGCGCGGGTGACTTGATTAAGCTCATTTGACAAGCTCATGACCACGTTTATGTCATGGCCTTGCTGACAGTCACGGGTAAATTTTTGGTAATGATACACTTTCCGCAAGCGGTTTTCTTTGGCTTTCAAACTGTGGTCAACTGGCCCAAAGCATGGAACGGCTGCCATCTTTGGGTGATCTCATGCCAAAGATGATTGATGAGTGCTCAACTGACCATGTGTTCCAACCTACCTGTCCCATGCATACAAAATTACATTATCCTTTACGCGCGTCTACCTAAAGCCAATCAAAGCCATAAAGCATGATCTAGAGCGGTCTTAGACCTTTAGTGTTAAGCTAGTGATGTCTAGATTATTGTCTTCTTCACTAATAGACTCGGTTGACCCGTCATTCCACTGGCCATCTGACCATCCAGGAAGATTCATACCCCGCCAATCTGAGTAGAGTGGTTTTATATTATTGACAATGACAAAATCGAAACCAATCAAAGGCTAAGATGTTAAGATTGAAACCCACTAAGCTCTTTACGTCAGTCCGCTAAAATGTGTCTATATTAGCTCGTCTTCGATAATGGGATGATCCCTCCTTACTCTCTATTACAGAATCTGCGGTCCGCTAATTTATGTTTGTCTCACACAATCATGTGCAAAATATCGGCAGTCGAGAGAGCTGCCGCCCTTTCACATATGGCAGCATGCTTCTTGGCTTCTGGGATAGTCTCATTGTTCCCTGTATTATGGGCATATCCGCTCATACTACCAACCACGTACAGCTTGAAAACGACTCAGCAGATTGTCAACTTCTTGGTTCCAATTGTCGCAATCGGGCTCGGTTCGATCTACCGTTTATCGCTGGGGTAAGCCAATTACTATCAAATACAAGATTAAACATCTAACAGAGTTTCCCCTTAAGCTTCACGAATGAGAGAGAATGCGTCACAGCGCTGAACGTATCCAAACTCGGCTTTGTACAATTGGAAACACATACAGCAACTGCAAAGCAGTCCTTACTTAAACTCTCCCAACTTGCTGCTCGTTTTCGCTCATTTCGGTGTTCTGCCTTGTTCTATATCGCGGCCTTCGTAACGTATACCACCATAACCTGGATTTTGTCAACGATTTTCGTTGTTGACGTGGTGACAGTGGGGAGAGACTTGAGCACATTTGGCAACAACTCCCTGAGTCCAAATCAGTACAGCTTCACCGACATTCGGCTTGGAGTTGGAATCCAAGATGACGACGACGCATGCCTGGCCTCTGTAACAGCGGCGAACTGTACCTACTCGTTAGCCTTGGGGCCTTTAAGTTCACTCCTTATAGCACGAGAGCCCTATCAGATCGCTGGCTTCACATTCCGCGATGGAGACCCCTTCGGTACTCATGGAATCCCTTACGATGCACTTTATCAATTCTGGAACGACCCTGAGTTGTCGCGTTGGGGAGACTTGACTACACAGTATTGTCTGCCCATGCTAGATCCGAATACAGTTTCTTGTAGGCAGGACGTCTCCAATTCACGCGTCAACTATAGATATGTTGGAATCGAAGGCAGCAACGGATTGGAAATTGTTACAGTCGACCCAAATACGACATTTGCTACAGCGTTTCCTCATGCGGCACGCAATAATGGGACAACGGGAACTATGACCGTCGCACAGAGTAATCATAGTGGCCCACCGTATGAGACTGTTATTAGCGGAAGCTACGAGTGGGCGGACCTCCTATCGCGACTCAGCTATGGTACAAACTCCACATCAAATATATTCACCACTGTCTGCACTCTAGAGAATAGAGGCAACTGGAGGTGGGTTACGTTGTCTTATTCCGACAACACCTTCACGGCTTCCCTCGACCTAGCCACAGAACTCTGTAGCAATGATCCCTCTGTTGATGGTTACCAGTACAACACAGTTGATCGCGTCGCAGCATACAAGATTTTGCCTTTCGCGATCGAGGGTCCAACCTACTTGTTAAGCTCAACGGACGGATACTCCAAGTTTATTAACCAGGATGACCACGTATATCTCCCTGAAGATGGTGGTAAAACACTCACACAATATTATGCACAACTCAACAACATGACAGAGTTGGAAACGCTTCTAAGCGGCATGTACGCCACAGTGCAAACTATATACACAAGCACTCAGAATGGTACTGCGGCCACGTTTCCTATTCTCAAAGTGACCAGTCCTCATCAGTACCAGGTCACTATCAACTGGACAGTTATATCAGCTCTTTCTGCAGCCGCGGCAACACTCATTTGGATTTTCACCGTTGCTCAAGCTGTCAGGTGGATTGTTGCTATTTTTCATGACAAGAAACTGGGGTGGGCTTTGATGGAGCCCCTGGAGCTTATGGGCTATGCATCACATATCGCCCAAGACTTAAAGTCATTGCAGGTCCACTCTGAAGGAAAGCTTAAGTTGGACAAACTGAAAGGTATTCGCCTGGGACCGGAGGGTGTTTTGAACCTTGATGGGGAAGATGCTGTTGATCTGGATGCTACGCGTAGTGCCAATCAAGGCTCATTGGAATTGACCGCTCTCTGATCGCTCGCATGGGAGGACGGACCTACTTCTCGCTCCAACCCCCCCTTTTCATCCTCTAACGATTGATCTGGTCCAAAAGACTCGGCGCCATTTAGGATCAAAATTCCTGTGCGACATTTCGGGCAGTGGTTGAAGGATTAGAATGTCTACGCTCGACAACGTGGAAGGCGGAAGGCGACAGTATGGAGGGGCGTGGAAGTTGCACGCATCTCATGAACTTTCCCGTAAAATTGAGAAACAAATTCAAGTCAAAACATGTGCCTATTCGTGGTAAAGCGGTGATATATGATTAAACATGATATGATAGTCTAGCGGGGTTGAAAATTGCCAGGTAAACAGGAAATGTGTTTTGTCTTTTACAGTACAATGCCAAGAAACTGGGACTGCTATTGACCATGCCAAGGAAGAATAGCATTTCATTGGTTATTAAATGGTTACACCGGTTTCCGGAAACGCTGTATATAACAAATTACATAGACGCCTAAAAGAACGGGCCTTTATAACCAGTCCTCGTATTAGGCATCCCCTGTTATATACACACGACCATTATAGTTTTCAACCAAAAACGTAATGTCCTTCACAGAACGCCGAGCAATACCCCACTTGACACCGCGCTTCGTGAAATAATCAGGGTCTTTGTCCTCATCAATCTGGGCCAGATCTAACCCATCATCCAGGGCGACATCACACGCCTTTTTTACCTCGGCTTTCATTCCTCATCACCCAGATGCGACTGCTGCCAGGTACTGTATTTTCTCACAGCAACGTCAAGAAAGCCTGGGATGTGGAAGTCAGGAACATCGACAGAAGAAGCAGTGCCATTCTCTGGAAATGGAAGTGCGGGTTATTCGGCTGTCTGCGGAGCTTCTGCTGGAAGAGCATTCGTGATAGAAATGGGAGGGCAGCTTGGCTCGGCGATAGGACGGTTATAAGGCCTTGGCCTATCAAGTCGTTGCCTCTCCGCTCTATATATCTGTTCGCGGATCATATTAGGAACGTCTTCGCGTGATTTTGAAAGCCCACCACTCTGCACGTATTTCCCCAGGCTATCCATGGGATCCTGGTACAGCTTGTAATGCTTCTTTCCATAAAGATCTTGCCAACAATGCGGGCCTAACTCACAAGACCCAGGACAGCGCATTAGAGCATATACCATTTTTGATGGCGGTCGTGGCTCAGGGGGAGTCAGAGACCGGAATGGCAAGGACCTGGATTCGGGGATCACTAGGAAGAGCCGAAGAAGAACCGGAGAGAGATGATGATGGTATTCCTAGATTCCCAGAAGGGAAGGTCTATCTACAACAGCGGTGGGCGCTGACACTTCAGGCACCCACTCACCTTCATCGATAGGCAATCGTGACGTTGGAGTTCATCAACGTGGACTTCGGAGAAAAGGTAGTGCAAACTACACCGACATCATGAAGAAGGAGATATCCGGTGATTTGAATGAGAATATTCCGAACGTGGAAGAAGACAGCCAGAAAATTATAGTTATGGGCGTGTCCTTACCCTCAATCAACGAAGACATACTGATTTTTTAGTTTCTGCAAACAATGAGATTCGAGATAACTTACGGGGCATTGTTCGCGGATTGTTGAGGAGGAATATATCCATGGCTGAACTAGAATTTCAACCAGACTAATCGGGTAAGTAAATTTTGGATTATTCTATCACCTGCACCTGTAGCTCTTCGCCTTCCTCCCATCATCCCTGGTTCCGGTAGGGCGAGGCTAGGTTTCAGAGTGGAGGGATGCTCTGGCTCGAATACAATTTCCCTTACTGTGGTTGATTTCTCTGCCATTACAGTCGTTCTCGAAATCGGCTTGACAACTACACTCTTCGTCACTCTTTTCTGGCCCCACCGCCAAGGCCTTAGCGCAGATCAATCATTGAGCAGGCCGCATCAAATTGATGGACATCATAAAATGGAAATCTATAGTGGGCCTTTGCAAATCATGCGGCAGGGTCGCCTAGCAACTGGTCCCTGGAGGATTTGCTAGGTGCCTCAATTTCCTTCCCAGCCCTTACATTATGCGTTTCCTATGCCAGTCATCGCCCCTAAGAGGTGTTATTTCAGATTGTTGATAGCTTTTCAGGGGCCTGTGGAGAAAGCTATTTTTATACCAACTGACTCCAAAATCGGTATCCATATGTGCTCTGACACTTGTGGGTATTCGGGCAATTATTTTGGTCTATCCCCTCCACCGAGCAGCCAGCGAATGCATGTGCGAATACGCTTTCAATCAATTTGTTGGGCTCATGTTCTAGTGGACTGTTAGACTAGGATGGCGGATACATCTGGCCCCCTTTGGCCCCATAGAAGAAGGATGTAGCGCTCCTGGGATGTACATAGTCAACGGTAGATCTTCGGTAGCATAGCTAGTCCATAGGCTGTCGGGGAGATATCATGAACGCTGTTACCCTATAAATATCCTCAGTAGAATCTCCCTTGGCTGATACCAGATTTCTTTGCAACTTCCACATTATACCATAAATCCAACACCAAATATGCGCTTTGAGCTTCCAATCCTGCTCGGCCTAGCCGCCGCCGCCTCTGCCTCCACATGGACAGTCACTGCCTGGACTGATGCCAATTGTCAAGAAAACCCCTACATCTGGACTGGTGACGATGCTGAATCCATAAATACTGGGAATTGGTACTCTTCAATTGCAGCATCCTATCCTGACGGATGGACTTTCACAGCTTGGACAGGAGCAGGAGAAACTGGCGATGCGTATCAGCCAGCTCCCAACACCTGCCAGATTCCATCCAATGGGGATGCTGTTCTGTCCTTCACTTTGGCCGAGAACTAGATGGTGAGTTAGCTTCTTGCCTGGTCATATAGTTACTCTAGCTAAGTGGGTTGCTGACTTTCACGATAGAGGCGTCCCCGAGGGTGATGGGAGTAGAAGAGGTCACCTTCATACAATCTTATCTGCGTTCTGAATTGTTGCCGTGCGCGTGGGTTTGATTGATTGCTTCCTCTGCGCTCTTTGCTATCGATTTAAATCGGGCTCCTTTAAATATGTTTACGATATTGGTCGATGATCGCCAACGGGCCGATCCAGCCTTTTGAAACAAAGTTCAGGCGTGGCGCAAGAATCACTCGAAAATATATAAGAATATGAACAGTAGTTGGATATTGCTGCGGAGTGCTCAATTACAAGTAGGCCTGCACCTGGTTGAAAGCCTGGGTATTCTTCCCTAGGCTTATTCCTTCCCTGTAGGTTCAAATTGGCAGGGGTCTAACGATGTGATTCAGATGTGATACGGCAGGACCGCTAGACAAGGACTGCTGGCAACACAAATGTTCCAGGCGCAAGTCTTCCTGGTCTGGGTGTTACGAGAAGCACCTAATTCCGAGAAGTCTCTCCATTAGACGCAAGATTAGTGGCGAAGATATACGACCCTCTCTATTGATTTGGAATGGAAGCCTTGGCTGGGGCTGAATTTGCACATACGGCAGCAACCATCACGCCAGAGAGGCGAGAATTTCGTGAGGCTTGAGTAGTTTTATAGTCGGGAGTGGGCCATGACCTCATCGCGGAAAAGCTTTCACCGTACACTGAGAACAGCTATTCCTTACATTCGAGGCTACTAGGAGAATTAGATGAATTGTGCGAATTGTCCAACACCGTGAACTAGGCCCTCCGACAAAGGAAAAAGCACGAACAAACAAAGCATTTGCCATCGGGCCCCGACCCACCACAGAATCTGCAGCTCCACCAACAGCTCTCTCTCCTGTCTCTCCTTCGCCCTCCTTCTCTTCCAACTTCACTTCACCTCCCTCACAACTGACGACTCTCGACACTTACACCAGTGCCTATTTTGTCGCTATATCCCTCGCCTTAACGCGCTTTCGTTCACACCTTCCATCACCGACTTGCCCCTGCGCAGTCAGAATCGGTCGCATCCCTCTCCCCCCACCACAACCCACCATGAGCGGCCGCAACGTATCGCACGGCCGCGGCGGAGCCGGTAAAGACACCCTGAGCATTCCCTACAAGCGCAAACTCTCCCCGCTAACCTCTCCGACGAGCAGGAAATATCTCCCGGCAACAGTCCGCCACCACACCCCGCGACCTCGTCACCCCGACCATCAAGCAAGAGGTCTACACAACCGGTCGCGGCGGCTCAGGCAACATGGTACACAATGACCCCGGGCGGCCGGAGATTGCGCGCGAGAGTCAAGACGTTGAATCGCCGCCGTTGCGCGCGGAGCAGATCCCCCACCACACCGGACGAGGTATGCTATGCGCGAAACTCTGGAGCATGATTGCGTGGCATGATACAAGCAACTGAACTGACCCGATTCTCGGCGACCTAGGCGGCGCGGCGAATGCTTATATCCCTTCTCCTGAAGAGGAGAGGAGACATCGACAGGAGCAGGAGGCAGAGTTGAAGCGGGTGCGCACTGCATCCAAGGATCGCGTCAAGGAGATCGAAAAGGAGCAGAAGGAGCGCAACCAGTCGCCTGCGAGCTGAACAGGGATTTTATTTCTCGGGGTTATGCACGGTTCGATGGGTGTGGCCTTGGCCAATTTCCGTTCGCTGATAGGAACCGATGCGTGCGCAGACAACCTTCCCCAAATTAATGGTGCTGCGGGCAGTGCTTGTGCCTGACGGTTAGTCTGGGTGTGGGAAGCAGTCAATTAAAAAAAAAAGGGGGAGTTCGGGGTCAAGAGGTCTGTCTTATCAGACATTGGAGTCTTTGTCTTATGCTTGCTTTTTTGGCCTGGGTCTTATCTCTAACCCCTGCTATCACGGCGCTCGGGGTGTATCTGGTGTTTTTCTTTCGTTTGAACGTCATGGCTGATAAGACCATGATTTGATCATCCCTAGCTCCTTAGATCTATATTCAAGGCGACGGAATTGTACAATGCAGGACACAAACGACATGGATCACGTAGTCCGGTAGCTCTATAAGCGACCGTGCTGGGTTTCTATTATTGCTATATCTCCTGAAGATGCTGGATTAAATCTCTGGAAGAAAACACCCCGTCGCATCCACCGGCCAATTGATCAGCGGCCTCCAGTCTGGCCCAAGGGCATCGCCAATCTCCCTCAGCACGCGCGTGCCCCATTCGCCCATCCACCACGAGTCCCGCAGGTGATGGAGGATGACCGCATAATGGGCCAGGACCACCAGCGCAAACGGCTGGCGCTGCTCCACCAGATCCACAAATGCAGTGGGGACTTGGGATATCCAGCAAAAGGCAAATGCCTTTGGCTCGGCCCCTTTCATGAGCGTCTCGAGCGAGTCACTCAGGTGGTGAATGGCAGACTCGAAGACCGCAGTCTCGTGCTGGGTTGGTTGCCGGGCTGTTTCGAGCTCGTTCTGGCGCTGCAGTGCCTGTACTACCAGGCGCGACATGTCTGGCATCGTCGGACAGGCTTCAGCGGGTGAAGTTAGCGGTGCGAGGTCACTAGCTGCGACGCGGCTCATTACGGCTTTCATTGCGCCGAGAAGCCACCTCGTCAGTTGGAAGACTTCTATGAATTCGTCTAGGATGCTGGATTGTTCATCGTCTCCTTCGTCATGTGCGGGTTCATCTTCCACATTGTTGATCTGGCAGTATGCAAATGGAAAGATGGTCATGAGGATACACAGTGCATAGACGGCGTTGCATTCTGCCGTGGTGAGGTCGTATAGTTCGGCTAACTGGATTCCCGCGAGGGCTTCGCTATGGTGTTCACGAGCTGTGACAACATACGTCCACTTCTGCTCTGGGCTCGTGCTAGTTGTGGAGAGATGAAGGGCGGATAGGGCCAATAGGCCGTGCCGTAATGGGGCATGCCGGAGTGATAGTCGCGGAATGACGGTTTGCCAAAGTGGTTTGTCGAGGCGGTCCCGCACCACAGAGCGGTAGGTCGTCGTGCACCAATGCATCATTAATTCCAGGTCTTGCAGATGCAAGGCATCTTCCATCTCCGCTGGAAGGCTAGACTGCGTTGGGTCGGAGTCATCATCCTCATCGGATAACCGGAAGCTTGCCTGAGGATCCACTTCGGTCATTGTTGGCGGTAGTGATGGCGAAGACCGACTAGAGGCTGATGATGATACCGACAAGCGCGCCTGAGGTTGAAAGGTCTGCTGCGGTGCATATGAAGTGGTCATATTGCGAGCCTTGCAGCGAGCACATGGCGAGAGCTGCATCGCATCCTGTAGGGGTGGGTGAGATGTCAGAGGTGAAACCACTACAGTGGGCCGACGAGGATGTTTTTGAATCCCATGGCGGTTGGCTTACCATGATGATCCGCGCCTCGTGGTGCAGACTCGCCTGCCGAGGTCGCTTGTTTGGCGGCGACGCCATGAGTGCAACCCGCTGGTCCCGCTGTGGAGAGTAAATGATAGACGAGGGTGGCGGGATTGACTCGCGACGATTGACGGAACGAACGGTGGAGGAGAGGGATTTGGTCCCTTTTTAATGTTGATGGGTGACGAGATGGCCCCCCTAGGCCTTGCCGTGATATAGCCCCATTGCATGGAGAACAACCCAAAGCAGTATGAAGAGAAGGATTTATGGCGGGCGGACGGAATCAGTCGCGTGGCCCAGTTTGATCTGGTGGCGGTGGGTCGTGGGAGCATGTCTTTAGTTACTATGATCGTTTAGGCCTGCAGGCTAAAATTGTTCCCGAAGCGGCAAATGCACTGAGTTTTGACACCATCGTGATGCGCGGTTCTGCCATGACGGCCAAGTGCAACGGCAGCAACTCCCACGAACAAAACCGGGACCAGAAGATCACGAATCCTGCAGCCTCGCAATAAACAAGAATCTTATTTTTTGTTGAGAGGAAACGGTTGCATTTCGCCATGACCACGAGTAAACGACAGAGTACATTGCCCGATCGCGTTTAGGGTCTGGCGATCGTCTTAGTCAGGCGTGGGACGAGCTCTGCTTTTTCCTGTTGGGGCATGGCGTCACGCTCGGACGCTCCACATGGCGCTGGGTTCGAGAAGCATTTTCTGATGAGGGCAAAATAATAGAGACGCGCGGCGCAACCGAGCTCGTCTTTGCCCGGATCAGGTAAACGAACAGCGGAGAAAGGTACATTAACGAGGCCAACTGCCCCTCAACCAACAGAGCGGGTGGAGAGTCTGAGTCGGTTTGTCAGGTTTCATCATTGATCTAGCAGCGAACTCCTACATACTCAACATGGTATATGCACAAGAGAAATGGAGAAGAGGGCAGACTATCAAATCCTCACATTGACGTACGGCACCAACTCAACCTCCCCAACAAGCCCATTCGGCCCCCTTGCCGGCAGCGTACTCGTCTCCTCCAGCAACAGGGGTTTATTTCCTGCATTCCGCAGCTGTCCGAAGATACTACGGAGATAGTTCCACATGGTCGTGGGCACAATGATAGTCACCACATTCTGACCAGACCGAAGATACGGTTCGAGGTTGGCGCGCGGAGCAGCCAGGTCGACAGGTGGCAGACGCTGTCCATTCACCGTGATCCGGGCAGCATGAATGATGGGTGGGAGGACCAAGTATGCACCATCTGCGGCATGCGCAGAGGGAGGCCAGGCGAAGCTGGTTGTGTAGTAGCCAATTCCAGATGCGTTCTGCAAGCCGGCGATCCGGGTCCAGGAGACGAGGGAGCTGAGCTGGTGCGTTGTATTGTACTTGGAGGCGATCACCGACGCGTCACTCATCTGCTGGGGCGCATCCCAGTGCTCAACGGTCAATGTCCATTTGGATAGTGTGATTGACGGTGCAACACCGGTAGCAAGTGTGGTGATCTGGCTACCGTTGGACAAAATTAAAGGCTTGTCATTGGGGCCGCAGGCGACGTGTAGTATAACACCAGTCTCTGGGGAATGGTCGTAGCCGACGACGGTAGACGGGATCTGCGTCGCATGCACCATAGGCGCGACGGTGTCGTTGGAGAAGGCGATCATGACCGTTTGATTGCCCGCTAGACTTAGGGGCAGTACAACCCGGCCGTCGACTCGCTTGTAGTTGAGCGCAGGCTTCATTTCGCCTGTCCAGGGGTTCATGATGAACGGAGCCTTACTGCTAGCGATATCCACCGTCCCGGTGGACGCATTGGTGTCGCCGAAGATAAACGCATGGTCCATGCCTGTCTGGTCATCCTCACGCCATGTCGAGTACCAGGTTCCATTGGTCCGTATGCCAGTCTGGGGCTTCAACCCGAGCGAGCGCAGTTTGGTCGCAACCTGGCCTGACGGAACATTGTAAACATTCCTGGTCTGCTTCAAGGATTGGATGGCTTGCTTGACAGCAGAGGTATCTCTTCCATCTCTGGTCGCGTACACCCCGGGGTCTCCGCCGCTTATAATCACGGTAAGACCAGCACGGGCATACTTCTGGATGTAATGCACGCCTTCCAAGGTAAGATTACTGTTGCTGGTGATTACCATCGCCTTGTACGCAGGGCCGTTCGGTGCCAGTCTTCCATTCTGGACCGTGGCCTCCGGCAGGGCAAAGTTGTCTGGGGATAGGTATGTGTAAGTGTAGCCTAGACAAGGTTTCAGTGCCTGTATGGTTTGTGCCGGGAGTCTCACTTACCCGCGTCGAGCATATCTGTGGAGGTGTACAGCGTTGGAAAATTATAGTTCGTGGCCGACACTTTGTTGTAAATAGCAACATCGGTACGTGGGACCCCAGACTGCTGCAGGAGTTGTACACGCGCTGTATAATTGAGAACATCGCCAAACCCATGATTCCAAGATGGCTGTTTGTCCGAGTACGGCTCAGAGAAAAGATAGCTGAACGCTGTGTAGCCGGGCCAGGTGGTGTCATAGTAATCTCCCGTATACGATTGGCCATGAAGGACAAACTGGTTAACTCCGCCGGAAACAGCGCTGTTGATGGAGAAGAGAAGTTCAGAGTGTGGGAAGTTATACGCCTTGAGCATCTCGGCGCCCATTTCGTTGGAGATGACGCGCTTGCCAGCCAGGTTGGCCGGCCCGGAGAACTGGCGGTAGCCGTCGATATTGTTTGAGAACTGCAGGCTTTCACATTCAGGGGCGTTGACTAAGGGGATATTTGCTTCCATGTCCATGGGGACGTTATACGAGACTTGGGTTGACATTTGCAAATTTAGCTTTGAGTTGAGCCAGTGCGTTAGGTGACGCAGATATTCTCGGTATCCTTCAACCAGGGCACCTCGGAAGTCATCAAGATAGCCCACGCCCTGGTCAGAAGTATCCAGAACACACTGGATCATCCCGGGCTGCGTGGCCTGGATGTCTATGTTGTTGTCGCCGAACATGATCAGTGGCAGGAACGGCTTTAAGTTGTAACCGTACTTGGATTTGAAGAGTTCCGGTAGCGATGGCGTCCACGAGATATTCGCTCGGATTTCCATGCTATCCTCCCAACCTGGCAAGAATCAGCGGAGGACAGATGGAGATATAATATATACCTACCATAATGACCAACATTCATTAACAGCTCTTGCACTCCATCCTTGAGCATATGCTCCTCCCAGAACGTAGTGGTTGTGTGCGCTCCGCGAGCGCTGAAGTGGTCCACAGTATATGAACCGTTGTCGAAGATTGTCTCGGACACATTCGCACTATAATCGAGATTCTTTTCGTGGGTCTGGAATTGGTAGAAGGCAAACAGTCGGTACGGTGATTTCGCTGCTGGCAACTGGAGAGAGACATGGCCGGTAGATGAGACATGCTCCGTCCACTCTTTCAGAGTGCCACTCTTGAGGGTGAGCTGCAGATACCAGGTCTGTGGCTTCCCAAATAAGGTCATGCCGGCAGCAATGCTTATGTTCTTTGACGAAAGCACCTCGGCAGACACCAGTGCTACTAGCTCCCCAGCTCCCCAGCCAGGAATCACGTCTTCGAAGTGGCCATTATGGGGCACGATGACAGAGAACGGCTCCTAAAATAGAAAATATAAACCAACGAATCCCTAGACCATTCAAATACACCTACCAGATCCCATTGAAGCCCCTCATCATTCGGATGAGCAGGGACGCCCTGTCCCTGATTCGGACCCAATGCAAAGTCCATATATAGCCCAGCCTCTTTATGGGCTCGCAAAGCCGCAACAAAGATTTCCCTAAAAGCAGGAGTCCCAAATCCGTACTTTGACCAGTTCGCGCCAGTCGGCTCGCCGTCCAATTGGCCTCCATAGTTATAAAACGGCACGAGCTCCACGCCTCCGGCGCCTATCTCACCGGCAGACTTGATATTCGCCTGCACGATCGAGGCATCGACACCAGCGTCGGGAAGCCAGTAGCGGAAGCGTGGACGGCATAGCGCGGTGGGATTCTCGAATGATCCGCAATTGACCCGGGCGGAGGTTTGGTCGTCTGTGTTGGCTAGCGAGGGCTGTAGGAGGAGCGGGAGAAGGGCTAGGAATTCTAGAAAAGGTTTCCACATGGCTGTAAGGGATCGCAGCGAAAGTATTTACATCAATGTTATCGTTCTACGCCATTGGAAGTGATATAGGGAGACAGGGCTCGGGAATCCCGAGTGCATTATGCTTTCATTCGGGTTGATTCTTCCCGAAACAGGCATTCGGGGACCGTCGCGGGACCACGATCGGTAGGAACAATCTCGGCAGGAGTAACTGCAGGCGCTTGCGATCAATATTGTATGGATAAACATCGATCTCGTGGTCGTATACAGCAGTACAGTACATGTTTTAAGGTCAACTATGAGCTCTGTTCGGGGTGAAGCAGCCCGACGACGCGAAGAAAGGTTTACCCCGCGGGGAACCCGGTCTAGTGTGTTGGGGTTGGCCCACTTTCCGGAAAGGAACAAGGCTGGAAAAGCCGGGATGGAGTTATAATCTCGTTACGAGGGATACGCATTTATATGCTTTCCTCTAGGATTCAGGAAATGGAAGCTGATTAGGAGCATCAATCGTATCAAAATGCAAGACGGCCAGTAGACTGTCCGAGATCAACTGAATGAGATGTGTACGGGTGGTCAGGACTCGGCAAAACAGGGGGGTGATTATAGAAAGATGCCCAAATGCACAATGCAGAGTATGTCATGTCAATCATGAAACGAGTCGATCCAAATGACCGACCGATTTGATGCAATGCCAACAGCGAGTGTCAATCCAAGCACGAAACTTGTCTGGGTATCAAAATGGATAGCCATGAGGGAAGATGGATGGAAGGGAGAAAGATAACGGAGTATATAAATACGGAGGATATAAAAGCGATGGAATGCCCCATGTTAATTCACCGATTCCGGCAGCGGATTAAATCAAAGCCAGGTATTGGCACCCCGCAACGCAGCCAGCGCAAAGTGGCTGCCGAGGGTAGGTCGAGCACGGAACGCGAACGCCTCGCCTGGGGAGTTTGAGCCGCTGGTTTGCACCCAGTATCGGTCACAAAAGGGGGCGGTGTTGAGTCCGTTGGAGATGTAGCTGTGCATATCGCTGATGAACATCTCGCGCGTATCCCCGTCCACCGTAGCGGCTACAAAGCTCTGCCAGTTGGTCTGGCCCCAGCCCACGGATTCATCCAGAGCAACACCGGCCGCGGCGCGCACAGTCGGGTAGTACTCACTGGTGGCATTGAATGCCTCCTTGGGGAAGACGTCGAGATTAAAGAGGAGGTCTGCGTAGTGGTTGAAGACGAGGAACCACTGCGGAGTGCCATACTGGAGCAGGAAGTGAGTTCCCTGGGCATCCGTGCCGAGGTGGTCCGTCCAGATCTTGTCGGCCCAGTCCTTGCCGGTGGCAATGTACTTCTGTTGACCTGTCAGGGCACCGTACGCGGCCAAGCCGACGGCGGCCTTTACGCCCAAATTGGTCTGGTTGGCGAGGGGGCCCAGCGCGTCGTTGAGAGACAGCTGCGCGGCAGGGTAGAGCCCGTTCTCATTCAGGTATGTGGCGTACTTCTCCAGTTGAGCAGCATAGGTGGTCGCCAGATCGGTGTTGCCGGTCGCTTTCTGGTATGCGTAGCTGAGGATGATCACGTTTCCGCTCTCTTCGATGGGCATGGCCTCGCCGCTCGCCAAATGGCCCGTGGCATTGGGGTAGTTTTTACCGATATCGTGCACAGCAAACTGCTTATCGTAGGCATCACTGCCCATATAGTCGAATATGGGGGAGAGGAGCAGCTTGATGTAGTCCGGGCTGAGGATGTAGAAAATGGGGAAGGTTGCGTAGATAACGTCGACGGTATTAATGTTGCCATCGCTGGAGATCTCCTTAATAAAGGCGCGGGTTTGGGAGGTATCCAACGAGTCGTACGGGATGGTCAATTCAATGCCTCCGTAGACCTGGCGCACCGACAGCGCCAAGATGTCGGAGTAGTTGGAGCCATAGGCGGCGTCGCCCGTGTTGTAGATCAGCCTGTCGAACTCAGTTGACTCTAGCTGAGCTAGGGTATAGTCATCGAGGAAGTGTGAGACTGCGTCGGCCGTGTCCGAGAATTCACTGCGATAGTATCCAGTTTGCGTTGCACCCAGGTAGTCGATCGCTTCTTCACGAACGTGGCCGACAGCGAAAGTCACCGTGCGCGTATCGGAGAAGGTGTGTAGGTCGTGGACGAAAGCTACCACGCCGTCCGCGGTCCAATCGGCATGGGTGCCTGTCAGTGTACTGTGGGACACAAAGCGGCCGCGTACCGCGGATGCCGGCCCCGATGCAGTGGAGAGCCGACTGCCGGCCCAGGAGCGGGAGGCGTAGACGGCACTACCCCACAACGCCTGGTCATCTGCGTTTTGCGAAAAAGTGGCCGTGCCCTTCGCGCTAATCTGGAACACTTGGGTGCCGTGCTTGGCAGAGTAGCTCCAACTGCTGTCGGTCGACTGGCCCGTCCAACTACTGTCAATGTCCGAGTAGATCTGCACCGCGGACGAGATACCCTCCTTGACCGTCACAGTTAGGTATGAGAACGGCAGCGATTGGCGGAGGTAATTCTTGGGCGATACGGGCGAAAAGAAATCGAGGGTCAATGTTCGCGCGCCCGCCTCGACCGTGAAGATGGAATGCGTGGACGTGTAGGTGGCCTCGGTGACGGTCGCGGGCTTGACGCCGTCCGGGGCCTCGGGCACGCCGAACAGACTATACACGTCGCCGTTGACGCGCGCAAACAATGACCAGCCCAGGGTATTGCCGGCCCAAAACTGGGCCTGGCTCGAGGGTAGTGATGCGACATCATTGCCCGGGATCCACGCTGTGAGTTGTCGATCAGCACTAGTTGATTGCGACCCCAGGGAAATCCGGGGAGGGAAGGAGGATCAGCGTACCAGACAAGTAGGGGCTTCGCACGGCCAGGGGATACGACGGCGGCTTCAATGGGTCGTAGCTAGTAGCATGGCTCCAGGGCAGTCCAACGGCCAGGACGGCCAACGTCGTGAGAAGCGCCTGCATGTTTGTGTCGCACACCCGGATTTGGAGAAATGTCAACAGGCAGACCACAGGTGATCGTCTACAGGGGAAATAGAATATAGATCCGAGAAAGATCAACAAAGACACCCGCAGGGAGGAAATAGTTCGCGCAGCTGCAGTCCAGACCAGAATTCCATGGCGCGAAGGGGGTGGTCAGGGCTTCAAATACTTGACCGGAGTAATGTCTCTCTTCATCTCTCTCGTGCTTCCTTTCCCCTCCCCCCGCGAGAGTTGGTCAATCACAACATGTCAAGTGCTCCTTGCGCGAGAATAGCCCTAATGCACATCAGATGCGCCGTTCCCGCCGGCTGGACTGTGGAGGAGAGAGGTCCGTGGCTGATTTGCTCCGAGAAAATCATCGTACTACCAACTAGTGGATCATCTTCCCCGTCGCGCTCTCTTTAGTTTAGCACGCCATCTCACCGATTCATGGTGCCCCGACCCCCCGGCGCGGGCAGATCGCGAGCTGGGATGGATCCGACATCCTTCCAATCACGCGCCGCAACAGACGAGAGCCGAGGAGACGGCTCGCGAGCATCACATTGAATGGCGTCATGAGGATTGACAAACTAATTCTTGTAGCCAGTCGGCAGGACTCGGGGTCTCTCTGGCGCAGGGCACGCCTGAAGTGGCTCCAACCTCTACAAACATTTCCTCGGGGAAAAGCTCCGGTGAAAGTGACAGATCGAATAATATTGATAAGAGGATTATAAACACATCCAAGACAAGTGCAAGGGGGAAGACAGTAGTCAATAGTATACGTCGAGAGGGTCACCGCCAGTCTGAACCACAGTTATTGTTCTTGTTCTTGTTCTCCCGCTCAGCAGACACCTCTCTCTCACTCTCGCTCTCTTTCATGACAGTCTTCCACGGGTGCGGGGTAGTCAGTTAGTTGGTCGGATTGATTAATTAGTTCACTAAGTACTCACTAACCACCATCCACACTATCATTCGCGCAATCCTGGCCAGTAACTGGCAAAAGCTGAGGTCATCGGACATCTGGCCAGGCTTGGGTACCAAGTGCGGGCACTGAGTTAGTGACCGACCGCGGCCAGATGACTCGATATTGACTGAGATGAGGTCACTGCAGTCGCTGCAGTCACTGCAGGCTTAGTCTCGCCCTAATCGAGCGACCAACAGGACAAAGAACGACAGTGGTCGCCCTCTGGAGTACCCGGACAAGTGCGACACTGTACATTAGTCGCAAAGCACGCTCCACCGCCGCTTCTCAGGTGACTTGGCTGGCCTCGCGCCATCAACGACTCTTGTCGGTCGCGCTCCAGCTCCCACCCAAGGGGGAGCCCGCCATCCAGCTTCTCTCACATCTTGTACGACGTTGTTTCCTCTGCAGAAGAGCTTGCCAAGCTCTGATAAAGATAATCAGGGGTTCTGCAGATCAGCTGACGAAAGCTGACGACGACTTTGCACTCGTTCACCACTCACGGTGCTCGATGCCACTCTCTCCGCCCAGCACTTACCACACATCTGGAACACTGCATCCTCGTAGCACATGGGGTTCCAGGGGAGCCTGCTGCAAGGGGCCGCTGTGATTTGCAAGGCGCGCGAACCATCCCCTGAAAGTCGGGGCAGGAACGGTTGGGCTGCAGAAAAGCTCGGCCGTCCGCAGCACTCGTGTTCATAGTCGGCGATAGCAGTCACGTTTCGGGTGATGATCTCGGGGAGATTGATAGGCAGATGCACAGGGCCAGCGGCACAAGGGGATGCTCAAGCTGACCGGACCGACCTGTATACAGTGCCATTTGGATCAGGCGTTCAGGATGATGGCTGCATTCTGCCAGGGGTCTGTCGTCCGTACATGGTCCCCCGCCAGGGCAAAACATGGACCGTCTGCCTCTGGTTCCGTTGTCCATCAGGGCCGGACAAGGGGCCTGGGGCGGTCGTGGGGCATCTCGAATGTCGCATGGACCATATAGCGACCGAGCGATCTCAGATGAGTTTCCCAGGATCTGTTCCCATCTGTAGGCCCGAGTAGTGATCGCAGGAGTCCATTATGACTCTGTCCATCGTAGAATGCAGTACAACTGCCGAAGTGCACGGCCCCGAGAATCCGCCGAATGCCGACTTGAGCCTGATTCAACGAATCCCTGGGGGTCGAATAATGTCAACCCGGCGGATGCAGCCGGCAAGGCTCTGGGTGGACGGGTTGCCGCAAACGGCGGGTAGGGCAACGAGTGATAAGAGCCGGATGGAGCGCATCGCGGTTACATCAGGGGATTTCATTCGCAGAGGTAGGTCATCATCAGATCTGACTGCAACCCGACGGAGTGGAATGTTCCTGCGCCGGCTGCACGGATCAAATCAGCCTGACAGTTGCGAATGAAATAGCGAAAGAAAAAGGTTGAAGAAATTGTGAGCAGAAGAGAGAAGGTGACACTGTCAATCTCTTCTGTCCCGAGAACGTCACTTTTCTTCTCTCCCCTCTTCTTCCCTCTTTCCCTCTTCTTCCATCAATCCGAATTCTCTCCTGCGATTCCTTTTCTTCTTTTCTTTTCTTCCCTTTCCTTTCCTTCTTCCCAGTGACATCCACCAACAACCCTTGGTAAGTCCTTAGTGGATCAGCTCAGATCCGTGGGAGCCCGGCGAATCTCCCGCACTTTGACAGCCTCGCCTGGCTGGTTCGCCGTCCGTGCTAATTATGCGACCGATTCAGTGCAGCTCCCATTCCTTCCCCCCATCGTCGCTCACCCTCAACCTCGACCTGTACTCGGCCTCGCGCAACCTTCTCATCGCTTCCCACTGACCGCTTTCTACCGGTCTGTCAATTTCCGCCGATCGCGTCACCCGGCGGTCATCGAGTCTGGCAAGACGGTCGCGACCGCAAAACTCCTTATCTTCGGTTTGGAGTCGATGCTCCAACTGTGACGTGTGAGCTTTCTGCGGGGTCGCATGCCCGCTTTATCGCCCACCTTTGTTAAACGTCACTCCGCTCGAGGTCCACCGCGGCCGAGCATTCTATAAGAGCAGGGATCCGTCCTTACTCTCACCCGAGTCGTCCTCGGTTCCTCGTCATCTCCAACCATGTACGCTGTGGAACAGGAAAGGGCCCATCCGGTGCCGCCGCCGCCGCCGCCTCTCTCAATGGATCGCATCTCTGCCCCGGCGGCTGGCTACCCAACGCCGGGCTCGGCCGGTCTACAGTCGGTCGACCACCTGGCGCCCAGGTCCTATGTTCATGAGGGCCGCATCTGGTCTCTCCAGGTGGTACAGCAGCCCATCCGGGCTCGCATGTGCGGCTTTGGTGATAAGGTGGGTGATGTTGCTGGAGATCAAAGGCGCCTTTGCTAACGCATATTCCAGGATCGGAGACCAATCACGCCGCCACCATGTATCCGGCTGATCGTGCGCGATGCACAAACAGAAAAGGAGATAGATATCAAGTATGGTTTTTCCGCAGTTCCGGGGGCGCAAATTCTAACAATGGAACAGTGAGATCGATACTTCATTCTACGTCCTGACCGTCGATTTGTGGAATGCCGATGGCACCAACGAAGTGAACCTGGTCAAACATTCCGCTACCTCGCCCTCGATCTCGACTGCCATGTCATCCTCGTACCCTCCACCGCCGCAGAGCATGTCTCCCACTTACTCCGCCTACAACAACCCATACGGGCAACCCGTCTATCCGGGGATGAACAACTATTATGGCGGTGCTCAGATGGGATACCAGAACCCTTATGGAGCTTCCCCACAGGCGGGCTACTACCCGAATCAGTACTATCAAGGTGGTGGCCAAATGGCAACGGCCATGTCCCCCGCTGGGGCACAGCCCGTCTCGGGTGGACCAGGCGGCATGTTCACTCGCAACTTGATCGGGAGTCTCAGCGCAAGTGCCTTCCGGCTGACCGACCCAGACAACAAAATTGGTGTATGGTTTATTCTACAGGATCTCAGTGTGCGAACTGAGGGTACATTTCGGTAAGTCGTCTTGAGACGATATATGGCTTGTGACTAACTGATCACTCCATAGTCTGAAGATGAGTTTTGTCAATGTGGGTACACAGTCCACGGAGACCAGCAACGGCACTCCCGTGATCAACCACGGGAGTGCCCCAATTCTAGCCTCGGTCTTCAGCGAGCCCTTCCAGGTCTTCTCGGCCAAGAAGTTCCCTGGTGTCATCGAGAGCACGCAACTAAGCAAATGCTTCGCCCTGCAGGGAATCAAGATCCCGATCCGCAAGGATGGTGTGAAGGGTTCCCGTGGGCGTGGCGGAGACGACGACGACGGCGACGACTACGATTAGTTACCCCGGATTGGACGAGTTCGCCCGAGGCGCAATGATGGATCTGGTGTTTTTTATATTGCTGAAGACGCATCGGTGGACGGCGACGCGGGACCAAAAACTGGAATTCTTGGCTTTTTACGGTGTTCACGGGGCGGGCCTTCGTTCTGGGTCGGTGTTTTTTGGTTGATTGCTACACGGACCGGTGCAGGCAGGATTTTTGACTTCGACTAGGTTGGCTTTTTCCCTTCTTGTCTTTTTGGCTGCTGTTGGCCCATGGCCGTGTCTATTCACACCTGGCGTCCCCTCGACTGCCCGTATATATATTTATTCCTTGGCCGAGAAAATCAAATCTTTTCATCAAATCTTTTCTGGCGACTCTGAGGTGACAAATGGGTAGAAGTAGGCCGAGCCCGTCCGTGTTGTTTGAGTCCTTCTGGAGCACATTTATTAGGGGTTGTCTGTTATCGTCCACTTCTCATACCCTCCCTTCTCAATCTGATGATGGTGGATGGGTGCCGGACTTCCAGTGAATTACAATAGAACACTGCTACACATGAATAAAGTAGTGATAATAGATTTGTATTACGAGACAAGGGATATTATAAAACATCGCGGACTGATCTGAAGTGCTTAGTACAGACACGCTCGCTCCGGTTCTCGATCATGATATCTCACAGCCTAGCCATCACGTTCCCTTTGCCTTGTGACTTTCCATAAGCCGTGCGATGTTCCGACTGGCCCAGTCTGCAATCGCCATGTTGGTGACCATGGGATTCACGCCGCTAGCGCTAGGGAACACGGACGCATCCACCACGTAGAGGCCTTTAGTGCCCCAGACCTGGCAAATCGGATCCACCACGCTCGATTTGGGGGATTTGCCCATGCGACATGTGCCCATCTGGTGGGCGCTGGCGAATAGGCCCCGCTCTAGGTTTAGGGGCGACTTCCGTCGGAGCTGAGCAATCCAGCTCTGTAACGCGGCATCATTAGTGCCTTCGGGGGCTCCTGGAGTCGATGCGTTCGGCCGGATGAAGGGCGGGATGTCGCGGTAGGTCGTATGAAACTCTTTTGCACCCGAGATATACGCGATTTTGGCGGAGGCGATCAGCCCCTCCACTATATGCTTGCGGTCAAAAGCGGAGACGCTATAGTCGACGCGAACACGTCCGTCCGCTGGGTCTGGGTAGACACGTCCGCTATCACGATCTTTGGTAAGCGTGATGAAGCTAGAGCTGTGGTTTATGCGAGCCGCGAATAACTTGTAGTCGAGTCCGTCCCGCCACGGGAATACGGGAATAACCACAGAGGGTATCATCGCTACCGATTCGATCTTCACGCCGTGTCCGCGTCCATCGAGATTTTCAAACTCGTTTACCACGGTCGTTAACGCGGCACCCTCCCACGGACGGGTCTCTTCGTCAAAAATCGCGCCAGCGCCCATGACTACGAAGACATAAGCACTTGTATATAGTATAATAGAGCTGTAAGAAGGGATACTTACCAGGATGGAGATGGAGGTTTCGACCAATCTGGGAGTTCTTTAGGCCGCTTCGCAGTAGCAGCAGCGGGCTCTGCAACGTACCGCATGATACGATTACCTTCTTGGCCTTGATAATTACCTTGCGTCGCACGGCCTCGCCGCTAAGACCAAGGTGCGAATCTCGCGAGGTCCAGGTTCCCTCTACACCCGATGCGACTCGCTTATCATCGTTTTGAAAAAGCACCTTGTCGGCCCGGAAGCCCTCCATAAAGGTCGCCCCGGCCTTCGCAGCGTCCACTAGCCACGATTCAATAGGGCCTTTCTTTCCTGTCGAGTGACAGCCTAGGGTGCAGTAACCACAATAGTGCTCACTATTCCCCGTATTCTGCGGCACGGCCTTAGCGGCATAGCCAAGTTTGCGTGCGCCCTCAAGGATAACCCTATTTTGGTGGTTGTGACAAATATGCTCCGTGTTCACGCCCATACGATCGCAGACGCGATCAAGGCTTTGCTGAAATTCGAACGAGGTAAAGAATGGTAAGCCGCCGTCTGCCCACTCCTGTCGGACATATCCCTGCGTCTGCAAGGCTGCCGACCAATTCACGGTGCCGCCGCCTCCCCACGTTGAGCCTGCTAGAATCACCATAGACGCATCGTCGCTAAGGACAGCGCCTCCAGCTTCAAACATATTCACAAAGCCTTCGTTGGGAGTCATCGGAAAGGCATTGCTAGGGTACGAATAGGACTTCTCAACCACGAGCACGCGATGTCCAGCTTCGGCCAAATTCTTCGCGGCCACGCTACCACCGCAGCCACTGCCTATAACGACAACATCCGTCTCGATCGTCTCCGGCTGGTCTCCTGGTGGGAGCTGTAGAAATTCGTACGCGAAACCCTCGGCGAACTTTCCGTGGACAGGAACGCGCGGGAGACCAAGTACGGGACTCATCGTCGGGCTAGTAATCACCCATGATTTCTTGACGATAGCGCTAAGCGCTCGGTAGATGAGCCGAAGGGGGGGCAAGCGCGATGTGTCCCATCCACGAAAGACCTTTTCACGGACGGCTACCGATTGCTGATGGATAGGTGTAGTAGATCCGGTTAGGATCAATGATCCAGCACAGGTACTATTGATAGTTAATAGGCAGTGATGAAGACGAGTCAAGGTCACATACTTAAGCGCCCTAAGGATCAGCCCAATGCCACGCTTCCCTTCTTCATTCACAAAGTCGCCGAAGATGCGCTCGACGCAGGTACGGAACGCAGGATTCGACGACGCATCCTCGGTCAGGTACTGGGCTGCGAGCTTTGCCGCATCGGGGCCAGGGATCGTAGCCGTCAGCTTTGATACGGCAGCATCCCACTCATCCTGCGAGATGATTCTGTCATTGGACGTATTGGATACAGACGACCCGCGAATAGACGGGATAATCGCGTCAGCCAGAGCATAGAAGGTCGTCCACTGCTGCTCCGAGAAATAAGACGGCGCAGGAACTGGGGGAACAGGAACCTCTAGTGGCGTGTACGTGGACACAGCCTGATCTGCCATGACTTCCAAGGTTCAATGGCAGGGCACAGAGAGAACAAGCGGCAGACATGGGCAAAATTCAAATAAGTAGTAAGGGCGGGCAGGTATGGATCACCTAGGGTAGACACGGCGCGAAGCGCTAGATAGTCGGGGCCTTTACAACGAGCAGCACTTTTCTCTTTTTGGGTCTAGGGCCGACGCGGCGCGAATCGTTATAGAAACCGTGGTCTTGACCGACAGTCGAACTTTCCCCACAAAGTATCAGATGAGATTCCGAGTCGCTGTTGATCGGCTTGTGATTTCCCCCACCAGATGACTTGAGTTCAGCAGCTGGGCAATTCCCACGAAAATCCTGGAGGACCGAGCGGCGCAGGTCAATCTGGGCTAGCAAAGTGGACATCTGTGATCATCGTTGTTGAGATGCGGGTCTTGCACTATCCGCCACTCATAATTGAACCCACGCTGGATCGTCCCTGAGCTCTACGGGGCATGATGTGCATTCCGGGCCGGAGCATTGGTCGGTAAGATCCAGTCGGGGCTGCCACAATTACTGTTTACTGAGTTCGGAGCAATTGATTTAATCGCGCAGTATACGTTACTGGCAATTGTGGAAGGAGAGAGAGCGGGAGCCGTAGGGGAACGAGGGAGAGGTATACCTCTCGGGTTGACTTGAGCCTCAGGCCGACGACAACTCACTAACCTCGGCCCAGTCGTCCTCTAGCACCGACGCGAAGTCAAGCTCTTCTGCTAATACAGCAGGACGGCGCGAGCAACCTTCCTCGTCACCTGATGTTGGGAGCGTGTCGCATCACTGAAATGCAAAGAAGATAGTGGGTTCTCGCCCGGATGTCGGAGCATGTGAACCGGAAGCGGGGCATACAAGGGGGAACGACAGAGAAAATTCGGTCCATCTATAGCCAGTTTTCTACTTGTTCAACATCGTCAAGTCAACTTGTGTCAAACCAATTGGCTTAATTTTCTGCGCTGAACAGCTCGCTTAGCAGCCAATGTGCCCGACGTAACGTGGTTGACAAGATCCTCGACAGCTAGGCAAGCTGGAATTCTAAATAAGGGAATGATCAACCTTAAACCGTAAGGCTCACATACCCCACGACGGCTTTCTTGCCCTTGTTTCGCATTGTTCTTTTCTTGAGGTTCCATGACACAAGGCTGAGCGGCCTGTTCTGCTCGAAGCTGATCCTTTGCTAGTAGAGCAACGTCGTATGTATATCATAGTAATCGCTTCGGCTAGAAGATCCTAATGGTTCGGCAAATCACTTATCCTACCGAGACCAGCGCCTCCATTTTGCCGATGCCAACAAGGGGGCCAGATTTGATCTACCTTCAATATGTCTTAAAATAGCAAGTCAGAGTATAGCAAAGACCTCACATCTCGTATTATCTCCACCTGTCTTGGATGATCTTGGAGTTCAGCTAGCCATGACAGCCACGACAATACGTACGAAAGATCCGAATTGGAGATAAATAGAGGATTCGCTTCAGAAGAAGTTCGAAATCCATCAAACTTCATTGCCATACAGGTTCATTCATCCTCTACGAATTCAATCAAAATGCGTTTCTTCAGCATCTTCGCCGCTACCCTCGTCGCCATTGCCCCCTCTGTCATGGCTGAGGAGGCCGCTGGAAGCTGCCTTCCGAAGTGCTACGTCTATAGTGCACAAGCCGAGAAGCATTGCCCAGCCACCCACCCTGTGAGCAGGCACAGTCCATCAAAGCTGCAAGGGCCATTTGCTAACTTTTTACTTGCAGGCCGTTATCCGCAAGGAAGTTGTATGGTTTCCTTAAGACTAACTTTATATATCGTATTTGCTTTACTGATAACCCATTACATTTTTAGGGCTGCTTCCAGTGCTGCAAAAAATAAGCTCCGCTCTCGCGAGAGGGAGTATGGGGTCTGTGAGGCGTGTATCGGGTTAAGGGGATGACACATGTGTGAATAACACTTGTACAGCGATGACTTTCGCCAATCTTATTGTTCGAGTTGCCTCTATTTATACCCATCTCTTCACTTTCCTCCCTACGTATTTCGTTTCTAAAGATCACATCTAGCAAGCGTAGCATTTAAACGGCCTCGTCCCTCACAAATTTAGGAAAACAATTTCGACAAAGACCGGGATATGAGGAACGATTGAACAGAGCATCAGGGTTCAGTGGTTCAATTCAGATGTGTCCGATTGTGCATCTCAGCTCCTCTTGATGGTTTTAGAAAAAGTTGACTAAATGTGTAAATTTGAGAAGGAAAACCTCCAATTCGTGAAAGGAGACCTACGTGGGAAGGGGTCAGTCGGAGTTGCGGGCGTCTCGCTGCGACTTGAGGGGGCTTCCATACCCAGATGTGGACATCTTTGTTCCTAGGATGCTCTTCGTAACAACTGCAGTGCTAGCTCCAGTCCATCGGGGGTATATCCGACCTATTTCCGCATCAAATACACGATTAGGGCAGGTAAGCCCCACTGACAGGGGGAGCTGCATAGATCCAGGCCCGGGCGATCGGGGCCCCTAGATGCGGGGTGCGAACGCTAATATGTGCGGTCTGCATTGATGGTCGAACTTGATTGAAGGAGCAAAAATAAACTCTAAACTCAACGACTTTCCCGCGGGAAACGCACGAGGCTGCTGTGCCAAATAGGGAAGGTCCCATATCTATTCCTATCGCACTTCGCGAACTGGGCAGGTCACAAGGTGAGGATCGCGCATGACACGACGACTTCTATTATTTGCGATATTGGAGAAAGAATCATACCCCTCACATGCGGGGAGTATCGACGTTGCTAGCTGTCTTGTCCACCATGAGAAAGATAAAAGGAGGCCACTGTGACTAGGTACGCAAGTCCCAGCTTACGCGGAGGCCGAAGTCACGAGTACTCAATCTCATTGTTGTCGTAATCGATTCTATTGCCATTTTTGAAATGTATCTGACGTTTGTCGCCACCGCGACCATCGGCACAGCCTTCCTGCTTTGTCGTATCTCTTGGATACTGCTCTTTACTCCTATCGCGCGAGTCCCAGGCCCCAGGTCGTTTGCTTGGACGAAATGGAGACTGGCATACGAAGACTACAAAGGCACCCGCACGAGGACAATCCATCGCCTACATGAAATATACGGTCCTGTGGTTCGCGTGGGTCCCAATGAAGTCTCGTTCAACACCCTCGCAGCCCTACGCCAAATCTATGGAGCCGGCAGTGTATTTGGCCGTCCCGAATCATTCTACCGAGTGTTCGATGTGTTCGGGCAGCCGCATATGTTCACTTTCTACACTTCGCGGGAGCATGCGGCACGAAAGAAGGTCTTGAGTCAGATGTACGCAAAATCCACGGTCCTGAAGAGTCCAGTGGCAGACTCGATCAGGTCCAAAGTCACGCAGTTCCTGGACCTCATTGAATCAGACCCGCAGACCGCATCGCATCTGACGAAGAGTTTGCACTACTACTCGCTCGACAATATTACCTGGATGGTGTTCGGACCCTATGGGAGGGCCACCGCGGCCCTAACTGGCCGAGTGTCGGACTGCCAAATCCTGAGTGACATCGAACAACCCACGGCGCGAAGATACTCGTGGTTTCAGATTCATCTGCCACAATATACCGGTTGGGCCATGTCATGTGGCTCGCGTCTAAAGTCAATCCTTGGATTAACGGGTCTCCTGCCCGGCGAGAAGCCCATAGCGTACAGCGGGCTTCAGGACTATGCACTGGCGATGTTCAAGATGCATCGACAAGACAGTAATCAGGTTTTAGACAGCAACGCTAGTTTGATTATGAGACTTCTGAATGCTCAAGCCATGACCCACGGAAAAGACTCGATCTCTGATATGGGCATCGCAGCGGAATGTGCCGACCATCTCGACGCAGGGCTCAAGACTACAAGCGACACCTTAATGTTTGCCCTCTGGGCTCTGTCGCTCCCAGACCATCAGCACTACCAACAGCGTCTTGCTGCTGAAGTGGACTCAATGAGGGGCTCACTATTTGACATGGCAGACAATGGGTCAATCACACCACCAGACATGTGCGATCATCTGCCTTTCCTGGATGCTGTGATTAAAGAGACCCTGCGTCTATATGCCCCTATACCAGCATCACAGCCCCGTTCCAGCAGTCAGGATACGATTGTTAACGGTTACGCCATACCCGCTGGAACAGTTGTCAGCTGTCAAGCGTACTCTCTCCACCGAAACGCGGAGGTATTCCCTAACCCATACGCTTTTAATCCAGACCGATGGCTTGGTAGTGAGGCTGAGGTCACCGAAATGAAGCGCTGGTGGTGGCCCTTTTCTAGTGGCGGGAGGATGTGTCTTGGCATGCAGTAAGTATAAGGCTTTTCCTTCTTTCAAGTCGAGAAGTATGATGTCTGACTGTCGATTTGGCCGATAAAGTCTGGCCCTTGCGGAGATGAAGACCTTATTGGCGGCTCTGTATCAGAGGTACTCCACGAGTGTGGGCTCGGAGTTCCAGTCTTCGTCGCCAACAACTACAAGTCGATTCGAGCATGTGTATGATGATTCATTTCCTATTGCAGAGGTATGTTCAAACGCATGGCCGCCTTTTCCCCTGATTATGTCTCAAATTCTCATCTTCAACAGGGCAAAGAATGCTATGTCGAATTCAAAAGACGATAATCTGGGCGAGTTTAGACTTTGTCTCTGTATCTTTCCTGTGTTTCTAGAGACTTGCTACTGCTTCACTCAGAGGACGAAGACATCCATAGTTGACAAGGCCTCAAATAGCAGAACTGCCTTGTAACTTTTTGCTTTATGTGGGCTTCTTTTATCAGGTATATATATTCGAGCTGTACATTATAGGGGAAGAAAGAAATACTAATTGCTAACTATAATTGTAATCGCCAATCCGGTGTCAAATTCACCCACTCTGGTCCTTTTCTTCTAGGAGGGGTTAGCAAACTAGGGATATCTAGAGGATAGTCTAATTGAACCACCTCGATAAGTGCTGTTGTGGTGAGACGGCGCTTTGTGGTTTGTTTGATGGACAGGGAATAATTTTCATCTATCCTCCAAGGTATATATGGTGCGCCAACACCAAAACAGCCAATCCGCTCGTCTTGTATCAGTTAGTCAGTACGTAGTACCGAGGCCTTATCTTGAACAAGGACTGAAGTCCGAATCCCCGATCTTACTCTCTTCCCCGCACATTTCGCTCTTCTATCCGAGGTCATGCTGAACAGAGTAGATCAATAGAAAAGAAGCCTCGCCTTCATCTATGGAATAGTTAACTATCGATATTTCAATAGTCGATCCAGAAATACCACGCAAGTATACTACGATACGAACCGCCATGCCCGGCCTGACCCAGACTTCCGCGACCTTCCAGCATATCACTGTCACAGAGCTGCATCCGACCTTCGGAGCCGAGGTCAGCGGCGTGGACTTTTCGCGCCCGGTGGAGGATGACGTTTTCCAAGAGATTTTGGCAGCAATCAACAAGGTACGTGATGAACCCCTAGATAGCTTCTGAGCGCACCTCATCCTCGTTTAATAGTATGGCGTGTGCGTGTTCCGCAAGACAGGTCTGGACGACGCCCGACATGTCGCCTTCGCAGGACAGTTCGGCGAACTAGACGATGTGAGCCCCTACATGGCGGGAGGGCGCGCACACCGTCTATCAGACGTGCGCCTATTTGACGTGAGCAACGTGGACTTGGACGGGACGATATTCGCACTGGATAACAAGCGTCGGGAGTGGAACAAGGTTAGTGGAATGCTGTAGGCGGTTGGTGATTCAAAACTGAATCGGTTAGGGCAACGGATTGTTCCATGTAGACTCGAGCTTCAACCCTCGACGAGCGGGATACTCGCTTCTGAGAGCGGAAGAGCTTCCCCCAGCGGGGATGGGCGGCGAAACCGAGTTTGCGGACGTGCGAACGGCCTTTGATGAGCTGCCAGCGGAAGAACAGGCCGAGCTGAAAGCACAGAACTACATCGCCGCGCACTCGCTGTGGCACTCCCGCAAAACGGCGGCGCCTGAGACTTTCGCCGACCTCAATCCAGAGGACTACCCGATGAGCCGCCACAGACTGGTGCAGCGACATGAACCCTCTGGGCGCGACACGCTGTACCTGGCAGCGCACATCCATCACATCGAGGGACTCGACAGTGATGAGTCGGCGAATCTATTCAACCGGTTATTCACGCATGCAACACAGCCACGCTATGTGCTGCGCGTGGCGTGGGAGGGTGCAGGTGACCTGGTTCTCTGGGACAACACTAGCGTCATGCACCGGGCGGTCGGCGGCCGGTTTGAAGGCAAGTATAAGCGCGACATGCGGCGAGCGACGGTTCACGATAGCAGCGCAGCGGCGTGGGGGCTGAATGAGCACAGCAATGTTCGTCAGGGGCTTCCGTGAGACAGAGAGTGAGATGTGATGAATATAGTTCGTCGAGAATTAATTATAGCCCATAGTGGATATTCAGGAACAGGAATAGAGAAGTGGATCCGAGACATTTCTTCTGGCTTCGTTTATTTTTGAGCGAAACTTCCGAGACAAGCAGGACGATGATAAGTCAGAATTCCGCCGGAAGGGCAACAACACCGGGGAGGCCGAGAGAACCGGGGAGCCCGAGAGTACCGGTGTGCTTGAACCGTGATGTCAGCATCAGCATGGGATGTGATGGAACTCAGCTCTCTGCCATCGCTGATCACTAATTTGTTGGAGGGACAAACAAGCACTATGTCATCATGGAAGAGTTAAGTTAGTTAACTAACTACATATTCTTTAGCTAGGTAACGTTGTAGTAGGTGTCTCACTTGAACCCTAGAATTAGCGTGGCTAGTAGCCAGAAGAGTGCGCTTGGGGCCTCGTATTCGCTGGGATGTTTCAGTCCCTCCTCCAGTGACCGGCTCGATCGGCGTGGGGAGGGCGGACAGATCCGCACTGAGTGGTTTGGAGAGGGAGGATCGGGTGTCATTCATTGATCGACTGCGCCTTCTACACTACTAGTCCACCCGTACTGTAGAATGTGCGCCCTTTTTTTTTTTTTTTTTTACATTTAACCTTTGCCTCGGCGATGCTATTTATACCACTCTCTCTTTCAAGAAACATATATAAACAGTGCCAGCACTCATCCCCCAGCTACAACAATAACAACAACAACAACAATAATAATAATTTCTCATCCTATCGACACCCGTTTATCATCATGAAGTTCATCATTTCCACCCTCGTCCTGCCCCTGCTGGCGGCCGCAGCGCCGACCCCCAAGGAAGACGCGACAACCAGCCCACCCTTCACCGTCATGGCCCTTCGCTCAGGATCGCCCATCCACTTCCTCACCATGACCGCCTCCGACGAGCACTTCTGGCTCGGCGGCAACACGGCATCCTACTGCCCTTCGGAGGAGGGTATCGTCTGCCCCCCGGGCAAGGAGACTGTGCTTGCTGAGAATGGCAATGCGATGGTATGTCAACCACCTGCCGTACTGAATACAGAGGACTATGTTAACGCGGAACCAAATAGGACGTCGAGGTCCCCGGTGGCCAGCAAGTCTACGTTGGTCCCGCTGGTGCGCTGAGATACACCCAGGCGCACTCGGCCTCCATGCCCAAGGGCTCCACCGTTGGAGGCATGCACTACCAGGCTGGAAAGCCGTATGCCTCCGTGACCTTTGAGGGCCGGGGCGCCAGCGGATTGATGGCCTGCCCGACCAAGAACCACGCGCGCTGGCAGGTGTTTGCGGCCCTCCAGGACGCCAAGGTGCCGACGGGCAATGTGGATGACTGCCTGGGTTTCGACACCGTGGCCGAGACATACAAGGGCAAGGTCCCGGCCTGGCAGTACACGTAATGAATGGTGGTGGTCTGTACAGTAATACCGGCTTTGTGCAAAGTTATTATCCCTGATAGTTAATGATTCAATTCGTATGCACCTCTATATATATTGGAATGTAGGGTATCACTCAGTTGCGCCAGATCCGGATCGCCTTGTCTTTGCCACCGCTGCCGACCTTTTGTCCGTCGGGACTCCAGTCGACGGCGAATACCTCGTCCTTGTGGCCCGGCAGGTCCGTCGACAGCTTCCCCGTGCGCACATCCCACACTTTGAGCGTGGTGTCCTTGGATGAAGAGACCAGAAGCCGCGAATCGGCGGAGAAACAGCACTGGTAGACGGCACCGACGTGGCCGCGGAAGGTGGTGATGAATCTGGCGGCGTTAGTAGAATTTCTAGTGGTCCGAAAAAAATCACTTACTTTCCATCACGCCCGTTCCATAGCTTGACGTGGTTGTCAAACCCGGCAGATGCAATATATGCCATGTCCGGAGAAAACGTGACGTGGTTTACCTCCTTCTGGTGGCCCAGGAGTCGGGCTACGGGCTTGCTCGAGCTCGCCGGGTCCCACAGGTACATGGTGAAGTCGTCGCTGGCAGACACAAGCCGCTCCACGATGACATTGTTGACCGTAGCCGCCTCTTCGAAACGTTTCCGGGCCGCAGCGACTTTTTCCGCCTCGGTGTCGGGAACCTTGCCCGTGTGGTTATGGTAGGCAGTACGAAGCGCAAAATCTGTGGACAGCGCCAAGTGGTTCACACGGTGGGCATGCGCCGAGAGGGTCTGTAACAAAGTACCATCCTTCGGATTCCAGATCTTGATTGTCTTGTCGTGGGATGCCGTATAGAGCTTGCCGGTGCCGCCCCAGCGCACACAGGTGACCGAGCCTTTGTGGCCAGTAAGCACATTTTCGATGCGTTTGGACACTACATCCCACACCCGAACTGTCGAGTCCTTGGATGCCGACGCCAAAAGTGGCCGCCCGGATTCTTGAACGTGGTACGGCTCCCACGCCAAACTTGTAATCCACTTTGCATGGCCCTTGAGCGGCCCACCGAGTGCCTGGCCCTTCTTCGCGTCCCACAATCGTACCGTGTTATCCATGCTGCCGGTCGCGATCAGCGCCCCATTCGGCGAGTATGCCACCGCCAACACCCAGCTGGTGTGCCCCTTGAGGGTGTGCAGCGGGGTCCCCGTGTCACAGTCCCAGACACGGGCAGTCGCATCACCGCTGCCCGACACCATGGTCGAGGAAGAAACTGGGGAAAAAGACGTGGCGAGAATTGCCTCGCCATGCCCGGCTATTGATGCGGCGCAGCGCGAAACGGCTTTGACGCGGAACACAGCTTGTGGGGTGAAGTACAGTGGGATGGTATCTTCGGTCGTCTTCAATCCTGGTTGGAGCAGCGAGTGGTACAGATTGGCGAGGATGTCGATGGTCTGGCCTTCCTTGGTATCGGACTGGTAGGTAAACCGATAGGGCACCCGTTCGTCGTCATCCTGCATTGGTGGGTTAGCAGTGTTCTTCAGTCGCTTTCGACGATACTGACATTGCCTTGTAATGTGTTGAGGAGTGTCTCGAGGTTCTTAATGTTCGCATCGGCCACGGGCACTGAGACGGCGGGCCCGGTGGCATTGCCTGTGGACTGGTCGTAGAATTGGACGCGGACACTGCCCAAGTCGCTGGGAATACTTTGGATCTCTTGTTGCTCGCGGGCCTTTTCGGCCTGAGCGACCTTCTGGCGCTTGCTGGGGGGCGGAAGCACAGTCGCCATGGTTGAGAGGAAGAAAGCGACAAAATTAAATTTGCAGGCTTCACTTTATCACTTATCGTTATCGCGACCCTTTTTGTCATAGCCGGACTTGAAGGTCATAAGAGCAAAAGGAAAAAAGCTGGCCTATGGATGCCCCAATAGTGTAGTGGTTATCACGTGACACTCGTAGTTCTCCTTTCCTGGAAAGGCGCGAGGTATGTTAAGGTCCTTCGTTCAAATCGGAGTTGGGGCACTTCTTTTTTTTTTAATATATTTTTTTATATTCTTGGAGCGTAGAACTTATTCATTCGTATTAAAGAGATTGTCAGTGTGAAGATATTTTGATAACCATAGAGGCAATGGCATCCTTGGTATCCTCCCATCTTCATCCATCTAAAACTCCATCATGTCTTCTCGCGAGTCCTCTTGCGTGGGCTCCTTTGCTCCATTGACCTCCAAGGCAAGCACGAGACGCCTACAGACCGTCCGGCCGACAACCACGGCCACCAGTGTCGCAGCCCAGGACATCATCTGCGCCGTCTCCGAGTCGCGCGGCGTGTCATCTACGGTTGGCCTGGCATTTGTCAATCTGGTCACGGCAGAGGCAGTGCTGTGTCAGATCTGTGACAGCCAGACCTACATCAAGACTGTCACCAAACTCGGCGTGTTCGAGCCCAGTGAGATCCTTTTCATGAACACGGCCAAGGACTCGAAGCTCCGCTATATCGTACAGGAGAACCTGCCCGGTCCGACCTTGACTTTCTTGGATCGTAGATGCTGGTCAGATAAGACGGCTCACGAATACATCAATCACCTGGCCTTTCCCGAGGAGGCGGATTCACTCAAGTTGATACTGGGTGGACATTACTTTGCAGCGTGTTGCTTTGCGGCCGTACAGCCGACCTCGATGCTCTTGATGATGACAAAACTAACGATCGCACAGGTATTGAAGTATGTCGAGTTCGAATTACAGCAGACTTTCGCTTCGCATTCCTTGCGCATCCGGCTCGAGCCGTCACAGGGTTCCATGACCATTGACTTGGCCACGATTGTCTCGCTCGAGTTGATCCAGAACTTGCAGAATGCCAAATCCCGAGATAGTCTCTTCGGCCTGCTGAACGGAGCCCTCACGCCCATGGGCACTCGATTGTTGCGAGCGAACATTCTTCAGCCTTCTACAGAAAGGGTCAAGTTGACAGCCAGACACAATGCCGTCGAGGACTTGTCTACCAAACAAGACATGTTTGTGTCGGTCCGGCAGGCGCTCCGAGGATTTGTAGATGCGGACAAAGTCTTGACCTCTGTACGGGTTCTCTTCTCTGTGCCTGGCTGCTCGATTCCACTGACCATCTAGCTTATCCTGGTTCCCACCAAGCGGACGGCTCAGTATATCGAGCAGTCTGTCAACAATGTCATCATGTTGAAGACGTATGTGTCAGCGATCACAAACGTGTACCGGGCGCTGGCAACGGCGCAAAGCGATCTTCTACTGACTATTCGAGAGGTGAAAGGATGTCTCTATGTAGTTCTGGCTTTTGCTAATGCTCTCCAAGCTGTGCGCCCCTGCAGCCCACCGTTCAGTCGAGCAGCTTATCGAAGAAACTCTCAACGAGCATGTCACCTATCAAACCAAACCCCTGGATCTCCGAAACCAGCGCATATACTGCGTCAAAGCCGGTGTAAACAGTTTTCTAGACGTGGCCAGACAGACATACAAAGAGGCGAACATCGACGCGGCCGAGCTCGTGGCAAAGCTCGCAGGTTTTAAACACATTTACCAATCTTACCTACCTCATAGCTGATCTCTCTTAGATAACTGTGAAATGGTACTGGACCTGAAATACGACACGGCTCGTCAATACTACATCTGCATCCCGGCCGCAGAACCAGAGCCACTACCAAGCGTCTTCATCAACGTCTATCGCAAGCGGAACCGAATCGAATGCCAAACGCTGGATCTGGTCAAATTGAACCAGAAGATTGCCGACGCACACAACGAAGTAATCAACATGAGCGATAGCACCATCCAGGAACTGATCCGAGACGTGTGCTTCGAGGTATCGGGTCTCTTCCGCGTTAGCGAAGCCATTGCCATGCTTGATATGCTTGTGACGTTTGCGCAACTGGCCTCCAGCCACGACTACATCCGCCCAGAGTTGACAGACACGCTGGCCATCAAGGCAGGACGGCATCCAATCCGCGAAGGAATCCGTGCTAACAAATTCATCCCGAACGACGCATACGCAACGCCCCAGACACGCTTCCAGATCATCACGGGCTGCAACATGAGCGGAAAGTCGACCTACATCGGCTCCCTGTCCCTGATGACCGTTATGGCTCAGATAGGCTGTTTTGTCCCGGCACACTACGCCTCCTTCCCAGTGGTTCACCAGCTCTTTGCCCGCGTGGCGACCACAGACGACCTCGACGCCAATGTCTCCACGTTCGCGGCAGAGATGCGCGAGATGGCGTTTATCCTGCGCAACATCGAACCGCGGAGCATGGTGATCATCGACGAACTTGGTCGCGGGACTAGCACGACAGACGGCCTGGCCATCGCAATCGCACTGGCCGAGGCACTCATCTCCAGCAACGCTTTAGTATGGTTTGTTACGCATTTCCAGGAATTACCGCGCATCCTGGCTGAACGCAGCGGTGTCGTCAATTTGCATCTAGCCGCAGAGATTGCTCCCGACGCTTCAAAAATGACCATGCTCTACCGCATCGCAGAGGGCCCCGTCCCAGATCGACGGTATGGTCTTGCTCTCGCTCAGCTCGTGGACTTTCCACCTGGTGTCCTGGATAAGGCGCGAACAGTCTCCGATGCGTTGGATTGCCTCGCCCAGAAACGCAACAGTCCCTCGCGCGCCTTGGCAATTGCCCGCAAACGCAAGCTGCTTCTGTCTCTGCGTGAGCAGCTCCTGCTTGCTCGAGATGGGCCTATGGATGGTGATGAACTCCGCCGTTGGCTGTTAAGGTTGCAGACTGCGTTCGCGCTACGCATGGCTGCTCTTGATGAGGAACTGTCGAGCTCGCATGACGATATTCATGAAAGTGAGGAGGGGCCGAGTTCCCCTATTCAGTACGATGACTCAAGCTCGGTCATCATTGATCAAGTTGATGATGTCCCTGTGCAAGAACGTGTGTCTGTTGAGACGCATAAGTCCATATCTTCTGCAGGAAGCGATTTGATGGAGATTGAAGAGGAAGAAGTTCTTTCCAGTACCGACAGTGAGTGACTCCGCCCTTTCTTTATGAGTTATTGAGTTCTGCCTTTTCTGTCCGTGACTGGGCATATGTGTAAGGCGAGTAAGAGGGTGACCTCGGTGAAGACCCCATACCCTTTAATCTTTACAGACCGCACTACTTTGAATGTATAATAGATGATATCTCACAATGCGCAGTGTATTTTATCTGTAAAGGGTCCACATTACAGTACCAAAAAAATTCAACATGTAAATCATGCACAGCCATGAAATTCCTCGTCTCCATGTCATGTATCATCTATCACAGACTCTTTGCGCCAACATAGGTAGGTAGATTGGTTGGGTATCAGCCGAAATGGAACAATGTCTGCTTCCCCTTCTTATTCTTGCCCTTTTTGCCACCACCAACGCCTGGCCCATCGATCAGGTCGAAATCAGATGGCTGCTCAGATGGCGAGGCAGCGCCCGAGCTCGCACCTGAGCCCCATGCACTCGGGGCAGGTCCGCGGCGGTCATCCCAGCGAACATAGCCGTGGGTCTTACCGGCCATCATGACATTGGGTTTGGGAGCCGCAGGGAGAGAGGGGAAGGCGTCTGCACCAGAGGAGCCAAGGCCCCGATTTGATGCGGTTGGGACGCTGGGGGAGGAACGACTGGTGGTGTTGGCGAGCGATGGGCGCGAGAAGGCGGGAGGAGCGGCAGTGGCCCAGGGGGTGGCGGAGGCGGCATTACTGCGACGAGAAGACCCACCGGTGGTAGCAGAGAGAGGAGGGAATGGGTTCATAGATGAGGAAGCGCCAGAGGAAGGGAGAGCACCACTTCTGCCGCCGGCGGCGCGGGATGACTTGGCGGTAGATGATTTTAAGCGCAGAACACGGCTGCCGCCTGCGCCGCCGCCATTAACGGTACCAGGGGACATGCCAGGCAAGAGGCCACCGGGGCCTGGGAGAGCCGGATAATCTTCATTGATGGCACGCCAGTCGTTCCAGGATTGCAGGAGACTAGTTCGCTTGGACGAGTCCTCGTAGATTTCAGCCAGTTCCTTGATGAGCTTGCCCAGTTCGGCGCTGGTGGTGTCGAAGAGAGAGAAGAAGGCATCGATGAGCTCGGTTGCGGTGATGGAGGAGGTGCGGTAGCTGGAGACTCTGCTACGGAACTCTGCGAGTTTCGTGGCATCGTTGTGCAGGAGGTTCGAGGCTCTCTCGACCACGGCTGTGTGGCGCAGACGCCGCGCCGGGTCTTGTGAGCTGACAGGCCCATTGTTGGCGGCAAGACTGAGGTTCTCGAATTCCTCTGCCGGTGGTGGTGGGGGAGCACGCGAGGATGCAGAAGATTGCACAGGAGTGCCAGCAGCTGATCGTGCCGGGGCGCGAACGGTTTGGGTGTCGTTGCGCGTGAGCTGACCACCAAAGCTCCGTGTGGAAACGGACTGTGCACTCTGGATGGCCATCTGTCGCTGGTAGGCCATCTCGTCGCGTCTCAGTGGCTGCGCGCTGGAAGCTGGAAGAGGCTCCGCGTTCGGATCGCGACCGCGGCCTGCACCACGACGCTGGCGCTGTGGCTGGTATGGGCTGCGGAGATCAAATTCAGCCAGGTCGACGATTCGAGCATCTCGTCGCACGTCCTTGGAGAGACCATCAGGATGCGCCTCCAGTTGGTGGGCCTTGAGATCCATCTGGGACTCGAAAACCACAAACTTTTTCTCCAAGCACTCCTTGTCCAGGCAGAGGAAGTGGTCCTTTTGGAAGTGGCCTTCCAGAGCGTTGTAGTCGATGTAGTACTGCTGCTGGCGATTGGTGGCGTGGCGATCACAGATGTGGCATCGCTCATGTTTGTCTCGGCAGTGGGTGTAGAGCTCATCATCGCCATAGAAACGCTGGTGGCAGAAACCACACTCAGGGTGGCCCTTGAACCCACTTTGGTCTAGGGCACCAGGAACATCATCGCCATGCTTTTCATGCCGGCGCAGCTCTGCCATGGTGAACAGCACGTGCTCGTGGGTAAACACTTTCTTGTTGCGAGTGCAGAGATCACTGTTGTGAAAAGGTGAGAAGGGAAGAACCGAAGGATGGGCAGGAGCTGGGACTTACCACATCACTTTGCCATGTTTATTCTTCACATGTCTATGAAGATCCGGCCAGCCCAGGCAGGCGACATCACAGTCTTCATCTGGACAGTTGTACCGCAGGAGTAGCACTGTGTCCTCAAAGATCTCGTCGTTCTCGTACTCGATGCCGAGGTTGTTGTCTGTCCGGGCAAAGTCCTTCTGTTGGAACTCTTCGTACCGTTTAGTAGCATCATCGGTGAAAATCACAAAATTGGACTCGGTCTGCGCATTGAACAGTTAGAAGAGTGACTATCATGGTGTAGGACTGAAGGCAAACCTACCCGGCAATGAGCACAAGCTTTGTTCTTGTACAGTGCCCGTAGTCTCAGCGCACAGATATGGCAAGTTCGGTGATTGCACGGCGAGACAGAGGTATGTTCGACTCTAGACGCGCAGATAAAGCACACCTCCCCATCATCGGCATCGTCTGTGGCGGGTGTGAACTTCTTCTTTCCTCCTTCAGCTGCAGGTGTAGCTAAGGGTGCATTGGGCGTAGTGGATCCAGTATTCGGAGTCTGCTTGTCACGTCCACCACTGCGTTGGCCTCCCCGGCCACGAGCCTTGGGGCCTCTTGCAGCGTCGGTGGGTTGGCGGTGCGGCTCCCCACGGCCGGAGGAAGCCCCTCCACCGCGCCCGCGACGACGGCCACCGCGGGGCTGGCTGTTTGACTCCGAAACAGGCTGGTTGTCGGCCATTGCAAGTCAAGTTTGAAGCAGCGGGGGCACCAATGTCAAAGAATCACAAGGCGACAGCGTAGTTGAGTGGATGGGAAAAAGTTGGGAGTGCGGGACTTGCTTACTGACCGCCCAGGCCGCCATAGTTAACGTGCACTATCTACAAACAGCTCACATGTTATGCCACCAACTACGACGGACAGGGGGAAAATTGTCCAAATTCAAGGTCTTCGAAAATAGTCCTATTGATCTCAAAATGATCAGTCGTCACTGGAACACTGCACCAACTCCCGCTGGAGAGCAGAAAAAAAAAACACATCAAAAATCAGTACGTAGCAACTATACGGTCCAACGGGAGCAGCACGCGTGCCAGAAGGAGACGGAGTCGGGTAGCTGATGATGTAAAGAAATCGCGCCGGCATCCCCATGCATTGCAAAAAAAAAAAAAAGAAAACCAAAAAGGGGGAAGAACAGGAAATTCGTTAAGAGGCAATTCCAGAAGCGCAGACTATTCGTCCGGGTTGTACAAGTTCTGGTTCAGGATCTTGGTCATGGTGAACATGTGGACCCGGTCCTGTTTGAAGACGGCGCGCATGGCATCGTCACAGCGGATCTGTCGGCGATCGCTGGGGTCCTGCAGGTCGTGGTCACGGATGTACTGCCAGACCTTCTTCACCGTCTGAGGTCGAGACAGCTATTCATAAATTAGCATGCACCGTGAATTCAGTCCAGGAAAACGTACCGTGACCTCGCCAAGCAATGCGGACAGGGGCGGCGAAAGATTGAGCGGTTTCTAGAAGGTGGTCAGTCAGATCTGGGGATACGAACGGGGTATCAAGCTCACATGGAACCCGCCGGTCCGGTTGACCTCCTTCTTGGTGTCCGAGCCCGACTCGATATCGGAATCATCTTCAGCCTTGATCCGTTTCGCAGTCTTGGCCTTGCTCCGCTTCTTAGTGGGAGCTGTCCGTCGTGGGCCACCCCCTCTCGTAGGTCGTGCGCGCAGATTCTCCTCCGCCTGCAGCTTGGCTGCGAACAAGGCGTCCGCGTCGACATCGGGCTTCCGCTTTTTGGTGGGCGGTGCGCCTCTGGTCGGCTCCGACCCTTCGTCGCTATCAGGATCGCGTTTCACCGGTGAGGACGACGGGGGAGGAGAGGGAACCGCAGCCGAGACCGAATCGCCATCTCCGACACCATTGGAGGTGGGAGCTTCCTCGGATGACGCCGCAACGCCATTTCGTTCAGCGACAATATCGAACCGCTCCATGATGAGCTGCTTGATCTCAGTCTGTACGGACAAATGTAAGCCCTGTCAATACGCTCCTAGTTGGACAGAGATGTACCTTCTGCGGAGTGAGATCATAACCAATGACATCCTGGAGACCTTTGCGAATCCGTTTCTCGGAGATGGTGTTGAGGTCACTTTTGGCGAGGATCGAGTCGATGATCTCGGTGTACCGAGCACGCTTGTCGGATGAGACTGTGATGCAAGGCCCGCGGTCAGTTTAGGAAACTGAATAGCCTCGGCAGTTGGCGCCGGGATGACAATGGGGAGACTTACGCGACATCTTGGCTGGGAAGCAGGTGCAGAATCCCTGGCGACCAAGACCAAAAACGCAATTGCAGTTGGGGCAAGGCGGTTGCCCAATGCTGGGTGCGCGGGGAAGGAAGGCGTGCGAAGAGTGTCGGGGGAGGCGTCAGGTGAGGTAGAGAGAGGTAACTATACCAAAGGTCGCACTGGCGCTTAGGACCGGCGGGGCATTGGCACGGAAGATGTGACCGAGCAGAGATAAGAGATCGAAGAGCAGAGAGAAACACACACAATGCGCCGACACCACAAACACCCAGCAGACAGACCAGCGGCTCGATTCTTCTCAGGAAAAGCACGCAGGGACTCGCACGCTTTGCTGAACACTGGCTGGCTGGCTCCGATCCGGGAAGCTGGGGAAGAAGCTGAGTCAGCGCGACTGATCATGTGACTGGGCTTTGTGGTTAGTCAGCGCGCACAAAAGAAAGGCGCGGCGGATTGTGGATTATTTTCGATCAAAGACCGAGAGGCAGTTTTTCCACATCCCTCTGTGTCCCAGCACCCTCGCCAGTCGGATTCACACCCAATATGGCGCCCAGCTTCGATACTTTGTCCGAGCAGGACCTCCATGAGGAGGAGGAGGAAGAGGTTGACTTCTCCGGTGCGTGCGATGGATTTTCTTTGTTCTCAAAAGGGCCCCTCTATCTAACACCCACCCAGATCTCAAGGCGCAGTATGAAGTCAAACTCGAGGAGGGCCTGGACACATTCATCGTCATCGACGGGCTCCCCGTCGTGCCCGCCGACAGCAAGCAGAAACTGGTCAAGTTCCTTTTGAGAAAACTCAATGCCGTGGGCCACACCTCCGAAGATGCGGTTTTCATGCCGCTTACCGACAAGGGCATGTCCGAAGGGTGCGTGAAGTGGTCCGGGTTGGCAAATACAGTTTTTAATCGGTTTACAGGTTCGCCTTTGTCGAGTACGAAACACCCGAACAGGCTGTCGCCGCCGTCAAGCAGCTGCACGGCACCCCTCTCGACAAGAAGCACACCCTGCAGGTGAACAAGTTGATGGATATCGAGCGCTACGGTCGCGAGGGCCGCGTGGAGGAGGAATACAAGGCGCCCGAGGTCGAGCCGTTCAAGGAGAAGGAGCACCTGCGCTCGTGGATGGGTGATGCCAACGCCCGCGATCAGTTCGCCCTCTACCGGGGCGACAAGGTGGGCGTGTTCTGGAACAACAAGAGCAACCCGCCGGAAAACGTCGTTGACCGCGCTCACTGGACACAACTTTTCGTGCAATGGTCCCCCAAGGGTACATACCTCGCTTCCGTCCACCCGCAGGGTGTGCAGCTCTGGGGCGGCCCGTCCTTCTCGAAACAAAAACAATTCCCCCATCCGTTTGTGCAGCTGATTGAATTTTCGCCGCTTGAGGGATACATTACAACCTGGTCGTCGCGGCCAATCCAGGTGGAGGAGGGCCAGCCGGTCCTGACCTATGAGGAGGATGGAAAGAACATCATCGTTTGGGATATCGAGTCGGGCAAGCCTCTCCGGTCTTTTGTCTCGCACGACCTAACCGCAGGCCCTATCCCCGAGGGCGAGATGCAGCCTAAGAAGAAGGTTCAATGGCCCGCATTCAAGTGGTCTCCGGATGAGAAGTACGTGGCGCGCATGCTCCAGGGCCAGTCGCTCTCCATCTACGAGCTACCCCGGATGAACCTGCTGGGTAAGACCTCGGTGAAGATTGAGGGCGTGAATGACTTTGAGTGGTCTCCGGCCACGGTCACCCGGGAAGGAATAAAACAATACGAGCAGCTTCTCTGCTTCTGGACTCCCGAAATCGGCAGCAACCCGGCTCGTGTGGCGATGATGACCGTGCCAACGAAAGAGATTGTGCGGACGCGAAACCTGTTCAATGTGTCTGATGTCAAGCTGCACTGGCAATCGCAAGGTGCCTACGTCTGCGTTAAGGTCGACCGTCACTCCAAGTCCAAGAAGTCGATGGCAACCAACCTGGAAATTTTCCGGGTGAAGGAGAAGGGCGTTCCGGTGGAGGTGGTTGACAGCCTCAAGGACACAGTGATCAACTTTGCTTGGGAGCCCAACGGCTCGCGATTCGTTCTCATCACCACGGGCGAGGCCGCGACCGGATCCGCCGCCCCCCCCAAGACGGCCGTGTCTTTCTTTGCTACGGAGAAGAAGGGCAGCACAGCCGGCAACTTCAAGCTGGTTCGGACGGTCGAGAAGAAGACCAGCAACGGCATCTACTGGTCGCCAAAGGGCCGGTTTGTCGTGGTGGCAACCGTGCACTCGCAATCCAGCTTCGACATGGACTTCTGGGATATGGACTTTGAGGGCGAGAAGGTTGAGGCTGAGAAGGATCTGGCGGCCAACCTCCAGCTGATGAAGACGGCCGAGCACTACGGTGTGACCGACATTGACTGGGATCCCACTGGCCGGTACGTGGTCAGCAGTGCCAGTGTGTGGACTCACTCGGTAAGTCCTCGTGTTTTTCCTGTCTACTTCTGTTACTAACTTGGGATACTAGATGGAAAATGGCTGGAACCTGCACACCTTCTCCGGCACCACCCTGTCAGAGAACCCCACGGAAAAGTTCAAGCAGTTCAGCTGGCGCCCACGCCCCGCTACTCTGCTCAGCAAGGAGGAGCAGAAGCAGGTGCGCAAGAACCTGCGCGACTACTCGAAGGAGTTCGAGGAGGAGGACAAGTACGCCGTGGACATTGCCAACACCGCCGTGGTGGAGACACGCAAGCGCGTGCTCAACGAGTGGATAGCCTGGATCCAGCGCGAGAAGGAGCTCATCGCCGAGGAGAAGGAGGTCCTCGGTTTGCCCGAGGACGCCGACTCGCCCAAGAATGCTCTGGATGCACCTCCCGCCGGCGCGGACGAGGGCGAGACGGTGGTCGAGGAGTTGGTGGAGGAGATCATCGAGGAGACCGAGGAGGTCGTTCTCTGATGAAATTGTTTCCTTCGCATATAATGTTTTTCTTTTGTTTTCGTCTTTGTCTGTTGGTCCCCTCGGCGATATACGGGACGCCCTCAAAACCATTAGATGGAGCTTGTGTGCGCGATGATGATTCTTTGATGTGCAATGTGGATAGCATGAGATATGCCTACGAATCTACTGTTGCAACCTGGCGGCAAACTGTCCATTCTATCTCTATTCTTCTCCTCGTAGACACCGTGATCCAAACTCATCCATATAATCCAAACCCGATTCCCACCGTCCCCAACAACAGCAGGGCCACGACCGTCGGCCGCGTGCCGGGGCTGGTGGTGGTCATAGAAGAGTTTGCCGCGCGAACATTCTTCCTAAAGAACTCATTGTGTTCGCCAACGACGTTGCCTCCTGGTTGATATTCGCACACAACATACCATCCCTGGGCGTGAGAAGTCCCATCCGCAGCTCGATCATTCAGAAAAAGTCCTCGTCGACTCTGGCTAGATTCATCCGTATAGCCGCAGTCAATGGCCGCACAACCAACCTCCGTCGTAGACCGCCACACCAACTGCGTAAAATGGCCCGTCTTCTCCGTGAAGCCGGTGGGCTTTTCGAAGTTATAGTCGGCGCCCTCGTTCCCCCATGCATCCACAGCGGAGGAGGCATTGGCGTACCCGAATGCAAGGTTCTCGCCATAGGGGCCACCCTACTCAATAGTCAGTTCATAAATTCATGATATTAAGAAACGAAGAATGCCTACCGAGTGTTCCCAGATACACTTCTCGGCCCAGTTCTTCGCATATTTCGCCAGCTCCTCGTTCCATGATAGTGGGCTTGCGTCGTGGACCGTCCTATAGCCATTACTCGCTTGCAGAACAGCGGATTTGAAGTCGGTTTCCGAGGTATAAGAAGGTGGATGTGGTGAGGTGGGCATGGCGATCACGGTAGCGGTGGTTTCGTCTGTTACCACCTTGACCTCGGCGGCGGACACAATAACAATGCAGATGATCAAAAGAAGACAGTGCCATGAGACTAGGCTACTGGTGGCCATCACGCCTGGTATATGCATGTATACTGGAGTATTGAAGATGTTGTATGAATATCACCACATTTTCTGAATTGAAGTATGCAGTGTTTTCTTTTTCAGATCGTGAATGAATTGGTCTCTATTGTACTAGGATAGAGAAAAATCAAAACGACTGTACGAGCAGCGGGCAATGATGTAGGTAATAGACGTAGCCGGATGTCAGGGCAGCACAGTACCTGGAGAAGGTGTCATACTCTTTTATCCGGATCCAAGGAACAAAGTCTGCGGGAAGTGTATGAGCCATCGTATCGTCGTGACATTCAGACACCACCCGGGTCCAGCCCAGGACTAGAAACTAAAACCAAAGATGGCCTGAATTTCCCATCCTCAATCGAAACAGAGCCAATGCTTTTTCCTGAATCGTGCTTTCTACGCCTATCGTCAGGGGGAATCTCGCGGGGTCTCAGGGCAAGCGTTTCATCGTGTTCCAGCAGCCGCTGTTGACGTCAGACTGGTTGGATGGTAGCATCCGGCGCACCACCTCGTGCGCCGGATTGGGTATAGACTTCTGAAATTATTTGACATGAATTGATTAATTTGAAAGATATAGTGCATAAATGAAAGAGGAAAATTGAGATCTGTAGGGTGTTGGAAAATGGGCGATGCAGTTAGGGCTAGCGGCTGCACTGAAAAATGAACAGATTGGAGGCCAACGGATCTACTGTTGCATGCTGGCGGCAAATTGTCCAGATCTGGGCTCGCAGTCAGTGGGATTTGGCATAGCGATTGCTTAAAATGGTAATCAAGTTGAAAATCGGGTTCGTAGTCAATGTGCCTGCCTGTCATGACCCATAAATGCATGATTGTATGTAAATATCGCTATGCAAATCTAGATACTGAGGAGAATATCTACATCACGCCGCACCCAATACCATACATAGCCCGTTCCACATCACGTTTCACCTGATACCAGTCGGCGCGCCGTTCGGCAAAGCCGTACACCTCCTCCACGCGCCAGATGCCTTGGAATCGCTCCGCGTCAGCGATGAGCGTTGCCAGCTCTTTGGCGTCCGACGGGTCGATCAAGTAAATCTGGGCCAGCTCGCGGAAGGCCTTGAAGTAGAGGAGGAGCTCGTTGTTCTTCAGCGTCTGTATAAATTTGAAGTAGTGGTTCATGTCACTGTGGCTAATTAGTAACGAATCAAAAGAAAGAGGGGTTTGACATACCTTATCAGCTTCAGGGATCCCTCGACACTGATCCGCTGTCGCTTGAGATGCTTGCACAATGCTGTGAAAAGTCGCAGTCCCACCTCTTGGTTGAAAACGTCCAGCGTGCTCTTGTCAGTGCTTCCCACCAGCATCTGTGTGTGCGAGGCCGCCACGTCAACCACAGCCGCGGCTGCTTCGCTGACGCCCACGTCCATTGTCTGTCGGTGTGGATCTGCCGAAACTCCCGGGTTGAAATCAGTGGCCAGCTGCCGCGTTGCAAGGATATAGTCTACCTCTTCCATGAGGACATCAATACCCTTGTTCAGACCGGCTGCTACCCGCTCGTCGAGCATCTGCTCGAATTTCTTCTTCTCCTTCACAGCGGGATCGACGAAGTCATTTCGGTCCGTCAGTCTTGTGCCGATGAGTTCCTGCTCGTAGAACACGTCCATCATCTGCAAGATTAGATCGCCGACATTAACCAGCTCCAAGAAGGTCACGAGAGGCTCGACCCCAGACTGGTCGCGCTCTTCGTGCTCGCGTGGTCGGTAGTTGGAAAGATGATCGACGGCCTTGTCGAACCCAACGATAACATGTTGGTGCCCCAGGATTCGGAGTAATGATACAAAAATCGCCTCGCACTGCTGCTTCGCGGCCCTGCCAGTCTCTCCACCTAGTCGCACAAACTGGGCCGCTCTCTCCAGGCTCGTCTTTGCAGAGTGGACAAGACTCAGAGCTATTTCAATGCTGAACAGTGACCGAATGCCTTCCATCTTCGATTTCATGATTGCGGCTTTGGCGGCCAGTTCGTTGGTCGGGGCCTCCTCCATGGGCACCGGAGCTGGTGATGAAATGGTCGAAAATCGGTTAGCACTCTTGATTGCTGGGGAATTGCGTCCATTCGTGTCTGAACCTGATTTGGGTTCTTCGGGTGCTTTGCCGGAAAAACTGGGCAGAATATTCACGGGCATCATGATGACTTTCTTGAACGAGGTCAGGAAGTCCCGCTTATCTGCCTGTCGATTGATGTTGGACATCAAGTATGATTCCGTAGAAGCGGCCTGTTCAGACAGCTGTCGGTCCCAGTCAACCACCGCGGCCTCGGATGCCTTCCGGAAGAAGTTCAGCTCTTCTGCCAAATACAGATCGATGTGCGGTTCAAAAATTTTCGTGATCACCTTGTCCAGATACTCGTCAAATTTGTCTCCAGAGCTTCGGGAGGGTAATAGGGCTTCTGATAGGTTCATGCACTGGACAAAGGTCACCGAGACGGCGGTGAGATACGATTCCATATTGCTGCGGTGCAGCTCGTCAAATATGGCGGTCAGAAAGGGATACAACACGTCCTGGCCAACTTTCTCCATAAAAGGAGACGTCACATTCATATCTCGAGGGAAAGCCCGATTCATAATCGAGACTTGCTCGTTGTAGGCAACGCTCAGGCGGGTAAAGAAGGCCTGGGTATGTTGCAACTTCACATTACCAGTCGACTCATCGATGCAGTCAGCAACCCTCCCCAGTTCAGCCTTTTGTGTCATCAGATGGTTGTGATGAATGAAAAGTTCGACGGCCGACTTGCCGCCATTCAGCGTCCACAGTATATGGGCGTATTTCCGCATCGTGCCATCAATGTCGTCATTTTCGTATCCTTTCCGGAATTCATTCAGCGCGGCAGTCTCAAACATTGACACCGTCGTCTCTAATTGATCTGTCCGCTCTTTCCATCCTTCTGCCATGTCACATTTCGCAAATGCCCGCAGTTGCGATAATAACTGCGCTTGAGATTCCGGATCTTTATACTTCGTGAAAACCAGATTATCGAATGATGGCCCTGTTCGTCCAATATCGTCATAGAATGGTGCCAATGCAGCGTGGATCTTGCCGTATTCCTGCCGTGCCTCGCCTCGGATAGACTTGGCTTGCTTCAGCACGCCCAGTATGGGGTCATCCACGGGCGCGAGTATGTCTGACTGGGGAGCCGTGTTGACCAGGTCTATCTTGTCGAATCCATCGGCAAGATTCTGTTCGATGGATATTGTAGGAAGGGCACCGTCCTCGCTCGCCTTAATCCCTTCTTGTTCTGCAGTTTCCAGGTTGGCGATCGTTTCGTAAATCTTCTCGTTATGTTTTCGCGCTTCGGTTTCATCCCAACAGCCTATTCGCTTCAATCGCTGTACCCACCGCGTGTCATCGTAGGCCATTTCGTGCATAAGCTTGGAACATCGCGCGGCGCGGACGAGATCGACGGGGCCCAGGTGCTCGAAAATCAACGCTATGATCTCTGCTAGCTGTCAGTCAGGCTTGTCGCGAGGAGGAGCTTTTCCTTATTGCACGCACCTGCTGGAAGAGACGCTTTGGCGTTCACTTCCATAGACGCCATCCGCAGCGAGGCCAACACATCTCGACGCGGAGTGGCGGGCCTTGAGCCTTTCCTCGGATTTGACATCTTGTGATCTTGAAATATTCATCGAAAATGCGAGAAATGACCTCAGGTGGCCAGCCTTAGGCCACAGCTGTTTCTGGAGGGTTTCGACACCAAATCTCTGGAGTTGTTGTGAGGCGGGGCAGGTTTGGGGCAGAAGAGAATGCCGAGAATGACACAGTGGCTCATAGACAAACCATTGAAACAAGCCAACTCAGGGTCGCATCATGAGCACCCAGGGCGTAGCACTCTTTTTTTTGTTCTGCAATCGGAGACACATTCCACGATCGGCACAGATCAGTGGTGGTGTGCTCACCGCCGTCGGCAGAATTTGGGGGGAGGGGGAAACAGGGTCAGATATACGTAGTTCGTTTGAAAGAAATATGTGTAGATGATTGAATCTTATTACTGGAAAAGATCATCCCTATGCCACCAAGTTGGTGAAGTAGAACATAAATGTTGTGGGTTTGGTTCTTATAGTTAGTGTGCTTGACCTCTCACCAAATATATAGTTGCACACCAAACAATATTCACAACACTATCTACTCCTAAGATCCGTCTACTAGGTATCAAACCCCTGGAAATACCTACGTCAATCTGTATCAGATTCACAACCGGCGAGGCATCATCATCGGGTAATTTTAGGGTCTACCAAGAATGCTTACCTCCTACTTCCAATGTTCAACTACTCCCAAAAAAATATCCAGCGATCCAAAGATTAGCTCCTTTAAAATCTGGACAGAATGAATTCCTCAATTCCTCGCTCCTTGTTCTTTATTGAAAACAATAGACTACTATGTCGAGTCTCCCGAGAATTATTCGCGGTTTTCACCGGGTCGGGGTTGAGCAGCAGCCAATGAGCGTGTACGTAATCCCCTAACCTAAGACTCTTCCACTTCTTCTCTTCCGCTACTGCTTCTTCCCTCACCACGCCCTTCTCCTCTCCCCCCCCACCACCCTCCCTCTCTGCTTCGCCGCTGCGCTCCCATCCATTCATATTGATCGGAGGGTTCGATTTCGCCATGCTGGCACGTTCCGCCCTGCGCGTGCCCTCCCGGGCCATCGCACGCCAGTCGCTCGGCAAGACGGCCACGGTACGCCTCGTCCACACTCCAATCCATCCATTGAGTTCCGACAGAGAGGGCAATCGCTGGCCCAGCTCGGGAACCATTGATTTTTCAGCCATTGACTGACATACCCGATAGCGTGCCTCTTCCACCGCCGCCGGTGCCGAATCCGCCAGCTCCCCCTTCTACCTCACAATCACTGCGTCCCTCGCAACGGCCGCGGCTGCCGGTTCTGCCGCGTGGTACTACCATCTCTATGGCCAGGAGGCTTTCGCCATGACCCCTGCCGAGGAGGGGTGAGTGAATTCCCTCGTGGTGGACTACCCGGGTCGCCCCGTGACGCCGAACCGAGGATTGTGCGATCAACGAGTAGTTGGACTAACTTGCGATTTTCTTTCAGATTGCACCCCGCCCAGTACCCCTGGGTGCATGAGCGCTTCAACAAGACCTTCGACCATGCTGCGTAAGTATTTTTTTGTCTCATGCCTTCGCGACCGGTGGACACTAACAGCCCCCAAAAGCCTCCGCCGTGGTTTCCAGGTTTACCGCGAAGTCTGCGCTAGCTGCCACTCCCTGACCCGTGTCCCGTGGCGCTCGTTCGTTGGTGTCATGCACACCGTCGATGAGATGAAGGCCATGGCCGAAGAGAACGAGTACGACACCGAGCCCAACGACGAGGGCGAGCTCGAGAAGCGACCCGGAAAGCTGTCGGACTACATCCCCCCCCCTTACAAGAACGACGAGGCTGCTCGTGCCGCCAACGGTGGTGCTCTGCCCCCGGATCTCAGCTTGATCATCAAGGGCCGTCACGGTGGCTGCAACTACGTGTTCAGCCTGCTGACAGGCTACCCCGATGAGCCCCCCGCGGGTGCCAGCGTCGCTGCGGGCATGAACTTCAACCCTTACTTCCCTGGTACCGGTATGTAGTGGTTTGGGGATGTCATGTCAAACCACCAAGCTAATTGGGTCTGCAGGTATTGCTATGGCCCGTGTCCTGTTCGATGGTGTTGTTGAGTACGAGGACGGCACTCCCGCCACCACTTCCCAGATGGCCAAGGACGTCGTCGAGTTCCTGAACTGGTCCGCCGAGCCCGAGATGGACGACCGCAAGAAGATGGGTGTCAAGGCCATCACTCTCCTGACCGGTCTGTTCGCGATCAGTGTCTGGGTCAAGCGCTACAAGTGGTCGCCGATCAAGTCGCGAAAGATCGTGTACAGCCCCCCGATCCGGCCCCGCCGCTGAATGTGTCGCCGCACGACTTTTATGAGTGGGAAAGATGAGGTGTGACGGGGGCAGACCGACACTGCTCCTGGCCTGTCTTGCCTGACTGATCTGTTGTGTTCATCTATGGTCGTTGACCGTGTCTTGTTAGAACGCTGCAAGAACCCCCTTGTATCTGTGTATCTTAGATATATTCCTTTTTGTCTTTTGAAAACTGCTTGCTCGAGGAATCACTGAATTAATTTCCTTTGTTGTGACATTCTGCCTACGACCCGTAGAAGCGGAGCCGATTGTAAATCGCATGAGATTGGAGTTATATCTTCAAGGTGTATATACACAAGTGGCGAGCATGATATAGTACAATGAGCTTTTCAAAGGGTATCATCGGGCTCAACCGTCCTCTCTCCATCCCCAAACAGCTTGACAAAAACCATATCATAACTCCTCCACACAGCCTCAAACACCAAATTGGCCAACGTCACGATCCACGGCGGACTGCGCCCGTCAGGCCCGGCAAACAACTTGGACAATGCCAAAATCGCCAGAACCGGGGGTCCCCACATAGCAAGGAATACAACCTTCCCGATCTTCTGCCGCGTGGAAGTGATTCGATACGGCCGGATCTGAGCCAGATATGCCTGATAGGCAATAGGAAGCTGGTGCTCGGCAGCGCCAGTCGTAAGCAGATTCAGATACCGAGCCGACGGCTGCGCATACTCGGGATCCGGACGGAGATGCGGCTCGGATTTGAAGAGCGCGCTTAGACCAGAGGAGTTCTGTGGCGCATGTGTGTGGGTAATCCCGGATTGCTTGCGCTGTCGCTCTTCGTCGGCCGCGGGTGAGAGTAAAGTGTGTACCTTGAAGGCGGGTGTCCCTGGATGCTCGGGGACGGGGTCGGCGGGTTTGTACGATTCCGGGAACGCGTGGCAGTCGACCACGACGTCGCGGTAGCCTCGTCCACCGCCCTCTGTGGCGATAATCTTAGCGTAGTCAGTCAGCGTGACTTCGTAGACGACGCCGACGAGAGGCTTGTGCCATCGGTTCCGATGCGCATCGGTGGCGGCCACGAGCGGGACCTTCTCGGACACGGAGGAATTGTCCAGTACATCCCAGGCCTCATCTTCTGCCTCCTCTGGATCACGGAACTGGGTGCCCGCGAAACACGGCTCGGCGTATGGTATGCCGGGCAGATCGAAGGTCAGTCGCAGTTCAGGCACGAGCACATTGATCTGTGACAGCGGCTTGATGCCACGTACGCCGCGAAATGTCTTCGACGCCAGATTGGACCCGTAAGCCAGGTAGAGAACTGTTCCCTTCTCCGCGACTAGACCCGTCACGTCGGCTCCGTGCTCCTGCTGCTCCGCAATCTTCTCGGAAAGATGTTCATCCTGATCAAGGGAGGCGGCGACACTTGACGCGCGCTGGCGCGCGACGGTCGTTGTTGGTAGGGAGGCGACATCAGGAGTGGAAGGTCTCGCAAGGGGGCCGGGCAAGAGAGAGCGCAGTCGGTCGAGGGACTCTGTGCCGCTGAAGTGGTTCTGCGAAGGGTCTTCGTCGGGGAGTGTCATGATGGTGTAGGCCAGTCAGCAGAAGTACTGCAGACAGTCAAGGGTAATATCGAGCGGGGAGCTAGCCAGAAAGTGCTAGCCATAGGTCATTTATGTCTGAAATTCACTTGTCTGCCTGTCCGGGGCAATTGGACGCCTTTCACCCGTCGGGGATCTATTCGCCCGTGATCCGTGCTTGATAATCGGTCTGACTAACCCGGTCAGGGTCTACGAGGACTGACTATTAATAATATACATATTTATAGTATTTATCATGTCTAAATGGTCAATATTCCTGCTGTGTAGTTACAAATGATAGGAGCGCAAGTTTCACCGTTCGATTGGATGGACACTACCAAAGAATCCCGAGAAGTAGAACGAATGCGACGGGACTATACTGTCAAGCTGTTCGATTTTGATGCTCGCCTTATTTTTCGCTTCGAATAACTGGCAGAGTGATAAAAGAGAGCTTTTGCCTTCCTTCTCGTCAATGTATACCTCACGTCCAGTGTTCCGGCGGTGGACAAACCAGGTGACCTGGTCGCACTTGCCTTCCTGTCTCTCCCTCTTCTCTCTGCTCTTCCATCCTCATGTCAGCTCCCCATCTTGTTTGACAATAGTTGATTTGACACCATGAAGCTGTCTGTGATGGAACGAGATGTGCCAGAGGGTGGCCCGTGTGGTGCTGGGTCATCGCACTCCAAGCCCTCGTCTCAGATTTCAACATTTCAGATCAGGAGACCAGTCCGCCAAAAGATGAAAGCTTCGAACTCAACAGAGGATCAGGAGGAGAGTGTGCTGTCCAGCCATGATGATCTGTCCAAGTGTGACATTGGAGACGAAGCAACCTCGGTCTCATTCCCTGTCCCAGAAGACGCCAAAGCAAAGCCCAAGGACAAACGAAAACGTGCATCCAAGGCTACTATGACCTACAAAAAACGCCGAAAGGTCAAAGGGCTGGCAGGGAAGGGAAAAAGTTCCAGCAGCCATCAATTGTCATTGACAATGAACCCTGTTATCGCTACGAGTGCAACTTCTACAAGGTTAGATCCAATGGACATTACAGCGACGGTAGACACTCCAGGTGAGCATCAAACTGCACCGATTGATGGCCAGCCAAAGAAGTCCCGCGGTCAAAAAGCCCCGGGAAGAGGAAAACAAATGGGACAGAAGCTGAACCTCGCCCTTCAAGAGCTGGTTGATGAAGACAGTGCATTCATTCCCGATGGTTCCATGGTATCGGACAACAATGAGCAGCCTGACAATACCTTCGAGCCTCCCTCCAAGGCATCTCCAACCGGATCTGTCTTTCGTGGTTATTCCCAACTGATCAGTTCGTCTGATTATGCCGCTGTCCAGTCAACCACTGAGCACGAGGCCACTCCCAAAGCTTTCCAGCAACAGAGAACATCTTTTCAAAGCAATGGATCACAGGAACCCTTTTACACGGCATACACTGACCATTTCATACCAAGCTCCGAAAGCACCCCCGAGTCACAAAGACCTCTGCTTGCCACACAATCTTCTGCTGAAGAGACAGGCTTGGGCCCAACAAATCACAGATCAATGCCGAAGAACAGCATTGTTGATCAGAATGGGAGTCCTCGCCTTCTGCCTCAAGAAAACATGTATCTTGGACAGGATCCTGGAATGATCGACTTTGCGTCCCCAGCAGGACACATTCTGCCACCCAGCAACGAGGCAGAGACGACGGGTGCTTGGGGGAACTTTCAGTCATCGCAGTCCACCCAGTTGATGTGCACTTTCCACCGGGAGATTTCCTTAAACTATTACCCTCTCGACTGTGGAAAGAAAGAAATCCCGAAGCGACTGACCGAGGGCACGCTCTTCGGACCTCCTCTCTACCTGAAATGGCCTCCCAATGCAAGCCGCCCGGTTCGGAATGATGATGGCCACTACAATGAGCCCGAAAAGGTCCCAGCCATTGCACCAGAACCAATGACACCCATGCCAAATTACAGACGAGGGATTGCCGCGAGCCTGTCTGCCTCCTCCCTTCCGCAACAGGAATCCTCGCCGTACGATCACATGATAGAATGGATGGCTTCTCTACAAGAGTCACAGAGAGTTGTGACTGAACTCATGCGTGAGACGAATGAGGTATGCCGGAACGATCTTCTGATCTCTCAGACCACTAACTATCCCAGTGTATTACCCACCAACTGGAAGAGGAGAGAGAGGCCCTTGCCTTCGTGCTGGACGAGTATCATGAAGAATCGCTGTGGGCGCTGGATCGACTGTTTCGGACGCAGCAGGCACGGATGGCCCTTTACCGCGAGTCGGTGACAGCTATGCTGCAGCAACAGGCCGAACTGTGCATGAGACTGGTCTGGCGGCTGCAGGGGGAAGAGTGATGTATCCCATATCTTTACTGCGCTATGATTGACCGGTCGCCCCGAGGTCGATCACGTGGGTCCGGTGGACATTTCATACTTCTTTTTTTTTTTTTTCGCCGCCGCGTTTGCAATTGACCGTGACTCATTTCTTCTGGTTCGATCTCTCCCGGTTCGTGTAGGATCATTCTTCCCTTCCGAATCAATTGCCTTCCTTCGATCCCCTGGACGCAATTCCTCGACTCCCTCGAGTCTGCCCCGCCATGTCGGTGAGTCAGCCCCTCCATGACCGGATGACGGCCAGAACTGACGCCAAACGACGCAGTTCTTCATTGAGAACCCCAATGTGGGAAATACCAGCCATCTTGAAGACTCGCGCAGTAAGCCCGATCGCCACGAGCCGTTCCCGCTTCCAAGACTGACCTCGCCCGCACAGTTCGCGGCTACAACCCGCTCACCCCGCCCAACCTCCTCCAGCATGAGATCGCTTTGACAGACAAGTCGCGGGAAACGGTGCTACAGGGCCGTGACGAGGCCGTCGCTGTGGTCCACGGCACAGATACAGAGCGCCAGCGCCTGATGGTGGTCATTGGACCCTGCTCGATCCACGACCCAGAAATGGCGCTGGAGTACTGCGACCGCCTGATGAAGATGAAGGAGAAGTACGCGGATGACCTGCTGATTGTCATGCGCTCGTACCTCGAGAAGCCGCGCACGACGGTTGGGTGGAAGGGTCTCATCAATGACCCGGATATCGACAATAGCTTCAAGATCAACAAGGGACTGCGCATCTCGCGCCAGCTGTTCGTCGACCTGACCAACAAGGGCATGCCGATTGCCAGCGAGATGCTGGATACCATCTCCCCGCAGTTCATTTCGGACTGTCTGTCCGTTGGCGCAGTCGGTGCCCGCACCACCGAGTCGCAGGTGCACCGGGAGCTGTCATCTGGTCTGTCGTTCCCCGTAGGATTCAAGAACGGCACAGACGGCTCACTAGGCGTGGCCGTTGATGCCATTGGCGCTGTCAGACACCCCCACCACTTCTTGTCTGTCACTAAGCCCGGCGTGGTGTCCATTGTCGGCACCGTTGGCAACCCGGACTGCTTCGTCATCCTGCGCGGTGGCACGAAGGGCCCTAACTACGACGCAGCCAGCATCAAGGACGCCAAGGAGAAGCTGGTTTCCAAGGGCCTGACACCACGTCTAATGGTCGACTGCAGCCACGGTAACTCGGAGAAGAACCACAAGAACCAGCCCAAGGTGGCTGCCGTGCTGGGCGAGCAGATCGCGGCTGGTGAGACGGCTATTATGGGCGTCATGATTGAGAGCAACATCAATGAGGGTGCGTTTCCTAGTTTCGTTCTGGCCATTATAAACATCATCCCTAACTCTGTGTTTAGGCAATCAGAAGGTTCCGCCAGAGGGCAAGGCCGGCCTCAAGTACGGCGTGAGTATCACAGATGCTTGTATCAATTGGGCGGATACCGAATCCGTGCTCGAGAATCTGGCGCAGGCTGTGCGTTCCCGGAGACAGAAACTGGCGGCCAATGGGTCCAACTAGATTCATTTCTAATGACTGTTTATATGTATTCTGGGTTAGAAACAAAAGTTTGTCAATGGACATATATACCCGAAGATTTACCCATTCATTATCTGTCCGTGATAACTGCTAACCAGCCTCTCCCAAACTAGTAGTTTAGTAGCTTGCTCCTGGATATTGACACTGCTCCAGCTCCCAGTCTTTGTTGGCACCTTGGCAACACCGTTCTTGTGTAAAGATGAGATTTAAATTGATCCAAATATAGCATGCATTATATTTTAGGAGAGACATGAATATACATATGCTCAGAAATGCAACAAAGACCACCGTGCGCCATGCGAAGGGAAAGGTATGAAAAAGGGTAAATAGATGATAAGATTGGCAAGATGATGGCCGAGAACAGCTCCTAAGCACGACTGCTCTCCCTCCACACACCCTCTCCCGATCCTAGTTCAGGGATCTTAAAATCCACAATACAAGCAGCGAATGAGGGACGGCGGAGGGATGCGTTACCGGCCTTTCCATCTCTGATAGTCTGAATGTCATGTGTCAGATTAGACATCCGGCGACCAGGTCCATAACGACTGGCGAAGGTGTCGTGCAGTTCACCCGACTTGCGTTTGCGACATGATCGTAGAGGCAACACACCCGAGTCGGTGCGGTCGACTAAGCGAGCTGATTTCAGACTGCCGTCGGGACCGAGTGTAAGGGACTTGCAAGGGACCGTGGCAAGATCCTGTGTGCTAGTAGTGAAGGTGTCGACATCGAAGATGCTAGCTTCTCCTGAGGCGCTGAAAGCCCAGACGCGAACACTGCCGTTAGAAGATTGCAGGGCCAGTTCCACGAGGTTATCCACACTGCCGATCTCTTTGCCATATATCTTGAACGGCCACATCATTGCTGTAGGTCTGTAGCTGACACTCAGCAGGAACTCCCAGTCGCCGTTCTGGTTCTGCACCAGACTCTCGCGCCGCTTGCGGGATCGCTCCGAGTCCACGAACCAGTCGCGGGCGAGATCGCTGTCGCCCATGACACCGTCCCCTTGTCGCTCGCGCTCCTTGCGGATGACGTTAAATACATCCAGGGGAACTGTGTACAGGACGATGCGGTCTTGGTACGCGGCCACTACTCGCAACCCCCAGTTCAAGTCTGACCCTGCAGCGAAGATGGTCGGCACACGAGCCTCCTTATTGATATCTGCTGGGTCTTTGCCGAACGGAGGCACGCAGACGAAGGCTCGGGTTAGACTGGTAGGGCCACCGATTGGTGCATCTGATCCAATGCAGAGTAGACCGGTACGAGGTTCGATGAACATGATGTGGAAACCGTCATTGATGGGAACCGCCCGATAATGGTGACAATGCGTGGCCCGTACAAGACTCAGACTAGACGAATTGGCGGGTGGCTTGCGAGTGAATGACTGGACATCCGCCAGAAGATGAAACTGGCACTTTTTGGGATGGTCCGGGAATGGCGAGTGCAAGCAGGCGCACTCGTGAAGCCCCGGGCCAGCCAAAGACGATATCAGCCGTAGTTCCATAGGTGTCTCAGGCCGATTTGGCAGGAAATGCACAATTTCTGAGGGTTGTGACATGGGGAAATGCTTCCGCTGGTCCTTATGGTTGGTCTCGTCTATCCAGTGTAATTCGACGCCGGAGGAGCTGCCAAACGCCACGCATCGGCGCCCAGGACAAACTGCAACGGTCCGAGGTGGATGATCGGATGAGCACACATTGTAATGATACCGACGAGACGTAGGGTTGAGTGTGGGCATCTGGTGACTGCGCGGCACCTTTGACTGAGAAGTAACTCTCTCGTCCGTATGTTGGAATACGTTTAGATCACAAACCATTCCAACACGGTTTCGTAGTATGGCAGCGACAACAAATTTGGGCGTGCTAGTGTCCACCGTAGCAGAGAGAACTTCAAAGGGGCATTCAATTCTGGATATGGGCTCCACGTCAGTGTCTGCCATATTGGCTGAAGCCATACGCCTGGCTTTTCTGGAGTGCAGGCGGTAGACATAGATCATGCACCCGGTAGTAACGAGCAGATAGTTGCCGCAGCTGCTGACGCTGAATGTCGACAGTCCTGGGTTTGCCTCTCTCACACTGTATGATGTCTGTAAAGCATGAGACGCATTCCCACGCGTCTTCGCGACTGTCGATCCCTGAGAGAGCGGAGAGAAATCCACCGTGGAGGTGATCAAGAAGCCTGGCTTCTCAACATTGGCTTTCCGACCCGATAAAAGACACTCGGTCGCAAAGCGCCGGCTCATGCGCCATACTTCGCTCTCGCCGGTTTCTTGCTTCAATGTGCGCTGCTTTGCACAGTCATTCTGCCATGCATCCCACCACCCAGCCCGCTTCAACATACGCTCTAGCAGGTTGCGATTCAGGCTCACGCGCAACCATTGCGAGCATGTTCGACGTGCATTGTCATAGTCACGCGGTGTCAGCATCGAGAAGATCTGAAGGAGAATCTCTGGTGGGGCGATATTGGCCGCTGAGGGGGGCGATCGATCTGCGCCATGAGGAATGGCATTATCACTGTATTGCGCAGACAAAGTGGGAGAGTTGGCTATCACAGCAGGAACAATTGATGTAGCACAATCGAGACTTGTCTCTGTGACAACTTCGTCATTTTTCGGTCGACGCCCAGCATAGCCGTGGCTAAGCGATCTCGTCGATGGCATCTCGGTCGAACAAGCAAGGCCGTAACTAACTCCACAAGCACCACGAAACGAATTCAAGTAGTCCCCGTGGATATTATTACAGTTCCATTAAAACATGCTCCGAGGGGGCGAGTCGTCGACAAAGGGCTCGATTTATTCTTGATCCCTAACGAGGCGAAGTATATCTGGCAGGATGCACTTTCCTAGTTTTAGAAGGATTCGACCGAGTGACGAAATGATCGAAGCGATGAACTGGTGATGTTGCTAAAAGTGACAGACAGTCGGGAGATCGGCGCTTGTCTAGTCGATCGAATTCCCACTGACCATGGTATGTAATGGTATGTGAGATGTGGACGGGCTGTATGTAACGATCTCACCGAAATGTGGGTGGTTGTATAGTTCCAGTCGGCGTGCCTCTGAAAGCGGGAAGGATGAAGTTGGAAAGTCGATGAGCGAAGAGACAAAGAAGGCGTCGGGCACACGACCATCATATACTCTGATCGCTTGTTTTGCCATCCCGAGAATCAGCCAGCAAGCGATTGCCACCGAGTTAAAGGCAAAGATGTGTGACGGGAGTCACTGAGTTTTGGCGGGTTGGACCATGGATGAGGGGTGGCGATGGGAATGGAGGCAACCAACGCGTATAGTAGGACGGTGAAACCATTGGAGTGTACATAATGGTGCACTTACCGACATTCCAGCGCTCAAGAATGTGGGCCACGCGACACTCGTGCCGGATGCAGACGACCTTCTGTATTGTACACAGCTAGAGAGTTTCATCGGAATGTGTCCGATCTCGATCCGCCG